ACTGTTACTAGAAACAACCGGTCACATAAATACCGGACACAATGGTCTAGACATGATATATCCTCTGAAATTGTCACTTTCTCTTGTTGTAAGACTCATAACTTTGTCAAATCTTAACCATTTTACATGGTCAGGCCACTGGTGGAATCACCGGACTGAGTGCTATGTCACCACAAGCAACTGGTCACATAACTACCGGTTGAAAAATCCCGGGTCACAATGGTCTAGATATGATATATCCTCTGACTTTGTGACTTTCTCTTGTAAGGCTCCTAACTTTGTCAAATCTTAACTATGTTACATGGTCAGACCACCGGTGGAATCACCGGATTGAGTGCTATGTTACCACAAGCAACCGGTCATGTAAATACCAGTCAAAAAAATACCGGTTGCAATGGTCTAGATACAATATATCATAATATCCTCTAAATTTATGGCTTTCCCTTGTAGGGCTCATAACTTTGTCAAATCTTAACCATTTTACATGATCAGACCACCGGTGGAATCGCCGGATTGAGTGCTATGTTACCACGAGCAACTGGTTACATAAATACCGGTCGTTGTTGCACCCCATAATACCGGCCCACCCGTCTCCATTGCACCCTATCATGCCGGCCCACCCGTCTTCATTGCACCCCATATCACCGGCCCCACTCGTCTTCATTGCACCCTATATCACCGGCCCACCCATCTCCATTGCGCCCTATAATGCCGGCCCACCCCGTCTTCATTGCACCCCATATCACCGGCCCACTCGTCTTCATTGCACCCCATATCACCGGCCGACTCGTCCTCATTGCACCTCCTTTACCGGCCCACCCGTCTCCATTGCACCTGCTATACCGGCCCACCCGTCTCCATTGCACCTGCTTATACCGGCCCACCCGTCTCCATTGCACCTGCTATACCGGCCCACTCGTCTCAATTGCACCCTATTCTCCGGCCCCCTCGTCTTCATTGCACCTTATGTACCGGCCCACTCGTCTCCATTGCACCTCATTTACTGGCCCACTCGTCTCCATCACACCCCAGTTCCCCGGCCCACTCGTCTATATTGCACTCCATTCCTCCGGCCCACTCATCTATCACACACTGGATTCACTACTACTATTCATAATTTCCTATATAGTACATTGCTATACTACCATCTATACTATATACACCCGACCCATCCGTTTGCCTTGGACACTCCACCCCCTCGGCCCACTCGTCTAACATGGTACAATTATTGCCATGGGCCGGCACCGGGTGGCCCGTCTCTATTGGTACATTGTCACGCCCGGCTGCCCGTCTGAGACGGGTATATGTTACTGCATTATGTGATCACCGATGTAAAAAACTGCTCCCCCTCTAGCCCTTAGACTCTCTGTTGACTTCGTACACGTATGGACCATGGCTTGCTCACATACCGAGAACATGCACGTAAAGCTGCAACCGGAACTGCGTTGAGCTCCTTGCATGCGCTCCAAGAGAACGTGTTAATACGTCACAGGTTCTTGACCAACTCTCCGCCAGTCCAACAGGTGTGTTACTGATCTTCTCATGGTTCTTCCGTTTCCCAAGTCTCCGAGGTTTCGCATATTATACCTCTCGACGGTTAATTTATATCACACCCTGCCAAACCAGCCTCGCCATTCTTCGCTTGACGGGAAGTAGGAACGCAGAACAAAAAAATCAACGCCTTGCATTATCAACTAACCCAATGGTTATATATTGTATGTAGAGACTCCAGGGCTGTCATACGGAACCTCAATCCCAAGTATGTGTTGTGTACATTATTCTTGCATCAGCATAATTTTGCTATCGATTATCACATTCTAATATTTGACCTTGTGGAGGAAACGACAGTTCCTGATGTTCTTATCCCAGTGCGCAGTCTGGAAAACGCTCTCATATTGTTCAAACTCACATTTGAAGGGAAGTTGGAGCAATAGTTAACGATCAGGCTAGAGGAATCACAACCATCACGTCGGAAGTAAGATTCACGATTTTGAAGTGATGAATGTAGGACAGCATCGTTCAAAGAACGACTATGTGCCCACCGAGTGAACGAGAATAAATGTATGTACTGCTGTGAGTTTTGACACCGTCCGTTTGATATTCTTGATGTTCGTCAACTATATATATGTATATATCAGTTGGGAATCCGTGCAAAAAAGCCTTTTACCTATACCGTCTTTCCGTGCTGACCATCGTTAGACACCAATGTCGCAATACTCCGGGAGGAGTTCATTGTTGTAAACAACTGGCTTCGCGAAGCTGGACTGATGGCAGAAATCGACAAATCCGAGCTCATCCATTTCACATGGCGTCGCGCACCAGATCGACCGCCTATTTTGCTGCCTAGCGACGAAGGACAGGTGACAATCAACCCCCGTGACTGTATCAAATGGCTCGGCATATATTTTGATCCTAAACTCTCTTTTCGCAGAAACGTATGTGAACTGGCAGGGAAAGCCGAAAATATTGCTCAAGGACTACATATGCTTGCAAATACGGTGAGAGGTCTCTCACAATCACTACTGAGAACTGTATACTCGGCTTGTGTTCGCAGTGTAATGACATATGCCAGCCCTGTCTGGTGGACGGGCATGAAAACCCATGCAAATATGCTCACCCGCATTCAAAACAAATCCCTCAGACATGTCTGCGCCGCTTTCCGGACCACCCCAATAAAGGCCCTAGAAATAGAGGCGTCAATCCCCCCCATTAACCTTTTCCTCGATCACGCAAATGACAATGCCGCCACTCGATTACTCAAACTCCCCTCATTCAACCCAATTCTACAGAGGCTTGACCAACCATGGCGACAATTCAACCTCGCTGATCCCCCACCCGCTCTTCCTACCGACAAATACTGTCCCCGCAGCCGTAAACCACCAAAGTCGACCAGACTCACCCGTCTATCAACACAAGCATCCCCGGACGTGGAACGCATCAACATATTTGCACTGCCACCTTGGGCAAACACAGCGGAAACGTACTGCGGCCGCCTAACAATATCAGACAAACAAAGAGGAGGCAAGAAAGAAGCCGCCAAAGCGCACATACAAACCGCTCGGAATCTACAAATGGAGGACACGCACCTTCTCGTGTACTCAGATGGGTCGAAACAATCGGTCGGAGAGGAGGAAAGAGCTGGAGCAGGATGGGCCGGTTATCATAGAGGAAGAGAAGTCTTCTGGGGCCAGGAAGGAATGGGTCCTAAGGCAGAGGTATACGATGCAGAGATGCTAGCACTCCTTCAAGCAATATCACGAGCTACTCGTTTCGCACAAGACTCCCAGGTGACCCATTTACATTTCTTTGTAGATAACAACTCTGTGGTGCAGGCTGCATATGCAGCTGCACCTGGACCCTCACAATACATTGCGTTACAGATCAAACGCTCAATCGAAGATTTCCTAACCACGTCACCCCTCCACCATGTCCAAATCGCATGGATCCCAGGACACCACCATATCATCGGCAATGAACGTGCTGACGAGCTCGCCAAAGAAGCCACTGGACGTAACGACACGTCCCACTTGACCTATGCAAATGCGCGCCGAAGAAACAAGGAAGGGATCCGGCAGAAATGGACAGAGAGTTGGAATAGAGACGTGGCAGCACAGACTGGACGCTTCGCTATCGCAAATCGACTCCCACCAACGCTCAAACCTTGCCAACACTTCACTCATACTCCTCGAGAAGTATATGGCCATCTTATACAATGTCGCACAGGACACGGATTCATTGGAGAATACTATGCCGCATTTGTCCCCACCGAACCCACCCTCTGCCCATGTGGAGAACCACGTCAAACACGAGAACACATCCTACGTGACTGCCTGCAATTTACGCGACAGCGCATCCATTTAAGAGAGGTATCCTACAACATCATACTCAACGAAATCTTGGGTACGGAAAAGGGCATAAAGGCATTAGTGAAATTTATCGAAGAATCCAGCGCATTCAAGAAGGCCGCACTGGAACGAGAAGGGGACTGGGAAGAAAGGAGAGGGATAGAAGCCTGAGTGAGGGCGGGAAAGGAGGTGACGAAGGAGGGAGGAGACGAGAAGAGCACAGAAGGAGGAGGAAGGAGAGAAACTGTACCATATTATACTCAGCCTGGACACCGGACGAACTTATACGCACACCGAAACTTCTCAAACACGGACCGCTTGGCTATTCGTACTATACTTACACCCCTTACCCTGTTACAACATCCCCCAGTACAGCCCTAACAGGGCACCGCGTCTTAACAGTTTACCTTGTTTGTTGCGGTATATAAATATAGAAATTCTCTCTCTCTCGTTCCGTGCTGACTGACAAAGTATGGCGCTGGATCTGTTCAACTATTCTTCACACGCAAAACTCACACACGCACAGACGTCACACACACACAAACGAGACACACACACATAATCACTCCGTTGCATACACACTCTCGTACTACCGTAGAAAAATTAGTACTGCACTATGATCATTCATAAAATTCATTGATGCCCCAAGGTATCCAACTCTGCACGTGTCAACATTGGGCCAGGCTCTGTGATCAGAGCTGCCGACAACTGCTGAGCTGTCTCCTCAATGAGATCAAAGGCTAGATGGAATGCCGCTCCTTTCTTCACTGTTTGAAGCAGGGTCTTCCAGCACTCTGGATTCACCCTTCCGATTTCGAACCCAAGCTCCTGGAAGTGCTCGACAGTGTCACGGAAATCTTGAGGATTGCGTCCATCAACAAGAAAACGGGCCATTGAGTTCCACCACAGTTGCTGCCAGTCAATGGAACATGTGGTGTTGTCAGTGCAGTATTGTGAGTGCTCGATAATGGGCAGCTCCTCGCAGGCGACAATGTGGCAGTGCTCGTTGAGAAGCTCCTTTAAATCTACAAAGGTGTTCCATACTTCAAACCCAAGTCTCTTTCGCACTGGTCCTGGAATATCGCGGACACGAAATTCAATGAGACGGCGAAAAGCGGGAACAAAGAACTTTTGAATTGAAAATTCAAGACAGAGTGCCAGAAGTTCATATGGTTTGTGTTGAAATCGATGTTCTTGAAGGTGATTAATGGCGACATTGCGAGCTTTTTGACTCATGAACTTGTTGCTGAACCGAAGAAGGTCGATAACATCATCATGAGTGGGACCCTCGGGTTTCCAACTGTACAGTAATCCCACATTTAGAATAAAGGTGGAAGCTTGAAAACTTGTCTCACCTGCTGTATGCAACTGAGAGGAAAAGTTCGAACATATTCATGCTGAGTTCGGGGATGACAATTGGATAGTCGTCGCTCGAGCCTTCCATGCCTTCCATTGGCTGAAATTGACTTCCAACAGAAAACATCTCCTCGAATGCAATGGATGAGCGTGATAATTGAGTTGCATGGACCTTGAATAGCGCATTTTCGACCTGCATTTTGACCGTTAGTATTGTCAAGGGAAACCAAGCGAACAAAACAATCTGACCAAGAAAATGTGAGTACCCTCAAGTATATAGAAACGGTGGGGTCGAAACTTGAGAAGACTTGGAGCTGACTTGCCCATTGTTGGAGCCCCAAACATGATGGTCTACTATCTGTGAGATTCTAGAATATTTTGAGGCTTGGAGTCTGAGTTGAAGCACGAAGGACGTAAATGTTGCTTACCACACCAAGTTTTTCACTTCGTCACCTCTATCTTGCCAGTAGCTGACTATGGATCTTCCAGTCCTACCAGAACGTGAACATCGATGGCCACAAAACATCTATGCTGCAGATGGTATTATCCGTAACATCTATAGCACTGCGATTAGAATGCTTCGATCAAATGATGCGGAACCAACCAGAGTGGCATACCATTATGATGCACTGTCCGCAGAGGCCCTACCTTTGCTTGAAGCGATCGAAAGTGATTCAAGTCCTGCCGATTACCAGCTTCTGCACGACTGGCTACTAGCATGTGCTAGGCTTGTGGGGGAGGCAGGTGCGATGCTTAAGGATGTCAGCCGAAATCTTCATGCGTAAGTACCTCACCGGCCTGAAGCTCTACTGTCTGAATGCTATCACTTTAATCTAGGGAAAATGTTGGACAGTCAAATGTTATAATCCCAGAGCTTGTGACTCTGGACCATCAGGGACGTCGAGGGCATCCGAGAAAGAACATTAACCTTGAATTTGTCCATGAAGCCCTGTCTAACGAGCGTCACATCATGCTGCCAGATCTCGCGCAACTCCTCCAAGTGTCCCGCACCACTTTGTGGAAATTTATTTGTCAACATGGTCTTGAAAAGCGCTTCATGACGATTAGCGATACTGATCTCGATCAACTTGTAAGGACTTTCAAAGAACGCAAACCGGAGTCAGGATTCCGGTACCTTGTTGGCTTCCTTCGGTACCAAGGTATTCGAGTCCAGCAGCGTCGTGTTTGGCGGTCCCTGCACAAAGTTGACAGGCTGGGACAAAGGCTGAGAGAACGACGTGTTACCAGAAGACGAAAGTACCAAGTTGCTCGACCGAATGCACTATGGCATATGGATGGTCATCACAAGGTCATTCAGTGGGGCTTTGTCATTCACGGATTCATTGACGGGTATTGTTGCACCGTAAATCCATCAATTTATGAAAGCGACAAAATAAGTGTAATAACCTTACTTTCAACAGATAACAGCACTAAGGGCCAGCACAAATAATCGCGCATCAACGGTGTTGGAGTTGTTCATGCACGCAAGGAATGAGTATGGCATGCCATCTCGTGTTCGTGTTATGATCAACGTTCACCGATTGGCAAAGGTATCCCACAACCACTAGGACTCGTCAAAGGATAAGAGAATAGATGATATTGAGAGTGAACGTCTCTGTCTACACAAGGTAGGAATGAAGAGGTTAAGTCTAAGGAGTACTACTGACTACAACCTAAACTATATACTACTCTCTAGGCGGAGATATCTGAGTATGAAAGGTAGTGATATATCTATATAAGATCATAACATTGCGCCTAGGGTATAGGGCGTCTTATCAACCAATCAACTACAAGAAAGGGAAAGGGGTCCATAGGGGTATCGGCGATTAAGCAGGGTTCTCAGGGTTCTGCTTCTATTCAGGGTAAGCGGAGATGAAGAAGGGTGAGAGAGTTCTGTGACAAGAAGTCTCGAGCAGTGATTAAGGATCTCGATAAGAGATAGGATCTGGAGATGTATTGGGTACGATCAGATCTAGGGGTTCTCCAGGGTCTTCGGTAATGAGCATGCTTCTCTATGAGTGGCGCTTCTGTGATAGGGTTCAGGGTTCCAGCTGTGACTGTGCAACAGGTTCTTATGTAAGGGGTTCGGTGAATGACAGAGGTAACTCTTAACATGTCATGTGTGGGAAGTGAAAGGTCTGCGGTGTGAAGGGATGATGACTCTTCGAGAGATAGCTTTATAAGGACTCTCGGTTGTGGTTCGATCATAGAGGCGTGCAGATGCATATGATGTAGCCTGGTTGCCTAATCGTAGGACTTCTAAGGATGTGATGACTTCGGATGTCTAGGGTTACAGATGACGTCGATGTAGTATAGATGTGATGTAAAGATAGTGATCGTTAATCGGTTATCCATCTTATCTTATCAGGGATCTTATCTAATCTAATCTTATCGGATAGGTGACTTAGAGTTTGATAATCGAAATTTAGATGTAGTCTGAACATTCATGACAGTTCGTGGGGATCGCGGAGGGGAGAACCTTCAAGTTGCTACGCACATGGTTGCGACAAATGGCCACAATCGCGGCTCGTTCTTATGGGGATCGTAAGTGGAGCCCCCTGGAAATTTACTTGACTAACGATGCCTGATAGATCAACACGGAATTCTCGTATTGAACGATTGTGGGTTGAAGTCAGCACACAATTTGCACGCCGATGGCGGGCATTCTTTACCAGGCTTGAACGACTTCACAAACTTGATGTTGACAGGCCTGGGCATCTTTGGCTCCTTAGCGCGCTCTTCTTGAATGCACTCAACAATGATTGCCGACAGTTTCAACAAGAATGGAACTCCCATCCTATTCATGGTTCTGATACCAAGGATCAAAGCCCTCAGGTCAGTGAATACTCGGTGCCGCAGAATTATTGTCTCACAACCATGAAGGATATGCGCCTTCTAGGACAGGCGTCATTAGGCATCTATGAAGATGAGTTTGAGGGGATACATCCTGCAATCCTGCAGCGCTATTATGGTATTCATGGCAGAGAGTTGGTCCACGGTCGCAATCAGACAGGTGCTGGCCACCCAAATGACGAGTCGGATGAATCAGATGAAGATAGTATTATTGGCCGCATCGAGCGGGATCAAGCAAACGACGTCCAACATGACGCTGTTGAGGTCGCAGATGGTAATACTCCTTTTCAGAATGAAGAAGATGAAAATTCATTCTTTGAAATACTTGAGGAGGTCGTCATGGATGGTATTGTACCGGAGGGATACAATTTACAGGAGGGTGAAGATGAGTATGATGAAAACACAACTGAACATCTACGAGTCGGACGACGGAGGGAGAATTATGTTGAAGTATCGTTAGCAGACCCTATCTGGAGGACTCGCTCAACATTATGGGCTCAAGCGGCTAGCGTTCTAGGTCATTTTGAAGCAGATGTATTTTTCTAATTCAATAGTACTTTACAAAATTCGAAATAGAATTAGGAACCTACCACATACAAATTCTGCACCTCGCCGGCTTGTTTGTGTCCCAGTCCTCTCTTCCATCTCACTCGGAATGTCGAAGCAAGTTTATTGCAAGGGCAACCCTAACAAATCAGTAGCTTGCGATTGCGAAGAGTACTCTGCACCTACGAATCTTCCAGTTGGCCAAAAAGAGCTTTGTGCAGAATGTTTGCACGGCAAGATGTTATGACCAGCGTCCCTTAACCTAACTAGTAGGTGTCTGGAGTCTAGATCACACCACAGGACTCAGTCTGAAGAAGGTAAAGCGAGGATGATATTGAGAGGGAACGTCTAGGCCCTACGATAATGTAGAAACGAGGAGGTTAAGTCTAAGGAGTACTACTGACTACGACCTAGTCTATATACTACTATTGGGGCGGAGCTATCTGAGTATGAAAGGTATGTGATATAACTATATACGGTCATAACATTGCACCTAGGGTATAGGGCGTCTTATCAACCAATCAACTACAAGAAAGGAGAAAGGGGAAAGGATAAGGGTTCATAGGGCCAAGGGTATCGGTAATTAAGCAGGGTTCTCAGGGACTGCTTCTATTCAGGGTAGACGGAGATTAAGAAGGGTGTGAGAGAGTTCTGTGACAAGAAGTCTCGAGCGGTAATTAAGGATCTCGATTAGAGATAGGATCTGATGATCTAGATCGAAGGATCTAGATAGGATCTGGATCTGGAGATGTATCGGGTACGATCGGATCTAAGGGTTCTCCAGGGTTTTCGGTAATGAGTATGCTTCTCTATGAGCGGTACTTCTGTGATAGGGGTTCAGGGTTTAGCTGTGACTGTGCAACAGGTTCTAATGTAAGGGGTTCGGTGAATGACAGAGGTAACTCATGTCATGTGTGAAGATGTGAAGGTTTGCGATGTGAAGAGGTGATGCCCCTTTGAGAGATAGCTCGTAAAGTACTCTCGGTTATGGTTTGATCATAGAGGCATGTAGATGCTTATGATGTAACCCGTTTGCCTAATCGTAGGACTTCTAAGGATGTGATGAGTTCGGTTGTCTAGGGTTACGAATAAGATGGATGACGTTGATATAGTATAGATATGATGTAAAGATAGTGATCGTTAATCGGTTATCCATCTTATCTTATCAGGGATCTATCTAATCTAATCTTATCGGATAAGGTGACTTAGGGTTCGATAATCGAAATTTAGATGCAGTTGGTAACATTCATGACACAAGAGCAAACATCCTCGACCCCAACGGCCTGCATCAGTGGCCGAGCTGTCAGTACCTCCCATACTAGATCAGACTTGGAGTACTCCACCAAGGCCCGTCACAACCGCAAAAGAACAAGTTGGAGTGACAGCTATATACAAGCAATCACTCGCTCGGAAAGCCGGACAAGACCTGGAACTCAAATTCAATGTGTTGTCCAACAGTCAGAAGACGGCTACCGCGAGAGGTGAGGCGATCGCAGGATTCCGCCCACCTGTAAAACGGAAATTCACAGTGAGTAAATTTGCCTGACTTTTGTGCCTCCAAAATAATCAATGTTACCTAGGGCAGGGCAATATCCTTAAGACAGGCCAGTTCTTCGAAGCAAGGACAAATCCGGATCAAAGTCGGTGCCATTGCTGTCTTGATCAATTACCTTGATGTATGTTAGCCTAAGCACACAATAACTATGAACTTACCCAGTGACCGACAGGACAGAGGAGAGTTGACGATCACGATCCCGCCTGTCAGGACAGAGATGTCAAAGTTTAAACGACGGGGATGTGCTCACTTTGACGGAGATCAGTCTGAGAACGACAGTGTGGATTTCAGCTTTTGCCCGGACTGGACATTTGACAAGGTTGATGCTTACATTCGAAGACTTTTTCCAAAGGTCTTTGGATACCTCGACTCTGTAAAGGCAGGTGATGTAAAGGGGAAGGCCATAGATAATGGAGCATCTGAATGGGTGTTGATTTCAAAAGAGAACCGCAGGCTGAGTGTCGCACCTGACCCATTTCCGAACGGCAAACATCTTGAACGGTACAAAGGCAGAAATAATGCCCCTCTTCAACAGACAAATGTTTTTATTAGTGAGCTGTTAATAAATTCATCAGGGATGTTCTAATCAATGTATGTGCAATAGGTATCCGGACATACGTACCTGAGCATATTTATGCACGCTGGGATCCGGACATGGTCGTTATTGATATAGATGATGACAACAGCGACGATAGTGACAGCAAATATCAATTTAAACTTGAAGATAGTTTGGATGACATATACAATGTTCCCAAGATCAGTTGGTGGATTTAAAGCTCTCACGTGCACACTCTCAGTGACTGTGTTTAAAATTCGTTTAACTGTTACTACTTACTCCAGCTCGTCCAAAACGCTTGATGCAGTCCAACGAACGTGATACACATCAAGAACCAGCTTTAAAGAGATCGCGTGGAAGTAAGTACTACTGTTCAGACTGTATGCGAAACAACACTACTAACAAAACATATTTAAATCAGCTCGTGGTCAACCCATCGCATCGAAAATGGAGAACCAGGTGGCGAAATCTGTTAAATGTAAGTGTTAAGCGCTTTCATTGTCTACTTGACCATCTAACACCTGTAATTTTACAGTGTTCGGTCCCAACTCTGATGCAGATGATGGCCTCGACACACTGCCAGCTAGTCTGAAAGGAATGTCAATCTCACCTCTGAGACGTGCTCCACGCCAGAATTTGATGATGCCATCAATCAAAGATGAAGAACCCTACATCGACCTCCAAGACTCAGAAGTCTTTACAAACGTTCAGAATCATGTGTCCACAATGCCGATACTTAATCGACCACTCTTCCAGCCTCTCGTTTCAGTTGAGCCCACATTGAAAGATATATTGCGCGGCCACCCAGATGTCAATGATCCGTTGTTGCGTCCATTGCACAACCCTTGGACAACCAACTACTTCATTGGTTCTATTAAACTTTGGCTTTAATTTTGTTCCATAGAACTCGAACATCTTATCACAATCCCATTGCAGCCACAGTACTACTTCTACGGTTCCCTTTAATTTTTCTCGCACCTTTAAATCCTTCTTTCTTAATCCTAATTTCATGCTTTGATTCACCTCGCTCCTTTGAATCCTCCGTTCTTAACCCTACTGGGCCTAGTCAATTTCATGATTTAATTCCTATTCCATCGAATTCTCCGTTAAATGTTAGTTGGTCCATTCGAACAATGAAAATCATTTACTCCGAGACCTACTCACTCCTCATCGACACTTACATCAAGGATCCACCCAGCGCGAACATCTTTTTGACACCAATACTGGCAGCTTTCCGTCTTCTTTTCTCGCTCTCGTCCGCCAGCCGAGGATTTGCTGCCAATGCTGGCGGCTTCGGTGCGTTTTTTTTTGCCCTTGGACTCTACTTGATTGGCGCTTATAGAACCCTTCATTAGCAGCCTCTGCAATATAAATTGATCATCACTCCGAGACCTACTCACTTCTCATCACTCCGTCTCGTCCACCGGCCAGGCCTTAAAAAGATTCGAGGCTTTGCTGCCAATGCTGGCGACTCTCAGTGCGTTTCACTCCGAGACCTACTCACTTCTCATCGCTCCATCTCGTCTACCAGCCGGGCCTTAAAAAGATTCGTTTATAGAACCCTTCATCAGCAGCCTTGTCTGCAATATAAATTGATTATCGAATCATGTCAGATCTAATAGTGCAGTACTAATTTTTCTACGGTACAAGAGTGTGTATGCGACGGAGTGATTATGTGTGCGTCTCGTTTGTGTGTGTGTGACGTCTGTGCGTGTGTGAGTTTTGCGTGTGAAGAATAGTTGAACAGATCCAGCGCCATAACAAAGGCGGTGAATCATAGCGTATAGAGAGCGGATGTCTTTACCTACACGATGAAACTGAACACCACCTTTTCTGCTATCGCTAGACAAACTGGCTTCGACAACATTCTATCAGAAAATGTGAGCAAGTTGAATGCATTTCTTCTTCATCTCATCACACTAACGACCAAGGATCCACGCATTCTTCCAGCGGGTGTGTTGCAACATTGGGTCTCTTCACAACCTTCGCGGATTGATCTTCATTCACGACAGAATACTGTCGTATTTTTACTGATGTTTAGCTGATTTTGTATTTTGAGCACCTAGTACATCCTAGGCTGATGCTACACGACAACGAGCTCTGCGAATCGAAGACGCACGTCGAATACCCCGAGGATTTTCTGACGATGCATGAGATGTATGTAATTTCCGTCTATACTATAGTCCCTCTTGACAGAAACATTAGTTCTCTACATTGCGTGGTACTCCATTCCACGGGCGACGTCATCATCATGCCGCATTACCACGTCGACGGCTCCTTGGTCGCTCATCCTTATTCTAGCGCCGCTCCTTCGATCCACACGGGACGACTGAGCGCAACGCCTAATCTCGATCCCGTCCTGTAAGCTGGACTCAAGACTTCGTCTCTGGTATCCGACATCCAGTTGCAAGTGCCACCAATCGTCGAGGTCCCGCGCACAGCAGCAAAACCTGTACGCTTTGTTCCCTTCTCGATTCTTTATCAGTGACTCATTTTCACGCAGAGGAACTATCACGCTAGAAAGAAGCCAGCTGCCAGCTCCTCTCAACTTCCCAATACCCGTGTCATGCAGCAAGCCAGCGGAGCAATGCAGAGCACGCCATCACCATCACAACAAGCTACGACACCTGCGACACTTCCCGCAGTCGCCGCCGTTGCGGTAGTGACTGGAACTCCGTCACATCCCAATATTACCATAAGACAGGCCGGATGCTGGGCTCGTCTCTTGCTCGCTGGCGAGCCCTGGCTGCGAAGAACTATACGAACGAGATACTACCTCCACTAATGGATCAGGGATATCTGTCTTTCGACTGCACGATAGAATCATGACACTATTACTATGCACTGAGGTGGATCAAATTCCGAGTATTTCGATCGACATGGAAATACTCAACGTCTGTTCGAGTAACAAAACCTATAGATTCGACTACAAATACACTTACGGAGAACGTCACAATATTACGTGTTGATACAGCCGCTGTTGACTACAACTGCAGTCAATCAGAGTCCTGACAGAGAGGGAGGCGCTAAAACTCACGCTCAAGAGACCTGGCACTCAGTCGAGAAAATCCTCCTCAGTCAGAATGCGGCCATTGAGCATCTTTCCGACGTGAGTTGGAAGATACCCCATGCCTTTCCTTCTCATTCCGAACAACTCCTTCAGTGCGGGAAGCTGGGATCGCTTGAACGAGCACGATGCTCTCGCAGAAGGGCGATTCTCCTCGCTGATGAATCCATCGCTATCAGCTATCAAGTCCTTGTCCCCCAAATCTGGCGCGTTAAGTCCTAAGAAGCTGCAAACGCGGAGATACATCTCATAATTTGAGAAATAGAGCTGGCCTGCAAAAAGGTCGAGCTGGAAAATCAGAGGATCTTGTGGTGTCAACCGTGGCGTCGAAGGAACACAGTAGAGTCGAAGGTCATTGCATGCCTGCATATTTTTTGTGGTGCGAGGAGTGTAGATGCACAGGTGGACTGCATTGCTTCTGCGGATATCAGGTAGCAGTGTGTTTGCTTCGTACGGGCTCACGACCACCAGCACTTGGCAGCGTCCAATGTCACTGATTATAACCCAATTGACGGGTCGCAGATAATCATCCTCCTTTTGAGCATAGAACATTTCCACCGTGCGAGCGAAGTCAATGGGTGACTAAAACATTCTGTGCCCACTGATCGCCCTCAGTGGAACGCAGCAGTGGTGTTGTCAAGACTGGATAGCACTGGAATGAACGCAGAAGATCCCGCGGGAATTTGGCCGGTCTGGACGAATTGAAGAACGTGCGCGTGCAGCTCGTGGGCTGCAGGTTCTACCCTGGGCGGCCTTTCCACTTGACGTTCTCTCTCCACCTCGTGCACTATCTCCCTTTCTTGTTCCTCATCCATACTCCTTTCGGGAGCCAATAGAACTCCGAGCTCCTCGCACTTCTTTTGAACGTCTGGATCGCAAACCTGGGATAGCTGTAAAGAACTGCGTGGTGCGTATAGATCCTCCAATGAACGCTCCTCTGGCTGCAACCAGGCTGTCTCCAGGGTGGAAATCGAAGTGGTAGGGGCGTGCGAGAATTGAATCCACGCGGAATGCCGCGTACTGAAGTCCGATCCCTGTTGAGCCCAGTGGGATGCACGCATCTGAATATCAAGACAGGTTTCGCGCATCGCCCAATACAGGATGTCTGCCACATCGACACAGTCGGTATTGGCTTTCTGAGTCGCCGAACGAATGCTCCGATCAACTTCAGTCGGAGCGAAGAACATTACTGAGTGCCCATTTCCCAGCTTCCGCATTCGCATGCATCCTTTGTAATTGGTTAATATGGAAACTAATATCATGGATTCTAAAATCACGAGCCTTGGGTCAGGCGGTCTTTCGTGACTTTGGGGCCAAGCGTGACAGCAGCTCGGAAACCGGAAGGTAGCTTGACATCTGTTCCTCTAGTATGGGCGTCGTCTAGATATACGACGCACTGATCGAGCTGCTGGGAAAAGGGGGACGATGCAAAGGGCTCAACCGTCCCATTCCGACTAACAATGACGATTTCATCGTCGTCATTGACGAAGACTGCAGCTTGGGCGTCGCGCTTGGCTCGAAGCCATGCTTCTACCAACTCCTGATTCTTCAATTCCAGCATCTGCGCACCTACATCCAGGAGCACGCGAACCTTCGGGAGTTTGTGCGACCAGGGCATCGATGAAATGTTTCACATTTTGGCCGGGCGGTATGCATCTGTAGGCAGTCGTTTTCTGGGCGAAGAAGAAATGCTAGGACTCGAGCGTTCGTGCTGCGCTTGGTAATCGAGGTCGTGCTGCACCATTGAGCTTGGTAGCAGATAGCGATTGTCGTTTGTACCAGAAAAGCCGGTTGTGAGATGTCTCTTCTCTTGAGCGAGATCCCACCCGGAGCAGGTGAGCTTGTTGGGGAATCCCTTGGCTTCCTTGGGAAAAACTACTCGAGACAGGTAGAAATCTATGACTGCCTTGTTGGATGCGAACAGTTGCTGGAGGTCACGGAGCTGCTCCGCGGATTCTGTATTGATACCGCTAAGGTGGCGTAGACTTTCTGGGACGGACTGAAGTCCAAGCACCCAGGATTCATACTCGAGGGCGGGATTATCCTGCTTCAGCAGAAGCTCGAAGCACAACATCAGCTGCTGGAGCGTGAGGCCCGCATAGTAGTATGACAAGCACGTGAGGGTGACAGCAATGTCCGGATGACCAAACTCTGCCCGCAGCGAGGGCATGTCTTTAGCACGGAATGGAACGGCTAACATCGTTCGTTTTGGGGCGAGGCCATAGTCCACTCGCCAGCGACGTTCTTTGAGGGCGTACACCAAAATACCACAGGCCAGTAGTCCACGCAAGACTAGGAGGCCGGGCCAGACGGTGGTATCTCTATAGCGCTCCTCTACTAAGCCGATACAAGTGTTGGATATCTCCTCGGTTGCGATGAACTGGCGGACAGCTTGTTTGACGGAGAGAGATGCTTGATCGAAGTTGATGTTTCCAAGTGCTCCGCTGATGACATCCTGTGCGATCCATTGGACCAAATTTTCACCTGCTGTCGAGTGCAGAACTCGAATGAAGGGAAATGTTCCATGCTTGCGAATAGATACTTCTGAGTGAGAGGGAAATTCACTCATTAGGCGAGGAGCATGCTTTGCGACAAGACTCAACACTTGTTGTGTAGTCGTCCACCGTTCTGGATAACCTTGAAGCGACCTTTGGAGACCGACGGTGTACACCAGTTGGTAGCGGACGTGCAGAATTTCGTCGCTTTCGTCTAGGATGTCGCGAGTGTGATCATCGAGCCACAGCTGAGTCTGCAGTATATCTTCAGCAACTTCAGTCTGAGGGGGCAGCTGACGGTCAACAGCCATCAAGTGGAATGAAAGAATATGGTCCGGTTGCACCACCAGAATGCCCCTACTGTCCATGCATTCTTGCATCAGGTCACGATACATTTGCACCTTCGACGAGCCAATAGAGAGCGTGCGGGAGAATGGAATATAGAAAATGCGCCTCTGTGCAAGGCCGCTCAGTCGTTCAACCAGGAGCTGGAACATCTGAGCAGACAATGACTTCAACACGATCACTCGAACTAATTTGTGAGCATCAGAAAGTGCGGCGGCGGCGAGGGGAACGATGACGTAGGATTTCCCTTCGCCCATGTTCAGTTGGAGAGAAGTATTTGTTCCCGTGCATGGCGACATCATTTCTAGCGCAACCTTCAATTGGAGAGGTCGTGCCAAGAACTGGCTTTCAATCTGACAACGTCACTTATCAATAACCACGAATGAATAAATGAGTGACTTCTTGAAACGTACCTGTATTAAGAGCCAGTCGGGGTAGAGCTCCGGATCGAATCCATCGCATTCTTCGTTCTCCAATTCCTTGAAGAACTCGACCCAGTTTTTCTTAGCGGCAAAGATGAGCAGCCTTCGCGAGCGTTGCAGTTGCAACAGTATCTGTGACAGGCGGACGAGAGTCGTATGCCAAGCCTGCCCCAAACGATTTCTTGATACAGAAGCCATGTGAGTGAAGAGGAAGTTTGGTGTAACTCGGGGCCACAACCCAGCATTGTATAATGCGTTCTCAGCAGCAGAAGTAGGGGAGAGGGCGCGTACGATGGTTTCGAGCGAGTCTTGGAATTGCCGACTATGGAGAGAATGGTACTCAAGCAGTACTTCCATCGTGTACGGCGTAGAATCTGGTTGAGGAGCGATCTTTTCTTCACAAAAAATCAACCTGCTCTGGTCCAGATCATCAGCGTATTTACGGTGGAATTTGTTACTTCCTCGGTCGCGAAAGTCGTGGATCAGCTGCTGCAACCTCGCTGTAACTACGGAGTTCGAAGATACCAAATCGCTCCGATTGGAATCGTGCAGAAATTGGGAAGACCCGCACATGCGTATATCAGGCGAATCTCTACCGAAAAGGTACTGGGCATCGACAGATGAGGCCGGTGAAGCAACATCCAAGTCTTCAACGCGGGAATCAAGATCATGTTGTGAGGGTAGGTTCGACGGAGGATTAGGCGTGTAGAATCGTCCAAGAAGCTCCCTGCAGGACATCCAGGTGTTGTTTCAGGCAACGGTTTCGCCAACAGCTGTGAAATACTGAGCGAAGTTGCTCCGATAGATCATTGAGATTGTAACAGTTAACTTGCAGCGTATTGAGTGCCGGAGGATCTTCGCACGGCCAAGCGTCCCGAACTTTGCTGAGAATGAGCTGCTTTTCAGTGCGACACTTGTCTTGGAAAGCTGAATAACGACGCGTCCCCAAAGCCCTTTCATCTTCGCAGGGCCTTCCAACTAGGTATCTCTCCTGGCTGCTGTCATAATCTTTGGTATATGAACTGACGATGTTGTCTAATATCGCGTCGGACGGCATGAAACCATCCGAGAAAGTATAGGAGGTGAACTTCGGTGGGTCACCCAGACTACGAATTTCGGGAACTGTGGCAAAGGCTAGGAGTGTAGGGACAAGCGCATGGTCGTCTTGCAAGCTGTATGATACCGAAGCCATGGTGAAAAGCAGTTGAAACTGTGTCTTTCGTGGTTGCACCACGTAAGCAGTCGTATGCAGAGAGGAAGACTTGAGGAAAATTCGGTTGAAGCCAGTCTTTGGAGTATTGTAAGCTCAGCGGTTTGCCAATGCCCTGGACATCTTTCCACTGAATCAACAAACTAAGGAGATCCCGTTGCACCTGAAGCCTGCTTGGCCACTGGTGTACCATGAAGGCGGTGCGATATGCCCGCTCTTCCGCATGCCCACCAGACACGTCACGTGAAGCATAAATGTCATCTGTGCTAACATGCGAAAGTGGCAAAGAGAATTGATCGGGATAGACTGCCGAGGCACGAATGGATGCACGCTCAAGGAGGTGGTCAATGGATGGCGGAAGATCAAAGCTAGGACGGGAGTTTGAAGACTCTTCTGAGAAAGTTGAAAGCTGCATCCCGTAGTCCATGATAGATTTCGCGGCTGGATGAAAACCGTGGTGCTGTGCAAGGGACGCGAGGGACGACCACGAAACTGTCTGCATCTTCCGAAGATTAGTGGGATACCAGATGCGCCTGGTTGACAGAGAACTGATCTTGGATAAAAGATCTGTATCACGAGACCGAAGCTTCATGAATGAGCGGCAAGCTGCGGAATGCAAGATATATAATGCCTCCTCGGACCCTGTTCGACCTGTCAAGGGATCAGGGAGACAGCCGCTCGTAACAGCGTGGAGGAGCGCTTGATAGAGCTTGCTCGTCAGACCTGCGTTCCCAGTGAGACATCGTAGATCTGCATCAACCCTGTACAAGTGGTACGCCACTCGGGTGTCTTCAGGAGCAATGGTAACCCGAACGTGATGACCATTAGCGGAGTATGAGATACGACCGTCTGGGATGATGACGGTGCGCGGATGCTCATCCGCGATTTGCGACTTCGAACGCAAGATGAGTTGATTGACCAATCCCAACATCGTTCCAGTAGACTGAATGACATCAACGACCATGTTGCGCATATTGCGGGACTGGAGTTCTCCATCCTCATCGACGAAGAATTCAAGACCATATCGAGGTAAGTCGGCCTTCAAAAAGGGAGTGCTGCTGGATCCTTTGTTATATGTGACCATGATGCAGCGGGCGTCCTCCAGAGGATGTATCCTCTTGGAGATCATGTCCCAAGTTTGGCTGTGTATGTCGACAAGAGCAGTGGCACCACCGGCATTCTGCAGCGTCGAGGAGCCCACAACAGCAAATCGCAGGACCCAATTTTCAGGCGAAGACTTCCAGCAATATTCTGCTGGCCGAATCTCGATTTCGCTCGTGCGCAAGTTAAGCCAATGAGTGTGACCTACTATCAAGGGCGTCGGGAGGTCATCCACAAATTTTTGGCTCGGAATGAGCTGAAGAATAGGTGAGCCTTTGTCGATATGCTTCGCGCGGACGATGAGATCGTTGGAGTCGCGGAGAGCGAAAGACACCTTTAGTAACCAGCGAATGCATTATTTTAGCTACTGAGCGATGAAAACAAGGGTGACTAACATGATAGTCGCAGACATTCCCGCGTGTCGCATACTCCATTCCAGGAATATCAGCTGGAACGATGTCCAGAATTTGCTGTAATTAATAAATCAGCGAGTACCAACAGAGTCGCAACTTTCAAAAGCTGACATTACCGAAAATCGACTGGTATGTGGGGTGTTGCACTATCACTGACGGGAGCCTGCCCAGCTGCTTCCCGTCGACCAGCAAGCACCCACTAACCAAATTGAAGTGCACGTCCTGTGGTGATTGGGAATACGAAGGCGCAGTCTGTGTCACAAGCCAACGAGAATTCGGAGCTGGCAATGCCCTCCAAAGATTTCCTGGTCTGTAGCCGCTCCAAATCTCCGCAATCGCGCAATCAAGACCCTCCTTGTGAAGCTCTGCATATCGACGAACAGTGGGTTCTAAAGCGTGACAGCATCTCTTGTCTCGCTCTAGCAGGAGCTTGGAATGTTGTGAGAGATCGCTCGGTTGGCTCGGAGTGTTGTCATAAATCACGACCGCGCAATATGCAAACACCTTCATGTCGTCGTTCGACGTGAGGTGCAGCGAAGCGTCTCCGTCAATGTCAAATGTGCTCCGACATGTGACTGCCATGTCACGAACACGTCCTTGTAAATTCTGACTGACTGTCTCGTCGTCGCTGGCTTGCATTTTCGAGGAAAGCTGCCTCAGTAACGTGAAGGCTGCAGTACGTATCCTTTGAAGGAGCGAATATCCGCGACTTCTCATACTCTCTTCTTGAGTCGAGGACAAGACGCGGCACACGAGCATGATGATAGTGCCGATCGTGACACCTTCCAACCAATTTCCTTCGACGCTTGCCATCAAATACTCCAGCTCTCCAAGTAGTGCATCAATGAAGGGCATGCTGTTCAGCTCCTCGTGCCAGACAAAGCCATTGTCAGACGAAAGTGGGCCAACCTGTGAAACAGCCTGCGCTAACAGTAGATGAATGTCTTCATGTCGAAAATTGATTGTCCTCGCACGGAGTTCGCGTAGCACATTCATCCATTGCAATCGCGGTCCACTCCGTAAGGCTCCGAAGGCAATGAACTCGTGGATGGTCATGTCCTTGTGACAATCTGCCTGATTGGCAATGACCTCGTTCGACGTGTGGGACGTTCCTGCAAGGTACCGCTGCAAATCATCATATGGTCCCTTTGGAAGAAGGAAAGTGCACAATTTTCTAGAATCGAAGTGCAGCAGCAGTACGTCGGCCACCCATGCATCTGTGGTTATATCGAAAGGCCGAAACTTGAGTCCGTTGTTCACACAGACCCTGTCGTGCACCGTGGGAATGTTGGGGCGGCTATAATGGGAGTTGCTGAAGGGTTTGGCATCCGACGCCAAAGTCAGCCTTTGCCTTGGATGGCACTGGCGGTATTTCTGCAAGGCATCGTATTGGGGTAGTTTCATGAAGGGAGGAGTGGGCGAAATCTGTTCTGGAGTGCAAACGTCGACGAGGACATGGAATGTCATAGATCTCCACGCGTCGAACGCGGCGGGGCATGCTAGCTCAAACACGATCACGATCGCGTCCTGTTGACGCTGTGGCAGAGGCCACTCGTGAACTGCAATCGTCATAGATCGCATCTCACTCTCCAGGCCACACTTTGGACAGTAAGATGCATGGTATTCCCAGCCGCGGGAGTTGACACCGTATAGGTGTGATGAGTTTGCTGCGCTCTTCTCTAGGTCATTGTACTTCTCGTTGAGGATCCGAAGCTCAGTCAACTTCTTCTCTCGCTCCTCTTGGGCGTCCGCCTCAATGGACAGCTTCAAATCCCGCAGCTTGTATGACTGGTAAAAGTAGCGCGCTGCGAACGACTTGTCATCGTCGGTAGACGAGAACGCCGACAGATGGCTGGAAGCCTGGCAATGACGAGTTTTTAGGTAGGCGTGTAACTGCTTTAAACGATCAAGGGCCGAAGATTGGCGGATCAGCAGATGCTCCCAAAGGGCCAGTGGGATTTCGGGGGGATATTCTGTCAGGAGTGGGATCTGTCGAATAACGGTCTTGTCCATGGCTACCCAGAGCTCGAAAAGAGTAAGAAGCATAATCGACAAATTCTCCGGGTTTTCCTTGTAAGCGTCCAGCGCTCTCGAGGAATATGCGGAGGCGCACGCCTCGATCGAGACGCATGCAGAATCGATATTCTGAAATGAAACACGCGCAACCCAGCCGTCGATCCCTGATCTGACGACTGTCTCGAAGTCTATGAGGGAAAGGGATGGTTCTGCGGCATGAGCAGCTACCAAAAAACTAGCATCAGCGTCAAGGAAATCATCGATTGTCCCGCGCAAGCGGTAGCTGGGGTTGAATGAGGTCGGTTGGAAGGACGAATGCTGATTCTGCAAAGCTTGGCATATGTACTCTCGGCTCGTGTTTAAGGAAATATGAGTGTCTCTCAAGACTTGGAGAGTCTCGGGAGCCCAACGAGGTGAGGCCTGTTGCGCGTCTTGGACATATCCCCATCTTCCCTCTAGGATACTCCTCACGTCACTGGTGACTGTACAGACCATCTGCGATAATTCCGGAGAAGCAGAGGATCCAAGTTTGAAAAGACGGCGTGCAATCTTAGCTGACATGAAGTGTAGGGTATCATTTGGCAAGTCACAGTCGAGGGAAAGGGTCGTGAGCCTCGCCATGGAAAACAGTATGAACGATTTATACGTCGTTCGTCCGAGAGCACAGCGCTCCAGAGTCGTCTGTAAGGCAACGCGAATTACAAGCCAGAGTGGAGACCGCCTCCATGGCAATTTCGCGCTGTCCCACAGCACATCATCTCCGATGCGCTTGCGGATGCGAGGAACGTCAGCAACGCTCCCGAGGCCACGCAGTATACCGGTCAAGAGTTCAGTGATGTATCGAGGATGAGCGGTATCCCTCTCTTCGGCAACGGTGGACCCGGCTTTTTCCCTCGTTGCTGCCGCATCAAGGACATCTCGATCCATGCGGGTGAGAAAATTCGCGAGCTCAGCGGGAAAGGTAGCGTTGTGAATGATCGTATCCGGGACTGTGATAGCAGGTCCAGGATACGAACAAATCAGCTTTCCCTTTGCGCTCATCACTGCGGTGGGGTCGGGAGAAATCTCGAATGATTCGAATATGGTCTCAGATTTGAGTTTTCTCATGAGCACTGCAGCGTTTTGTGCACGAATCATGTATACAAGCACATCTGCAAGTTGATACTCAGCACAGAATAGATGTAAATGACATGGAAATAACGGACCATTGTTGTTCATAGCATTGATCTGAGATTCGACATCCTTTGGAGACATCACGCTGAATCTGATTGAATCTTTGAGGTTCCGAAGCATTTTCACGCTGCTCGCCCAGAGCAGCTGCTTAGCAGACGGGAGCTCGTCGCTGAAGGCGAGAGCAGTGTCCAGTACTACCTGAGATAAGGCCAGGTCGTTCTCAAGGGAATGGTCACTCCCTTGCGGCAACTTGAGGGGGCAAAACACATGATTGATGATATATTCCAGATTTGTTGAATGGTATTCTACTCTTGAATGTTGAAGCATGTTATCGGGATGTAAAAAGAGTGCAATGGCCACTGACGGTGAAATTTGGCCATTCTAATAAGGAACCCTTAAGCGCTCGTCCTCAGGGTTGGATCCACGCAAAGCAAGCATTGTGTACAAATTAGATGGACCACGAAGGACAGTCGCCAGGAGTCCATCACATGCGATCTGAGGGAGTTGCCGACCGGGGCTGCACATTTACTTGAAGATTTCATACATGCGGGTCGAGGGTGGGGCCTGCAGGCCTGAAGGTTTGATACAACACGTAAAGTAAAGTAATTTAGAGTCTGCTTATCAGAGTGCATCAACTTCGTCATGATTCGGCGCTCACTAATTTCGAATATTCTGAGCTCCGACACCTCTCAGCGATCAACCCTCCAGCCCTCTCCATCGCAGCAACATACCCCACGGCCTAGCTTCACGAACAGCAGGAGGCATTTTATTCAAAGAACTACCATCGGAATTTAGAATTCATCATGCGCCACACTTGGTCTAGACCCACCCTAAGATGATAAGGATGCCTCGTTGTTACCCCAACATTTCCCAAATATCCTGTGCGTCCTTCTGCGTCAGATCTTGCACCTACGTCCATTTGACCCCTTCTGGTCCGTTACGAGAACAAGCAACGAGATAGCGGAGATTTTGTTATTCTGCATAAAATTACCATTCCGAGTGATAGTGCTGATCCTTGTGTGCAGAACAGCAACCAAAACACTGTAAGGCAGTATCTACGGGTCATCAAAAATCAACTGCCGTACAAGGACGGCCATACATACTGTTGTATCCCTCGTGTATACACTGTTCACTGGCAGCACGCATAGGTACAATGCCTTTTCCTGGACCAACGCACACAACTGGCGTGTTCGGATTCGTAGGACGGGAAATGCCTTTGGTGACGAAGTCAGTATGCCGGATATAGAGGTGAATCATGTAGTGGAAGACATGCCAGCAAATTTAACATTCAAAACACGTGCTGTGATTCACTGACTTGAAATTACGAGCCAGTGCCGTCGCTGGCAGGAGGAACGTTTCCGACATAGAGACCATCATTAGCTCAGCCAACACCTGTTGGATAGTAATGTTGGAGATCTGTACGCAAAATAAAGACGTCGTATTGATCAAGCATGGCGGCTCTACGTACCATCGCCATTGTCTTTGTATAAGCGCCTGCTCTAGCTGGAGCAAAGTCAAGTAGATACGAGAGTACGTGAATGATTTATATACATTTTCAAACGGTTGACTAGGCCGGAATCGGCATGAAGAGCATATGGTGAGGTGAAAATACTCGGTCCAAGAAAGGGACCGTGAAGTGTGAGCACAAGGTAAGGAAGTTGTAACTAGGAATGCAAAGAGTAACGGAGCTACATTGTCTTCGCTTTGAAGCGTGATCGGTGCATAGAGGATATGCAATCCTTACAATAGCATTGTCAGCGGACGGTAAGAGAGTAGCAAGTGGGAGTGACGATGGCACAGTGAGATTGTGAGACATTGACACGGGCAAAGTCATGATAATATTTGGTATTACGACAATGGTAATCGCATCGTGTATACGGTGTTGTTGTTATGTGTAAAGTCACGTGAGATATAAACCCCTGAAACGTTGCGAATGACGCTTTGACTTGCACGCTCAAACCTGGTGTTCTGTAACTTCGTTGTCTCTCATTTCCACTTGATTTCATGTCGCTCGACGGCCAAACCATTCCAATACCTCCTTCAGCTGCGGACTCTTTGTCGCTTACTGCACAGCTCAATGGCAATCCAATGCTAAATGGACACGCACCAGAAAGTAACGACAGCTCACCGGCCTCTGAGCGGCTACAAATCATCAATGATGAAAAGAATTTCACGTCAGTTTGCTAGCACGTATCAAATTTTCTCCAAGTACTCAATGTCAACTTCCGCAGAACCTACTTGACATCTCAGATAGAACGATGGGGTCTTCGTGACGCCGGCTTCAATTATAACATAGTAGCTGTCTTTGGGTCGCAGTCTACCGGGAAGAGTAAGCCGTTGGCATGCCAATGTTTGGAAGCGCTGTCCACTGAGCACTGTTGCAGGTACACTGCTAAACAGACTATTTGGTACTACTTTCGACGTCATGAATGAGACCAGACGACAGCAGACTACGAAAGGTAAATATCTTGACATTTCAACCTTTGTTTGCGTGTTAACTCAGCTTGAGGTATTTGGATGTGCCGAGGGGAAGACATGGGTGTCATGGTTATGGACGTGGAAGGCACGGATGGACGAGAACGTGAAGAGGACCAGGTATGGACGAGTTTAAGTTCATAATTGTTCTTGCTCAACCACTCCCAGGACTTCGAGCGCAATTCCGCTCTTTTCTCCCTTGTTTCATCAGAAGTACTTCTCATCAACCTTTGGGAGCACCACGTTGGCTTCTACCAGGGTGCAAACATGGGTCTTCTGAAGACCGTATTTGAGGTTAACCTTGGTCTGTTCGGAAAGAAAGCTCACGACGGGTAAGCTTGTTTAATTCTATGCCCGTCTTCGTGTCCTCAAGATGTCCCACGTGCAGTTCTCAAGGGCGTACTCTGTTGCTATTCGTAATTCGAGACCATATTGGTGTCATTCCCCTCGCGAACCTCCAAACTACCCTCACTGCCGACCTCACGAAAATATGGGATTCCCTTTCTAAACCACAGGACCTTCAGAATCGTCGACTTTCGGATTACTTCGACCTCTCATTCACAGCACTACCCCACAAGATTCTCGCTGCAGATCAATTCGAGGCTGAAGTTCAAGAACTGCGGAAACGATTTGTGGATAAAAAAAGGGATGATTTTATTTTCAAGCCTGCTTACCATAAGCGAATTCCCGCTGATGGCGTGGCGTTCTACATGGAAAACATATGGGTAAGGATATTTTACATGTTTATAAATTACGCACTGATGTTTTCCTCAGCAACAAGTACAAACGAACAGGGACCTTGATCTGCCTACGCAACAGGAACTCCTTGCACAATTCCGATGTGACGAGATATCCTCCGTTGCACTCTCACACTTCACTGAACAGTCGAAGTCGCAACGGAGACCCATTGAGGCAGGTCACGTGGTAGGTTTCGGTGATTTGATGCGAAATTGGAGGTCTCAAGCACTCAGTGAGGATGCTGTCTCCATTTAACTTACATGTTCTTATACATTTCGTAGGCCGCTACGACTGCGATGCATCTCGCTATCACCAAGGGGTGTACCAGCGGAAGCGTACCGACCTTCTTGGGGTTCTTAATTCGACGCTTTCTCCCCTCTTCCTTGGGCAGCTCAAGAACTTGCACAAGTCATGCCTCAGCTCCTTTAAAAAGGAGCTGCTTCACGGCTTGTGCGGTGAGGAGTATGACTTTGCAGACGTGATTGGCGAGGCGCGGACAAAGTGCGAGACACTGTTTGCAGACGGTGCGACAGAGGTCTCGCTGGAGGACACTGACTGGACATGGCAGGACGAACTCGAGTCTCTCAGAGAGGAGATTGGTAATGTGGCTGACCAGTGCAGGAAGGATGAGACGAAGAAGATGGCGAACCTGATTGAAGTATGCTGTCTGAGAATGACCTTCGGTGTCCACTCACAAACCTTTCACAGAGGAACTTCAAAAATCAAATCTCTGAACCCGTTGGCATCAGTCTCAACAAAGCTACTCCTGACATGTGGGATAAGGTCTTGAGCACGTTCAAACAAACGCTTGAGAAAGCCGAGTCGACCTATCTAGCAAAGGCGAGAAGTGAGTCACTTCACCTTCTTTACGTCGTTCTTACTCACATTTGGTGAAGGCTTAAACTGTACGGATGATGAGAATGCTACGTCCCTCGCTGCCCTGCGGAAACGTGCCTGGCTTGTTCTACGGGAAAAGATCGACGAGCAGACTACTGATATTGTTATCCTCGGCAAGCTACAGGCTCATTTCGAAGAGCGTTTCCGCTATGGTGAAAATGCTGTGCCTGGAGCCTGGAGACCAGACGATGATATTGATGGGGCCTTCCAGACAGCCAAGGACCAGGCACGTGTCTTGCCCAATTTTTTCTATCTATGCACTTACATTTGAATGGTGTTTCAGACGATGGACCTCATTCCCCGCTACGCCAAGATCGCTCCCGTTGATCCTTCCCTTGAATTCACACTGCCCTCTGAAACCTCTGATCCCCTCAATTCCACCGATGAATTTAATTTCCCCTCAACGCTCGTCGTCTTCACTGAGACAAAGTCTCTTGACCTTGCTTCTCGCTTCCGAAAGGATGCGGATGCATACTATGTCGAAGCGAAGCGCAGCACTGTCTCGAGTATTGCACGAATTCCGTCCTGGATCCTCGTGCTTTATCGGAAATTTGCAAGATCGGTTGCAATGCTGTTATCGTTGAAATAACATTGAAATGTCATTTGATATGACATGATGAGACTTTCAATGGATTGCATCGCACTTGCAATATTAATCTCTCGCAATGTGCCTGTATAGTATATACCGTCCTATTTGATTGATGATCCCTCAATTACAACGGGGAGCGCTTCGCTATTTTTTCTCCACATTATACCCACAACACCTCTGTATATATACCCCTTGTATGTACATATCCTGTATCTTCCTGCCCACAAAATGTGCCTGCAGCGGATCGTCACATATACTCAGGCCTTTGGAAGTAGGGTTCCGGGAATTTGCACCAGGCAAATTTGCCCGGCAAATTTACCCTGCAAATTTACTGTGAATGACAAAATTGGAAGACAACATCATTCGCCTAGTGCTACCTCTCAAGTACCCGGAGATCATACGGGTAAGTTTGTACCAGATATACCGGGCCTGCTTGTAACTACTTCCCTTACTCCCGCATAGAATCTTTAACGTCTCTATCCACAACCACGAAATCCCAAGACACCCAAAGAAAAAGGTTTGTGCTGATGATTTCCGCATCGCACGTTACTGACACATTTCTAGTGCTTTCCCAATACCCGCGAATCTTCATTGGTCCGGGAATAGACGACTCTCCTACTAAAACTCCAAGTAAGTACTGACATTTTATTCTCGATGGTATGAAAGGACAACTAGTACTTACAACAGATGTCATCGTGTCGAAACAGCCGTTGAAACTGTCTGCAAATCCCATCGGTGAAGTAGTATCTTGTCCCCCGTCACCTCATGTAGCTGACCTGACCAATAGATTCAGACAATAGTTGTCATAAAGCCCGAGTCCGAAGTAGATCAAGCTGCTTTTTGTACCGCAGAGAAGGTTCGTGGTTTTATCTACTTTATTTTCTACAGATGTCGATTTTTTTTGTCAGACCGTTGTAGGTACCAGCGCCGGCATCAAACGAACGGGGAGTCCCCTCTTTGCGCAGAAGTCCCGTTTTAACACCGCCACTTGGACAGAGATCGCCAGGCACAAAAGCAGCGTCCAATGCATTTCACTATCTCCCAATGAGCGCATCCTAGCAAGTGTATCGGTCGACAAATTACAGATTAAAATATTACAACTTAGTATATTGTCACTACACATAGGCTTTTGAAACGCATGAACACCAAACTATGTAGGGTAGTACATTGTCCTGCGCAGTTGAGATGTGCACGACACAGAGTTTGTGACGAGAGAAGAGCTGCGCATTACTTCGATACCGTGAGAGTTCCATGAACTACGACTTGGAATGCCGGCACCAAGGAGGACATTTGATGCTGACGAGTTCTGGCTGTGTAAAGCCGCCATGGCCATAGCGTGGAGGGGGACGATATTTTCGAGACTGAAGCAGCCGAGAATCAAAGCCACTTCCACTATGTACTCGCTAAGCATACCCATCAAAAATATAATTGCTACTGTAGACACCAACAATATAAAAAGATATCCATGTGCGATAACAAAACAGTATGATATCCTGAATATATAGTTTCGGATTTGTGGGAGAGGTTACGCTTGAGGTTTGAGGTGTTTCTGTATGTGCATGTCAGGTTTTAAGTCGTAAAAAGTACCAAAGATGCACACCGTTGCAAGTTTCGCCCCTTCGGATAAAATCGCGAGGCATGACCGCAGACCCTTCAAACACCACTGCATCTCGAGCCAAGAAAGGAGATTACGATTCCAGAAGGACTCAAATATATGATTGATGGTGGGGTCCCATGGATTCGGAGCTCGCGAGAGATGGACAACCCAATTTTGGCATGCATACTTGAGGGCGTCAGAGGCTGATCGACTTCGTTCCCGTGGTTCACTGGCGAAATTCACGAAGGCCTTCATAGCATGCATGATCTTCATGTCTGGAAACCGACCTTGTGGTAAAGCAAATGTGGAAGCATCCTGGTGCCTTAATGCCAGGAAGACCGGAAACATCAAGAAATCTGGCAAACTCTTGAAATGCTGGATCACTTGAAAAGCTGGAAGTAAAGACAATTCTGGAATGATTGTGTGTGTGTCGACTGCTTCCAACGTGCTCGAGAAATCTTCCATTACGACCCAGACAGGCAGCAGTGGCCATGCTTGACCATGTGGTGTCTGGAGCCAGTCTTGCCCACTCTGTGTCTGCAACCATTCTTGCCCCTTCTGGGTCTGCAGCCAGTCTTTCCCGCTCTGGGTCTGCAACCAGTCCCCTCCCCCATAGGTCCGCAGCCAGGCTTGTCCCTCGGAAGTGTGCAACCATGTTTCCCCTCCTGGGGATAGCAGCCAGGCTTGCCCATCCAGGGTCTGCAGCCAGTTTTGTCCACTGCCAGGCTGCAGCCAGTCTTTCCACTGCAGGCTCTGCAGCCAATCTCGCCCGCTCTGAGTCTGCAGCAAGTCTTTCACGCCCACGGTCTGCATCCAGGCTTGCCCACTCTGGGTCCGCAGCCAGGCTTGCACATCCGGGGTCTCAAGGGTTTGGATGTGCGGGGTCTGCACTCTGTCATACCCGCCCGGGGCCCACAGCTCCTTCTCTGTCCCTCGCCTCCTCTGGCTCCGTCGGTTGATGGTCATCACTCCCGGGCTCGGCACCCAATTTCCCCAGACATTCGGCCAGTCTCGCCCGTCCTCGGTCTGCAGCCAGTCATACCCGCCCTTGGTCCGCAGCCAGTCCCGCCCATCCTTGGTCCGCAGCCACTCTCGCCCCTGCTTGGTTTGCAGCCAGTCACACCCGTCCTCGGTCCGCAGCCAGCCTTCCCCCTCCTCTGTCTGCAGCCAGTCTTCCCCCTCCTCGGTCTGCAGCCAGCTTCGGCCGTCCTCGGTCTGCAGCCAGCTTCGGCCATCCCGAGTCTTCAGCCAGAGTTGCCCATCCCGGGTCTGCAGCCAGCGTCGTCCATCCTGAATCTGCAACCAGCCTCGCCCCCCAGGGGTCTGCAACCAGCCACACCCCCCAGGAGTCGGCATCCAGCCTCGCCCATCCTGGGTCTGCAACCAACTTCGCCCGCCCTGGGTCTGCAACCAGCCACGCCCCCCAGGGGTCGGCAGCCAGCCTCGCCCGCCCTGGGTCTGCAGCCAACTTCGGCCGTCCTGGGTCTGCAGCCAATGTTGCCCGTCCTGGGTGTGTCCGCCCTGGGTGTGTAGCCAGTCCCGCCCATCGGGGGTATGCAGCCAGTCCCGCCCGCTCTTGGTCTGCAGCCACATTTTTCCACCGAAGGTCTGCAGCCAGTACTCTTCTCCCAGAGCCTGCAGCCTATTCTCCTCCCTCTGGATCTCCAGTACATATTTCGCTTGGGTATAGAGCCAGGAACGCCCGTCCAGGGTCTCTAGCCAAGAATGCCCATCCAGAGTCTCTAGCCAGCATTGTAACACTGAACTATGATCTCCCCGAAGCCACAGCAGACTTGTAAGAACTTGCAGTGGCTCCGGTAGCTGCACAATGAAGGCTAATGATTGTTTTAAATTCTGGGGATCGTCAGATTGCATAACTTCGCGATGTTCGCTCAATTCTGCGAGCGCATCCAGGAGGGTCGTGCTTCCTGGGATATCTTGCATCATCAAGCAAAAAGAGGAGTAAGCGAGTAGGGTGTGGGGTGTGACACGGCGTATATCAGGGAGGCTGCAGTTCGAGGGGTGGGAAACATAGTCACGAACGGACGCGTGATAGATAGTCACGGGGAGATTGATGTCGGTAGGAATGTCCATGATGGACCGTAGCTGCACCAGCGTTGTCTCAACATCTCTGCCCTCACCAGGGCCAAGAAGTTTAGAAATTTGTGAGATCGGAAGAGGGTCTGCAAGGGCGACAACAATGGACAGGTGCATGTATGCCCGATTGGGATCAGCGCATGTGGAGAGGATGCTGTCGTATAACTTATACACCTCCGTTCCTGGGAGCAGTTCGCTCGTCAGCTGGAGCATGATCTGAAGCCGACCGCGGGGATCATTGTATCCATCGTTGATAAACTTCATCATCGTCGAAGCCACGATGAAACGTCTGCCTGCTCGACTCGCTAGTTGCACTAGTTGATCCCTCGTTAGTTGCGGGAAATCAGGATAGCGGCCCCGCAGCTTTCTGAAGGAATGTTCCAGGAAAATACAGATGTCATTGTCAACGTCTGCGCCATCTAAGGAGATGATGGCAGCGATACCGTCCCCAGAAGTTTTCACCGGTATCTCGCACACCAGCGGGTGCACCGCGTCTTCCTGCATGGCTTCGCGGATATGCACTTCTGAGCGACTAGTAAGCAGAATGTGGAGCATGGGCAGATCAGGTTCACGAAGAGCTCGGCCAAGCAGGGAGATGAGATCAGCAAGCTCCGTTTCAGAGGTGCATTCGTCAAGGGCGTCAACGATAAACGACAAAGGCGGACACCCGTCCAGTCTGCCATGAAGCTTCCGAAGAGGTTGGAGAAACAACGCCTCCATCTGGTCACGAAGAGAACTGTCGGGGTCTAGAATGGCGGGATTTTCACGGATAGCATGGTTTACGTCCTTCCGGATGACGGTGAAATTACTGGCAAGCTGATAGGCGAGGGTTGCAAAGAAATACGCAGTCGTGCGGCGGTTCGTGTTGGTGCGCGAGAAAAAGAATGTTCCCCCCAGCCGTTTCTCAACATTCGTCTCCTTTGTCGCTTTCAGACTTCTCATCCTTTCAGCTACAGTAAACGCAACAGCGGACTTTCCAACGCCCGCCGTGCCATGCAGCCAGATGAGCTGACTCTTCTCTCGTTTATCTGATAATTCGTAGATGTAGTTGAGAAGGTCCACCCGGGTCCCTTCCAAACATTTGGGATGAGGCTGGCGTTCACGGGAGTCGTATGCAGCACCCTTGAGAGCGACCTGGGACAGCTTCTCCCAAGTTCCATCGGCTGATGATGCATGAGGTCAGGACGAGAAAGGGGATAAGACTCATGAAGATACTGACTCGAGTGACTCATTGGTGAAGGTTGACAATAAAACGTGAGGAAGTCTAAGCTGTAACTTGGATCTGTTGCAAAAGGTCGGCAGAAGGCTTAAGGATGACAAATAGATGGCCGCAACAGCGAAACGATCAAGCTATAGAGTGATGGAGATTGCAAGGCGCAAGAGTCGAATGGATGGATGATTCAATCAAGTTTCAATTGTGGTTTTAGTGTCGGATGCTGTGGAATGCGGTTAGGACGAGGGGGCACTCATCTGGTTGAGGCTGCTGTGCGGCAAGCTTGTGGGTAACGATCTAAATCGAGACACATGAGTTGTATGATAAGTCGTATGGTACTACACATGTGACTCCCACATAAGGGCTAAGCCCTTATTGCAGCCTGATTCTAGCTGAACAAAAAGGGAGTTGCCACGTAAGTACTAAAGTTGATATGGCTGAAGCAGAATGAAGTTGAAATGAATGTTGGCCGTCCGGGCCATTAATGCCAATTCGTGCTCAGTTACGAAAAGCAGTCCGTCTGGCTCTCGGCGAGCTGAAGGGAACGTGTGTTGATCTTATGATACACAGCGGCTGCCTACGGTGTATTTCCTGAAGATCATTCAATCAAAGTACTCCAGCTTTTCGACGCGTATCGCAGCCACTGTCACTATTGCACAAGCAAGTGTAAATGTACGTCCCCTCAGTCCGGCATGTGTTCATCACCGGTGGTCCATTGCAATTCCCTGATCTTCAAGAATGGCTTTCTGCAACTTTCATCCGTTTGTGTCACCCGAGGGAGACCCATGGCTCGATGCTTCCAAGGCCATGCATCTTTTGCAAACACGAGTTCCATCGCATGGGTGCGATTGCAAAAGAGTACAGGAGTGGGGACGGGAGAGATGGTGGGGAGGGAACTGGAATTGAAAACGACTGCTTACCTTGCTCAGACAGGACCTTACAGAGTGCAGCACTCATCCGGGCGTCTGGTGTCCCCAACTTGAAACTTATTTCCACGTGCAATGAGGAGGAGTTCACTGCTGTATGCGATATCAAAACTCTCAAGGCGCTGAACCACTACACATCTGGAGATCTTGGATATATACTACGTCTTCAGAAGTGAATGCTTATCTTATCTGTCATGTGTAATTACCAATGTAATGAACTCCTCTCTCTCTAGCCCCGAGGCTCTTTGTTGACTTGATAGACATATGGGCCATGGCTTGCTCGCATACCGAGAACATGTCCCGTAAAGCTCCAATCGAAGCCACGTTGGAGCGGTGTAGACGAACAACAAGCCTGTCTTAGACGAGACCTAGATCTGATGATGAGTTGCTACCCTATGACAAACGCCCGAAGTCTAGTACCCAGGTGAATAAACTACGCCAACTCGCCCTGCTCCAGCGTCAAAGTGGACACGAAGCACCCTTTGTCACAAAATATATGCATCGCGTTTGTAACGTATCAATGCCTCACAAGTTCCTGAACATAATTGCTTCGGAACTAACTCTCCGCCAGCCCAACGGATGGGTATTGCTGATCTTTTCATTTCCAAGTCTCCTGCGGCTTCGGAGGCACACAACCAGGCATTAAACCTCCCAACGGGTCACGGCTACTTTATATCACACCCTGTCAAACCAACCCTCGCGGTTCTTCGCTTGACGGGAACTATAGGAATACACCAAAAAATGATCAAAGTGGAACGCCTTTCATTGTGATTTTACCAACTAACCCAATGACTATATATTATAGAGGCTCCAGGGCTGCTGTCATACAGAACCTCAATCCCAAGTATGTGTTGTGTACATTATTCTCTTCAATACAACAAAGACAGTTCCATACCCATATTGCGCGCCAAATCAAATAACAGAATGTCGAAGAAAAAAAGCACAACACGAACATTACACTTCTACAAAGGGAGATACCCCGTCGGACGCACCGCCACGCCCGTCTCCGAATCCGCAAACCTAGCATACGCCATCTGCATCTGCTCCCCATCAAGCCCCCTCACCCTAAGACACTTCCCAAACAACTTCTTATCGATCGGATACTGAACCCGACTCGCAAGATGCTGCCCGCCCACCAAATCCTTGATCACGCCTGCAATTAGCCGCTGTTTATGCACGTTGATCAAAGGTTCTAGCTGCATCGAAGGCGGGAGAGGTGTGAGCGAATCAAATACTTCTGGGTGTGCTGGGGATTCGAAATTGACGGTTTGGGAGTCGATGCCGACGGGGTCGTGAGGTGATGTAGGGTCGATAAGGTCCGGGAGTCTGCTGTAGCGATATAGTTGGGATAAATAGACGCCTATGAATGGGACGCAGGCTGATGGGGTCTTGGAGTCGTTAACACCTCTTGATTTTCCTGAAGGCAGATCTGTGCTGCTGCCACTCATGACCGTCGACGTTCGGACCGTCACATTCACAGGCTTTGAATCTCCCATGGCAGCGATGGCATCGCGCATGGCCTTGAAATCATCTTCCGGCGACACAAATTGCTTCAGCTTCTGATAAATCCCGTTCTCCCACAACCTCACGCGCCCCCAATGCCGACGCATAGCCTTCGTGACCCACTCGTTGCGCAGACCGGCGATGATAGCTACCAGCGTGTTGAAATTACTCTGGACGTACGCTTTCTGCAACGCAACGCAAAATCAGAGTCGGTCACAAAAAAAATCATCATCGAAAATAAACTCACTAAAGCAACACGAATAAACTTGCCCACCAACATCGCCCGATCGCTCGGATGCGTCATCACGATCTCCGCAACCACAAAATTCACAAGCAGATTGAATCGCCCACGAACAGCAGCCAACGCGCTCGTCTTCTGGCTCCACCGCGACTCAGCCTTCCAACGCGCCCGGTCCTTGAGATACTGCGCCCAATCCAACACGTTCACCTCCTGACACGACATCCAATCATCCAAGATCAATTCTTCAGGCTTCACCCCCAAGAAAAGCTCTCGGTCGATCATCGAAAAATGTTGTACGACCGTGTCGGTGCTCGTGGTCAGGATCCAGCTGCGATGCTGTTTTCGACCGGGGGGGATGAATTTGGATGGGGAGGTTATTATGAACTGTGACGCCTTAGGCGAGCCATGGGATGTAGATGGCCTCGACGGTACCCTGCTCTGCAGAATCTCCAATGGAACTGCATCTTCAGGTGCAGGTTTCAAATCGCTCATCCTCGCAGGCGGAGACGTCGGTCCTGATCCTCCAAACATCCCTTCAAACGGCGCAGACGACTCCAAACGCCCAGAGGTGAAATGATCCTCCGTTGAAGCCCCTGAGATGGTCACCTGCGACGCAGTGCCCACAAACGTTTGTCCATCCATCCTCAGCACCCCAGTCTCATGCTGATCGATCACATAATCTTCGTCATCCTCCTCATTATCCTCTCCGAAAAACCTTGGCTGCTCATCCCCAAAATCACCCGCAACCATCCGCTCCTGAATAGTGCGCACCCACCCATCAACCTTCCTCGCTCTCTCCTTCCGCTTCTGAGGATTTATTTGGCCTTCAAGACGCTTGAGCGCATCTTCGACGCCCCCATTATCGTCGTCATCGCTCAATGAGTCCACGAGCGCGTTTACCTGCCACTGCTGAATGTTATGACCCAAGGGAGCACCGACAGACGCAGAAGACACAGTAGATCCACCCGATGCAACTGAATCTCGCGAACGAATCCCCATCGAAGACACGCTGTCCACCGACCGACGTACGAATTCGAAATCTCGTCTTAGTGGGAGTCGACGCGGGGGCTTGCGCAGACCTGGTGGTGCAGCTGGGGTTTCTCCATGCGCCTCGGAAGAGGTATCTGAGAGATCGAGATCGTCGATGGACACGACATCGAACCGCCATGGCGGCTGGGCTTGTACTTGCGCTACGAGGGGGTTTATTCGTGATCGAGTGGATAAGATGGAGCCAAAGGAGTCTGTCGAGTGCGTACGCGTGGACGCACGGGAGGTGGACGATATGGATAGACGTCTCTCCTGTGTGGATTGGCGCTTCTCCTGCACAGATTGGCGTTCCTCCTGTATAGACACGCGCTTATCTCGAATAGAACCAACCTCCACGCTCTCCCGCTCCTCTTCCTCCTCCACTTCCGTAACAGCACGCAGCTGTGTCGGCGTCAACGACAAATCCGGCTTTGCCTCATGCCCCTTAACCACACTCTCCCTCTCCACACTCAGACTCTGCCTCCCAAGCACAGCACTCGCCCCATCCAACACCTTCTCCACCTTACGCCCTCCCAACGGCTCAATCATCTTCAAATACTGCTCAACACCTCCTCTCACCATCAATAAATCCCCCGTCGAATTCAACTCCAAATCGAACGCCGACACATTCGCAGGTACCGCCAGTCCAGTATCCACAGTCTGCCTCGAATTCAGCACCCTCTTCCACCTTCCCAAGCGTCCGATGGTCTTTACGAACGCGCGTGAGAGCGCACTCTGCGGGAACACGATAGGGGGAGAGCCGCTCGTAGAGGTACTGTCGGTCGTATTAGAAGCCACTGCTGAAATAGAAGCTCGGCTTTGTTGTAATATATTCATTTGCAAAGGTTGTTGTAAAATCGCAGCTGCAGCTGCACCAGCCCTTGGCGGTGAAGACACGCTGCCAGAGTTGAACGAAAACGCGTTGTTATTGTCGCCGTAGAAAATGGATTGTGGGTGCGTGGGTGGTTCGTCAGGTGCGAAATCGAGGTCGACGTCGCTGTCGTCTTGGTGTTTGGAGGAGATGGCTTCTGCGAATTTTTCGCCTAGGACGTGTGTGGGTCGGGGTTTGGTGGGGATGCTTATGCTTTGACGCGCTGAGGCAGAGCCCGAGCGGTGTCTGCGGGTGTGGGCTTCTTTGCAGTCTTTCACGACTTTGATCAGTTTTCGTACGATGTTCTATTTCGCGTTCTTGAGCTGAGAAACCCCCAGAAAACACGGAAGACTCACCAAACCATCCTGATGTTTCTTCAAGATAGGATCCTTCACGAGCGTATTCAACCAACTTGCCAACAAAAGCCTCAACTCCTGATTCGGCAAGAAATCCATCACAAAAAACGTCAACAGCCAGTATCTAATAGCCACGAACGTCCGCACGCGTACGATCTTCCGCACCATGTCGTCCTTTCCGCTAAGCGCCCAGTGGAATCGACAAATGAGAAGATGGCAAAGGTCGACGGCAGAGATGTATGTTCGGTAGGTCAGGAAGAAGTTGAGTAGTTCGTCGTAGTCGAGATCGCTTGTTAGCTGCGCGATCCATCGCTCGATTGTCGCCGCGATGAGCACCTTCGTCGTGGTGCCTGCCCCGTCGATACGTACGGTAGGCACGTCTGTGGGTCCACGGCCCCGGCGGGAATTGGAATTAGAAGGGGAAGACATGCCACTCTGCGACACCGAGACATCATCGCCATCAAGATCAGACGGGACGTGTATTTCGCCCCAGAGGACAAAACGAGGGTCATTACGCGGCGCAGCGCTATCCTCTGCGCGAAGAGACATCTTGATAGTCGTCTCACCAGCCGGATCTGAAAACAGTCTATCCAGCTGTGGAAGACCGCGGTATGTCTGCAGCACGTCAAACACTTCAGTCGAATATCGCGAATGCATGCTCGTTTCAGGGAGTGGGATGAATTCTGGGTTGGGTGGGATGATCCCTGGGGGTGGTGAAGGTGAATAATCTGGAACAAGGTCGGGTGAGACGCGCAGGGGTAGGATAGAATCAGGGGTATCTGGTCGTTTGGATGTATCTCCTGCGCGTGCGGTGAGACCGGACTCGAAGGACTGCATCTCCCGTAAGGCACGCGGCATGAGTAAGAAACCATTAGGAGACGGTCGTGTTGGTGATTCAAACGTGGCGCCGAGTCCGAACGGATGTGGAATGAAACTTAGCGCGTTGCTTTCAGAACCCGAGCTCGAAAATGGTGAGGGAGGAACAGAGCCGTTCGGCCACTGCATAACTTCGGCGAAAATGTCAACGGTAGGGTGTTTGGGCGGATCGGAGAGGAGCGAAGCTGGTTGTGGCCGTGGCATGTCTGCACCAGTAACGCTGTGGGAATGAGTCCTGCCGGTGGGAGTGGGTTGAATGGATGAACCTGCAGCAGATGCGCTGGCAGCCATGCCAAACATGTCTGGGATGGAGCGGGTCCTTCGTACTAACTTGCGTGTCTGGGCGGCGGCGGTGGTGGTGGTGATGGTGGTGGAAGAGGCATGAGATTCCTGGGTACTGGGCTTTACTTTATTCTGGGTGATGAAATTATGTATGCTCATGCGTGAGCGTGTCCTGGAGGCACGAGTACGGGAGGCATCAGTGGACATGGACGCCTTATGAGTCATTTGCTCTGCTTCCTCTGCAGCAGCAGCTGGAGCAACTGCATCACGACGACTTTAAATAACAATAACGTATTAGCGATGCATCATTGCGATAAAGCGGCAGACACCGCACCTGACACGGTACATCTGCTTTCCGTGCTGATTGACAAAGGCTGTGATGGCGTATGGAGAGCGGACGTCTTTTCCTACGCCAAGAAACTGGTCATAGCGCCTCTTTAGCTCTCTGGCAGCTGATCCGGATGAGGTCTCAACGAAACTTCCATCAGCTGTTGAAAGATGAGGGGCAAGAAGTCCAAAAACAAAAGACGCACGCACGAGCAATAGATATATCTGCAGAAGCCACTTCCGGGGGCAGTGAACCCCATTCTGTATCAGATGCTACGATGGAATGGGAGAAGGTGAAGCTGGACTGGGAGTTGTTCAAAGAAGGTGCAGGAATTGGGAGCAGTAGATTTGCTTGGTCTGAGGTAGGCGGTGAAGCAGGTATCTCTTCAGTCGTCGATATCGCGTTGGTCATCGCTGACAACGAGTCGGTCGTCGTTGTCGCTATCATCGTGGTCGTCGGCATCGTTGGTCGTCGTCGTAGTCGACGGGTCAGTAAGACATGAGTAGCATTGAAGAACAAAAGCACTGACACCGCATGCAAACCACGTGCACTAAATTACCCCGCAATCCTTTTCTTCTTCCTTTAAACGATGTCGATAGTCACAATACGCGTGCGTTCAATTCATTGACAAAAACTACTGAAAATCAACAATAAAATAAACGCAGAACGTTGAATTCTTTAACAACCCAGCAAGATTCCTTGATCCTTATCACTTTCGCGTCACTTTTGAGTGTATAGCAGCCTCTCAAAGACGGTCAGCACTAAACCCAACGTTCAGCTCAACTAACGCGCTCACTTTTTCAAACATAGATTTAGAATGGAAACTCATATATGTATCATCACCAGGGAACGAGGAACTAGATCAAGAACTCGACGACTGCCTCGTAGGTCCAGTCCCAGTCGGAGTAAACTCTTTCGAGTTCGAGGGTCTCGCTCCTGATCCTTCAAAAATACCAACAGAGGACGTCCTCGGCGTCGCTGCTCTCATCCTCACCGGCTCTTATCGCGACCAGGAGTTTGTACGCGTAGGGTATTACCAGAATACGGAGTACGATAATGAGGAGATGAAAGCCACTCCTCCAGAGAAAATTCAGTTTGATAAACTAGTACGCGATATCAGCACAAAGTTGCGCGTAACACGGTTTCAAATCAAGTGGTTCGTCCTCCTTCACATGTATATGTTCTACTTCTCATATCCTTCAAGGGACGTCGCGCCCCAATCACAAGGTCAGGCCGCTGCAGGCGCTGCAGCATCAGCCGCCGTACCTTCTGCAAACGACCTAGACGGCGATGATGCGAGTCGTAGTACTTAGATTCATGTATCTTCCTTGCATTATACCTACGCCCTATCTCTTATCGAACACTATGCCAACGGCTTGCTCCTGTACAAAAGCACATACGCAGACGAATCCTCCCCTCCTCCATCAATTGTCCCCAGCTTCTCCTTGGGGAACAGCGACACCTTGTCATCATCAAACTTGTACCAGTCCTCATCGTCCTCGTCAAACGCAGGCCCGTCACCCGACTTCGCATGGAATACGCTCTTCTTCACGAACCCCATATAGTGCCCCGCATCAGCATCAGCTCCCTTGTGCGTAACAATCGCTGTCCATAGTTCAGTTCACCCACCACAAGCCAAGAATGACGAGACCCACCAACAAGGTCATACAACCCCGTCACGCTGCACCCATAATCACTCTTCACATCTGCATCGACCAACCCCTCCAGCTCCTGCAACTCCCGCGCACGATACACACTCTCGTCCTCCAGGTCCCCCGGCACTTCGATCGCAGGCACCATCTCAACGTCCGCATTCTCCACCGCGGGCCTAGACGAAGACGCCGCTTCCTGCGCCACCTTCGTCCGCTTGCGCACCTTCCGCCGCTCCGAACGCTCCTTCTCAATCGACTTTAGCTTGCTGGACACAGGTGTTAGCTTCGCTTTCAGCTCGTCGGTCACTACCTCCAGCGCATCAAACTCTGCCGCAAACTTCACTTTGCGCTGGGGAATTGTGAGATGTGAGGCAAAAGTGGAAAGTAACGATACACACCATGATCTTGGCCTTCTTTCCGATATCGCGCCTCCATGCAAAACGTACCATATGCACTGTCAAGTAACTGGGTAGGCGCGAAAGACGCGACGTCTGGCTGTAAACTGCTTGACGCCCGAGCGAAGGAGAGTTCTTTTCCAACTGAGAGTTCAATGCCTGCCCCTACGCGTAAGCAAAGACAAAAGCCAAGCATATAAAATGCGCATACATCCTTGATACCAGCATGCATATAATTCGTCGTTGTCGAAATATTGCACTCGACCTTGAGAACCTTCTCTATCGTCACGGTGCTAGGCTCTTCCGGCGCCTCGTCGCATTTCAATCTATCCAAATCAGTCAGCAGACGCCCAGCAAAAAGGAAAAATCCGGTACTCTCTGCGCATCTCAGCCATCATGAACTGATCCACGAATCTCCTTGCCCCCGTTGATGAATTCCCTGCAGCATCGATCCCATGAACATCTTTCAAGGCGTTGGCAAGCTGCGTCCAACACTCTTCAGCATCTACATCCCAAGTCAATAAACGAGGCCACAGGACGAAGCAGAAAGCGCTCGCCTTGCTGTGCATACCCAGCCAACATTCCATTCTTCCCCGATCTATCAACCTCTCCAAACTGAGGGACAGTCTGACGCAACACGGTCAAAAACGCCGTAGGAATATATCCTTCTGTCGTACGAGACATGTTGTTATACAAGTCTCGCATCGCACGAGGGAGGACGTCCAAATGTGGTGATCTATTTATTAGACATTGGATTGGGATCATGGACGAGAAATGGGAGCGTACTTTGAAAGAGCGGTTTGAAGCTCTGGTATGGCACGCATCGCTTGGACGGTGGCGTTCATGTAGCAGGTATTTCCGAGGCTGTGATTTAGATTAGATTACTTGTTATTTGATGTTACGCCGTGATTGTAGTAGCGTACGCACTTTTTCAATCCAACGGGTAAAGAGAGCTGTAAAAACAAAATAAGCAACCCGCAAAGAGTGCAATAAAAAATTAAACGCACGGCTTCTGCGATTTCGGAGTCGTTCATATCTAGCGCAAGAATGTCTTCGCAACCCTCACACTTATACGGAGCCACTCACCCTCGAGGAAAATGATCGGCTTTTCAGGCGGCTTCGGGAGCTCGCCCGCAGCGCCAATAACCATGAAGGTCTGTCCCTAACCCCAAAAAACACCCATTCAATTACACGCCCTCCTCAACCAAAAGCTCACTCACCTCTTTAGGAGCAACCTTCTTCCAATCCGTATCATCCTGCACAAATAATCTGTCACATCAAAATATCCACGCGACACGAAAAGCACGCACCTTGAGTACCCCACCCTTGATCATCACTTTCATACGCTCCGGTGGCACGCCCGTGACTTGGTACACCGCATCTTTGAACACGGCTGGTGGTAGGGATGGATCTAGGTTGACATCGAGTGTTTTGCCTGCGTGTTTGACGTGTACTGCGAGTGGGGCCATGATGAGTTTGCAGGTCTTGGTAATCGCGAGTAGATTAGAACTGACGCGTTCAAGGGGTTATTATGGGAAATGCTTACGTAAGGAGGGGGAGACATATCTGTGACGTCACGCTTGAACACGTCCTCCACAGCACGCTTGCGACTTTAAAGCCTTCGAAACTCCAACGTTAACGCCCTCGACCTTAACGTTCACGACGAGCTCAACGTCGACCACGATGACCATCTAGTACGTATCTTATAAACCAAGCTCGACCAGTACTAATGACCACCCAGTTACTCGCTCACTTTCCTGCTTCTAGCAGCAGAAGTAAGTTTCACAGCACTTTGACTTTTACAGTCCTTAACCCCAACCAGATGATAACATTCTGTCTCCTCGTATCCCCCCTCCCTTTCACAGTCCGCAAAAAACTCTTCCGCTTCCTCTCTGAAAGCCCTGCCGTCGCAAAAGTCGCTTATGGGCTCAAGATCTCCTTCATGTCCGTACTCTATTCATATACTCACTCGCTTACTCACCACCTCCGCAGCTTCGTAGGCATCCTCTTCTTAGACGCCCTCCAACGCATGTTCCGCGTAACAGCCGAATCCGATATGGCCAAAACAAGCGGTCCGAGCGTGCACGACGCACGAACAGACTTTGCCGCTCGCAAGTTCTAGTGCGCACCTCTTCATCCTCTTTTCATAGCACATGGTTTAATATATCGTGTTTTTGTCATTAGCGCCCAGCGAAACACCTACCTAACGGGCTTCTGCCTCTTCCTCTCTCTCGTCCTCACCCGCACGTTCTCCATCATCTTGGACCTCCTCCACACACAGGAAGAGTATGCAAAGTTGAAGAAAGTTGTGAGTGCACTCCTGTCACGGTGTCGACTCCTATTTACATATCATTGGTTCTAGGTTGGCGCTGGCGCCAAGGGTGACCAAACTAAACAAATCGAAGAGCTCAAGAAGAAATTGGCCGCGAGCGAAGCAAAGGACCGTGACTTTGGTGCGTTTATTCCTCGTTCATTGACCCCTGACTACTGAGCTGAAAATGTGCCCCTCAGAAACGCTCAAAAAGCAGGCCGCACAACAAGCAGCCGAGTTTGATCGCCTCGCGAGTAAGTACAACGAGGCGACTGGTGCTGTTTCAAACAAGAAATCGGATTAGAGGTCCTTTTGTGTAATTGTCATGCGTAGCAGCTTTCATGTTTCTTTTTGTTCTTGCTGTTTAGTTACCTCATATTTGCCTTTGGACTTGGGCGTGATGTGATGTATGGGCAATTATTACATATTCTGCTACGCGATGACCCCACCTACTTCCATAACGCGTGGCCGCCGATGGCCCCGATGTCCCAATCATTCAATACTAGAGTGTTGCGCCTCGTGTGGTGGACAGTTAGGGGTGCAGTATCTCCGAGCAGCGACATCCATCGATGCTTGCTTGCGCAGTGAATTAACAAGTCCGATATGTTGGTGTGTCTCCTGTGCAGGCCGTCATGAGAATCCTGTAATGATACTTTGATGCTACTCTGTAAGCCTTATGGATACGCCAGACAACCACAAGGTCCGACGGACCCCTGATCCATTTCAAATCAATTTATGATTAGTGCACACCCTGCACGACTAAAACACTCACCAAGGATAAACAAGCATCCCTTGCCTCACGCAAAGATGTAGTGAGAAATACGTCATAGCCATTTGACTGCGACACCCAACATGGCAGGCATTTCTCTATAAACAGAGCGAGTAAATTTCGAACTTTGCTGGCCATAGAAAGATGCGGAGCCCAATACTGATGTAGATAAGACGATGTGCATAATCCATAAGCCGGAGCGGACCATGTATCACTCGTTGGTTCCTGTCGTACAAAGAAACCAAGGCAGCAATATGCAATGTAGTCATGAACATGTGCATGATCTATGTAATATTCCTTCGAGCGTAGAGGGTCCGTCATAAAGTCGCGGAGCGAAGCGTGATAAATCTCAACATTTCTAACCCCATCAGAAAAATTCAATATAACGGGTGAAAATGCTTCAAGCATCATAGCAAAGTTCTCCCTATCCGCGTGAAAGAGATCTTGGAGTTTTGCGACCGGCAACGGTACCATGAGATGATAGACGCCAATATCCGACAGTGCGCAATTGGATTCTCCGAAGTTGCGATAATCTGCTGATAATCCTCCGATGGCCATGGCGTGGGCGGCTGGCCGAAGATAACAGGATGACTTGTCCGTGTGCTGTCCAATGACGCTCGCAGAAAGAAACGGACATCCCGTATTGTATCTTCATCATCAGTGGTGAGGAGAATCTCGTGGACACAGTCCCGCATGACTGCGCGGATATGCGGCTCAGGACGGCTTGTGAATATCAGGTAGATGATGGGTAAGTCTGGGCCTGCGAGGGTCTCTGTCAACATCAAAACCAGTCTTGCTGCCTCTTCAGCAGAAAAGGATTCATCAAGAGCATCGATAATGATGGCATAAGGTGTTTCTTGACGAAATTTCAATGTTTGTAGTGGCTTGATGACAAGCTCTCGCATCTGATTTTACAGACGATAGAAGCTCATCTTGTCTTTCTCAATCGCTTTCACGATATTGCCCCGAATGCGAGGGAAGGTCAGTGCCAGCTGGTATGCGATGGCAGGAATGATGGCAGCAGCTTGTTGTGCATGTTTATGCGAGAAGAAGAAAGTAGCAGCGAGCCTTGACGTTGCTTTCATCTCCTCGGCTATAGAGAACGCGTTAGAAGTTTTTCCAACACCGGCGAGAGTCGCGAGACCGCTGAGGCAAACGTTCTTGTGATCACGTTCATCGAGGACTTGTCTCAGGCTCTCCCTCAGTGCAACACATGTGTTCTCCATGCATCGTGAATGGGGCTGGCGCTTTTCGGAATCGAAAATGCCGCTATATTCTACGGCGTCGCATAGATTACTCCATGCGAGCTCATAAGATGACGAATACACTTAGAGGCGACGTCAGTATAAGTCAAGCCGAGGAAATACGTACTCACCGAAATCCATCGTGGGGGAGTTGAGAGGGAACCACGAAGGAGTCAGGTACATGGGAGATAGTACCCCACGCCGGTAGTAGGTACCAGCTTGGCGTTGTGACTCCGCTGGTGACCTATATGTCATGGCCATGGGTGCAACACCAGTACGTAGTCACAGTACAGCTTGGTGAGCCGCGTTAGGATCCAGAAAAATAGAATGCACGAGCGCGTAGCCTGGGTACTGACTCCTGAGTGTGCATGCCAGACACAGTGGGCTGTTGGCACTTCAGTCGGTGGCTATCCATCTCTGCCTTTGGCCTAGGTGCATTTTGGCCCTGGACTAGGGGATGACTCCAGTTGTTCCCTATATAACATGGCCACCAAAGGAGTCTGAAAATCACTAGGGTACGGGATAAAATTATTCACCGAATTATTAATTAGCATGCTGCTAATAAGCATCGAGTTTTCTCCCGTATATAAAAATCACCCAGAGACCTGTGGCCGTCAGTGGGCCGTATGTGAAAAGTGAAATCACTGACACCCTGAACTTCATCTGAATGAGTCATTGACCACATTAGTCGCGAAATTCAGTTGCCCGCACAGAGTACTCCTTTAGCACCGCCAACATAAAGAAATGCACTGGCAAGTGAAAAATAGGACTGTCTGTATATCCGAGTACTACTAGTCCGTCATGACCTCATAATAAATCAGTCATCGAGATCTATCAGCTCCTCATCATGTTCGTCCTCATCCCCAGCTCTGACGCTGTTATCCCCTTCGTCACCACAATTATCACCATCTAGTTCATGTTCCAGCATGAACGCAGGAACAGTCACCCCGGAACGAATTCTGGGGCCTGGTCGCGGTCCAAGATTAATTGCCTTGCGGGACTCACGGACAGCTGCGAGAGCTGCAATCTAAGAAACCAGCACCACGACTCTAGGTTAGATCAGCACAGTGAACAATTATAACGGACATGCCTTATCTTGCACCGCCGACTGCACCGCTCGCTTCTGCCCCGTTTTCGCTGCTGGATCGAAGCCAAGTTTTTTGATGATATCTGCAGAATACGCCAGCTTCGTCTGGGGCGCCTTTGATGTCTTCTCATCGTCGGATTCATCATCAGCATCCGCATCTCTCGCCCGTTGCTTCCCCTTTGCGGACTTCTTATCCTTAGCGCCATCTGAGGCTCGCTTCGCCGTCATCGCGCCTATCTCCCTGGCCTTGGCGACAGCACGCATGCCCTCTTTATCCCTCTCGAGCAGTCCCTTCAGCTCACGATCGGCATCCTGAACCAGCTTCCGCTTCGCCCGCGCCTGACCTTCGCGCCCCATGTTCTCAGCGACAAACATCGACGACACGTCTCTATTCGACCCGCTCACGACGTGCCCCGAAACAACGTACGTGGCGTCGCCACCGCGGGAGCCAGACGCCTCAGAAGGCTGCAGTCCCCACTGACGTTGTGGATCGTAATCCGCTTTTCGCTTCTTTCCTGACGAAGCTGTCATTCCCGAGGTCCTGAGAAAAGGTGTTAGTCACAGCGGAAACATAGAGTGATCACATAACCCACCCTGCAGAAAACTCAGCCCGCCCGGCTCTCTGCCTTTGCACAGCGTTCGTCAAGTGCCAGTCGCACACGTCGCTTACTCGCTTGTCCGTCCAGCTTCCGCATATTTTGCCGTCGCGCTTGACTACTTTGCACATGCCCAAGTCTTGTGCGCGTCCGATGATGGCAATGGATTCGGCGGACTCAGGGTGTCACAGCGAGTATGTTGTCGGTTGGATGCGGTTTCCCGTCTTTGTTATTCCGCTGAACGAGTTCTTCATCATGCTGTGTCATACTACTGGTGCAAGCTCACCTGGAAGGGTTTGAGGACTCTGGGATTGAGAAGAGCAACGACGTCCCCTTCTTTAAGCTTTGACATTGCTTCGAAAGCGCCTTTGCTGCCTCCAGTGTAGACCTTCTTGACTTTGCCATCGTCGTTCGTGACACGATCAAAACTGTCAGCTTCGAACAGCAAGAGGGTCAGAAATGCGTCCCCTCTTATAGACGCGGCGCCTGCCGAAGATGACCGTGAACGTGCCCCGAAATCAATTAATTTCATATTGACATATTTCTTTCCGTGAGATTTTAAAGGTTTTTGTTTTTGTGGGTCCTGTGTGCGAGGGCCATTGCCAGCTTTACGTTCGTTCCCATTAAAGCCTCCTTCATTATCAGATACACGTCCATCGTCACCGGGAGCAACGTCTACGGGAGCGCGCGTAGTCCTTACAGGCCCCCGCTCTGCAACAACGGCGATTGTGATCCAGTCACCTTCGACGGGCACATCGTAGCCGGACTTGTTGGGTAACAGCCGTATGCAAGAGTAGAATTTAGATGGTGAAAGATAATATCGACCTCGGAGATACTCCTGCAAATCGTCGTGTGGCAATGAACGAGACCTGCGTGCAGCTCGTAAGTCCAGCCATCTAATGGGTTTCAATTGCGATGACAAGACCTACGAAAGTCGGATGCCAGAATTTGGCTCAAGGCGCTCAAAGCGAGGGTCGTCAAGTGGCGGCTTGTGATCTATTGGGCCGACCTCGAGTTGCTCTACAATCGCCAGTCGTTCATCTCTGTCCGGCACGATGTCCGAAGCCGGTCGGGAGACACTAGGTGGCACTGCATCCAGTTTAGGGATTTAAGGCGATGGAGGGCTCAGGTTCGGACCGAGCTAGTAAGCTGTGGGACCTCTGAACTGACTGTACCTGTTCTTGCTTTCCTGGGCCGCCTGATAATCTAGAAAGTTTGCTGAGGAGATTCGAAGGGGCAGGCTTCTGATATTGCCCAGTAGCAATCGAACCTTTACCTGGAAGCCGAGGATTCATATCTGGAGCTCCAGATGCTGAGGAAGAGTCCGAGGTAGCAGTCGCCCCGCCAAATAATGAGCGCTGCGTGTGGCCTGCATGATTGACCTTCCTCTTCTTCTCTAATATCAGCGTTCGTTTGATAAAACCTCTTGAGCACGCGTGCGTACTCACTTGGAGACGGAGTGGCGGGTGCAAGCAAAGTCTCAGCTGGTTGTTTCCTCTTGGGAGACCCGATTACATTGTTGGCAGAATCAGAGAGGGGGATAAGCTGAGCTTCCAAGAGCTTGATGTTTCTCCGAATTTCTAGCTGTCGCTGTATTTCCTCCTCTGTTCTGTGCGTAGACGATTCCATTGCGCGACTACGCAGTCACCCTTGATTGATGCGCTTGTAGGTGTGCCACTGTGCTCACAGCTACCACGTTCCTTTAGTAGTGGAGATCGTGGTAAAGGTTGTGGTCTGTGGACGTGTTATTTGTTGGTGTTGTACGTAATGTGACATACACAGGAACGGGTTTGTATTTCCACACGTCCCATTTTAGAAACTCTGCCCCGGTAACGGAGGATAGTCATAGGAAGGGCACGCCGGGGGTGAAGTAAATGGACTATTAGAATGCAGCGCAATTATGCCACCAAACGGCCAAGCGTCACCCTGCGGATGCTTCACTATTCTTGGAATGTACCGTGGCTATGTGGTGGTATTAATACTTGTTCTTTTGATGTACATTGCCCACACTGGCAAGCCCTTTTAAACTACTAATATTTGACCGAGGGATCGTAAGCTGTGCCACAGTTCTGTGTTGGCAGTATTTATCCTCTTTCCACATCTTTCCATCTCTCTCCGCCCATACCCACTTTTTACTACTCATGAACAACGACATCCCCCCTGCACTCGATCGTCGAAGAGTCGCCATCGAGCTGACCGGACATCTTGGCTCCCTTGGAACATTTTCTAGAAGGTATCAGTGAACTCCTGAAGTTCAGCCAACAGGAAGATAGCGAATTACAGCGCTACGGTCGAAAGGTCTTGTCTTTTCTGTCACCAAATCGTGTTTTATAGTCGACTGATGATCTCACAACTATGCAGATAATCGCCCTGACGGAGGTAAATATAATTTCAATTGTCACAAGCTCTCTTAATAATACTCTCGGTAATTAAGGTCGCGCGCATCACTCTTACACGCGAGGGAGTGAAATTGTACCTGTTCGTTCTGTGTTCATCGACTCTCCTGCCGTTCAAATCGGCGTACTTCAAATTGCTGGTTTTAATCAGACGCCGCAAGCATGCATTCCCTTCTGAACTTGACGGTAAACATTTGCCGACATTTATTCGGATTTTGTCTCACACTCCGTGCAGATCGTATAGGTCGGCTCTTGCTGCCTCTGTGTACCCGTCTCGTCATATGCTGCGGGGACGTTGACCCCCGTGCCCAACTGGGCATCGATGACCTGCTGGAGGTTCCCGAAACACCAACCGGGAAACGCACCACCCACCGTGCAACACCAAAATCAGACGAATCAGATGTTATGCCACGTATGTGAACCTGCTGCAACATTTAGGAGCCCTAGATTGATAAACGATTTTTAGCACCAGATGCTTTCGCGAGCAAAAAAGCTAGAATCGACCAGCTTGGGGATTTTATAAAGCAGCAGTCTGCGAAAAAGTCTTGTGCAGGAAAGCGTTTGGTGCCTAAGCAATATCCAGCCGGTGACGGTGCACAAGGGCGTCTAGTGCCCAAGCAGTATCCAGCCGGTGATGGTGCACAAGGACGTCTAGTGCCCAAGCAATATCCAGCCGGTGACGGTGCACAATGGTGTCTAATGCCTAAGCAATATCCAGCCGGTGATGGTGCACAAGGGCGTCTAGTGCCCACGCAATATCCAGCCGGTGATGGTGCACAAGGGCGTCTAGTGCCCAAGCAATATCCAGCCGGTGACGGTGCACGAGGGCGTCTAATGCCTAAGCAATATCCAGCCGGCTAATGATGCAGAAAAGCGCCCAGTGCCTAAGCGATACCCAGCGGGTGACGTGAAACCGGACGACAACGGGGAACCTTCTCGCCCTCGAAGGGTGTTTACGCGAACAAATACCCGAAACTTTGGCATTTTTTGCACTGGGAAGCAATCAGTTGTTCTTGCTAAGAATGCTTGCATTGACTAATGGCTACCCTTGGCTACCGCATTGTACTACTTCGTTAAAATTCTCATATACGTCTTCGGCGCTTCTAATCTCATGGATACGGAATTCATCTACACACTCGGTATTGTATTATTAGAAAGAACATCATTGTCACGTTTTGCACCTTTTCTATATGGCTGTCAACAGTTTCATATTTGTAATGAACATCCATTCAACATTGCCATCCTCCTTTTAGTCGACGTTCCCCGGCTTTGGTCCTGAAGCCTGGGGTCCTTTATCTCCCCCTCCCTGCAGATTCGTAATATATGATCCTTCCACCCCTTCAACTTCTCCATCATTTGTACCTCTCGGCTGGAGGCACCTTGGGATGTCTTCTGTGACTGCTCATCGATGATGTTTATCACCTCTGCAATTGATTCGTCCAGTTTCTTCAAAGCACGCTGATCACAAATAGGGGCACGGACGCAGCTAGAAAGGAGGTTGGACAAGAGGGGGTACGTCACGAAGAATGATTCACCTCTAGGATCCGATTTAGGATACACCTAGTAGATGAAATACTTACAAGAAGGATTTAATATCGTCAGTGGGAGGCTCAAGGCTCGCCTGCCCATGGGTTTTCTCCACTTGGGGACGGCGGCACGTAGTCGTCGTTCTCACCCGGAAACTTCGCGTCCGCTATTGATAGGAAGAACGGCGGTGTTGCGACCCTTCAGACTGTTGGCTATACTATGTATGCGCTCGGACGCTTAGTATCTTCACCCGACATGATTAGTGATTGATTTATATATGTAGATTTTTTCTTGCGTTATAGATGTTCGTCACGGTGGTGGTTATCTAGGAAAGTCAAATAGCCTATGCGACGGCGTTGCAACCTGAGCAAACTGCTTTCAAGTTAGGGGTGGTAACCCCACAGGTCGGGATTCACAACCTCACTGCCGGTCTTTCGGGTGTCCAGGTTGTGTGCACGACCGGAATGCATTGATGAAAGAACGTTATGGGGCTTCATACGAAGGAACAAATTGATGGAAACTAACGGGCCACGAAATGTAAACGCCAAACACATATTCCCAATCACTCCGAAGATGCACATCAAAGACAATTTCCCCACACCGACGTTCATGGTCTGCAATCAATACCCAAGTCTTCTGCAATGAGCATCGCAGCCTTCTCTCCAATGAGGAGCGCCGTTGAAATAAGTGTTCTGATAAACGGTTAGACCGCACGTCAATAATTCCCCGTCGAGTACCCACCGTGCCAACATTCTTCGGCGCGATAGATAAATCCGCAACCTTCAGGTTCGTCACGCCGTACACGTTGAGCCGAGCGTCGACGACTCCTTGATCTGTCCTCGGCTTCATGGCGCACGTCCCGAGCTACATACGCAAGGATCAGGCACTTCATGTAGAAGTATGAAAGTTCGAGCTGCACATACCGAGTGCCATGTCGTTTGCACTGAAATTTGATTGAGTATTTTATCGTAAGAATGGGGAATAAATTCAAGACATACTGTTGTCACGGTGAAATTGTTCGATCACCTTGTCATCTTCTGCAGTGTAGATGATGTCGGGCGCATTCAATTCCACTGGCCCGGTCGCTTCTCCACAGACTGCAGCACTTCCCTCTGGGAAACGAGGATGGAAGGCGGGAATTTCACCTCGGTAGGAAGACATGCGTCGATAGATTTCGCGAAGCTTTTTGTACCCAAAGTTAAGAGGCACAATATCGGACGGACTGTGCGGATTATCATGGTCAGACGAGTGTGCCTGAAATGAAATGTGCCCACTCACTCATCTAAATAGCCTGCAGTGAAGTCGATTGCTTCCTTGCCGTTCTCTCCCAATTTGATATGAACACTGCCGACAGATACAGGGTAAAGCTGTAGAAAAGTTCAGAAAAAAAGTCACAGGATCTATGAGAGCAGTACTGTGATAATTTCGGCAGTCACATAGTTACGAGGAGGAAGGCCACTTGACCCAAGGTATCTAGATATCGTGAGTATTCGCGCGTCATCAAAGTAAGGGACGCACACACCCCGCAAAGATAGTGAATATTGCAACAGCCTTGTCCGGGCGGTCCTGGAAGAACTCCTTCCACCGGGGTTGAAAGGCCGAACCCATGGCTTTCAGCTCGTCGTCGTCAGGACGCCATTTGATCATTGCATCGCTCCCACTGAAATACTGATCAGCACGTCACCAGCAGCGATAGCTTGTACCAACTTCTGTGCGATGAGTGACTTGCCATTACTTTTCCATTGAGCAAGGTTTTCTATATTTGGGGCGTTAAAAGGTACTGGGAACACGGCGAGAGCGTGCTCGCTTACCCTGTACAACACTTTCCTCCCCGCGCCAGAGGGGGTCCATGGTAACAGCTCCATCAGCAGCAAAGTATGGAACGAAGGCGCCATTATGATCTGATAACACTGAGCCAAAATCACGGGATCAGCCGGGATAACCGCAGACCTCGATAATTTTCTCCGACGCCAGGTAAGTTCACCAGTTGCTCGATACTGCACTGCTTGAGGACTGCCTCGGCACCGATCCCAGACCTCTCTAGAATGGCTGGCGAACCGAATGCCCCAGCAGAGACAACAACGAGCTTTGATGCTCTCACAAAGTCTGACGACTGATCCGTGTCCGGGCAAGATACTGGGTCGTTGGTGAACTCAACACCTACAGCGCGCTTGCCCCTTTCATTCGCAAAAGCCGTCAACACAATTTGGCATGATTGTGATCCACAGGCAGACTACTCACTCGAAGATTACGCGCTTCACGCGCTTACCGACCCAGATTTGTAAATTCGGGTTGTGAGCTTGGTTGTAGACATAGTGGTGGGCCGCGTCGGAACGTCGTCCTGTTGTCCCGTCAATGTACCTTCTCATACATGAATTTAAGTCACAAGAGACTACGAGCACATGCGCACTTGAACCACGGCTGAAACGGAACTTGTTAGTGATCACACGAGGAAGGAACATCAGTGGCGCACGCTGTATGCGTTGCAAGTTTCTAAATCATTGGAGTCGTCGACATAGGGTCTCTTGTGATACGTCGTGCCAACACGGATGAACTCTTCGCTGATATCTAGTTGACACCCACCAGATGACACCTTGATAGGTCCATTGTATCCGTGAGTTGGACGATCGCTTTGCACCTCGTATGTCTCCAGCTATGCGATAACAGGTCAGCTTGACAAATATACAGGTAATGCATTCGAAGACCTTCTTCATGAGAGGAATCAAGTTCTTAGATTCCCAACCGTCGACTCCCCAATCATCAAAATCTGAGGCAGGCGCACGAGTGTAATTCATGACTGTCTAAACATCAGAGTCCTGTTCGTTGCTGCAACAATACTACGAACAGTTCACGCTTGAGCCTCCGCCAACGCAATGAGCGCAGTGAACGATCGGAGCACGGCCATTGAGACGCGAAGTGGGATTTCCAACGTTGAATGTCATCGTGGTACTCGACGACGCCTGATGAGTAAAATATTGGTAGGGCTGAACATGGGCAGCTTTATTGAGGGTGTGTTGACCCCCTTCTAGAATTAAGATCCTGAGTGAGGGATCACATTCGGCCAGACGACCTGCGACAACACAAGCTGTAGTACCGCCTGCACACAGAGCGCCATGTAAGTCAAGAGAGCAAGCCACTACATACATGATGTTATCACTCACCTCCAGCAAAAATGATATCAAACTCTGATAAGAATGGATGAGACATTGAGGGGGTGTTTTCGAGAAGCCACTCACAGTGGTGCGTCCAAATTTATATCCTAGCCTCAGCGACGACTTGAATGCCACCGCGATAACCTTCAATGCCCATCTTGGACCTAAGTTAACAATAACATCTCACGAACCATGATCAGCTGGGCAGCTTGTGAGCTTATCTGAGTTGCGCCACACAGAGCAAGTACAGGATCATGATGCTGCATTTTGAGTGACGCTAACGTCGTTGAAATCGGAATAGGCTAGGTTGTGGGTCACGAGAGCCCGGTCGGGCCGTTGGAGCTAAACGGAGAGTCGGACACCCGAGGATTTGCTACTGTCATCGCGTCCTAACCGTCATCGTTCTGTGCAGTGTACACGACATCATATTCTTAGCATATCTGGCGGTCGGCTATAGTGAAACCACGAAGCTGCGACATCACTGGCCAGTGGCTGGAGGTTGAAACGAGAAACCCAGTCACGTGTCCTGACTGTGAATGGCGGTCAGCTGGGCAACGCCGGAGATGTAGCGTGCTGAGACAGACTAACCAGCTGAAGACTTTGGTCTTCAAACCGTACCCCTAGTCCGGTCGTTCGAGTTGGCATGCGCACCCAAAATTTGACCTGAGCGCCCTGGGCTATCGGGCGTTGGGGGGGACAGGACAGGAGTGTGCTGATTCTTGCGAGAAGATGCAAAGAATATATTTCTTGTATATATAATACATGGAATCCATACTCGTGAAGATACATGCTGATTGTGTATCTATGTATGACACGTTAAGTAAATCTCATGGCCGCTTTTGCGAAGGTGCCTCTAGTATCATAGACGCGCTTGAGGATTTTCCCCCAACGACGAACAACAATTGGGGTCAATACCCAAGTCCTCCGCAATGATCATCGCAGCCTTCTCTCCAATGAGAAGTGCCGTTGAATATGTGTTCTAGGGCGACGGTTAGACCAAATATCAATGATTCCGAGTCGAGTACTCACCGTGCCAACATTTTTCGGCACGATGGACATATCCGCAACCTTGAGATTCGTCACACCGTATACGTTTAACCGAGCATCGACGACTCCTTGATCTGCTCTAGGCTTCATAGCGCAAGTCCCGAGCTACACAACACAACGGTCAGGCTCCTCGTGTATAAGTATGATGGTTTTAGCTGGACATACAGAGTGCCATGTTGTATGCACTAAGTATCGATTCAGTAATATAACATAACGATAGGGATACGACATACCGCGCTCACGATGGAATTTATCAATCACAACGTCATCTTCTGCAGTGTAAATGATGTCGGGCGCATTCAAGTCCACAGGCCCGGCCACTTCTCCGCAGACTGCAGCACTTCCTTCTGGGAAGGGAGGATGCCCGGTAGGAACTTCACCTCTGTAGGAGGGTATGCGGCGATAGATTTCCCGCATCTTTTTGTACCCAAAGTTAAGAGGTACAATATCAGATGGACTGCGCAGATTATCGTAATCACACACAAGTGAGAAATGAATGCGCCAACTCACTCATCCAGGTAGCCTGCGGTGAAATCGATTCCTTCCTTGCCGTTCCCTCCCAATTTGATATGAACACTCCCAATAGACGCGGGGTACAGCTGTTAGAAAATTCAGAACAAAAATCGCGGGGTAGATGGGGAATGGTACCGTATAACAGGAGGCAACCAAGTAATTGCGAGGGGGGAGGTTCCTCATACGTGATGCAGAGAATCTGAATATCGTGAGCATTTGTACGTCATCAAAACAGAGTGATATGCACTCACCCCGCAAAGAGGGCGAATATTGCAACAGCCTTGTCTGGGCGGTCCTGGAAGAACTCCTTCCATCGCGGTTGAAAAGCTGGACCCATAGCTTTCAGCTCGTCGTCATCAGGACGCCACTTGATCTTTGCATCGCTGCCACTGAAATGCTAATCAGCACATCATAAGTAGCGATGGTTTTGCACCAACTTTTGGGCAATGAGTGACTTGCCGTTGATTTTCCATTGCTCAAGGTGTTCTACATTTGGTCGGTTGAAACGCACTGGAAATATAGCAGAAGCATGCTTACCCTGCACAACATTCTCCTTCCCACGCCAAAGGAGGTCCAAGGTATCAATCCCGTCGGCCGCAAAGTATGGAACAAAGGTGCCGTTGTGATCTAATAACCCTAAGCATTATAATGAAAAAATGGTTGAAAGTGGACCTTGATAATTCTCTCCAACGCCAGGCAAGTTCACCAGTTGTTCTACACCGCACCGCGTGAGGAACGCCTCGGCACCAATCCCAGACCTCTCAAGAATGGCTGGCGAACCGAACGCCCCAGCAGAGACAACAACAAGCTTTGATGCTCTCACAAAGTCTGATGACTGATCCGCGTTCGGGCAAGATACTGGGTCGCTGGTGAACTCAACACCTACAGCGCGCTTGTCCCTTTCATTCAAAAAGGCCGTTAATACGGTTGGGCACAGTAGTTGTGTTCCACAAGTGAGCCACTCACTCGAAGATCACGCGCTTCACGCGCTTGCCGACCCACAGTTGTAAATTCGTGTTGTGAGCTTGGTTATAGATATAGTGGTGAGCTGCATCGGAACGCCTTCCTGTTGTCCCGTCGATGTACCTTCTCATGCATTAGCTGAAGTCACAGTAGACTACGAGTAAAAGCTCACTTCGCCCATGGCTGAAATGAATTTCGTTAGTAGTCGCAGATGGAAAAACAATATCAGTGGCGCACACTGTATGTGTTGCACGTTTCTAAATCATTGGTGTCTTCGGCATATCGCCTCTTGTGATACGTCATGCCAACACTGATGAACTCATCGCAGACGGCTAGTTTGCGCCCACCAGATGAAACCTTGATAGGCCCACTGTACCCGTGAGTTGGACGGTCTGGCTGCACCTCGTATGTCTCCAGCTGTAGAATGAATAGTTCAGTTTGAGAAGTATACAGACGACTCGACCGAGGACCTTCTTCATGAGCGGGATTAAATTCTCAGATTCCCAACCATCGACTCCCCAATCATCGAAATCTGAGGCAGGCGCACGGGTGTATACCATAACTGTCTACGCATTAGAGTCCTTTTTTTGCTGCAAGAATTGAATGCTACGAACGATTCACACTTGATCCTCCACCAACGCAATGGGCACAAGGAACGATCGGTGCACGACCGTTGAGACTTGGACTGGGATTTCCAACGTTCAAGGTCATCGCGGTACTGGTGGGCGCCAGATGTATGGAATATTGGTATGGCTGAACATGAGCAGCTTTATTGAGGGTGTGTTGACCCCCTTCTAGAATTAAGATCCTGAGCGAGGGATCACATGCAGCCAGGCGACCTGCGACAACGCAAGCTGTAGTACCGCCTGCACAGAGCGCTATGTTAATAAGAGGGAAGTCAATACAAGATGTTGTCACCGACCTCCAGCAAAGATTATATCGAATTCCGATGAAAATGTATGAGACATGCTTTCAGGAAGCCACTCAGAACGGTGATGTGTCCAAGTTCATATTCTTCGTTGAACCGAAAAAAATATCGCTGGCAAGTTCTGGCAGGATCTCGCTCGGAAACCTTCTTCATTAATATTGACATGCTGCATCATCGGAGACCTCAATTCAGCTTCGACTTGCTGATGGAACTCGGGCGTTTCCGAACCGGACTAGGATCACGCGACATCTCGATTCAAAATGGCTTTCTGATGCCTACTAGATTCTGACGTCTTCCTGTAATGGCCTGATTCTTCCGTGCACGTCGTCCATATGCACCTAGCCAGGTTGCCAGGTTCCGCAAGGCCTGATACAGTAAATGGGATTTTTCCGACATATAAGTCTCCCCCTGAAGCCTGACAACCCTCTGGTTCCTACATGTTCTCCCTATCCTTGAAGACAGATCAGTCGCCCTGCAGCAGGTACTAAGGTTGTCACGTCAGCCCAGCAGCGCTCAGCTAGACGCTGTGACCTTGCGGCTTCGTTTCCATAGGTCAGTACTGGCCGGTCATACTTGAGCCGTTCTTGACCTGGTACACGCGTACGTACTTAATATTAAAGCGGAGCGCTTAGGTATTACTGCGACGTGCACTAATAAATATCCCGTATTCTTGCTCAGTGTGTGGTCAGACATGTTAATTCCCTGGGGGGGGGGGGGTAAACCCACTGTGCTGGTTCATGCGAGACCGCGTTTTCCAATGTGTCGTAAAGCGCGTAAAGCAATCGTTAAGGCAGTCAAATATTCATCCCAATCGGTCTGTAGATATCGTCCAAAAGCCCACAAATTGAATTCATGTGACACCAAGCGAAGATGTTCCGAGATTTTCAACAACTTCTCTGACGCTGGTAGGTGTCCATAAGTATCCTGTAGACATGCTGTAGTGCGGACATGTGGATTGAAGGTTGATTAAAGGACACGTTGAATGCCATTCGGACGTGCGCCTGCTGGCAGCACAAACCTTTTACTTATACGTGACTGTCGCGGAGTCTGCGCATGTGCAGACTTCACACAGACCGGTCGTTTCCTACGTGTCCTCGTACCACGAAACTAAACCAGACATTGGTGAGGAAGACGAGCAGTCGGAAGATGCCCCAAAGGAGTTGGAATGACAAGGCTGTGGACACACTCGTGTGTTTCAAAGTTCTGGAGCATACAATCTATATAAGTTTTCCACACCTGCACGGTACATGTATAGGTCCCTTACTATTTGTATGGCTTGCGGACTTCTACGCCAGAGAGTGAATCAAACCAGAGGCTATGTTATGAAGCGCGAAGCTACCTCTCCAGTCAACTGCTCGAAGGTGGTCGTCTTATCGCCAATGGTCGATACCCAATTGCAATGGTTCATGCCACCTCAGGCGTTTGAGTGAGTTACAAACCGCGAATCAGTCATGGCTCTAGCAGCTGGCTCGGAGAATGTTTCTTGTAAGCCTGGAGCAATGGTAAACAACCTCGGATGGTGATCATGAATCATTATGCTACGTCACTAGGGTTCCGCACGGGTAACACCGCGGGTCGGAAAGCTGACACCGTACCCGTACCCGCCAACACCGTACCCGTCACGGGTACAGGTACACACCGACCCGTCAACACCGCGGTTAGATGAAAAACACCGCGGTGTCTCTGAACACCGCGGGTACATTACCAAGAAGATTGTATTAACAACAACTGAATAGATATTACTACTTTTCCTCGTCGTCCTCCTCAGCTTCGACTTCATTTCGCTTCCGTTTTTGACTCTTTACAGAGGCTAGAAGGTCCTCCATCGCCAGAAGATCACTTCTGCCCCAGGCTCCGAGGCAGAGAAAAGCACGAATTGTTGATGGTGCGAGTCGGTTGCGAGTAAAATGAAGGAGCTGCCGGCCCTGCGAGAAGACACGTTCGTCCGCAGTTGATGTTGCTGAGCGAGATAATAAACACTGATTGATTGAAAAAGGGTTTGAGGGTGGCATACCTGGGACGGAGAGATAGTCTAATGCCATCCACATCATCATCGGCTTCAGATGCTGACAATGACTCGGAGTTGAATGGCTTCAGCAAAGCTTTTGCAGCAAGCTGGAGAGTATGGTTAAAACATCGAACACGGTTGACAGACTCGAATGAGTTATCGAGGCTCGCGAGCTTTGTTGTTTGAGAATCATTTGCGGTCGCATTATCAGCATTAACTGCAAGAATCTATGATCTTCAAGTTAGCGTGATTTCTGCAATATTCAGAATCAGCTTACTCTCTTTGTTAGCCCAAAGCGTTCAAGCATTGCTTGAAAGAATTTTGCCATCGCAGCACCAGTATGTGACTAAGATATATCATGTAAAGATTGGTGGAGCATTTGATATGGCCTGGTGGCGAAGTGTAAGTGTGAGATCAACAGTGTCTGTGGGTTTCGATCGAGCAGACCGAGACACAAATGACTGTTTGACCTTCTTCAAGGGGCGGGCCAGAGCCTTAGCACCCTTTGCGACAGCCTTTTTGAGTGACTTGGCCTTCTCAGAGATGGACGACGAGATATACTTAGACGATGAGTGGGTAGACGAGGCATCATATGCCTTCTTTGCGAGCTTGGTTTTCATGGAGACGATTTGGTAGACTTACTGGTCTCGAGTTTTTGCCTTGGCTTTATGGTAGTGACTCGAGCTTCTCTGTAGCAAAGTGTCAGCTCGATAAATTGCTAGAATGATTCACAGGGGCACGAAAGACATGACAGAAATCAATATAGCAAATATTGGGTTGTGATCCTCAAGCACTCAGAGTAAGCCGACACAGAGAATTATAGTACGGTGTTCAGTGGCTGTCAAGGTTCCCGATTTGGTAAGTCATACCCGTTAAACACCGCCAACCCGCGGTAAAGGGTCGCGGTATGGTCACGGGTATGAATATCCAACACCGTACCCGTACCCGCCAAACCCGTCAGCAATGAACCGCGGTGTTACCCGTACCCGTGCGTTTCCCTATACGTCACGGTTGCAAGGTTGAACGTGCTAGTCTATGTGGTGACTAAGCTATGGAAAGAGCCGCAGAGACCCCAAATGGACACTAACGGTCCGTGGAACCCCTAGTCCAACAGCAGCATTACAGGAATTTCTGACATTGGATCTTATACCTTATACATATTATGATCAATACAATGCATCCTTCGAGATACATGCCAATTGTGAAACACGAACATTACACGCCAAGTACATGCTCATAATCACTCCGAAGATCACAGACGCGCCTAAGCATTTTATCACACCGATGTTCATAGTTTGCAATCAATACCCAGGTCTTCCGCAATGATCATTGCAGCCTTCTCTCCAATGAGAAGTGCTGTCGAACACGTGTTCTAGGAGAGGCCGTTAGATCACACGTTGATAATTCCCAGTTGAGTACCCACCGTGCCAACATTTTTTGGCGCGATAGACATATCCGCAACCTTGAGGTTCGTCACACCGTACACGTTTAGCCGAGCGTCAACGACTCCTTGATCTGCCCTCGGTTTCATGGCGCAAGTCCCGAGCTACACACGTAAGGATCAGGCACCTCATGTAGAAGTATGAAATTGCAGCTGCACCTACCGGGTGCCACGCCGATTCCACTGAGTGTCGATTCAGTATTTCAACATAACGATGGGAATATGACATACAATTGTCACGATGGAATTTGTCAATCACCTCGTCATCTTCTGCAGTGTAGATGATGTCAGGCGCGTTCAAGTCCACTGGTCCGGCCACTTCTCCGCAGACTGCATCGCTTCCCTCTGGGAAATAAGGATGACCGGCGGGGACTTCACCTCTGTAGGAAGGCATGCGTCGAAGTATTTCGCGCACCCTTTTGTACCCAACATTAAGAGGTATGATATCGGATGGACTGGACGGATGATCTTTGTCACACAGCTTGAAATGAAATGTGCCCACTCACTCATCTAGGGAGCCGGTAGCGAAGTCAATTTCTTCCTTGCCATTCTCTCCCAATTTGATATGAACACTGCCGGCAGATGCGGGGTACAGCTATTGGACACTTTAGAACAAAATGGTGCGATAGATAGACGGGCAGTGGCACCGTATAACAGCAGGAAGCTAAGTAATTGCGAGGGGGGAGGTCAAACATGAGTGTTCCAGCGTACCTGGCTATCGTGAGCATTCGCACGTCATCAAAGGAGAGTGATATGGCTCACCCAGCGAAGACACCGAATATTGCAACAGCCTTGTCTGGGCGGTCCTGGAAGAACTCCTTCCATCGTGGTTGAAAAGCTGGACCCATGGCCTCCAGCTCGTCGTCGTCAGGACGCCACTTTATCCTTGCATCGCTGCCACTGAAATACCAATCAGTACCTCACTAGCGGCGATGGTTTGTACCAACTTTTGGGCAATTAGTGACTTGCCATCGACTTTCCATTGCAAAAGGTTTTCTAGATTTGGGCGTTTGAAATGTACTGGTAATACGGCGAGAGGATGCTTACCCTGTAAAACACTCTCCTCCCCACGCCAGAGGGGGTCTAAGGTATCAATATCATCGGCAGCAAAATATGGGAGAAATGCGCCATCGTGATCTGATAACAATAACCATAAGTCAAGACTACACGGTGGGATCAGTGGATAAACACAGACCTCGATAATTTTCTCCGACGCCAGGTAAGTTCACCAGTTGCTCGATACGACACTGCTTGAGTACTGCCTCAGCACCGATCCCAGACCTCTCGAGAATGGCCGGAGACCCGAATGCCCCAGCAGATACAACAATAAGCTTCGATGCTCTCACAGTGCTCGACAACTGATCCGCGTCCGGGCAAGACACTGGGTCGCTGGTGAACTCAACACCTACAGCACGCTTGCCCCTTTCATTCGAAAAACCGTCAACACAGTTGAGCATGATCGCGACCCAAAGTGCACACTACTCACTCGAAGATGACACGCTTCACGCGCTTACCGACCCACAGTTGTAAATTCGTGTTGTGAGCTTGGTTGTAGACATAGTTGTGGGCCGCATCGGAACGCCTTCCTGTTGTCCCGTCAATGTATCTTTTCATGTGTGAGCTGAAGTTACAATACACCAGCACAAGGCTCACTTCGCCCATGGCTGAAATAAATTCCGTTAGCAGCCGCAGATGGGGCAATAAGAACAATGGCGCACACTATATGTGTTGCATGTTTCTAAATCCTCGGTGTCTTCGGCATATGGCCTCTTGTGATACGTCGTGCCAACATGGATGAACTCTTCGCAGACGGCAAGTTTGCGCCCACCAGATGAAACCTTGATAGGCCCACTGTATCCGTGAGTTGGACGGTCAGGCTGCACCTCGTATGTCTCCAGCTATAGAACGAATAGTTCAGCTTGAGAAATATACGGACGATTTAATCAAGGACCTTCTTCATGAGCGGGATTAAATTCTCAGATTCCCAACCATCGACTCCCCAATCATCGAAATCTGAGGCAGGCGCACGGGTGTATAACATAACTGTCTAAGCATTAGAGTCGTGTTGTTTTCTGCAAGAATGCTACGAACCATTCACATTTGATCCTCCACCAACGCAACGGCCGCACGGGACCATCGGTGCACGACCGTTGAGACTTGGAGTGGAATTCCCAACGTACAACGTCATCGTGGTACTGGTGGGCGCCACATGGGTGGGATATTGGTAGGGCTGAACATGAGCAGCTTTATTGAGGGTGTGTTGACCCCCTTCCAAAATTAGGATCCTGAGCGAGGGATCGCATGCAGCCAGGCGACCTGCGACAACGCAAGCTGTAGTACCCCCTGCACAAAGCGCTATGTTAAGAGGGCAAGCCAATACAAGATATTGTTACATACCTCCAGCAAAAATGATATCGAATTCTGAAGAAGACGGATGAGACATTGAGGAGTGTTTTCAGGAAGCCACTCACAGTGTTGAGTCCACTTTTATATCCTTCACTAAAGCGAAGAATAAAGTCAGCGCTGGCAAATCCTGGCCACACTAACCACTAACCTCCGCGAGTGGTATATAGCTCTAGATTCAAATCGGAATCTTGAATCACAATACCAACCTATTCTGTACATCGACCTCTCACACGTATACATACGTACTTATTAGAAGCGAATGGTGCCTTGGAACGAGTGCAGAAACCGAGCAAGCACAAGTCAAGAGCGTAAAAGGAGGGCGTACAAAGGCGTAAGACCCGTTCGGGAATGTATGTAATACTATATTGGGTTTCTCGCGTAATGAGTCTCGCTCCTCTCAGGCGCCCCAACTAATACTTGACAATGCTTAAGAGCAAGTAGATTAGTAGGTTGTGGGGAGTTAGTGAGAGTGAATGGTGCCTTATAAGTATGATTCCGAAATACTTAGATCGGTTTCCGTTGAACGGGGCAAATTATGTAGTTGACTAGTATGTAAGTAGTTACCTCAAGTCCGACTGAACGCATCAAATGCGGCAGGGTTGCAAGCATCATTCCGGAACGTTATAGTAGTAGTACCTTATAGTACTGCCACTCAGCAAGCGCCCTCGTGCCTCTTTTCTGCGGTTCGGCACTAGTCGGGCACCAATGCTTCTGGACATGACAGTATTCAGTGGGGCACACCCATTGCTGGTTCATGCGAGACCGCGTTTCTGTTAGTATTGTGATAGAAGCTTTTGGTTAATATCTGTCTACAGATGGGGAAACAAAACTTGCCATTCAAAAGCCCACGATTTCATGTGACACCAAGCGAGGACGTTCCGAGATTTCTTTGACGCTGGCAAATATTCAGAATCTCGAGTCCGGATGCTTTTCCCTCCATAAATGTCATGTAAGCTTGCTGTGCGCGGAAATGTGAATTGAAGGACATGATGGATCCTATTTCGTTTGGACGTGCACCTGCTGGGCCCAGTGCTGGTAGTGCAAACCTTTTGTACTACGGTAGAGCCTGAGGCAGGTTCAAGAATCAAAGGACTTGTTCGAGAGTACAAACTCAATGTACAGACTTAGGGTACTAAGTACTTGCACCACTCAGAAATCACACCAATGGACCACCGATCTCACATCTGGTCCAAGTCGCAAATCGTCAACTGCGCTTCGAATCCAATCACAACCCGTCTATCACGGTGCAAAGTAGGAGGAAACCTTGGCTGCTGGCGAAAGTGGGCTAGCCATGAAACAGGGCTTGCAATAGGCAGCGATCGAACGATTTTGAAAATGATACACGCTACATATGATCGGAACTTCTGGTTCAGCAACGCAGTTTGTTATAAGAACCTACACACGTTTTAAGCTAGAAGCGTACATAAGAACAAGGGCGCCAAGGGCAAGGATGATAATGACCTGTCTATGGCACGGGATCGATCAGATCCAGTTCCCTCACGTCCACGCCGTCAAATGACCTGTTCTTGACACGCCGACTCTGTAGCTCCCGTTTGGCAAGCCAAAGATGTAGAAGATGCAAACAGTCCTTTGCCTGATAATAGCGTCAGCATGAGGTCATGGTCTATGATATTGGCGACATACAACGGTGAAAAGACCCAGCCCTAATGAATTTCTCCACCTGGATGTTTCCTTGGTAAGAAACTATGCCTTTGATCAAAATGAATAAGCACCCACCAAACAGGATCACATTCCGCCCAAACGGGAGTTCCCCACCAAGCAACGCGAAGACCCATCAACCCAGCGACGCTAAGTCGTTTCACGGGGCTCATCTGGTGCCATAACTCCTCATCGATCCAAGTTCCTGCCAGCGACGGCCGGATATCGGGCGGAAGAGGTGGGCGCACGGCAAGAAAACGGCGTAAAAGCGGTGAATACTTGGATAGTCGATACAGCAGCGAGCCCATCAAGCTGGATATGCGCGGGATAATCAAGGCTCCCCCAATCAGTCGCCCGAGGGAAGTCCCTGAAACGCGAATAGTGTTCTCGGCTGCTACAGCTGCATCTCCTACGACGCCATCGGCATCGGCATTTGCATTATCGTTAGCACCATTGTTGGCAACACCTGCTCCGCCTTGAGCATTAGGTTGGGGTGGGCCATTCCGTTCATCGCCGTTAGCATTGATTCGAATGCGCAGGAATGGATCATCATCCTCCAAAGCAAGCATCATGCGCTGTGCAGTATCGGTCGCCTCCGGTTGCAACTTCAGCACCCATCTCGAGAACTGAGAGAATAGGCGGTTATATGTGAGCCGGAGAGACGGATAGATGAATAAGCCGAGCAATACTGGCGGAGGGGGCCAGCTTGGAAGTAAAGGGAACATCTCCCGTCGGGATGATTCCGGAATACCCCAACTATTGAGGAGTATGCGTTTGTCTGCCCGCGCAGGCGTGGACGTTGGCCATGCGAGGAGAAGGGGAACAAGCGGCGTGATACTAGAGTTGAAAGGAAGACGCGAGATAATGAGAGCAAGAGGAATGAGTGGAAGATTGAGGTAACAATGCCACGGCCAATTAGTGGGATCCTCTGTTAACAGGAGATCATACATCCTACAAGCATGAGGATAATGACTAGCTGCCAAATGAAAGGCACGTACTCGGCACCCAAAAACTCTTTCAGTGCATAGGCACCATATGCCGTGCTCAGGATATACATGCCTATAAACGTATCATAAAGCTAAACTCCCATATACAAAGAAATGCCACGTACCAGTCCCAAGAGAAATCCACCACCACGGTCACACTTGCGATGGTTACGATCTTTCCCATCGTCGAGAGACCCCTGTTAGCTCCATCCAAGATGCGTAGAATGAGTGGATTGTCGCTTTGTAGCTCATATGCTGAGCCGCACTGCGGGCACTTGAGAGCATTTGGAGCGCGTGAGCGGTTCTGCTGCGAGGTCTGTATCCATTGCAGTAAACAGGACTCGTGCGCAATAAGGGTACATTTACATGGATGCGTCCATGCTCGGGGAGGCTCCTCGGGTGCTAAGACGGAGTCAGATAGGCGCTGGAGTGGCACAGTGGAGCGCGCCTCTGACATACCATCATGCCTCTCCTCCTCCCTGCAGATGTAACAGAGCTTGATCTATACAATTGTGAGCACCAGGCTGCACACATTTCAACGTATGCGTACTCTGAGGTCGTTGATGGTGGGCACACGCCGTTGTGCCATGATGGTTCTGTAAGGAATGTATATGTTGACTATTTTCCGTATCGGGCATCATGAGTGCTTATATTAAACCTGCTCTCAACTTCGCGACCAGACACGAAATTCAGAGGGCAAGTATCACAGTGAATTAACATCTAACAAACGCGGCTACAGCAATACTACTAGTAGAAGAACCCAGTCTCAAGGAGTGTTTTTTGAACGAAGAAACAGAAAAAGAACGATTTACTCATGTTACTCTGTGAAACCCGACTCCATTTTTACGCGTACGGATTCGGAGTGCGCGGCGGCAAATCACGATCATCATCTTTCTTGTGATCTTCCATTGGAGGAGTACGCGCGTGGTCGTGCCTCCTCCTGTCAGGGGAAGGGCTTCTCCTCCTCTCCGGGCTTCTGCTCCGCCTCCTCCTGTCCCTCTCCCTGTCGGCATCGCGGTCGCGTTCGCGGTCTCTGTCACGGTCGTCATGACGGTCGCGGTCATCTCTGGTGTCTCTGGTATCTCTTTCGGAGCGACGACGGGGGCTTCGAGAACGCTCACGATCACGACCTGAGCGATGAGGAGGAGAAGAACGCCTCTCGTACCGCCAAACAGATGAAGGGGGGTTCTTTGCCCACTGCAGAGAGGAATTGAGAACATTAAATTACTCCTATTAGGAGCTGACTTGCCTGAATGCTCAAGCGAGATCCCTCAAAGTACCTGCCATGCCTGCGCCTGACGCGTCAGGCAGGATGTTAATGAATGTGAGAGAAAATTGACATACATGTCGTAGTAGGCATCTTCAGCGTGGCGCTGGCTTCGAAACTCGACGAAAGCGTAACTGCGAGACGGGTGCGAGACATGTTGAGCGATAGGTGATTCTCGGAACCCGAAACATCGAATGATATCGCAGCGTAGAGCGGCGAACACGAAGACGACTCGCGAGCCACTAATCGAATCGACGAGACAAGGCAGCAGAGCATCGCAAGGCAATCGTCCCTCGAGTCGCGTTGACTGGACAGAGGTGAAGAAAACAAAAATGATGATTACACTTACGGGTTCGAACTAGCGTGAGGGTTACGCGGGGCTGGAACGTCACAGCGGACCAAAGGACCGAATCTAAAAATGTGACGAAAAAAATTTGAACATTTCTTTCGATAAATATAAAATGGAAGTCGTTGATAAGCTCACCGTTCGAATTCGAAAGCAAGGTCGCGTGCTCTAGTAGAAGGATGAAAACCGCTAACGAAGAGGATGCGGGGCATTTTTAAGTGCTGGATAGACAGATGGTCGTGGTTTGGAGGAAAGAGGAGTAAGGGTTCCTGCGGAGTGTGAACTCTTCATGTGGGCAACTGTTTGGCTTGTGGCGAGCACAAGTCAAGTTGACTTGAATCAATCAACCCGGTGAGTTCTTGACCTCAGGTAGGATCTTTCTATACGGTTGGAAGTCTTATTTCTGATTTTTTTTCTAGATGCCGCTGGCGCATGCAGTATCTTGTTTTTTCTCTTCATAGACGATCATGGCAGTCTATTCTCTATCGATCTCAGAGAACCTATTCTTCTCTCTCTGGCGTGGGCCTCAGTAAACGCCTCGTCAATTTTGCAAAGCAAACTTCCCTCATCACAAAGGACCCTGTATGGAATCTCGTTTCGCTGCTGAAACGCGAACGCGACGACGAACAAATACACAGTGCTTTGGAGAGCTGTAACATACCATTCCTCGATTATGTTCTCTGGAAACACGTGGTACATTCCCCCAGTTTAAACATAGCAATCTCTGCAATAGAGCAGAAACAGGGCCTTATGGGTCAACCCCCTGCAGAAGGCTTTGCCAATTCGCATCGACAGACGCCGCAGCTTCCCGCATGGGTTGCTTTCTCCTTAGTCTGTCATAAAGTTCGGACTGCTCAGGATGCTCAGGATGGTCTGCTACGTCTTACATTCGAGCACTCACGGTTCCTTGGCTCTAAAGACCGACCTGCATTATTTATTCTCTCCACGCACGCACTGGCTCACTTCGACATTCTTACGCCGATGCGTAAAATCGTGGAGCAGTTCCTCGCACGCACGATTCAGTTTCCCACATTTCACTTCAACGCCCTCCTCCGCGGCCTTTCTGGTTTCACTCGCTCAGAAGAAGCCGCCAATCTTGCTGTATCTCTACTCGAGGCAATGTCCGCGCGAGAGATACCCTTATGGCTTGAAACGTACAGGTTGCTGATGCGGGATCGTTTTGTCACTCTCCAGTTGACTAAGGTCCTCCGCACGAGGATGGCCCACGAAGGAGTTGTACCAACCGCAGAACATCTAGAGGCCTTCCTTCGTGTCTTTTCAAACCATGGAGCCATCCAAGATTCGCAGGAATATCTCCGTGCCATCCGCCGATACTGTATAGAACATAACCTAACAGTACCTCACGGGCCAGATGTACACCTCCGTGGTGCTGATCTATCAGGGACAATACACCCCGCAAACACGCTATTCATCGGTTCTTTGCGGCATGACCGTGCTTCTGCATTTCATTACCTCCACAAGCTTCTCCAGCTCGATGCACACAACCCTAGGCCTGTCAACTCCCTCACGGAACCTTTGTGTCGCCACACATCCACAAAGTTCTGGTCTGGTGCAAAGACTGGCGTGGACATCTTTGATTGGACGACTGCCCTCGTTTCCGCAGCAAACGACAAGCGAACCTCCGCATCAACGCTTCTCGCGCTTTTCGAGCGTGCACGCGAAAGAACGAAGCAGTTCAAGCCCACGGTTGTCACTTATACTGTCCTCCTTCGTGGCTTACTCTTCCGCGGAGCTGTCGATGAAGCGCTGATGGCATGGAATCAACTGCTCGATTCAGATGTTTTGCTTGATCGCAAGGCGTTGACTGTGGGTGTGCAAGTCCTTACCCGTGCAGGCCACCCGCAGGATGCATTCTACCTGCTGAACTCGTTCATGGACGCACAGCGCACGTCTTCACATCCAACGTCCCCCCCAGATGACAAGCACGTCGCTCCAGCAAGTCATCATTGGATAAACATTATCGTCATCAACGAGTTCATGGTCTCCCTGCTTCGCATTCGCCGCCCAGACGTCATTTTCCAGATATGGGACAACCTTGAGCAGCTGTATTCTGTACTTCCAAACGGAGCCACGTTGCACATCCTCCTCAAGGCTGCCGTGCTTGCAGCCAAGATGGATAATGAGTCCGTGCGGGGGACATTCGCACACCTGTTTCGCGCGCCTACAGTAGAGTCCAGCAGCCCCATCGACTTGATCATGGAAATGCTCCAGTCTGCACATCCGCCATCTGTTGTTGGGATCTGGAGGGGCTGCCGTGCGGGTGATGTAGCTCGGGGCATTTTCCGCGATGTGATGTATGGAAATTGGAAGCAGCTCCTACATGTGAAGGCACCCGCCTCCGTCGTGCACTCCAAGGATGCCGGGGCTGCCCCTCTTTACCCGCTCGTGGAACTAGCCAAAAGCATCACAATGCCGTTCTCTACGCGTAAGGACCGTGATGGGCAACTAAAATCAATTACTGTGGATGCCCATTCTCCCGAAAAGAAGCTATACTATCCCTATCCATCCATCGTACCCACCGATCTGACCTTCGCAGCCTACATCCAGCTCCTCGGTCTCACTGCTCGCGCGTCAGAAATTTCGCTTGCTCTCGCGTGGATGCGTACACTGCAGATAAAGCCCTCGCGGAAGACATTGTCCATTGCACTGGTGTTCTGGGCCGAGGTTTCCTTGCGCGGTCCGTTGTTTGAGGAGTGGGCAGGAACGGCGAAATAAAGGGGAGAGTGAGTATGGGCGACTGGTGAGGTGGATAACTGAATGGGTTGGAGAGGAGGCTCCGACAGAGGAGGACGTGCAGAAGGCATTGAGAGCGGTGGCTAAAATGAGAGATAGTTCTTTCGGTCGATCATGATGTACGATATCCCATAATTTAATGTCACGTTGATCTGTTGAAGTCAGGCTACGAGTTATCGAACTAGCATGGAATCAGCTGCTATTGAATCCTAGCAAACAAAATCGGCCGTGTAAAGAGGACGGATACTTGCAAAGAGCCAAGCTGCCTGTTTTCAAGTACTTAGTATCTGGTCACGTTAACGTTTTGACGCGCATCAAATCATCGCGGGGTGTCACATGTCAATATCGCTACACAAATACCTGCCGCGCCTTAAGCTTCAGACATGGCCCTGGGAATCGCGCTCGACATTTACAAGGGTACGAGTTGCTGGCACCGCGCACCGTATCATGTGTGAATCGAAGAACTGTACGACCACTAATGAATCAGAGATATCTGTCTTTTAACCAATCGCGGGGTTAAATCTCAAGTGTTTCGATTGACAGGGTAGCCAAGCAACAAGTGCTAAAGGGTTTCAGATTCAATTATAAATACATTCACGGAGAACATCGCAGATACTAATATTAGGTCAAGGTCAGTGTCGATACAGAATACAGTCGCTGTCGACTAACACTACAGTCAGTCAGGTCTTTGGCAGAGAAGTGTTGAAACTCACGCGAAATAGACCTGGTACTCAGCCGAGGAAATCATCCTCAGTCAGAATGCGGCCGTTGAGCATCTTTCCGAGGTGAGTTGGCAGATACCCCATGCCTTTCCTTCTCATCCCGAACAACTCCTTCAGTGGAAGAAGCTGGGACCGCTTGAATGAGCACAATGATCTCGCAGCAGGGCGATTCTCCTCCCTGATGAACCCGTCACTGTCAGCGATCAAGTCCTCGTCCCCTAAATCCGGTGCATTGAGTCCTAAGAAGTTGCAAGTGCGGAGATACATCTCGTAATTGGAGAAATAGAGTTGACCCGCAAAAAGGTTGAGCTGGCAAACCAGCGGTTCCGACGATGTCGACCGTGGTGTCGAAGGAACGCAGTAGAGGCGAAGGTCATCGCATGCCTGCATCGTTTTTGTGGTGCGAGGAGTGTAGATGCAAAGGTGGACTGCATTGCTTCTACGGATGTCAGGTAGCAGTGTGTTCGCTTCGTTGGGGCTCACAACCACCAGCACTGGGGAGCGTCCAGCGCCACTGAATATAATCCAATTGACGGGCCGCAGATAATCATCCGCCTTTTGAGCATAGAGAGTCGTACGAGCGAAGTCTTGGGTGACTAAAACATTTTGTGCCCACTGATTGCGCTCATGAAATACAGCAGTAGTGCCAATAAGGCTGGACAGCGCTTGAATGAAAGCAGAAGACCCGACGGGAATTCGGCCGGTCTCGACGAATCGACGGACGTCTGCATGCAGCACATGAGCTGCAGGTTTGACTCTAGGCGGTCGTTCCACCCGACGCTCTCTCTCTACCTCGTGAATCACCTCCCTTTCTTGTTCCTCGTCCATGCTTCTTGCCGATCCCGACAGGACTCCGAGTTCCTCGCACTTCCTTTGAATGCTTAGATCGGAAAACTTGAATGGTTGTGGGGAGCTACTTGGTGCATACATATCCTCTAACGAACGCTCCTCTGGCTGCAACCAGGCGGCCTTCAGGGTGGAGATCAAAGTAGGGGTACGTGAGAATTGAGCCCATGCGGAATACCGTGCATTGAAATCCGATCCCTGTTGGATCCAGTGGGACGCACGCATCTGAATATCAAGACAGGTTTCAAGCATCGCCCAGTGCAGGATATCTGCCACGTCGACAGTGTCGGTATCAGCTTTCTGAGTCGCCGAACGAATGCTCCGGTCAACTTCAGTCGGAGCGAAGAACATTGCTGAGTGCCCATTGCCCAGCTTCCGCATTCGCATACATCCTGTGTTATTGGTTGTTACCAAATATGATATGCATGAATTCTGGAATCACGAACCTTGCGTCAGGCGGTCTTTCGTGACTTTTGGGCCAAGCGTGACAGCAGCTCGAAAACCGGAAGGTAGTTTGACATCTGTCCCTCTAGTATGGGCGTCGTCTAGATATACGACGCACTGGTCAAGTTGCTGGGCGAAGGGGGACGACACAAGGGGCTCGACTGTCCCATTCCGACTGACGACGACAAGTTCATCGTCGTCATCCACAAAGACTGCAGCTTGGGCGTTGCGCTTAGCTTGAAGCCATGCTTCGGCCAGCTCCTGATTCTTCAGTTCCAGCATCTGCGCACCTACGTCTAGGAGGACGCAGACCTCGGGAGTTTGTGCGACTAGAGCATCGATGAAATGTTTCACGTTTTGGCCGGGCGGTATGCATCTGTAGCAATTATTTTCCGGGCGAAGAAGAAATGCTAGAACCCGGGCGTTCGTGCTGCGTTGGTAATCGAGGTCATGCTGCACCATTGAGCTTGGTAGCAGATAGCGATTATCGTTCGTACCAGAAAAGCCGGTTGTGAGATGTGACTTCTCTTGAGCGAGATCCCACCCGGAGCAGGTGAGCTTACTTGGGAATCCCTTGGCTTCCTTGGGGAAAACTACGCGAGACAGGTAGAAATCTATGACTGCCTTGTTGGATGCGAACAGTTTCTGGAGGTCATGGAGCTGCTCCGCGGATTCTGTATTGATACCGCTAAGGTGCCGCAGACTTTCTGGGACGGACTGAAGTCCGAGCACCCAGGATTCATACTCGAGGTCGGGATTATCCTGCTTCAGCAGAAGTTCGAAACATAACATCAACTGCTCGTGAGTAAGACCCGCATAATAGTACGATATGCAGGTGAGGATGACAGCGACATCTGGATGGCCAAACTCTGCGCGCAGCGAGGGCATGTCTTTAGCACGGAACGGAACGGCCAACATCGTTCGCTTGGGGGCAAGGCCATAGTCCACGCGCCAGCGACGTTCTTTCATGGCGTGCACCAGAATACCATATGCCAGCAATCCACGCAAGACCAGAAGCCCGGGCCAGACTGTGGTGTGTCTATAGCAATCCTCCACTACACTGATACAGTCATTGGATATCTTCTCGGTCGCGATGAACTTGCGGACAGCTTGTTTCACTTGGAGAGATGCTTGGTCAAAGCCGAAGTTTTCAAGTGCACCACTTGTGACATCCTCTGCAATCCATTGGACCAACTTTTCACCTGCTGTCGGGTGCAGAATGCGAATGAAGGGGAATGCTCCATGCTTGCGAATGGATATATCTGAGTGAGAGGGAAGGTTCGCTCATGAGCCGAGCAGCGTGCTTTGCGACAAGACTCAGCACTTGTTGTGTAGTCGTCCACCTTTCGGGATGACCTTGAAGCGACCTTTGGAGACCGACAGTGTACACCAGCTGGTAGCGGACATGCAGAATTTCATCGCTTTCGTCCAGGATATCGCGTGTATGACTGTCGAGCCACAGCTGAACCTGCAGCATCTCTCTAGCAGCTTCATTCCGAGGTGATAGCTGACGGTCGACGGCCATCAACTCGAACGACAGAATATGGTCCGGTTGTACGACCAAAATACCTCTGGTGTCAATGCATTCTTGCATGAGATCACGATACATTTGCACTTTCGGGGAGTCGATAGAGAGCGCTCTGGAGAATGGAATATAGAAAATGCGCCTTTGCGCAAGGCCGCTTAGACGTTCAACCAGAAGCTGGAACATCTGAGCTGACAAGGACTTCAGCACGATTACTCGCACCAGTTTGTGAGCATCAGAAAGTGCGGCGGCTGCGAGGGGAACAATCACGTAGGATTTTCCTTCACCCATGTTCAGCTGGAGAGAGGTATTTCCTCCTGTGCTTGGCGACATCATCTCCAGCGCAACCTTCACCTGGACTGGCCGTGCCAAGAACTGACTTTCGATCTGATGTCGTTCATGATTAAAAACCATTGACGAGTGATTTCGTTTTACACGTACCTGTATTAAAAGCCAATCAGGGTACAGCTCGGGATTAAATCCCTCGCATCCTTCATTCTCCAATTCCTTGAAGAACTCGACCCAGTTTTTCTTTGCGGCAAAGACGAACAGCCTTCGCGAGCGCTGCAATTGCAGAAGCATTTGCGACAGGTGGACGAGAGCCGTACGCCATGCTTTCCCCATACAATTTCCTGATACAGATGCCATGCGGGTGAAGAGGAAGTTCGGTGTAATTCGGGGCCACAACCCAGCATTGTATAATGCGTTCTCAGCAGCAGAATCAGGGGAGAGGGCGTCTACAACACTTGCGAGCGAATCTTGAAATTGCCGGCTATGCAGAGAATGGTGCTCGAGCAGTATCTCCGTAGTGTACGCCGTAGGATCTGGCGGGGCAACCAGCTTCTCCTCACAGAAAATTGACCTGCTCCGCTCCAGATCATTAGCGTAGTTGTGGTGGAACTTATTGCTCCCTCGGTCGCGAAAGTCGTTGATCAGCTTTTGCAACCTTGATGAGACTCCGGGGTCTGGAGACACCACATCTCTCCGATTGGTACTGGGCAAAACGTGGGAAGAGCCAAACGTATGTATAACGGGCGGAAGGTTCCTATCGAAAAGGTACTGAGCATCGACAGACGAGGTTGGTGATGCAATATCATCAGGATTGGAATCAGGGTCATATCGCAACGGTAGCTTTGATGGAGGATTGGGAGCGTAGAACCGGTTGAGAGTCCCTTGCAGGACGTCCAAGTGTTCCTTCAAACAACGGTTTGCCCAACAGCTGCGGAATACCGGGCGAAGTTTCTTCGACAGTTCTTTGAGATTGAAGCAGGTTGCTTGCAGCGTATTGAGCGTCGGAGGAATCTTGGCACGACCGGACGGCACAAACTGTTCTGAGGATGACTTGCTTCTCAGAGCGACAGGTTTCTTCGAAAGCTGAGTAACGACGCCTTCCTACAGCCTTTTTACTTTCCCCGGGTATTGCAGCTAGGGATCTCTCCAGACTGTTTTCATAATCCTTCATACACGAACTGATGAGATTGCCCAGTGTCGCATCGGAGGGCATGTAGCCATCAGAGAGATCATAAGAGGTAAAATCCGGTGGGCCATGTAGGCTGCGAATTTCTGGAACTGTGACAAAGGCTAGGAATGTCGGGACGAGCGCGTGAGTGTCCGGCGAGCCGTATGATACTGAAGCCAGGGTGAAAACCAGCTTAAACATGTCTTTCTTCGTAGCACCACGAAAGCGGTCGTACGCAGAAAGGAAGATGTCAGGATAAGTCGGTTGAAGCCAGTCTTTGGAGTACCGTAAGCTGAGGGGTTCGCAAATGCCCTGGACCTTTTTCCACTGAGTCAACAAACTGAGTAAATTTCGTTGCACCGGAAGTCTGCTTGGCCACTGGTGTACCATGAAGGCTGTGTTGAATGCCCTCTCTTCCGCATGTTTATCAGGGACATTGCACGAAGTATAGATGACATCTGTGTTACCATGCGGAAGTGGCAGAGAGAACTGGTTGGGATAGACTGCCGAGGCACGAATGGATGCGCGCTCAAGGAGGTGATCGGTAGATGATGGGAGACTAAAGTTAAGATGATGGTTTGGAGATGTTTCTGAGAAACTTGAAAGCCGCTTGCCGTAGTCCATGATAGATTTTGCGACTAGATGAAAATCATGGTGCTGTGCAATGGGCGCAAGGGATGACCACGAAACTGTCTGCATCTTTCGGAGATGAATAGGATACCAGATGCGCCTAGTGGACAGCAAACTGATCTCACGCAAAAGATCAGTATCATGAGAACGAAGCTTCATGAAAGACCGGCAAGCTGGAGAATGCAGGAGATGCAACGCCTCTTCTGTTCCCGTTCGACCCGTCAGCGGATCAGGGAGACAGCCGCTGGTAACAGCGTGAAGGAGCGCCTGATAGAGCTTGCTCGTCAGACCCACATTCCCAGTGAGACAGCGTAGATCTGTATCAGCCCTGTACAAGTGGTATGTCACTCGGGGGCCTTCAGGAGTGATGGTAACTCGAATGTAATGGCCGTCAGGAGAATATGAGATACGACCTTCTGGGATGATGACAGTGCGCGGATGCTCATCTGCAAATTGTGACTTCGGACGCAAGACGAGCTGGTTGATCAATCCTATCATTGTTCCAGTTGACTGAAATGCATCGACGACCATGTTTCGCATGTTGCGGGACTGCAGATCCCCATCCTCGTCGACAAAGAATTCAAGACCATATCGAGGTAAGTCAACCTTCAGCGAGGAAAAAGTACCGCCGGACGCTTCGTCGGATGTGACCATGATGTAGCGGGTACCCTCCAGAGGACACATCCTCTTGGAGATCATGTCCCACGTTTGGCTACGTATGTCGACAAGAGTGGCACCGCCAGCCTTCTGCAGTGTCGAGGGGCCCGAAACAGTGAATTGCAAGGACCCAGTTATCAGAACAAGACTTCCATGCGTTTTCTGCTGGCCGAATCTCGATTTTTCTCGTGGACAAGTTGAGCCAATGAGTACAGCCTTCTATCAAGGTTGTTGGTAGGTCACCGACAAATTTTTGGCTCGGGATGAGTTGAAGGACAGGCGAGTCTCGGTCGGTATGCTTTGCACGATCTTGCACGGATAATGAGATCATTTGAGGTGCGTAAAGCAAAAGACACCTTCGGTACGGCATTATGTTATCTGCTGAGCGATGATATGACGACGAGCGACTAACCTGATGATCACAAAGATTCCCCCGTGTCGCATAATCCATTCCAGGAATATCAGCCGGAACGATGTCAAGGACTCGCTGTAAATGAAAGTCAGCGTGTGGGAACAGAGTCGCGACTTGTAAAAGACTGACATCACCGAATATTGATTGGTAGGTGGGATGTTGCACTATCTCTGACGGAAGCCGACCCAGCTGTTTTCCGTTGACGAGCAAGCACCCATTGACCAGATTGAAGTGCACAACTTGCGGTAATTGAGAGCATGATGGTGCGGTCTGCGACACAAGCCAACGAGAATTTGGAGCCGGCAGTGCCTTCCAAGGAGTCCCTTGTCTGTAACTGTCCCAGATCTCCGCAATCGCACAATCGAGGCCCTCCCTGTGAAGCTCTGTATATTGGCGAACAGCGGCTTCTAATGCGTGACAGCATCTCTTGTCTCGCTCTAGCAGGAGCTTGGAATGTTGGGGAAGTGTGTCCAGTCGGCTCGGAGTGTTGTCATAAATCATGACGCCACAGTATGCGAACACCTTGATATCGTTGGAGGTCAGGAGCAGCGATGCATCTCCGTCAACATCAAACGTGCTTCGACAGGTGACTGCCATGTCACGAACACGTCCTTGTAACTCCTGACTGACCGTCACGTCGTTGCTCGCTTGCATTTTCTTCGATAGCTGCGTCAGCAAGGTAAAGGTTGCAGTTCGAATCCTTTGAAGCAGCGAATATCCATGACTTCTTATACTCTCTGCATCAGTCGAGGACAAGATACGGCACACGAGCATGATGATAGTGCTTATCGTGACACCTTCCAACCAATTTTCTTCGACGCTTGCCATCAATGACTCCAGCTCTCCAAGTAGTGTACTGAGGAAAGGCACGTTGTTCAGCTCCTCGTGCCATAGAAGGCCCTCGTCAGACGACATTGGGCCAACCTGTGAAATGGCTTGGGCTAGTAGCAGATGGACTTCCTCGCGTCGAAAATTGAGTGTCCTTGCACGAAGCTCGCGGAGCACGTTCATCCATTGCAATCGCGGTCCACTCCGCAAGGCTCCGAATGCGATGAATTCGTGAATGGTCATGTCCTTGTGACAATCAGCCTGGTTTGCTATGACGTCGTTTGACGCATGAGACGTCTCCGCAAGGTACCGCTGCAAACGATCATATGGACCCTTGGGAAGAATGAAAGTGCATAACTTGCTGGAATTGGACGGCGACAGTACTACCTTGGCGGCCCAGGCATTTTTGACTGTATCAAAGGGCCGAAATACGAGTCCATTGTTTACACAGACACTGGTGTTCACCGTGGGAATATGAATGCGGTTGTAATGGGATTTGCTGAAAGGTTTGGCATCTGACGCCAAAGTCAGCCTCTGCCTTGGGTGGCACTTGCGGTAAGGCTTCAAGGCGCCATATTTCGGCAGTGTCATGGAGGGACAAGTGGGCGAAATATTCTCCGGAGTGCAGACGTCGATGAGGACATGGAATGTCATACACCTCCACATGTCGAAGGCGATGGGGCATACCAGCTCAAACACGACCGCGATTGCCTCTTTTTCGCGCGATGGTAGCGGCCACTCGTGAGCTGTGATGGTCATCGATTGCATCTGCTTTTCCAGGCGACACTTTTCACAGCTCTGTTGTTTATGGTACTCTGTGCCACGGGAGTTGACGGCGTATTCGTGCGATAAACTTGTTGCACGCTCGTTTAGGCCAGCGTACCTCATATTGAGGGTCCTAAGGTCAATCAACTTCTTCTCCCGCTCTTTCCGAGCATCCGCCTCGATGGTCAGCTTCAAATTCTGGAGCTTTGAAGACTGGTAAAAATATCGCACTGCGAATGACTTGTTATCGGCGGTAGATGAGAACACCGACAGGCGGATGGAAGCCTGACAATGACGGGCATTCAAGTAGGCATGTAACTGCCGTAAACGATCAAGGTCTGGTGATTTGGGGACCAGTAGACTCTCCCAAAGGGTTGATGGGATTTCGGGGGAATATTCTGCGAGGAGTGGGATTTGTCGAACGACGATCTTATCCATGGCTACCCAGAGCTCGGAAAGAGTGAGAAGCATGATTGACAAATTCTCCGGGTTTCCCTTGTAAGCGTTCAGCGCTCTCGAGGAATACGCAGAGGCGCACGCCTCAATCGAAACACATGCGGAATCAATGCTCTGTGGAGAAACACGCGCTACCCAGTCGTCAATCCCTGATCTAACGGCAGTCTCGAAGTCTGCGAGGGTAAAAGACGGTTCCGCAGCATGAGCGGCTACCAATAAGCTAGCATCAGCGTCAAGGAAATGGTCGATTTCTCCACGCATGCGGTGGCTAGGTTTGAATGAGGCTGTTTGGGGGGACGAAGTCTGGTTTTGTAAAGCTTGGCGTATGTACCCTCGGCTCGTGTTCAAGGAAAGATGCGTATCTTGCAAGACTCGGAGGGTCTCAGGAGCCCAACGAGGTGACGCCCGCTGCGTGTCTTGAATAGATCCCCACCTTTCTTCTAGAAGACTCCTAACGTCACTGGTGACCCTATTGACCATCTGTGATAACTCCGGAGGAGCAGAGGGCCCAAGCTTGAAAAGACGGCGCGCAATCTTTGCCGACATGAAGTGCAGAATGTTGTTCGACAAGTCATGGTCGAGGGCATGGGTCGTCAGCCTCGCCATGAAGAATAGCATGAATGATTTATACGTGGTTCGCCCGAGAGCACTGCGCTCTAGAGTCGTCTGCAAAGCAACGCGAATGACAAGCCAAAGTGGAGACCGTCTCCACGGCAAATTTGCGCTATCCCACAGCACATCATCTCCGATGCGCTTGCGGATGCGAGAAACATCAGCAATGCTCCCCAGGCCACGCAGTATGCTGGTCAGGAGTTTTGTGATGTGTCGAGGATGAGTTGTGTCCCTCTCTTCGAGAACAGTGGATTTGGCTTTTGTCCGCGTGGCTGCCGCATCAAGGACATCTTGATCCATGCGGGCGAGAAAATTTGCCAGCTCGGCGCGAAAAGCAGCATCGTCAACAATCGTGTCTGGGACCGTGATAGCAGGTCCAGGATACGAACATATGAGCTTTCCCTTTGCGCCCATCACCGCGCTGGCGTCAGGAGAGATCTCGAATGATTCAAATATTGTCTCAGATTCGAGTTTTCTCATGACCACCGCAGCATTTTGTGCACGAATCATATATACAAGGACATCTACGGGGTGATACTCAGCACGGAAAACACATAATGGGTTGGAAAAAACGGACCTTTGGTGTCCATAGCACTGATCTGAGATTCGACTTCCTTCGCAGACATCGCGCTAAATCTGATTGAATCGCTCAGATTCTGGAGCATCTTCAAGCTGCTCATCCAAAGCAGCTGCTTATCGGACGGCAGCTGGTCGCTGAAGGCAAGAGCAGCTTCCACTACCGCTTGAGATAAGGCTAGGTCGTTCTTGAGGGAATGGTCACTGCCTTGTGGTAATTTGAGGGGTGAAAATACATGATTGATGATATATTCCAGACCGGACTGGTCTGTTGAAAGAGGCTTTGAATGTTGGGGCATGATACCGTATTAAGATGAGAGAAGAGTGCAATGGCCGCTGGCGGCGACTCTAATAAAGAACCCCTAAGCGCTCGGCAGGACAAACCAAGATCCTTTGTGGACCCACAAAGGATGGTCGCTAGCAATCCGTATCAATAACACTTACGTATTGTCACTTAGTAACTAGCCGCAGAACTTTCACGTGAGATTTGAGGGCTGATGATCGTCGAGGCTGTACATGGGCATTGATTCAGATTTCAAATAAACGAGCTGACGGAAGGTACACCACTTGTAGACTCTGCTTATCAATGTGCATCGACTTCGTTCACGATTCGGCGCTCACCAACTTCGAATATTCCCAGCTCCAACACTACTCAATCAACCTTCCACCCTCTCCACCGCAGAAACATCCTCCACAGCCTCGGCACCCGGCCTTCTTCCGAACCTTTCCACTGCACCCCGCACGGCCTCACGAATCGCAGTAGGCATTTTGTTCGAAGAAATATCATCGGAACTTGGGATTCATCACGCGCCACATTCAAGTTTGGTCTAGACTCACCCTGAGGTGATAAGGATGCCTCGTTGCTGGCCCAACATTGTCCAAATATCCTGTACTGGTCCGTCACGAGAACACGCAAACGCGGTAGCGGATATTTTGCTTTTCCGCACAAGATTCCCATTCCAAGTGATAGTGCTGATCCTTGTGTGCAGAACGGCAACCAAAGTAGAAGGTACTATCTGGTGTCATCAAAGATCAGCTGATGTACAAGGACGGCCATACATACTGTTGTGTCCCTCGTATATACCGTATGACAGCACGCATAGGCGCAATGCCTGCTTCTGAACCAACGTACAGGATTGGCATGCTTGGATCCATAGGAGGGGAATGAAATTAAGCCCTTTCTGAGACCAACGCGAAGGGTATCTCCGGGATAAGATGTGATTTCATGTTCAGGAACTGCGCTATCACGCCATGCGGACCTGGTTTAAGACCTGACAGATAACTAGTGCAAACACCTTTCCGAGGAACTGTTAATTTTGTACGATAGCGCACGATAGCAACAGAGATGGATTTCGCGGGGATGGATCTGACGAAACTCAAGAGGTGAATTGCTGCAGTGGACGCGATGCGACTTGAGCTCACCTCAATGGAACTAGCAATCATTTTAGCCTCAATGGGGGAGACAAGTGAAATACATGCTCTCTCGGCATCCTTGCTGACCGACACCTCCCAGATCGTGTTTCCCGCGCAGACGGCAATCATACATTTCAATGTTCATCCTGCAAGTCCCAAGCAAGTTCTCAACAAAAAAAAGAGGCAGATCGACATACTACTATCGATACAAATTCGCCCGAGCTCGTCATAGAAAAATACCGCAGAAGTTGGCAAAAGCCTGAGAGCGGCAGGTCACAGCGAAGTAGCGTGCGAATTCCACCTTCCGATTCCGAACAACCTCCCATCATCGACGACTAGTGCAACTGTTCCCCCCGCGCCCGCTACCTAGCCGCAATTCTCTCAAGCGCCAATCACAATCTAATGGTCCCCGACCTGCGACACCAGCATATCTGACACTATCATCCTTGGCCAGCAGTGTGCAAGGACCATTGCAAAGGTCTCACCTTTTGATAGCGTGTTGTATGTAGTCTCCCCTAGTCAGACCCAATGTGGGACAACCTTGAACAGCTCTATTCCGTACTTCCAAACGAAGCCACATTGCACATACTCCTCAAAGCTACTGTCTTCGCGGCCAAAATTGATAATGAGTCCGTGCGGGGAACATCCGCGCACCTATTTCGCGCGCCTACAGTAGACTCCAGCAGCCCCTATCGACTCAAGCATGGAAATGCTTCAGTCTGTGCATCCACCATCTGTTGTTAGGATCTGGAGGGGTCGCCGTGCGGTTGATGTAGCTCGGGGCATTTTCCGCGATGTGATGTATGGAAATCGGAAGCAGCTCCTACAAGTAAGGCGCCCGCCTCCGTCGTGCACTCCAAGGATGCCGGGGCTGCCCCTCTTTACCCGCTCGTGGAACTAGCCAAAAGCATCACAATGCCGTTCTCCGCACGCAAGGACCGTGATGGATAACCAAAATAAATTACTGCGGATGCCCATTCTCCTGAAAAGAAGCTATACTATCCCTATCCATCCATCGTGCCCACCGATCTGACCTTCGCAGCCTACATCCAGCTTCTCGCTCTCCGCGTGCACGCCAGAAATTTCGCTTGCTCTCGCGTGGATGCGTACACTGCAGATAAAGCCCTCGCAGAAGACATTGCCCATTGTGTTCGTGTTCTGGGCCGAGGTGTCCTTGCGTGGTTCGTTGTATGAGGAGTGGGCGGAACGGCGAAATAAAGGGGAGAGTGAGTATGGGCGGCTGGTGAGGTGGATGACTGAGTGGGTTGGAGAGGAGGCTCCGACGGAGGGAGACCTGCAGAAGGCATTGAAAGCGGTGGTTAAGATGAGAGACAGTTCCTTTGGTCGACATGATATATGATATTCAATCTGTTGAAATCGGGCCACGGATAATCAAAACTACCATAGAATCGGATACTACTATACAAATGATTCACGGGTCGCGGACCCTACAAACTCCTACGAGCAAAGGATAGATTCATAACGAAGAGTAAACTGACGGGTAAAAAGAAGGCTGGGATCATAAACATGGTCGAACAGCATCTGCAGGAAGTGACTGCCACCATACGTATCTGTTCGGTACCTGAACATGCAACTCAATTGATCTGAATTTGAAGTACTTCATTCTTCCCTGCTTCGGTTTCCAGCCCAGTCCTCGAAGCAAGCGTCATGAGGTGGATGATATTGGTAGGGTCAAAGTCCTCCAAGTCTCCGAAGCTGCGTAGCGTGCCGTCCGTTGATACTGGTGTCCTCATAACTTGGAGAAACACATCTCCAGGCTTCTTCGAGTCTTCCACAGGAGTGTAGAGCGCAGCAGCGCAGGTGATGATCACCACGACGGCCAGAGGCACGAGGAGGAAAAGAGAGGTTGATCCACTGTATTCATATCCCATTGACCCCACATGAGTTACACCAGTGTACTCGGCCATGGAGGTGTTGCTCATCGGCTGGAGCTCCACTTGCCACACCTATAAATCAAGAACATCAGTCAAGTGCTAGATGAAAACAGTGGCAACTTGCCGTTGCGAGGAATTCAATAGCCCCTCTCAGGTAATTTTCCTACTTCGTGTCAGCGACGACAGTTCTTATACCGATGTATGCCTGAAACACTCACCAACGCGAAGTTTAACATACTACTGTTCATTGTAAGAGAATCATCATAGGCATAACCGATAAATTGAATACCAGCTGCCATGGAATTTCCAGAAAGACCCTGCGTATCAAATATCATATACCAGATGAGATTTGAAATCTGGTCTATATAAGCAGCTTGATGCCCTGCTGGGTCTAACGGCTCAGAATTCGTGGTATCGTTGATGTTCACGGTAATTCCATCAAATTCGACATTGACGGTTGTTATGCGAGGGGAAACTTGACAAATGGTGGGTGTGATGAAGGAGTACGAAGGGGCAAAGCCTTGCAAAAGAACAACTGCTCAAACTTCGGGTCAGGACTGTTTATCACAGGGTCCAGAACCACGATCAACTCACGGAAAGACTGGTTTGATGCCTTCTCGAAGTCCTGGTATTGGCAGACCGAGCCTACCAAAACACCGTCGCCCAGGGGGTAACCGGATGTATTAACCATTGCCAGGATATCACTAGTATCTGATAGAGAGTCGGTGACGGATTCCATTTGCAGTGAGTCCACTCACAAGCTACCGAATAATTTGAACAATCTGTAATCAGCAACCCCCTCAGTATATTATAGTCTGCTGGGACGGTCAGATTTGGCGCAGTGATCGAACTTCCCGGTGATTCACTCCAATACAAACCCGCAGATGGGTTGACATCGGTTGCATTGATGAATGCCTGTTGTCGGCATTGGACTTCCGCACTAAGGCCTTGCTGGACGGTCGTATAGGTTCGACTCCATCCTGTATACTCGGATGGGATGCTTGGACCAGCAAGTTGCGTCATCATCGAGGCAGTTGTGTATATACCCCCTAAGCCTCATGTCACATGGTGACCTTAGGCATACATGACGATTACCATACCTGTTGAACCATTGTACAGTGCACCCATAAAGGGCATGTAGTACGGTGAACCTAGTTCAGTCGTGGCTGCCGCATTTCCGGCTTGAAGATACAGAGTTACATCCGCAAGGCCCCAGTTTTGCACTGCCGGTATAAATGTCGTTTAGTTTAAATGTGACCGCCGAGTGAAGAGAGGTACCACCTCTTGCTGCATCCATGTTGGTAACGAGGGGGGAACTTTCACTAGGATACTGAGTAAGACTCCCTTGCCAGATAGCTTGGAGTTGGGCGGCGGCAGCGGAGTAATCCGCCTGTGTGCCCGTAAAATGAAACTGGAGGTTCATAGGTGTCGGGGTCAAAAAACTAGACCAACTACCAAGATTGCGCATTAGTAATGAAAAGTATATGAAGATGAATCATTAGTTACCTCGACGTGAGTGATCCGCATAACACGGCGTACAGCGATGTGTATGCCAGCCACGTCCAGTACTCCCTGTCGCTGGGTGCGATATGCTTTCTTCCACCACGCATGCATACCAGGGATTTTATCCAGGCCCAGGAGATCTTGAGTCCACGTACACCGAGGAGGATTTGTCCTGTTACAAATGAAAGGCTTCCTCGCAAAGCTTGCAAAGACAGAGTGTCACTCATTCGTGCTCTCAAAGCTACTTGAAGTACAAGACCGAGGAGACTGTAAAGCAATGGGTGAATCCTTAGCACGTTCAAATTGTGACGACAGGAGAACGCACAGTGTATTCAGGAAAGAAATACCTGTCGCAACAAGTGTTACCACGTAGCTTGTTATGCGTGGGTTATCAATCACAGCTCTTGCAGCTCTACTGGGCAGGTTGACGTGACCTCTGATATGAACATGGATCGCAAACCACAAAGCAAAAGTGAAGATAACAACTTGGAGGAAAACACAACATGCCAGCCTCCCGTTGAAAATATTCTGAACTGCACAGTGGCGCATAATCCTCGATGCGCCTCTCTGTACACGAAAAATAGAGGGGGGGAAGCAGGTATTGAAGATGTCCCTTGTCCGCGGGATGAACGCAATTGAATGTCCCGACCCCAGGAAGCTTGCATTAAAAACGGAAGACCTTTCTGCAGTGAGTTGAGACTAATCGCGGATTGCCACGCGTATGTAACCGCATCAGAAGGCTGTTCTAATCTTTCATGAGACGCGCCAAGAGTGCTTGTTCAAGGCAGACCTGGCGTAAAGTTCTGTGTGATTCAATATAATGCAGTGTAGATTTTACGTGCTTCAATTACCTGCTCACCCCAAAACTCAAATTCCCGAAGAAGATAAATTCTACGCACTTCATTGCTGTGGACTATCGGAAGCTACTTGAGCGTGCTTCTGCTCACAACAAGGCGAGTAGTCATGAACCGCCAGCTGGGAACCTTGTTTCTGACGCCAAAAAGATAGCATACTCTGGGGCAGGACGCACCAATTTTGGGATCATTGTCCTACCGCCCATTCTCCCCTTAGACTAACCCGCGTTGTGTTTTGAGCTGCCTATCACTATGCTTCGACTTGGCTGCTACATCGCTTCTCCGGTCCTTTTTCTTAAACGCCTCAGGCCTCATGGCTTGTTCAACGTTTATGTCCAGAACTTATTATTATGGTTCGGGCACCATCATCACGTTGCTGTATCAATGAAATTAAAGCGAAATATTCAGATCTATACAATTATCAACATTCCATCATGACATTAGATAATAGATAGCGCCATATCAAACCGGTACAACATCCACCTCCATGAAACCATGAAACGGATGCCTCCAACCGCATCTCCACTTTTCAGCAGCGTACATGCGACCTTTCATGGTGCTGGCACTCCCGCCTATATGATCCATGACGAGACGAGACGAAATGACAAGTGTGGGTTCCTTGGTGTTGTGCGGACATAACAGGTCCGCTCCAAAAAGGCAGTCTTGTATGATGAGGTCTGCAGGCCGATGTCCCACAGAGGGCGGGAGGGGGGAGTGCTGCAGAGCATGTGCACGCAATATGTACGTGAGGATGGGCAACAGGGTACGGTGAATGATTAAACCACTAAAAACACGAGGACCGTCAGTACACAGGACGTTCGTTTGAGTATGCGAACACAAACCTGCCACCGGTTCCAACAAATCCTCCATATTTTCCATCACGCTGGAGTTCGTTCATCACGCCAAGGATGCCTCGCCATCCCCACTCACCGCATACCGGAAAATCATCTTCCACAAGCATGACCCATTCTGCTTGAGATGGACCCTTTTCAGAAGCCCACCGGAAAGCTTCTGCGACATGTAAATGCTGATTTGAATATGAGTCCGCATGCATGTCCGTGTCTGTATAGAATGTAATGGGCGCTTGAGCATAATGCTCCTTCGCGTGAGTGAATGACACGTGTGTAGTGGCATGCGTGAACACAGAGAGCACCGTGTTTGATTCGGCATAAGGGAGGTATGAGGAGATTGTTTGCGACAGCAGTGAGTCGGACGAAGCTGCATCACCCGGACGGGGATAGGAGAGAATGAGAATCTCCAAAAAGGGCTGTGTTCCATGAGGAGAAGTGGGCATACGTAATACTATCTTGCTCGGGAGCATGGTGGTAAGAATGACATGTAAGGGTATGAGGAGCAAGAAGAGTATCGCAGTCTGCATGACTATGCGCAACCGTCGCACGTCCAGCGCCATAGGGTGGTAGGGATGGTATCGCAGATACGATTTATTCGTGACCTGAACAGGCCATAGCACTACGGAGGCTACGGAGGCCATGGCATATGTCCACGGCGCACTGTCAAGCCAGCATAGGGTCAAACCCGTGCATATTATCACCAAGGATTCCATAGTATCGTTGCGAGACTTCTGAATTCGAGGATTTGTCCATGACTCAGCACCATACATTATGAGGTATGCTGCGAGTGCAGGACCGATGCCACTTGATGGACTCGTACAACGCCCAGTGGTTGAATAGTCGGGGGTAGGCCCATCCTACGCTACGAGAAAGCAGAAAGCCGGAAAGCGTTCTCGCGAAAGGAATGATGAACCAAAAGGCGAAAATATGAACCGCCAATACCTGCGGGAAGCATGCTACTATGGCGGCTTGAAGAAGGCGCGAAAGTTGACCAAGTGTATGCGTTGGCAAGGCCCAAAATGCAGTAATGAATGGCAGAAGGTCTTTCCCGTAGATGAGTTGTCGAGGTGTAAATTGAGTAAACCTCCAGGTAGGATTCAAGAAAGAAATGGCGAGCGGAAGAACGAGACTGAGAGCAAATACAATATTTATCTTCGATGGTCCATGTTGAGGCATCCTGGCACCATCCTCAACCAATTCCAAAACGGTCGAAGCAGTAGGCGCTAGTACTAATAGTCTTGGCAGCAGTCCGTGACCTAACTTGAAGAGTTTCGTGCACCCCATCGTGCGAGTACTCCACGTCATCGATTGGCTGACTTGATTAGCCTGTGCTCGATTGTAGTACTATAGTAGTATATTTATCGTATGTACTATGTATGCTATCCCGGGTCTACTATAGTCGACACATACTAAATTCAACGATGTGTTACAAGTTGCAACACGTTCGGATCCTGCGTTACAAGCCGACCCCACAACCTGCGACCTGTATAAGGCCGTCACATCGATTCTCGGATGCCCACCCCGCGGGCCAGTCGACCCATGAAGATCTCCTTGCTGTCCCAGATGGTCATCATTGCGGTGACCCGCGCTCTCCCTGTATTTGAATTACACCAGTCGATAACATGATGCACGCTAGATCGTTTGTGCGGTCTGCAGCCCTGAGCTCCGTACTTGGCAGCTCAAAAAATTCCGAAGTAGACTTGAGTCTTGGGGCGTGGAGCATTTTTGCTCCGGACAGGGAGATAACTGCCTGAATTAATCTTGACTCGGACTTCCCCGCAGGTCGTGAAAGTGGATGGAGTGTGGAGTCTCCTATAATAATACATCAATACGTAACCGCGCGGTCTCATGATACCACCTAGGTCGCGCCATCAAAGGTCATCGATGAACACGAGATGATTGCTGATTGGCATTGCCATTTGGCAATACGTAATGATCAGGCGTGCTTAATCTTACAAAACATATCTGAAGTCCCTATTCTGCCTATCCGTCAAATCCAGGAATTCCTATGCAGGCAGAATATTAGCCCTGTACCCGAAAATGAAAAATCGATTTGGAGAACGCACCTTATCGACCTTAACTTCCACACGCTTGCCATCCTCAGTGATTCGCTCGATAACGTATTCTTCTTCAACGTCGGAAGGCTCTGTATCGCGGATCCGGTTCTCTCGGACGAGGACAGCACGGATGACAAGGAGAATGATCGGACAGACGACGTAGCATGCGCCGATGACAGCCCATGGGATATGGTTACTGCACATGAATCATGATTACTTCGAATCTTGCTTCCTAAAGTCAGTCGAAGAATGACCTACCGCGGCTTGTATTGTGCCTTCCACATGAAGGGGCCAGCTGCATTACCAATGCAGTAAGCCGAGAGCATGATGGCATTAGTAGCAACCTGCAGGTTGCGGTTAACACTAAGGAAAGAGTTCAATAAATGGCGGAGTACCTACCCTCTTCGTATGGCCAGCAGTCACGCTATTGAGCCACGATAACGACAGTACAAATCCAGGCACACTGACACCAGCTACGGAGCGATGAGCATACAAACACATTATGAGCATCACACGCACACAGGAATTGGCCGATAAGAAGTCCAGTCTAATATCGTGTGGTGTGATATTACAGACAACTCGCTAAACTCGCAAAAGCACATACCTGATCCGACCAAGGAAGTAGGTTAACCAACAAGATGCCTATCCATGCCGGGACGAAGTAGATGGCACCGACATATGCTCTGGAATTGGGCCGTCGTGCAGCAAGACGAACACCAGTGAAGATTGTCAAGATTTCAATCACACCAGGAACACAGGTCAAGAGAGTCGTCTGTAGAGTGCTGAATCCGAACGAAGCGAGGATGAGTGATTGTTGGTTTGTCAATGAGTTAGGCACGTTGTCTAGAGCCGAGAAGAGGGCGAAGAGCCATGTTTTGGGGTCAGTCAGGGCCTCAATCATCCTAAATATGTGTACGTGAGGAATGAAAAATCACAATTACACCTAATACGTACTGCTCCATCTTGAAGTGTTTGTTTTCTACACCTGTTTGGTTTTCCTGCGCTGATTGTGAAATAAGGGGATATCAATTCGCTTAACAGACGTGCCTTGATGCGTTGCACGGCTTTGGCCCGCTCATCAGGAGTGAGGAACCAGGCATTCGTAGGGGAATCGGGGAACAAGAACCTTCATCAGGCGGAGATATCTTGGTTAAGAAGACTAGGTACCAAGAATTTTTCTTCATTAACTCACCAGAATGAGATGGCAAGGATCAATGTTATTATACCGGTGATGATCATGAGCCTGTGATCTATCAGAGAGAGTAGGAAGCGATGAAAAATAAATGTCAAACCATTGCCATGGTTCGAACCCGTTGGTCTTGATGTGCAAAGTACCGTAGCTGATGAAACCAGAGATGATTTGTGCTAGAGTCCGCGGGCTTAGGGGGCAAGATCAAGCATCGCATTCCAGTAAGCGCACCAGTGCCATTCATGAGAACTGGGGATTTAATTAGTCGACTTCGCCGATCATTTGCGAACTAGAACTTACACCAATAACCAACACGTAGCGTCTGTTCCGTTCGCGTGTAGAACATGGAGCTAACAATCAAGAATCCAGCCGTGATCGACCCCTCACATACGCCTAGTAACAAGCGCACAACAAGAAGCCCAGCAAAGTTTTTGCATGCTGCGTGACTTGCAAGTGCAATCGCCCAGATGAAGATATTAATACTAATGCAAGCTATCATTGATATTCGCGCTGATAATGCCTATGAAGCCTACCTCATCCATTTCCCGACCGGGAATCTCTGAAGGGCGAGGTTCTGGGGATACTCGAAGAGAAGATAACTGAGATAGAACACAGTGCCAAGCCTGAGAGATAAGTGTAAGGTAAATGCAAGCTCGAGCAATGGTTATCTTCTCACCAGTTATACCTGAAGACAGTTGACCTTCAAACTTTCAACTCCAAGAACAAGAAGACTTACTCATTGGTGGTCAGGTGCGTTGCCTGTCTGATAACATACGTCAGTACCGAGTTTGACTGGTCTCAATATACAATACTTACTGAATCCCAAGGATGGCCGCAGAACCCAAGGTTGTCTTGTCCATGAATTGTACCCTATGCGCATGTAAGCGCTGATTTGTAATGAATACAGACAACCTACCAGTAGAGAACTGGGCAGTGATGGTCAGACGCAATCGATTTAAACAACCGAGTAGAGCAATCGACTCACTACACATAAGAGGCATGATATGTTTATCGATCTTCCTCCTGAGACGAAAGGCTTTTGAACAACGCTGATGTGCATGCAGTTTTCACGGCGCACCTTATTCTCAAAGCCTCATCGGGATCGAGAGCTGAAGTCAACCCAGCAACGAGCTGGGCACCAGTGTCAACATCCTTGGTCGACAAAGAGACCCCTGCATGTTTCTCGTCTCCGAGTACAACACTGGAGGATTCCAGACTCATTTTGAGAGGACGTGAAGATGTGGCCGTAATTTGAAGGAAGAAGCTTCCAGCGCTTGCAAGTTGATTCGCCTATTTTATGTACGCACCTTAAAAGCTTGGCACCATCACGTTGGCGTAGATAAGGAATCAACAAGTATCTGTTGGGTGGATGCGCGTCTAGGCGCGTGTGCCTGTCCTGGAGCCGGGTGACTGTCATTCTGATCCAATTACCCCGTTAATAGGATGAGAGCAAACATACACGATCGACGGCAACCAATACGCAGCACAATTAAAAATAATCTCCGTCTCGGATCCAGAAATGCCACCGTTGAGTTTGGCGGATAGTGACATTTTTTCTCGCAGGTCCATCTATCGCATGTGACCCACCCGGACCGACGATCGAGGCATACTAAGTAGGGTATACCGTATTGCCCTACGCTACCGATACACGGTGTAGAGCAAATCGAGGGTTTTGGAGAACAGCCTGGCCTAAGTTCGGAGACGAGGCTCAATTGTGCCATGTAATAAGTTGCTGAGTAACGTGCATACTGAGTTTGGCCTAGTTTGACAACAAGCTCTGAATCAAGGTCATGCTCTGTTAAACCGTTTTGATCCAGTTTTGAACGCTCTCAGGTCATAAACTCTCAGACCCTCGAAATTTTTAGGTGCGCCTGAGCGCAAACGTATTTCTGTCTTGTTCGATGAATCTCACGCGGCTCTGTACGGTCACCGTAGTTCTGCCCCAGTCAAAGCGCATATATTTCACGAGCTCCCACAGATAATAGTCCAATTATTGACACCTGAACGGTTGTCCAGTATGACGTCCACCGTGACCGCCGCGTCTTTGCTGCCGACAGCAACGGGGCAGCTCAGCACACAACCGCCTATCACGCAGATCATTCCCATACTCCGTGCGACATTCAGTCTTCTGCGCACTTTCTTCTCTCAAGCCTCACGAGTTCTGGTTGTGCTCGCCACCCCGTTACTCATCTTCGTACCCTTTGTATCCCGCCTACTCGCTCCACTCATACTCGTCTTCCATATCGTATTGGACGCCGCAGTCTACACTCCATACACGATCATTTCCATCGCAGTTGTTGCGCTCTATCCCGTCTATATATTCTGCGGCGTTGCTTGCATCAGCGGTGCGGTTCTTGGTATTCTTGGCAGGTCCTTGGTCGCACTCTCGAACAACGCCATTGCTCCCGGACCACCGATGACTGCAGAGTCGCTGCCGGCGGCGTCGATGCGACCAAGGAAGAGGAGGAGAAAGAGTTCTTTTACGGAAGATTCATAATCTCTTTTGCTTTCACTTCGCTGTACAGCAGATAAGTTCCGACTGTCACGAAAAACAGTCATCTTCTAGAGCACAGGCTGTCCACCAATGAAGTTTAATTGGAGCCTGTTGCGTACTATATCCTACGTATAGGCCCTCAAGGATCCATTCAGGCGATAGGATTTCAGACTTAACTGTTAGTTATGGTTCAGCTCACGCAGTTCAGAATAAGTAAGCTAGCGATCATGTAACCTATGCACTGGGGTGGGAAGGGGAGTGAACTAGTATCCGATACTCCAATTTTTCTCGCTGTCGTCGAAACTTTCGCTGCTCCTCAAAGGGTACCTGCTCTGCGATCATCATCATCATCGCATGCGTCAAACGTCTTGATCATCGATTTGATGGCCTCGGATGCAAAGGTATACTGATCTACAAGCAATCTTCAGCACTACAGAAACACATGTCACGAAACAACTGACCACGGTCGTGAGGGTGGTGACGCGGATCTAAGTAGTGAAGAGGATCCTTCTTCAGGTCGCCGTACACACGCATACTCTGAACTTCCTGACGTATATCTCCTGATGGTGTTGTTAGCCTTAAAAATCTCGGAATCAGCTGAGATTTTACTGTAAGACGATAGAGATTTCAACGCGTCAGTCACACGCCGAATTTGGGCGGGATAATGACTACTGAGCATCTCGGCCAGTGTTTTGTCTGTCTTTATTTCACCACGTAATTCATCCTGAGGTTTTTATGAGCATGTTGCGCACCAGGCTGTCTTGAATCACTCACCGTGAAGCGCCATCTTGCATAAAACATGAGTGACGGCCAGGATGTCTACAGCTGCGCTTTTAAGACACCACACAAGAGCTTCTACAATTCCGACGCCAATCATGCGCAGACGTATGTCCTCTGTATCTAAATCAGTGTGCGTTCTCGATAGCAACATCCGGACCAACCATGATCAACGATGATGCGCAAGTATTTAGCAGCACTGTTCTGAACAGCGTCGATTTGAGTGTTTCCGAACATCTTGCGTAATATTCCAATAACGTTTCTTGGGTATTCGGGCGTATCGACAATAGTGGTCGGCTTGTGGACTGATCTGTATGTTACCTTCTCCAGGACGTAGTTGGCAATTTTCTTGGGCAGCCTTTGGGATGCATCCGTGACGTCGTAGTGGAAGTTCCAGGAACCGTTGTCGAGTGTAGGTGGATGCTTTGGATCTAACATCATGGATCGCAAGTCATCTGCCCCTCATAAGAACCCGAGAGCCTGTAGAAATACTAAATGTTCGAACCATTGTTGAATATCTCCTTCAGGATGTCCATGCCCTCTCGGTGAATCGTTCCGTCAAAAATGCGTTTCTCGACCATCTGCAGCAGGTGCAGGTCCACTTCTGTGTTCATTATCCACGCCTTGGCGTCGCCTAAATGTGACCCATTCAAACTCGTTAATCAAATGCCTCGGAGCACTCACCGTATTTCATGAGAGTCAAAAGCGCGTGCGCAGCAAATAATGCGTGGTCTGGTTTCGCCAAATTATCAACTATGCTTTGCACGCCTCCGCTATCAATGATTTGTTTGCGCAGTTTATCTGAAACGATATCAGTTTTCCTGGGGCAAATATTTGGCGAACCAAACCGTGTTTTGATAGCGTTGTGAGCTCCTCAGTGGCCTCTTTGCTCCTTTCTACTATGCTGCTTTTCGAAAACGCAACTAGTGTGTCTATGTGCGAACCCTGTGCTAGTGCATCACGCACATTTTCTGAATGACAGAAGTTATCTGTTAAGTAGGGTCTTTTGAGACGGTTTCGGACACGAACCGAATTCAGCGAGTTCCGTTAAACCACGCGGTCCACCACTCAGGCCCTGGTTGTCGAACTTGAATAGCCCAATCAACGTTACAAGAATATCGCATTCTATAGCCGCCGCACGGAGTTGTTCTATGTTCGGAAGAGCATTAGCGTTGATCACAGGAAATGGAAAGGTGCTTGAACCATTGTGGCAAATCTCGCATAATGCTGCCACTGCAGCCGGAGTGACAAAGAAATCACGACGTTTCATCAAGGTCTCGAGCATTCTGACAAGCTCCTTCCCTCTGATTCCAGACAGGTTATCCTGCGGGATTCTCCCTGAACACGAAATATCAGAATTTCATGATTTTGAATGAATCTATATCGGGACTCACTTTTGCTGGACATAGCTATTAAGATCCTTAAAGCAGCAACGGTAACGATCGCGGCTGAGATATAAATGAGGAAGGGTAACTCGGACAGATTGGCAGGAGATGATTCACATTCGTCTTTCAACATAGCAAGGATCTTTTCGATAAATTTGGATTGTGAAAGGATCCGAGTTGTTTCAACTTTAGTTCAGTCGCATATGAGGGGTGCGTTAGAGGGGCACAATGCGACTAACCGAAGCGTTGCGCAAGGAAAGACAGTGTCCTCGCTGCAATGAATTTGTTGTCGCCGGCCGTCTGACAGAGTTTGATGATTTGATCAATCAGTTCCTCTTTAAGGAGCTTGTTTCTTAGTATTTCTATTTCGCAAAGAGCTGGAAACGCTGCGCAAGCTCTGCCTTGGTAGATTGGGTCATTATCTTGGAGCATGTCCGGAACTTTGAGGTCGTCTAGTATGCGTTCCTTGATCAGGTCTTGTTTCTCGGCTGTGTTTTTCTGAGGAGTCGGAGACAGCGGTGGGAAGACAAGACATACCAAGTTTACAGTACGCGACGAATGCACTGAGGCGCACGAGACGTTTATCGGGTTCGTCTTGGGCCTTATCGACATCTCCGGTCTTCTCTGGAGCCGGTAGAGAGTCGATACCAAGTAAGCCCTCGAGCGACTCAAGTGCATTTGCGTTCCGGACAACTTCAACTCCGAGTTCTGGAATTAATACAATCAGGTCGGCACGCCATGATCATCTGGCAATCTCACCAGATGAACACATGAAGGCTAATCGATCAACGTAATCAAGTGTGTGTTTCTTGTGAATTGAACCGGCGAGAGCTTCAATGGTTGAACGTCTGAAAGGGAGTTCCCAGGCAGGACCAAGTTGTGATAACCGCTCCTTATCCGAGGCATTATGCCAGTAGATCGCTTCAGGCCATTGCTGGAGATTTCTCCAGAAAATTGCTTGTGACCGGTAGTTGGTATGAAACAGGACCGATGCATGGACCTTTTGACCGGGTAAGATGACACGACCTCTTCCAAAATGCGGTCTACATGTACTCAATGTAGCAGCCAAATGGAAGAACATTGCCACTTACCGTGTCGTATGCTGGTTAGAGTTATTGTAACGAAGACGTCTGATAGGCGAAACCTCAAGCAGCCACCACGGGAGGGTTAAAGAGTCCGTAATCTTGGGTTCCTTCAAATCTACAGATCTGAAAGCTACCTTTGGAGGATGGAGCAAAAGCCCTGCCTCGAGAGCTTCTTCACGCATCCATAGTAGAGGCATGTCTCCGAAGTTAAGCGGATCGCCCGTCTTCTCCCTGCTTCCACCTCCGCTGGAACAAGTTATCAAAGGATTGCCTTCCGGTACAGCTTGGGACACATACACATCGGAATGACTACCCGCAAACCAAACCTCTTTAATGTGAATATGATCTTCGTCCTTGGAAGGTGGGGACGATATGCCCTCGAGAGGTGGGGGCGATCCGTCCTCGAGCCAGTTCGATCGTTCGCTCATGCCACCGTAGACAAACTCAGGTAGGAATTTCACCCTGCGTTCATCTAGTGCCAGTGCCTGGCGGAAGTAGCAGACGTGATCACATGTATCGGTGGACGGTAAGTTCTTGGCCTTCCTGATACCAACAGACGAAACAGTGTCCCTAAAAGGTGCATTAGGTATGCTGATATGGTCGACTCAGGGATAACACTCGCCATACACCAATGAAATGCACTACAACATTTTTTCTCGAGAATGTGGCTTTGAATCCCTTCGCAAGATCGCAATCTTTGAGCTTCCCGCTGTTAATGGCGGAGTAAAGCTGGAAGCCACTGCTGAAGTCAGCTGGTGAGTGAAGAACAATCGTCAGATGCACTCACTAGGGGATCTGTTCTTTGTTTCCAGGTAATATGAGCCCCACCTATTAAAAGAATGATGAATAACAAGGATCAAACATCTAGATCAAAATCGATAGATACTTCGTGGATCATTCCTGCTAAAGCACGAACTTGGTATGCACCTCTTGAAAATCCTGGTCTCGCCTTTTAGTATAGCTGACTACATGTGATGTCCAGGCGACTTACCAAACAGGAAGATCTTATCGCCATCACGGTACTTGTCTGAGAGCCATCTGTAGGCATGCATAATGGTTCGGCTGATATTACTTTACTACCGTTACCGCGAGTCGTGAGGGTCAACTATATGATACTTACTGGGCAAATGCCAGATCAAAGACACTCGAGATCTGATCCATCAGTTGTGTATGCGCGAGACCTTCGGGCCTAGCATACGTTCCTACACCACTGTTGTAATAGGTCAACTGTGAGTCATCCTTGACGATCTTGCTATATAGTTCGACGATATTGGTGTTCTGGGTACGGACGTATATCATTATAATATATCATCGTTAAAGATGCGCGTCGCGCGACCTACTTTATCACCATATTTGTTTGACGTCCCGTCTGCAGAATTGAATAATCGTAATCCGGAACTATAAGTCGAAACGCGCACCAATGCAGATAACCAGATTTCTCCCTGGTTTCTTCTCCTTAGGACATTTACACGGTTTCTGTAGTCGAATGTTAAGAACGCTGCCAAGTTCTGACCCTGTGTCGTACCTCAGATGAACTGGCTGACATCTCAATGTTGGGTGAAGATCAACCTGTTCCCAATGTCGAGGCGGTATGACGTGCCACGATACTGGCTGGAGTGCGTGAAATATTAAATGGGTTATCTTGCATCAGTAAGGTTTATATTGCGCTAAAAAGAGTATGCCCACAAAGGTGGAGTACAGGAGACGCCACACCTCTTTGGAGGCTGAGTTTAGCCAGCTGAGGAAGAGCCGCACCAAATCCATGAAAACTGCCGTACGATTGAGTGAAATTGCTCGCTATTTTTCACACCGCGTTGCAAACATGATTGTTAGACAGCCGAGCAGGTGAGGCAAGTTTGCACATCGTCCTCAGCGTCAGAAGCAACGTTGGGCGTCTGGTTGTCTTTCTATGAACGCGTGACACAAGCATGCAATAACTGAATCATGACGTGATAAACGGAAGTGGAAAATGATAAGGCTGCATTGCGAAGACACCAAAAATCTAAGATGAAGTCGTTCATGCGAGGTGCGAGCATGCGGTATCACAATTTACGTACAAAGTGTTTTCCAATCATAACGCATCCCCAAAAGGTTTAGGGTCTCTTAGGGTAGGGACGATTCTTGTGCGGAGACTGTTTCTGGGAGTCTTCTCCTTCATGCCGCGCGGAACCACGTATTCATGAGAAGAATTTTCAGAATGAGTCACATAAGATGCGACCGATACGCCGGTAATAAATGCGAGAACGTCTCGTAAAGCGCTTGCCATGATATCTGCAGATCGAGCGCCCGGAAAAGCGTGATTGGCAGCATGTTTCAAAGCATACTATTCTGCAGAATGGGGTTGGAGTTGCGAGCAAAGGTCTAGACAATGATAAAATAAACAACTTGCGTAACGGCCTAGAAGTCAACCAGAAGCCATACGTCAGGAAGCTGGCCTCTTGAAATGACCAGCTTACGGCCCAAACGGCGTGTTGGACCCTGAATAAACTCTGTTATAGCATAGTTGTCTACCTTACACGCCCCAGTCAGATAGGAAATTGCAGAGTTCCGCAATGCACGCACACTGTGTTCGCGAAAGAGGGTAACAATATCAGGAATTGATGACATCTTCCCAAGCATAGAAGTATACCACCTAAAGGCACACTGATCAGTACATCTCAAGGGTTGAGTTGTCGATGTGACCAACTCGCCGGCACTTCGTCATCAACTGTAGGCTCGCTGAGAAAATGCGAGCGACGAAATTCGTTTCTCCGTCTGGAGGTATCATCCCCACTTCTGCTCCTGAGCAAACCTGAGTCAATTGTTGTTCTCTTACATTCGTGGACCACTGCATACCAAGCTCCTTGAATTCGGCTGAAAGTGAAACGTCCTCGGCGCTACTATAAAACGGCGGGTGACACATGGTGAAGTCGAAATTTATAAGTACTTGACGGTTGAAGAATTTACCCCGCTGAATTTAACCAGTAATAGTACGACGCACATGTCAAGCCCTCTGACAGTGTCAGAAACACAACTGGATTTCATTATGTCTTGTAGCCAAAGAACTTAATTTAATCTGTTTAGACCTCTAGGGTAAGGCAAAAATTGAAGTTCAAAACAGACGAAAATTGCAAGGCTCACTCAGTGGGGGCAGAGCCTGGTAGTGTTGATGAAGGGCCATAGTCGAAATAAAAGAGCGCTTCTGTTAAATGCCTGCCCTCAAATTTAAAGTTTATTCTCCCCTAGCCAGACCAATCGAAGGAAGACAGTCATTCCTTCGCATTGAGATCGTACTTGACCCCGGTTGATAATTTGAAAGACAATGAATAACATGGAAAGTTCAGCATCTCGGAGACTTTCACTTGACGTTCGGGTATTGTGGTCTAAGGGGAGGGTAGTGCCTCGCAAGGTCAGCGAAATCAGGGAGCTCGATGTACCAAGAGGGACCTTAGTTGAATGAGAGGGACCGCCGGCAGCATGCCAGACTCGGAACTGACTCATCTGAGTCTCTTCAGGGAGGTCGTGTTTACTAAGCGAGAAGCTTACTGAAATTTCTGCCAGGTTCTGCCACAACAAGTACTAGCGTCACGCGAAGCTCGAAGTTCTTTTCGACGTCCGTGCAGTGTACTACGGTCACGTTCGTCTACGCTCTCTACTAAACGTCGATCGAAATTTGAACATTCGCGACGGTCGAGGGTTGAAAAACTCTCTCCATCGTGTCACACGTTGCACAAGCTCACAGACCCTCGAACTTTTTGGTGCGCCTGAGCACAAACACAGAACTTGTCTTGTTCACTAAATCTCACATGGCTCTGTACGGTTCAGCTCTAACTTAGTCGAAGCGCGACAAACGTTTCACGAGCTCCTAGAGACAATAATTCAACTGCTGACACGTGAACGGTTGTCCAATATAACGTCCACCGCGACCGCGTCTTTGCTGCCGACTGCCATGGGGTAGCTCAGCACACAACTGCCTATCATGCAGATCATTCCCATTCACCGTGCGACATTCAGTCTTTAGTCTTCTGCGCACCTTTTTGTCCCAAGCATCATGAGTTGTGGTCGCACTCGCTACTCATTTTCGTCATACTCATCTTCTATATCGCATTGGACGCCGCAGTCTACCCTCTATACACGATCATTTCTAGCGTAGCTGCTGCGCTCTATCCCGTCCATATATTCTGCGCTGTTGCTTGCATCAGCGGAGTGGTTCTTGGAATTATTGGCAGAATTTTGGTCGCACTCTCAAATGACGTCATTGCTCCCAAACCACCCATGATTGCTGAGTCGCTGCAGGTGGTCTCGATGCGACCGAGGAAGAGGAGAAGAAAGAGTTCTTTAACGGAATATTCATAGTCTCTTTTATTTCGCTGTTCAGCAGACGAATTGGGATTGTCACGAAAAAAACAGCAATCTTATCGAGCATAGGCTGTCCACCAATGAAGTTTACCTGGAGCCTCTTGCGTACTATATCCTATGGATAGGCCCTCAAGGATCCATTCAGGCGATACGATTTCAGACTTAACTGTCAGCTATGGTTCAGCTCACGCAGTTCATAATAAGTAAGTGCAACCTGTGCACCGAAGTGGGAAGGGGAGTAGACTAGTATCCCGTACTCTAATGATTAATGTTCTTCGCAATCGTCGAAGCTTTCGCTGCTCCTCAAAGGTTAGCTACTCTGTGATTTTCTTCGTCAAATGTCTTGATCATCGATTTGATGGCGTTGGATGCAAGGGTATGCTGATCTACAAGCAACCTTCAGTGCGATAAGAACAGATGTCGCGAAACAACTGACCACGGTCGTGGGGGTGGTGATGCGGATCCAAGTAGTGAAGAGCATCCTTCTCAAGCTGTCTGTACACACGCATACTCTGAACTTTCCGGCGTATATCCTCTGATAGTGTTGTTAGTTTCAAATAAATCTCGGAATCAAATGAATTTTTACCGCAAGACGATAGAGATTCCAATGCGGCAGTCACGCGCAGAATTTCGGCGGGATAATGACTACTGAGCATCTCAGCCAGAATTTTGTCTGTCTTGATTATTTCACTACGTAATTCAGCTGAGGTTTTCATCAGCACACCACGCAACTCGTTGTCTTGAACCACTCACGATGATCCGCGATCTTTTTCAAAACATCATTGACAATCCGGATGTCCACATCCTTGATACACCACACAAGAGCTTTTACGATTCCGACGCCAACCATGGACGAGAGTGCGTCCTCTGTGTATCCATCAGTTTGTGTTCTCGATAGCAACATCCAAACCAACTATGATTAGCAATAACGCGGAGGTATCTCACAGCGCTCTTCTGGACTGAGTCGAGCCGAGTGTTTTCAAGCAACTTGTGCAAAATCCCGATGACATTTCCTTGGTACTGTTGGACAGTGGTCGGCGATCCGTGTATTACCTTCTCCAAGATGCAGTTGGCAAGTTTCTTGGGCAGCCTTTGCCAGGGTGCACCCGTGCCGGGGAAATTCCAGGAACCATTATTATCGAGTGACAGTTGATGCCTTGGCGCTAACATCATAGATCGCAGGTCATCTGCAGCTCATAAGAACCCAAGAAGCTGTGGAAATATTGAATGTGCAAACCATTTTCGAATATCTCCTCAAGGATGACCATGCCCTCTCGGCGAATTGTTCCGTCAAAAATGCGTTTCTCGACCATCTGCAGTAGGTGCAGGTCCACTTCAGTGTTCATTATCCGTGCCTTGGCGTCGTCTAAATGTGACCCATTCAAACTTGTTAACAAAATGCCTCGGAGCACTCACCGTGTTTCATGAGAGTCAAAAGCGCGTGCGCAGCAAATAATGCGTGGTCTGGTTTCGCCAAGTTATCGACTATGCTTTCCACACCTCCTCTATCAATTATTTGTTCGCGGAGTGTATCTGGGACAATATGAGCTTTCCTGGAGCAAATATTCGTTAGATCACACCGTGTTCTGATAGCCTTGTGAGTTCCTCAGTGGCCTCTTTGCTCCTTTCTACTTTCCTGCTTTTCGAAAACTTGACTAGCGTGTCGATGTGCGAACCCTTTGTTAGCTCATCACGCACGTCCTCTGAATAATCGAAGAAATTATCTGGTTAGCAGGGTATTTTTACATGGTTTCGGATACGAACCGAATTCAGCGAGTTCCGTTAAACCACGCGGTCCCCCACTCAGACCATGATCATCGGACTTGAACAGCTTAATTAATGTGGCAAGGACACCGCATTGTATAGCCTCCGTACGGAGCTGGCCTGTGTTCGAAAGAGCATCAGACTTGATCACAGGAATGGGAAGGGTACTTGAACCATTGGAGCAAATCCTGCACAATGCAGCTACCGCGGCCGGAGTAACGAAGAAATCACGACCTTTCATCAGCGTCTTGAGCGTTTTGACAAGTTCCTTCCCCATTTTAGACAGGGTATCCTCCTTGATGCTCTCTGAGCACGAAATTTTAGAATATCATATTGGTGATTGTTGAACGCTAGGCCTGACCTACTCTGAACATGGCTTCTAAAATCCTTAATGCAGCGGCGACAACGACCTCGGCTGGCATACATCTTAGGAAGAATAGTAGATTAGGAGGGGAAAGCTCACATTTTTCTTTCAACATAGCAAGAATTTTATCAATGCACTCGGGCGTTGAAAGGATGGGACAAGCTTCATCTGCAGTTCAATCGCATGTGTTTGAATCTACGGAGAGACATAACGAAACTCACTAGCGAAGTGTTGGGCAAGGAAAGACAATGTTCTCGCTGCAATGCATTTGTTTTCTCCGGGCGTCCGACAGAGCTCGATTATTTTATGGATCAGATCTTCTTTAAGGAGCTTATCTCTTAGCGTTCTGATCTCACAAAGGGCTGGAAAGGCTGCGCAAGCTCTGCCTTGGTATATTGGGTCCTCGAGCATGCCGGGAACATCGAGATCGTCGAGTATACGTTCCTTGATCATGTCTTTGTTCTCGCCTGTGTGTTTCTGAGAATTAGAAGATGGTGATGGGGAGACAAGACATACCAAGTTCGCAGTACGCGACGAATGCGCTCAGGCGCACGAGACGGGGATCGGGTTCCTTTTTGGCCTTATCAGCACCTCTGTCCTGCTCGGGATTCGCTACAGGGGATCCCTCCTCCTTATCTTCTGCAGGTTCGACGCCTTCGGTAGGTTTGTTGTCGATACCGAGCAAGCCTTCTAGCGTCTCAAGTGCATTGACCTTCTTGACCGCCTTGACTCCAAGGTCTGGAACACATAAAATCAGGTCAGCAAGTTACAACCATCTGGCATCTCACCAAATGAACACATGAATGCCAAGCGATCGACGTAATCAAGGTTGTTTTTCTTGTGGATTCCAACGAGAGCTTCAGCAGTCGAGTATTTGAAAGGAGCTTGTTCCCAGGAAGGACCAAGTCGCGATAACTGCTCCTCTGAGGCTTTATGCCAGTACATTGCTTCAGGCCATTGCTGAAGATTTCTCCAGAAAATTGCTTTCGACCGATAGTTAGTACGAAACAGAACCGACGCATGGACCTTTTGACCGGGCAAAATGACACGCTCTCTTCCAAGATGCGGCCTACACGTGTACTCAATATGTAAGTCAGACGGAGGGAGGAACGTCGCAACTTACCATATCGTGTCCTCTTTGGAGTTATTGTAGCGAAGACGTCTGATCGGCAAAGCCTCAAGTAGCCCCCACAGGAAGGTTAAAGAGTCGGTGATCTTAGGTTCCTCGAAGTCTTCATATTTGAAAGCTACCTTGGGAGGATTGAGCAGAAGCCCTGCGTCGAGGGCTTCTTCACGCATCCATAGTAGAGGCATGTCTTCGAAGTCGAGGGGATGGCTCGTCCCCCTCCTTCCACCTCCTCTGAAACAAGTTATCAGAGGATTGCCTTCCGGTACAAAGGATACATACACATCTGAATGGCTACCAGCAAACCAAACCTCCTTAATATGATCTTGGCCCTTGGGAGATGACGACAGTTTATCTTCGTCCTTGGAAAATGACGATGGTTTATCTTCGACCCAGTTCGATCGATCGCTCATGCTGCCATAGACATATTCAGGTAGAAATTTCACTCGACGCTCATCTAGCGCGAGTGCTTGGCGAAAGTAGCAGACGTGATCGCATGTATCGGTGGACGGCAAATTCTTGGCCTTCCTTACACCAACAGATGAAACGGTGTCCCTAAGTGAGGCATCAGGTATGATAATATGGTCGCACTCGGGGATAATACACACCATACGCCGATGAAATGTATCGCTACGCTGTTTCTCGAGAACGACTCTTTGAATTCCTTCGCAAGTTCCCTATCCTTGGGCCTCCCACTATTGATGTCTGAGTAGAGCTGGAAGGCACTGTTGAAGTCAGCTGATCAGTCAAGAACGATGATCGGATATACACACTGGGGGATCTGTTCTCGGTTGCCGGGTAATATGAGCCCCACCTATCGAAAGAATAATGAACATCAAAGATCGTAGACCACAGATCAGTCGATAGATACTTCGTGGATCATTCCTGCCAACGCACGAACTTGGTATGCACCTCTTGAAAAGCCTGGCCTCGACTTTTAGTATGGCTAACTACATGCAATATCCAGGGGACTTACCAAACAGGAAGATCTTATCACCAATCTTGTATTTGTCTGAGAGCCATTCATAGGCGTGCATGATATTTTTGCTGATATTACTTCACGTGTTCAAGGCCGTTACCGCGAGCCACGCAGGGTCAAAATCCAACAAACTTACTGAGCAATGGCCAGGTCCAAGATACTCGAAACGTGCTCCACCACGCGTGTGTGTGTAAGACCGTAGGGCCTGGAGTATGTTCCTACACCACTGTTGTAGTACGTTAACTGTGTGTCAGTCTTGATGATCTTGCTGTATAGTTCGACAATATTGGTATTCTGGGTACGGTTATCGTCATCACCCATCATCGCAGAAGGCGTGCGCGACCTACTTTATCACCAAACTTGTTCGATGTCCCATCTGTAGACTTGAACAATCGACTCATCTGGAATTGTAAGTTAAAACGCGCACCGATGCAGATAATCAGATTTCTCCCTGGTGGATCGACAGTGGGACATTTACACGATGTCTGCACTCGATATTAAGAAGTGTGCTGCTGAGTTCGGTCCCAGTATCGTACCTCAGATGAACTGGCTGACGTCCGAGTGTTAGGTGAAGATGAATTGGTTGGGTTGTTCCCCGATGTCAAGGCGTTTGGGTCTGCTATCATACTGACTGGATGTTAGATGTTCTCTGGTATCAAGGCGCTTTATATTGCGCTGAACAGAGTATGCCAAAGGAGGTGTGGCAACCTGCACATGGGCTGCATGCGGGAGTGCTCCGCATAGTACAGGAGACGCCATCCTTAATGAAATATTTGGCGTGCTGAAGAAGAGTCACACTAGATCTAGGGTGAAATAGTTCGCTATTTTGCACACCGTGTTACCAACTTCATGACTGTTCGATAGCCGAGGAGCTGAGGCGAGTATGCGCATGATTTTTGGCGTCAGAAGCAACGTTGGGCGTCTTGTTCTCTGGTTATGAACACGTGACACCGGCATGTGCAAGGGCTCAGGGGCACAATCGTGAGGATGCATGAGGACACCAAAAATCTGAGACGGAATCGTAGGTACAAGCATGTACTTACGTACATTTTTTTTCAATCAGAACACATCCCCACGGCTCTTGTAGGGTAGATACTGTGCGGCTTACATGACTAGCGAAGCTCTCAAAGATCAACCGATCTTTGCCCTCAATCCAAGCTCGCATGGGATGTCACCCTTTGAAACATAGGAGGATGAGGCCTTGAGGGTTCTCGGCATGCAATCGAACAACGCAAGGCTGACGGTTCTTGATCTGCGCAGACTGTTTCTGGAAGTCTTCCCCTGCGTGCTACACAGGACTACGTGTTCCTTCGGGCATGCACCAGCATGGTAGAAGAATTTTCAGAAGTTACATAAGATGCGCTGGTGAGATGTCTGCAGGTCGAGCGCCCGGAGAAACCTGATGCAGCGTGTTTCCAGAAATATTCTTCACGGTTAGATTCGAGATGCAAATTTAGGCCCAGACAATGATGAAATAAAGAACTTGCGTAGTGCCCTAGAAGTCAACAAGACATCCTGCTTTTGGAAGCCTGGCATCTTGAAATGACCAGCCAGTAGCCTAACGGCGTGTGGCCCAAGAGGCAGGGAGGTTAGCGCCTGGCAAAGCCAGCGAAATTAGGGGGCTTGTTATACGGATTGCGAGGATACATGCAATCTGATTCCCAAGAGGGATTTCAGACTGAGGAACCGATGCACAGTCTGAAGTGCATGTAATCTTAGGGTTTGGCTGGGTTTGAATTATGCGCAACCGAATATGTAGTAGACCTGCCCTGCCTCAAACGGCCACGTTGAATTTGTCTGTGCCCTCTGCAAACGTTAATCGAGATCATTGATCATTGAACCTCGAGTCAGTCGAGCGTTGAAAACTTTTATCTATCATGTCGCACGTTTCGGACCCTCGAACTTTTTAGGTGCGGTCTTGGGCACTAACTTAAAATCTCACGCGGCTCTGTACGGTTCAGCTCTAACTTTGAACTCAGTCGAAGTACACATAGTGCGTTTCATGAGCTCCCACTGACACTAATACTGCTGACAGCTGAACATTCGAACGTTGTCCAATATGACGTCCACCGCGACCGCGTCTTTGCTGCCGACAGCAGCACTAAACTACCCATCACGCAGATCATTCCCATCCGTGCGACATTCAGTCTTCTGCGCACTTTCTTGTTTCAAGCCTCGCGAGTTGTGGTCGCGCTACTCCGTTGCTCCCCTCGTATCCCGCCTCCTTACTCCTGTCATACTCGACTTCCATATCATATTGAACGCCGTAGTCTACATCCCGTACACGATATGGCATTTCCAGCGTAGCTGCTGCGCTCTAACCCGTATATATATTCTGCAGCGTTGCTTGTATCAGCGGAGCGGTTCTTGGTATTCTTAGCAGGCCTTTGGTCGATTGCTCCCGAACTGCCGATGACTGCTGAGTCGCTACAGGTGGTCTCGATGCCACTGAGGAAGAGGATCACAAAGAGTTCTTTCACGGAAGATACATAGTCTCTTTCACTCCTATTTCGTTGTTCAGCAGATGGGTTGTGACTGTCATGAAAAACAATAATCTTGTAGAGTGCAGGCTGTTCACTGATGAATTCTACCTGGAGCCTCTTGCGTACTATATCCTATGTACAGGCCCTCAAGGATCCATTCAGGCAATACTTAAGTGGGTAGCTCACGCAGTTTAAAATAAGCACTACTATAGTAGTCAGCCAATTAAAATTGTCGATCGTTTCCTATATTTTAATGTTCTTCGTAGTTGCTCCTCAAAGGTTACTTGCTCTGCGATCTTCATCGTCACATGTGTCAAATGTGTCAATCATCGACCCAATGGCTTTGGCTGCAGAGGTATACAGATCTAGAGCAACCTTCAGCACGACGAGAACAAATGTTGCAGAACAACTGACCACGGTCGTGGGGGTTGTGATGCTGGTCTAAGTAGTGAAGAGGATTCTTCTCCAGGCTTTGGTATGCAGGCATATTCTGAACTGTCTGGCGTATATTACCTGATGTTGTCGTTAGCTTCATCACGGAATGAGGTGCACGCTGGTGCACGTGCGTTTCTTTTTACGGTAAGATGATAAAGATGTCAACGCAGTAGTCACACGTCGAATTTCGGCAGGATAATGACTACTGAGCCTGTCAGCCAGTATTTTGTCTGCATCTATTATTTCACTGCGTAAATTCTTTTGCGGTTTTTATGAGATATTAAGCAACGAGTTGTCTTGAAACACTCACTATTACGCGCAATATTTTGTGAAACATCAGTGACAGCCCAGATGTTCACAACCGTACTTGTAAGACATCGGTAATATGAGCCCCACCCTGTTCGAGAGCCGAGCAGGTGGCACAAAGCAAGAATGCACAGGAGCCTTAGGTCAGAAGCAACGTTGGGCGTCTTGTTCTCTTTCTACGAACACACGACACGCAGTAAACAGGAGTGGATGCATAATAAGGCTGCATTGCGAAGACACCAAAAATCTGGGACAAAGTCGTTCATGCGAGGTGCAAGCATGGGATATCACAATTTACGTACAATGTTTTTTTTTTTTTCAAATCATAAGACATCCCCAGACTCTTGTAGGGTAGAAGTGACTTTTCGGCTTACATGACTAGCAAAGCTCTCGAAGACCGACCGATCTTTGCCCTCAACCCAGGTGAATACAATCTCGCATGGAATATCGTCCTTCAAAATATAGGAGGATGAGGGTTCGTGGCATTCAATCGAACAATGCAGGACTTGTGGCTCTTGTGCGCAGACTGTTTCTGGAAGTCTTCTCCTTCGTGCCGCGCGGGACCAGGTGTTCCCTCGGGCATGCACCAGTATGGTAGATGAATTTTTAGAAGCCACAGGCGCAGCCGAAGATGCGACCGATACGCCGTCAATAAGTGCAAGAACGTTCCGTAAAGCGATTGCCAGGATGTCTACAGATCGAGCGCCCGGAAACACGCGATGAAGCGTGTTTCGAGGAGGCATCATATTCTGCAGGGTGGGGTTGGAGATGCGAGCAAAGGTCTAGACAATGATAAAATAAACAACTTGCGTAACGGCCTAGAAGTCAACCGGAAGTCATACGTCTGGAAGCCTGGCATCTTGAAATGACCAGCCTATGGCCCAACGGCGTGTTCGACCCTGGACAAACTCCGTTATAGCATAGTTGTCTACCTTACATGTCCTAGTCAGATAGGAGACCACGGAGTTCCGCAACGCACGCACACTGTGTTCGCGAAAGAGGGAAACAATATCAGGAATTGATGACATTTTCCCAAGCATAGAAGTATACCACCTAGAGGCATACTGATTAGTACATCTGAACGGTTGAGTTGTCGATGTGACCAACTCACCGGCACTTCGTCGTCAACTGTAGGCTCTCTGAGAAAATCCGAGCGACGAAACTTGTTTCTCCTCCTGGAGTTATCATCTCCACTTCTGCTCCGGAGCAAACCTGAGTCAATTAGTCAGGTTCTCTTACAATCATGAACGCCATATTTCTCACTGCATTCGGACCAAGCTCCTTAAATTCGGCTGAACGAGAAACGTCCTCGGCGCTACTATAAAAAGGCGGGTTGCACATGGTGAAATCGAAATTCATCGAACTTGCAAGTAATGGTTGAAGAATAGCACCATCAGCCGGCACGTGCTGAACAATAATGCGACTTTCCATGGAATTCTGAGTGATGTTTTGTTGGGCGAACTGAACAGACCGTCCATCGATATCTAATGTATGTCCACGTCACATTTCAAAAGCATACCAATGGTGCTTACCTGTAGCTATGAAGTTCCAAGTAGGCTGAATACGACAAGCCAATAACGGGTAGATTGCTGAAGCGCCAGTGCCACTGAGTTGTGTTTACACCACTGAATTTAACCCGTGATAGTACGACGCACATGTCAAGCCCTCTGACAGTGTCGGAAACGCAAGTGGATTTCACTATGTCTTGTAGCCAAAGAACGTAGTTTAATCTGTTGATCAAATTTCAGCCTCCCTGCATCAATTCTCTGAGAAATGAAAGCACCTGTTTGGCACCTAAAGTGCATCTGGCGTGAGATACAACAGAAGAGTGTGACGACGAGGCTCACTGGGGGGCAGAGCCTATCATCTGGTAGTGTTAATGAAAGACCATAGTCGAGATGAAAGAGTGCTTCTGTTAAACGCCTGCCATCATTGGTATATGGGAAACAATCGGAGCATAAAATTTCCACCACTCACCTTTGCGCTGGAAGGCTTTTGAAGTTTATCGTGCTTGACCCTGTATGGTTGATAAAGACACTAAATCACATGGAAAGGTCAGTATCTCTCTGAGGCTTTCGCCTGACAACCGCGTACTGTGGCCTGAGAGGAGGGTAGCGCCTCGCAAGGTCAGCGAAATCAAGAGGCTCGTTGTACGGATTGCGAGGGTGCATGTAATTTGATTCCTTGAAGACTTCAGAATGAGAGGAACCATTGAATGCAGACTACTTAGCAGCTTACTAAGCGAGACAAAAGCGAGAAGGTCGTTTTTGTTGTAATGTACTTACCTTTCTTTGAATCCCCGCCCCGTGCCCGGTATCTTTGTATGGTCAATGATGACCCCGCCGGGTTCCTCTCCCAGAGTAAGTAACTTTGGGCAAGATCAGGAATCGGTAGTGTGCAAAAGACAAACAGTATTTGCAAATGTTCTCCGTTCCTTCAGTTTAAACTCGTGAGTTTTGACTCTCCTCGAATTCCTTCTGTCGCATATTTGTTACTTGTTGTTCACCTACGACGCGGAAAACAAATATAGAATTGGAGGAGTCTCCCACAGACCTGTATCACCAGATTGATTGCAGTTGATTCGAGGGTGGCCAATATTAATGCCTAAAACATTTCGGTCAGGGCGCCGGCCGCCGGATGCGTTCGGCACGGTACTACGGAACACTTGTTCCACCTCAGAACTTGATGCATGTCATGCTTAGGATCATAGAGCATCCACAGCCAGCCGGGCTTGATCCAGTGGACACTACCATCCGGAATTAGCTGCTCACCGAATAAGACTTCTCCCCGTGCAAGTGAACTAGCTGCGGTGTCAGCTGACTTCCTCGCATATAAAGCTGCCCTTTCCTCATGCCGATCGTCTGAACTCTCTGAGCTCAATCATCTATCTTCCGTCTTATCTGATATTTACTTGATAATAGCATGCGTGCTTATCGTTTCGACAACCTTGAGGGTGACCAACGTCTCCCACATGACTCTGGCATGGAAGTTCCAGATGAGGTTTTGAGGTCTATTGGCGTCCTGCACTGGCACATTCCCATTGATACCGAAGGAAAGTATGAGCAGGAGATTGCTGCTATTGCGAAGGAAAGGGATTACAAGAACCACGACATTATCGCTATCAGCAAAGAGGGCCTTGGCGATGAATATGAAACAAAGATCAAGAATTTCTACCACGAGTAAGATCTGACTTCTTTGCTCCCCCGACGAGTCTCGAGAGCTGTACTCATTACTAATACTGTACATTTGATATCTCAGGCACATGCATGAAGATGAAGAAATCCGATACCTTCTTGAAGGCAGCGGCTTCTTTGACGTACGTGGTATGTGACCCACATCAACATTGGAGCTTCGTGCGAGATTAACGCTATGCAGAACACTTTACTGAATCCTGGATTCGTTGCCACATGAGTGCCGGAGACCTCTTGGTCCTCCCTGCGGGCATTTACCACCGCTTCACCCTTGATATGGGCAACCGCGTTAGGACCATGAGACTGTTCAAGGTTTGCTCTCAGCCTGTTTTCGTTGTTGTATTCTGACCGTCCTTGCGCTCCAGGATGAGCCTAAGTGGATTGCGCACAACCGCGGTCACGAAACGGATGTCAATACCTACCGCTTGGAGTACTTGAAGAGCATTGAGGTCCAGTAAATCAACATGCCTATGGTTGAGCATATGATGTATCTTGTAAATTAGACGCCAATTCTAGTTCTGTCAAGGTTTGGCTTGGGAAGACTAATGATAAGCAGTATTAACTGGGAAACTGCCACACAGTTCCGAGTATCGCGGTTTTATGCCATCGATGACTCACAGTTACATAATTTCCTGCTGCACAATATTGATGGACCATGCTCAGATCTTTAGAACAAGACTCCCAGGCTGCCGCTATCTTGGACAAGTGGTCTGCTACTATGTCCTGCCTAAACATGGAGATGGTAAAGATACCCGACATGAGAGCATACTTGCCTTTGCTAAAGCTGGCCTGCATGTGGAAGCGGCTGGTAAGTAGCAGTACGGAGAATTGTGCCTTGCAGTTCCGTTATGAGTCGCCTGGATCCAAGAGAAGAATGGTAGGCGTTTCTAGATCTATATGTTTATGATATGATAAAGAATTGAAAGGTAGCCTTGTCAACAGGTTGAGGCTTGAATATTCACATCGTCGTATCAGTGCGGGTCCCCGCATCACCTTGGTCGTGCATTCAGGCGGGGCGAACTAAACAGCCTGCAAGCGAAAGCTATATACTGCTCTGAGTCAGCTGATTCTGATACGTACTGTCATACGTACTGCGCCACATGGAGACTTCCATTTTACCACACGAGCAGGCCTCCGAACCTTGTCCGAACGACGAATACATTTAAGTATATCATGACCAGAACCAATCGATGTTATCCCACAGACAACTCATTTTTGTCCTCCCATCGAGGCAACAGCACTGGCAAGAATGCCACATCTAACCTTTGCAGTGCTCGGTAGCTTACAGCTTCTCGCTGGAGTATCAGCTCAAACATGGTGAGTCGATGTGCCGACCACAAACTTGAATGTGACCAACAATTTTATTCCTTCAGGTGCAATAAACACTACATGGCCAGCCAGCCTGTTGTTCCGCCAGGTGGTAACTTCCCTGTCGCGGCTGCATCAAAAGACCCACTTCTCGCCTTCCGGTGTGCGGCTGCTATGAAGCCTTACTTGGCAGAGGATATAGGCACGCCTGCAGGCGTCCTCATTGATTCGCCCGTGGTCTACTCAGAGATATCCGGAGCACAGCCAATTGACCTCCTCTCAGGACCTCTTTCCAGTGCGGGCGAGTTGGATGTCACTGTAAGCCTGAACGGAAAGACCCTCGTCAACGCACTCGTGCCACTCAATGCTTCTGCATATGAGCTATCATTCAGCCTCGATGGGATCACTCCTCAGATGACCCCATACAACCTCTCTTGCGAGGCCACGTACGCAGCAAGTTCATCTTCACCTCAGACCTATAGCGCCTCAGCAGCTCTTTCTGTACTCCCTAATCCGACCAATAGCTCCGTGACTAAGATGGATCTAAGGACTGGAGCGCTTCTGGCAAAGCCAGCAACTGGGTTGGGTGGAGAGTATGAGCCAATCTTTCCGATTGGCTTTTATACGACCTTTGACGGATACCTATCAACAAATCTCTCGGCGGTTGATACACTGAAGGAACAAGGGTAGGTGTCTTCTCATGTGATCGTCCATACAAAACTGATACTGGCCTTTAGTTTCACCATTGTATGTTTCCTAACGTTTGCTCAGAAGAGTCAAGTGCTTACTACCAACACAGATTCATATTGTCCCCACGTTCGACAACATGACTGCCTTTGAAATGGTTCTCGATCGTATGCAAGAAGTCGGCCTGTATCTCATGTACGACATGCGTTTCACCTACATGAACAACACTTCCGTGATGGAGCAAGTAAATTCTATCAAATACCGCCCTAATCTCCTACTATGGTACACTGGTGACGAACCTGACGGAACATCAGACCCACTGAACGCCACAAGTATTGCATACGATCTCATCTACAGTCTGGACGGTTACCATCCCGTCAGCCTCGTGTTGAACTGCCAGGACTACGAATGGGCCTCGTACACCGCAGGCACAGATATCGTCATGCAAGACGTGTACATGATCGGGAATAATGTGACCTGGTCCAACGAGTGGAACACGACTTGCACACCTGACTATGGTGACTGCGGTTGTGACAATTGCTTCAGTATTGCTGCCGGAGATAGTGCTGCTGTTCCACCCAACTCTACCTATTATGGGAGCACCGTCCCTGCAAATAGCGGTGTCGGGTCATACTTTGATATCAGTGACCGGGTTGCAAGCTTTAAAAATCGACTGGAGGTGATGGGATGGGAACGTACCAAGGCGGTATGGACTGTCCCTCAAGCTTTTGGCAGCGCGGAGTCAGTTGTCCTTGTCACTTTCCTGTATCTGCTGTTGTTGACGTCCTTCGTCAGGTATTGGATGCGTACTCCTACGGGCGAAGAATGGGTTGTCCAGAGCATCATGGGCATTAATCACGGTGCTCTGGGTGTCGTCCCTTGGGTAGATCCGAATCCCGACTACATCAAGATGGCGGCGTCCGGGTTTGCGCTGAGCTTGCCGAAGCTGACGCCATTTTTCTTCAACGCTGCCTCAGTGCGGAGCAACTATTTAGTCGGGGGCGTTGACATCGCTACTTGGGCAGCAGATACTGAGACGCTCGTACTCGCTACCAACACCGATTATGTCACCTCGAAGGTGACCTGGAAAGATATCGGACTCCATGGGGGTGGTGTTGAGGCTGTGTACACGAGCGGAAGTGTCGAGAACACTGGGAGTAGTTTCACGCTTGGGAGTGTGGCGTCTGCGGCCTTTGTGGTCCGTTCGTAATAGTTTCTAATGGGTTCAAGAGCTGGAGATACCAGTGGACAGACATTCATAGTTACCAGGGTGTGTTATTTAGAAATACCACGGGTCATACCATATCATATATAGACTCCATGATTTTTGCCCCCAAAGAAAATAAAGTTGTGGTGAATTGCAAATCGTATCATAGCTCCACAAGACGTAGGTAAATATACTCAAAGGTACAACACCCCCCAGTCGCCGAGTCGTGCTGGTTTCACATCAGAATATTCAATACCTGGATATGAGCATGCCACAAGCTCGTTAGCGTAGACGTGTGGTCCATGAGGTCGACACAGCTCTGTGCTATTCGACGGCGGCCCATGGCTGAAAAGAAAAATGAAGTTAGCGAGAGGTTTGTGCAATAAAGGGCACGAGCAGAAAGAAGTCAGGTTTATTTCATATCTCGACATCAATGTTAAGACAGGGATAACTGAAAATTTTAGAAATCTCATCATAGACAAACAGCACAAGTGCGAATAGAACGTCGGACTGGATCGAAGTACTTACATTTGATGTAGCAAGTGCGGTACAATAGATTTGATGGTGACCGGCATTTGACAAGCTAAAACAACAGAAGAAACTGAAAGCTTCAAATGGCTCCCTTGAACGGGCCCTGGACTCGGTTTATAGGTGAGTGTTCACTTGGAAAGTGACAAACTCGTAGAAGGATGAAATCCATTGATGAAGAGGATGTGGGCCCGGGGCATGTCTAAGTGGTTGCAGTAAACATCAACAAAAAAAATTATTGCGCCTTTTGATGTGACCTTTGGCAAACAAGTGACAAACACCTGTGGGAACTGGAAGCGGGAAGTTCCGCGAGTTCCGCGGTAACAGATCTTCGCAACTTGCGCAAATCCATTGTAACCTCGAGACAAACAATGTACAAGCAATGTAGAAATACGATTCTAGCTTGTCTAGATGCAGCAAGCTACCATGGTGTACTAGTGACCAAATGAATGATGATGTGTGTGCCTATGTGCCATTAAGATGTTGGCCGTAGTCATGAAGTCTTCTTCGTAGAAGCTCGTTTGGAGTAGATCATGTCGGTGAACGGCCTAGTATTGTCGTTCAGATGCGCCGATCCACGATTGGGAAAGTGAAGGACTTACCCCTCAAACCGTAGTGCGATGAGGTAAACGATATACACATACAAAGTAACGAGGAGTCCGGCTGGACGCTCGTACCTGCACGCAACTGGTTCAGCTCATATCCTAATTTGCCCAAGAGAAATACAATACCACAAGGCCGTTGCAACAAAGCACATCGTACTGCCAACATACATAGGATCCCTCAGGACATTGAAGGGGAAACCCTCCACGCGGTGATCCATCAAAATACCGAAGTAATCCCCGAGGAAAGTTCCAGTGACTCCGAGCGCCCATGTGGAAGTGACAACAAACAGCTGACCGATAGCGAACATAGCAATTGGTACCTGGGTATCATATGGTGCGGGGAGCATAGGAACACGAGGTTGGTCGCTCAAAGCGCGCTGATATCTGCTAAGCGTCAAGCAATGTCTACAGAACATTTGTGCACCTCGAACATACAAATGGTCACGAAGCATTCCGAAAGAAAATATCATGCTGGCTAGGAAGTAACATCCATAGCGAGCATTACCACCAAACATACGAGTGATTGTCTTGTTTCTATACTCTGCGATATATAAACACGTGTTAATGCGAGTTCAGGAAAATTCATCAATTCGTTCACCATTCCGAGCTACGATGTTCCAAGCTGTTGGGTTGAACGCGATGGCGAGAATAGAGACATACAAAGACGTCGCAGACGTATCAACAATAGCTGAAAACGCGCCCATGCTTGGCCTTATCGCAGTTCAAGCTGAGAGAAGGCGAAGAAAATCGAAATTCCGCTCTTCAAGCCTCCGCAAGTTTCCCACGGTTATTATAGCTCTGAGTTCATTGAACTCATATTGCAGATCTATTCATAATTACGGGTCGATGTCATGGTATGTACCAGCTGGACAGGTGACCACTGGCACTATCCCTCATGTATAACGGCGTTCCGGCTCGGAAATTTCACACCTCAACACTTTTGATAACTGTGATCAACCGTCATCGCTTGGTTATCGTTCCGCACACAGTTACAGGACCTCATGGATCTTGGATTGAAAGGAGTGCATGTCCTTGTTACAGGTCGTAATCAGATCCCGTTCTGACATGGCACTACTGACCTGACACTACCCGCACAGGGGCAAGCGGCGGCATCGGACTTGAGACTGTGAAATTGTTTTGTGGCAAGTCATCTGTTCTCGCATGATGGATATTTAGTTGAGGACGTCCAGCTCTGGGTGCGAATGTAACCGCACATTATAACTCGCAATTTGGTCCGATCCAGGAACTTCTGGCGTCGAATATCAATATTCAACATGTCCAGGCGAATCTGTCTCAAGAGGAGGCCGTGGTGGCCATGTTCGAGTCACTGTCTACCATGCCTTATGGCCCAGTACAAGTAGCTGTTGTCAATCACGCTATATCTCACAGTTTAGATGTGCCCATTGCCAGGATGACACTGGATCAATGGAACATCACGATGACGATGAACTTGACGTCCTCGTTCCTAGTGTGTAGGGAGTATTTGAAACATCTAGAAAGGGCTTCCTCGGGTATCAAGGAAAATGCAATGATTGTACTTATCGGGAGTACTGCTGGAAAGTATGGTGAAGCCAACCACGGTGACTACGCTGCAACGAAGAGTGGTCAGTAATGTTTTTTTCCGTGATGTGACATGGACTCATCATGCTCTAGCAATGATGTATGGTCTGAACCTTACGTTGAAGAATGAAATCGTAAAGATAGCCCCAAAAGGCAGAGTCAACTGTGTTGCACCTGGCTGGGTCAAGACACGCATGGCTGAAGAAGCCTTGAAAGATCCTCAAACGGTGTGTCGCATATTGGCTACGTCAGTGATATCATCATGATCCATCGTGCAATTTATACTGAATTCCCTGCCACCGCAGGAGCCCGCTTAAGAAGGTGGCCATGCCGATGGACGTCGCAACACAGATTGTGGTCCTTGCGTCGTCTACTCTTTCTGGTCACGTCACTGGTCAAGTAGTGATGGTTGAGGGTGGAATGGAAGGGAGACTGCTAAACAGGCCGGAAGATTTGCAGGGATCTCAAGCCCTTGGGGGGGGAATAATATAAGTAAACGCCTTTCGTTTCTCAGCAGTACGTAAGTACTTGCTGTGCTCCTATGTAGCGCCGCTTTGTAAGCAATTGCAGGTCCGAAGTGGCGGACCGGGTTGTGGCACAGTTGGCATCACAACGTCTTGATCTTGTACTTCTAGTTTTCTCGCAATTCTCAACTCTTCCTCGTAATTCAGCCACTCAAGATACAATGGTATGTGAGCATGAAGCCTATCGTATTCGCCACTTATGTTTTTCAACAGTCTACCAACTGCAGGAGACGACTTATCCGTGACTTCAAACGTCTATCTAGTGATCCACCAAGCGGCATTTCTGGGAGTCCATGCCCAGATAACATCATGATCTGGAATGCTGTAATATTTGGGCCTTGTCAGTTTGGCATCTCTATCCATGACACCTCTTTCTGACATTACTTGCAGCTGACACACCATTCGAGGACGGCACATTCAAACTTCTGCTCACGTTTGACGAATCTTACCCCAACAAGCCGCCTACAGTGAAATTCCTTTCCAGAATGTTTCATCCAAATGTATATAACAACGGCGAACTCTGCCTGGACATTTTACAAAATCGCTGGTCTCCCACGTATGATGTTGCCGCCATCCTTACTTCCATCCAGAGTCTCCTGCACGATCCTAATCCGAACAGCCCGGCAAATGCAGAAGCTGCGCAGTTGTACCGAGAAAACATGAAGGAGTACGTGAGAAGGGTGAAAGCCACAGTGGAGGATAGCTGGTTAGATCCAGAAGAGAAGCAAAAGATGATGGTTGATGATGACGGGGAAGGTAGTAGAGAAGCTGCTACCTGACATATTTTTTCATTTGGTTTATGCACTCACGGACGACTTGTGTGATCTCTGTTATTTTGTTTCGGTCTACTAGATCATACCTGATTTAATTTAATGAGGTTTGTGTTCCGACTATTATGAATTTTCATCTCGACCATACCCGCTGACAGTGGTCTTTCACGGCCCTGGACAATACTCATCTATACTCAAATTCTGCAGTACTTCAGCCATCGATTCTGGCATCAGTTCTCTGCCACGACAGTCCTCCCTAGTCAAACCTCTAGAAGGAAGACAGTCGTTCCTTCTAAGCCACCACTGGGGCTACGAGCGATCCAACCGGTTGGATCATTAGAAATCAGGAAAGGATCGGTGAGTTGATGAAAAATCACGTTAATGATATGTTGAACATTCCACAGAACAGATCAAGGTCGGAACTGCGGAACGCCTTCCAGGATCTTCCATCGGATGGGATAAGCAGAAGCTCCTCTACCTCAGTGGAGATCAAAATTGTGGCACGTTACCGAAGATTTCGGTGCCGCGTGGTTACATGAGGCTTCGCCCAAGCCTCACCGGGCCTATGCCACCCAAGGCTTATCGATGCATCCATATTTCCTCACGAGTCATCGCTTGCCTTGAGACACGTCAAAGGAAAGTATTTCGCAGCCTTACTAGATTGCAGCTCCACAAGGGAAGGGATGGGTCGCCTACTTCGCCCTTTCAGTAGCTGAATCCGTGACGCCACTGCTACCAATTCTACGGAATATTGTAGTCCTTTGTTCGGTCAATTCGAACACGGAGGGTTGTTGTGAACTTTCAGAACATTATCATCCAGTCAAAGTTGCTGCAATAGATCCTACCATATGCGGAATCCTTCCTCCAGCAGATTTTCAAGCTTTCCGTCTAGAAATCCCAATGTGGAGAATCTGTTATCAATGATGTGATCACCCAACTAGACGCAAGACACGCCTTTGGACATCATCGCCTTGGTTATATCCATATCAAATGTTGCGGCTATACAATGGAACGATGATCGAAGATTGTACTTTTCCCGTTGCCGACAATGCACCGAAACTTTGAACTACAACACAAATTGTTTGAAGTCTGCCACGAGAGCTGAAATTTCACAGGTTACCGCGTCGCGCAGGTTCGCGCTGCCTTTTCAACCACAAATCATGCCGTGTATGTACTACGCCCCGGACCTGCAAACACCCACGCGCCTCACCTATGTAGATGGTTATGTCTCGGATACCCCGATCTAAACCATGGGGTGCACAAGGTTACACACCTGCGATTCGCAACGCAGAGCATCTTGCCGATATCATAGTGTAATCAGTCTTCTTGCAATATTGGCCCATATCGTGAAATGCGCACACGATGAAGCAGTTACCTCTACAGATACTTGTGATCTCGTTGTAAAAAAAAACGGCTGACGCGACTGAAGAATAGCAAGTAACAAGTCGGCAGCGCGAGGACTGTGCCTCCCAAAGTATCGGCACTAGGTAGTCAGAATACCAATACGTCGATGTTTTGGTGTCCTGCAGTCCCGTCTCTCTGCCGCAATCAGTCGTAAGGAGAGGGAACCAAGGATAAATTGCAACTCACCTTCAGCAGCAGAATCCTACTTTCATCCATCAAAATACCCGAATCCGCATCAAACAACTCCTCGCTAACGATCTCGCGATACGGCAGCGCAGACCCTAGCGGTTCCGTAAATGGGCGATAGATCGTGGTAGTCAGCTCGCCTTGTACAAGTACACCGCGGCAGTCTGATTTATCTTGGGCGTCATAATTCCGGGCGATGTGTGGGTTGAAATCTCTGATACGTAGCCGACCCGACTCGCGTGCCGAGTCAGAAGTGTCGTAGCTGATGGACTCCACAACGTGGAAACCACAGAGTCCAGAATGCCAGTCCTCATTTCTTCGAACCCTGAACCACGTCGTATGTTGTGGCCCCCACGTCGACCAAAGCAAATTGGGACCATCGAAGGTTGGTTGACCGTAAGTCCTGGCAAATAAGCCTTCGAGTTCCAGAATGGCACTACGTAGGGTAAAGAAGTTGTAAAGGTGCAAATCGTCTGCGTTCGTTTCCCCAGCAACGGAGATATGAATGGCTATTAGTTGGTCGTTCATACTCGGGTGAAATGAGCATGAAGGTTGGTAGGACTTGCGAGGATAGGGAAGCACGGATCCAGGAGTTATATTGTCGCTCGTGAACGCCTCTGTGTATGAAAAGTTAACCAGGAGAGAAGGTAAGGAGAGTTTCGCGGTGCATTGAGGGGGCTTTGACTTGTCTGCGAAAGAATATAGTTCCATTGTCCCACAGGTGTCGAGGATGAGGAACCTATCCTCTGCAATGAAAGAGCAGTCGTTGATACCGTTGATAAATAAAAGAATGAACTGTGGTATCATTCAGTCTCTAGCCGAGTTAACTTGTAACAGTAATTTACCTGGTAGCCCTTCTCAGATTTCCAGTCCCACATCTGCATACCGGCTCCGGTCACACCATTTACCGTAATATTCCACAGTAGGATGCAAATGTAGTTCCCGATGATGTGAACATTCGAATGACTGATAGGTTGGACTTCTTCGCGGTCAATAATATATCGAGTACCTTCAGGATTGGTTGCGCTGCATCGGGGTGAATGTCGTTCGTTGTCAGCGACCTCAGATGAATATCGAATGCATGACTCTGACTTCCCGCGCAGTTTAGCCTCAAAATAGACCGAATGAAAGAATGTAAACACTCACGCGTCTGGTGGAAACGCCACTACAACAAGTAAATCTTGCGCAGCAGAGAAAGTGAAGTCCATCGATATGGTGGTGTCGAAAGGGTGACTCCAGCAATGTAGATAATTGGAATCACACGCAGATGGCAGACGCGCAAAGTAAATGCAGTCTTCACCGGCTGAGCCGTATATGCCACCCAAAAGCTCGTGTGTATGTCCTAACATCACTGAAGGGAGCGTGCACCTCTGTTTGTATTCCAAGCGTTGCCACGCAACGTCATGCTGTCTAAGTCGTTTGCGACGTGTAGACCATGGCACGTCCGTTTCGGAGGTTCTCACTAGAACCATTTGGAAGTAACGGAGGTCGATGATATATTGCAGCATCTCCGAATTATCGACCAGTGCTTTCAGCGCTCTGCACGTCTATGGGGAATGAATATACTGAGTGGGATGAATTCTTTGTTCACCTACCTTTCGCACCCGTACTAAGTCGTGCGCGTCGAGAAGTGCCAGTATAAGGCACAAAAGCTCTGGGGGGAGTTGCACGAGTGTTACAGCCCCCATCATGCGGCCCATTAGAAATTCTAGGATGTATTATAGCGAGAGGTCAAGCACTGTATATTGGAACCAAGAAGAGATGGGCTATGTTATGGAAAGCCGGACACTCGTGCTCAATTATTAAGCAAAAATTACCATATACGTCCATGGCTTCTGCGGGACCGCGGATACCGCTATCGCTAATAAGAAACAAAACGATTGCAATAATATCATGCGCTACCTATGTCAACCAAGTGGCCATTCATAGTACACTGCTACTACCAAGCCTTACAGAAATCAATCAACGCAAGTCACCATTCATCTGACACATTCGAGTCATCGCCATCCAAGTCGTCGCCGTCTGAGAACTCCCATACAACCAAACCTGCATGATCCAGGCCCACAACATTTTCGTCGATGCCAAGTGTGACGTCAAGCTCGTCATCACAGGCAAGACTCTCCAACTGATGCAAGTGCTCGTCAGCTGCATAGTAGATATTAGTTCCCTTGTAATTGCATCAAAAAAAAACTGGCATACCGAGACCAAGTCCACCACCCACCCCACCCATGTAGTAGCCACCATTGCCGTCTTCGCGATCGGGCAAGTCTTGATGGTTCTCTAAAAGTGGTAAAGCGGTTAAATTTCCCTCTGCCTCCTCATACAGCTCAATGTGGCAGTGGTATCATCTCCTCGCTGGCCTGCTGTCATGAATGCTCCCTACTGCATCTAAAATTCGATTATCAAACCCTAAGTCACCCTATCCGATAAGATTAGAGTAGATAAGATCCCTGATAAGATAAGATGGATAACCGATTAACGATCACTATCTTCAATTCACATCTATACTACATCGACGTCATCCATCAATATCCTAGACATCCGACACTCATCACATCCTTAGAAGTCCTATGATTAGGCACTGGCTACATCATAAGCATCCGCACACCTCTATGATCGAACCACGACCGAGAGTCCCTTACGAGCCGTCTCTCAAGGTCATCACCTCTTCACATCGCATACCTTCACTTCCCACACATGACACGTTAAGAGTTACCTCTGTCATTCACCAAACCCCTTACATTGGAACCTGTTGCACACTCACAGCTAAAACCCTGAACCCCTATCACAGAAGCGCCACTCATAGAGAAGCATGCTCATTATCGAAGACCCTGGAGAAACCCTTAGATCCAATCGTACTCGATGCATCTCCAGACCCTACCTCTTATCGAGATCCTTAAATCACCGCTCGAGACTTCTTGTCACAGAACTCTCTCATTTCCTCATATCCGTTCACCCTGAATAGAAGCAGTACCCTGAGACCCTGCTTAATCACCGATACCCCTAAACCCTATGGACCCTTTCTTGTAGTTGATTGGTTGGAAGCCCTATACCCTAGGTGCAATGATTATGACCGTATATAGATATATCACCACCTTTCATACTCAGATATCTCCGACCCAAGTATAGTATATAGTCTAGGTAGTAGTCAGTAGTACTCCTTAGACTTAACCTCTTCGTTCTTACGTCATCGTAGACCTAGACGTTCCCTCTCAATACTATCTCCCTTGTTATTCTTCTCTCAGACGAGTCCTGTGGTGTGATCCGGCCTCCAAACATCTACTAGTTAGATTAAGGGACGCAGGTCATAACACCTGCACTACAGCGAGTAAGCGGAGGTATATATCCCAAACACTTTGCCTTGTAACTAATGGGTGCCCAAGGTCTGTATAGCAATGTTCCATGAACTTGCTGAACAGCTTTGGAACAAGGTCGAAGACGACATGGGAAGGATCAATATAGAGATCACGGACGTGGTCTAACGCTTCGCGCTCGACTTTGATCTGACAAAACAAAATGGTAAGAACATGCAGAACATGCGTAGAGAATATTGCTTACCTTAAAGTCTAAGACGCCAAAGTTCTCAGGCGATTGGTAGATGATGTCCGGTGCACCATGGGGAAGGATCTTGTTTCGGTCCCGCCGTTTTCGAGTGTTATTCACTCGGTCCTGGTAAGTGTCTAACTCCCGCTGTAACCAGGGTATAAAAACCCAGCGAAAAAGCATCCTAAATTTAAACCGCAAGTTAGTATCGATGTAAGGACAGACAACAGACAACAGACGCACAATTGGAGAGTGTTGTTGGTATCATACCAACCGGATGTGACACCACGGTCCAGAAGTGTCTCAAATCCAGGCGTAAAACAACGTCGCATCTGTGACCACGTTATTTCCGGCATTACATTTTTCTTTGTCCTCATCCAGCGGTGTTGGAGGCTACCCTGCAAGGCAGGATCGTGCCACTGACGTAACATAGTATGGGCATTAGCTATTCCATAGTTTTCAGACCCAGGGTCGCTCTGGGTCACCATAGGCATGTCTAGTAGGTAGATGAGTTAGTGAAGCAACAGGACCGGTAACAAATGACTTACGCCCGAGCATCTCGACCGTGTCAAGATAATAACTAAGAATGAGCTGTGGGTTCCAGTTAGAGTGCCAAACTCTCATCCACATAATGTGCCCTGAGAATGGCTCGATGCCGGTATGTAGGCTGAGACCGTACCTCAGCCACTTGTCATGTTGGTCAACTGCGAATAGATCATTCACGCCTGTGGCCCAAAATTGCTTCCTTTGAAGGCGATTGGCCTTGCGCTGGCGAACGAGCTCTGGCTTGTATGTATGGAAATACGATATAACAACACTCCTGTGATACAAGCAGTCATTGATTAAGATAATGAGGATACATGAATAAAAAACAATCACCTGGGTACACTCATGTTCCATTCATGAAACAGTAAGCTCACAATTTCGCGCGCTCCAGCATTTGGATACATCGGACATAAATTAGTCATAGCGTCACAGATAGTCTCGACGTTATGATTTTGCTGGCGCGTTCTCCGAAGACCCATGCCTTCACGAATCTTGAGGAATTTTGTAAGCCTAAGCATGCCGTCAGAATATAGCTGCAATTGAAGGAAGATTATAAACTAACCCAAGACCGTAATGCGATGTATCGAAATGTTTTTGCAATTCTGTGACGATTTGCTTATCGGTCTGGCATGCTTTCCATAGGCGAAGGATGTGTGGCTGAATTACATCCAAAGGTGCTAATCGGATGCGAGTGAAAACAAGAGCAGAGTAAACGTACACGTAGGTTTCCATTGGTTGGGCATTGCAAGGTAGTGCCAGTGATGGTGTAGCTACTGGTAGTTTTAGTGAGACACATTCACAGTATTTAATACTCAGAGATATGAGAGTCGCACTGCCCACCTTAAACGTACTGTTAGTGGATCTTCGGAGAGCGTCGGAGACATGAGCCTGCACTGCCCACGACCACGTCTTGGCATTAGACCACTATGAAAGTGCTCTGCCCACTTTCAGTAGTCCGAGGTGTTGCTGCGAATTGAACCGAATCGAAACGAGGTAGGGAGTTCATTCCAGGTTCGATGGTCAAGGTGGAATGAACCGAAGTGTAACGAATACTTTATCGTCGTCGACATTTTGTAATAGATCAGCAACATCTGAGAGACGGCCTAGTTTACGTTCACATTTGAAACTTTCTTCAGCCATAAGTGCGTGCTCTCATTGGTGGAGAGGTACTTAGGCAACAGTGTCCCTGAACTATCCCAAAAGTATCGCTCTCAAGTGTCTCTCAAGACGAGTTCAAACACAGATGCCCCAAGCCCATCGAACTTCACCCCGTAACTATCAATTCCTCTGCAGCCCTTCGTGTCACAGGCCGCAAAATCTTGTAGGGTTTCGATCCGTCGCCTAATTAACCACGCTTGAGGATTTCTGGGGGTTGTAAAGTCGTATATAGAATGCAACTTAAACATACTGTTAGTCAAAACTTCGGAGAGCATCGGAGACATGAGCCGCACTGCCCACGACTATGTCTTGGCATTAGACCACTATGAAGGCACTCTGCCCACTTTCAGTAGTCCGAGGACATTGTGACTGCTCAACTCACTGCAAACCCACTGGTGGACGACATTCTGGGGGTTGTAAAGTCGTATATAGAATGTGACTTGCTCCGCAGTGCAACTCTCTGCGTCCGCAGTGCAACTCTCTGCACATTGTTATCGGTCTTGTAAAATTGTATGTATGTTGTACTATAACTGATCTCTCTACAGCTCTCTGCAGCGCAACTTCTGGTGAACAATGTTCCAGGATCTTTGGTATGTTTTAAATATGCATATACAATGCACATAACTGACTACTGATCTCTCTGAAGCACATCACTCTGCAGCGCAACTCCTTGCACATTGATATTGGTCTCGCTCCTCTCTGCAGTGCAACTTCTAATGACGGATCTTCGGTTTGTTTTCTCGTACATATACATATCTAAATTATTAACTTGTTTTTTTGTCATATTTAAGGCATGCAGCGGCACACTAACCAGCACACTCACTCAGACTACTCTTATGGCGAACCCGAACAGCAGTTGTCTGTCAATTTATGGAAGATGCACTTGCTGCTGAAGACCGAATCTGTGAACGCCCAAGTTGTCGTGCCCAGATCGCAAAAGGCCAGCCTTGCTTTTACAGTGGCTACAATGCAACCTGGCAGACCTGGGCACAATGTATGTGCACCATGCTATGCACGATATGAAATGAGGTCCGTAACATCTCAGAAACCCACATGTGAGTTGATAACAAATTTCTCAATGTTATTTACTGACATTTGTATTACATTTGTATTAGTGTCACAGCCTGCCATGCCACAACATCCATCGTCCAACCCAGCAAGTCAGCGACGGCCTGATCCTCAGGCCATTCAGCAGTCAGTGAATGCTGCCCAACGTAAATGTAAGTTGTTCCAATCTCTGAAATAGGACTCGAGCTGATTCTGACTGACTGACAGTGAGTGTCAATCCGCCTCGTGTCGTCGCAATCCCTGACTGGACCAATACGTCTATGGGTCCACCGCCTGTCCCTCTACCTCGCGGCCGCATAATGACTGGTCCTGATGTAGCCATTCCCATGTCTTGGCAGGGGTCGGCAGCATCGCCGATACCGTCGAGGCTCACAGGTCCCATTGGATATTCAACCCACCATGGATCATATTCAATGGAACATCAGAGATGGGCCAAACTTGCATATGCTACTCCCGGTGGTGCAATGGCTGAAACCATTTCACTAGAGATTTCGGCTGTTCACGAAGCAGGCGGGCACAAGAAAGCAAGAGGTATTTTAATTGGGGTATGATCTTTCCTATGTTTGCTTTGATACCTGGCTGAACTGACACGTTCCATTTAGAATATCTGTGAGGGCAAGAAGGATATTGATGCCCAAATTGACGCCCCGAGCCTCATCAACTTGGCTATGGAGACGGTTCTGCCCAAGCTACGTGTGTTTGGTGGCACCTTTTGGTGGCGCAACCATGAATTTGTAGTGCGAGACTTAAAATGGGTTGATCTCACAACACACCAGCCATCGATTCCCTATTTCTACTCGCAGTGTCTTCAGCCCGCCCACAAAGGTCCAGCGAAGGCCCCAATATTCAAGACGAAACAATTCAGCCTTATGGTAGTTGTGCCAGAGGCTCAATGGACCGAATTTGAAGATTGGCAAGAAGCGAATGAAATGGTATGTTTATTTGTTGTATGATTGTTACCTACACTAACTTACAATTAATTGTACAGGCAATTGAACACTCAAGTCGTCGTGCTAAGGGCCAGGGCAAGGCAGAGAAAGCAGACCCACTGTTTTTTGCTGACTCGGTGGAATCACTGGCATACACATACTCAACTGACCCGCCGTTCGACTCAGCTGACCCACCATTCGACTCTGAGTCAGTGCCGAACATATCATCTGCCGCCACCACAGTCCCAGCACTGAACACATCATCTGCTGCTGCCGCCACCACAGTCCCTGTATCATCTGCTGCCACTGCCGCCACCACCACAGTCCCTGTATCATCTGCAGTCCCAGCACCGAACACATCTGCTGCCGCCACAGTCCCTGCACCAGTTACCACAGCTGGTACTGTCACCAAGCGAACTCATGAACGTGCAATAAGTTCTACCTCTTCACCTCCTCACAAATATAATGTTCCTCATAATCCCCCACCTGTTCTCTGCTCTCCCGATCGCAATGACCTGAAGATAGCCCTGAAGATTGGAGGAGGTGCGGATTTGGATATGAAGTAGGGTATGTCATTGTTTGCTGATGTATGTGTTCAACACACTCACCTAGATGTAAGTGTCTAAGTTTCAGACCGAAAACATTCATTTTTACTCAATCCCCACTCAACAACTCAACGACCTCTTGAAGTCTACCCGGTGTGGGTGAGGAAAATAGACTCTGTGTGAATCAGAAGTCTAACAAGGGTGCAAGGCTTATACTCGTCCTGAGGGGATTGCTACTGGGTAGTGAGTCCTCAAATAAGTGCGAGGAAACAAAGACTAGACTCTGTCTAGCGACCCGAAGGGTTCCGGTCCTTACTAGGACTGGGAACACAAAGATCCGGAGGGTTCCCAATGAGCGGAACTCAGCACGCGACGAGCGGAACTACGGGGAACTAACAGAACTAACGCGGAGCAAACAGGACAAACGGGGAACAAATGGAGGGAAAAGAAACTACGAGCCTGCAGGAGGATGATTGGGCAAAGTCGGACCAGGCTTGTGTCTGGTACTTGCTCCAAGTCGTCAGATCCGATGTCAGGGCATTTCAAGTGGAACTCACAGGGGCAGGAATGATGCAATGTGATCAGGAATAGATTCAGGAAGATATTTTAAACAGTGAGTGGAGTACTGGGAAGTACTCTGTAAGTGGAAGTGGAGTCGAGTCTATCAGAAGGTAAAAAACTAAAATCCCATCTATTGCTACCTATATAGGAAGGGGTTCCGAAATGCGATATGCTACAACCGGGTGAGGCTGTGAGATAAGGAATCGGTCCCGAGTAGCGGAAGGATCCATATAAGTACCGTAACACATGGGAAATGAGATAGGAACATGTTAGTGACACGGGGAATGTAGCTAGTACTCACCAGCAAGGATGGAAGGACATGGACAGGACGGAGGAGGATGTTCCGAAGGCTGAAGGAATATAATGTGTGTGGTACGCAATTGTTCCGCTGGGTTCTGCTGGGTTCCGCTTGGTTCCGTGTAGCGGACGGGTCGGGGAAGATGCGGATGGGTAGCGGAACGCGCGGGAAAATGGTGGGAAGGCATGGGAAATATGCAGGATACGGGCCTACAGTGGGGACGTTCCCCACACCGGCACCATTCATTTTCTGTGGACAACGCTGATTCGTCAGTGGACTATGTGACTGTCAACACGTCCCCTGAGGGTCGCATCGGCATCGGTGGATTCAAAACTGCGCATGCAGGATGGCTGACCTTGATGTCGCCTCCTACTGCAGGTCTTGGGTCCAGGGCACAGCATGACGTTGTCGTGAAACGTCCATTCTACAAGGTGTATCCTAAGAGCACACCGGCCAGTTTGGATTACAGAATCGGACGCTTCGCACTTACGGATGAGTTGCCTAAATTATTCAGGGAGGCGAATGTCCTATACTGGGCGAAGGCTCTATTGGGCCTCGTCTACAATGTTATTGACCGTGCTGTGGCAGGTGCATCTCAGCCTCCACCATTCGACATTCCCCGTGTGCGCTTTGTCGAAGCTGGTCTGGCACTATCATACTATCAAGATGGTAGCAAGCCTGCATCAAAGGCTGCATTGGCGCGTGCAGGTTTTCTCCTTGAAGAAGTTATTGACAGCGGAGACGAGGATTTCGTCAAATATATTCATAACATGGACCCAAATCCACTACTTGATCCAGATGAATTTGGGTATGACTTCGCGTTGTTTCTTGCCTTCATGCAACACGTGCAATATGCGAAGACGGGTGGGCTGGTCTTTATCTCTGACTATCAAGGTATGTTTACGTTGATGTGTTGCGCACCGGCAATTCTGATATCGGAATCAAACAGGCAATACCAAGTTGTTGACCAATCCACAAATTATGACACACCCTTCCGTTAGCGACACCCAAGATATCTTTGGGGGGGGTAACATTGAGAAAGCAGTCAGTGAATTTGAAACTCGCCACGTTTGCAACCACTTCTGCAAGTGGTCAGGCTTTGAACTTGAGGAGTTTGAGGCAGCGAGGAGTTTGAGGCCGGAGTAGCTTGAAAGATACTAGTTTTCATTCCGCATATGTTTTTTGGACGGTATCACTATACACTCGACTTAGATTCAAATATGCAAGTAGGTTTGCACTGATCAACACAAGCAAATACGCTAGCACGGTGCTCGAGGTCCGATTACCATATGAGGCCATACTTGCTTAATAACTGAGCACGAGTGTCCGGCTTTCCATCATCATAGTATTATGGGAGACCGGTTTTGTGGCTGTGTGTGGGAGACGCGTAGCTCGCTAAAGGCCACATGGGAACGCTTAGCTCGCTTAACCTCGATTTAGAAATTTCACGTGGTTCTGTCAATCGGAGTTTCAATTTCAAAAAACCATTCTCCCTTACTATACGACCTCACTGTCCAAAATTGGTTATAGGTAAAAATTGAGCCACAACAAGGGGAGGAACACCAAGCAAATAGAAAAATGTGAAAAATGCGAAAAATGCGAAAATATAAAGATAGGAAAAATGGGCAATGGGTAAACATGGGAATGGGAAGGTGGAGAATGGAGAAATGGGGTGAATGGGGAGATGGGAGGAGGAGGATGGGAGGATGGGAGAACAGGAGAATGGGAGAACAGGAGAACGGGAGAACGGGAGATAGGAAAGCAGAAAATAGGACAGAGACATGGGAGAATTTTTTGGGAAGGGCAAGAGTCAACAGCAAGACACAAACAGTGAGACTGAAGTTTACCTGGGACACTGGCTTGCATCCCGCTGGCCGAGGTACGAGGCCATGGGATTGCAAGCCAGTGTCCCAGGTAAACTTCAGTCTCACTGTTTGTGTCTTGCTGTTGACTCTTGCCCTTCCCAAAAAATTCTCCCGTGTCCTCTGTCCTCAGAACTAAAATAAAAGTATATAGTATTTTGTAAATGTAATATGTAGACATGTGCCGAAGGCACAACGGGTGTGGGCTAGTACTATGTACCCGGAGCCACTCTATGACTAATTCCGTGACGGAATTAGTCAAGTTACCACGCTCGTTACACTCCACTGGCATGTACTTACCTTTGTCCGTGTCATGGCGCGCCACATCCTTGGTTGCGATGCATTTATTTCAGCGTCTCGTTTCTTAGTTCATTAAACCTCTTCTAGTGTAAGTACTCGACCGGCATTCTGGCAGCTTTCGCGCGGAGTCTCACAGATATGCTGTGTAATGCTTCGAAGTTTGCACTGCGAAAGCTGCGGCAGATGCAGCATATACGGCAACTCAGTAAGTAGTACGTACTCAAGTACTTTGTCACGGGTAAGGTGATGAGACAAAAACCTTGCAAACATGGCTGATGACTGAAGGATCGGAAGTAGCAAACCGGCGAATGAGGACTATATATCACAAGGTGTCAACATTAGGTATAGTCAGAATACCAATACGTCGACATTTTGCACTTCTTCAAATCTGTTTCTCTGCCGTAATTCATTGTAAGTAGAAGGAAACCAGGACAAGTCGCGACTCACTTTCAGCAGCAGAATCCTACTTTCGCCCATAAAAGTACGTTCCGCGTCAAACAACTCCTCGCTAACGATCTTGCGATACAACAGTGCAGGCCCTAGCGGTTCCGTAAATGGGCGAAAGATCATGCTAGTCAGCTCGCCTGGTACAAGCTGACCGCGATAGTGTGATTTATCTTGTGCATGATAATTCCGAGCGATTTGTGAGTTGAAATCTCTGATGCGTACCCGTCGAGGCTTGCGTGACAAGTTGGAAGGGCTGTCGTTAGAGGGCTCCACAACGCAGAAACCATAGTGCAGACTGCCAGCCCTCATCACTTTGAACCCGGAACCACGTTGTGTGCTGCGGCCTTCTTGGATTTCCAGTCCCACATTTGCGTATAGTTTATGCTCTTGATTACTACAGCATTAGCATACTGATGTAGTTCCCGATGATTTGGATGTCCACATGACCAGTGGAATGGACTATTTTGCGGTCAATGATATTCGCCGAGTCCCTTCAGTATTGGTTGCACTGCATCGGGATGAGTGTCGTTTGTTGTCAGCGACTTCAGATGGATATCATATACATGACTCCGACTGCCCATGCAGTTAGCCGGAAAATAGGCTGAGCGAAAGAATGTGAACGCTCACATGTCTGCTGAAAATGCCGCTACAACAAATAGATCTTGCGCAGCACAGAAAGTGAATTCCACCGAGGTCACGACATCAATAGGATGACTCCAGCAATGAAGATCATTACAATCAGACGCGGACGGCAAACGCGCAAAGTAGATGCGGCTGTCCCTAACTGAAATATATACACCACCCAAAAGCTCGTGTGTATGTCCTAACATCATCGAGGGGAGCCTACACCTCTGCCTGTATTGGAAGCGTTGCCATGCAGCGTCATACTGTCTGAGTCGTTTGCGACGTGTCACTGGTGGCACGTCCTGTTCGGAGGTTCCCACTGGAATCATTTGGAAGTAGCCGAGGTCGATGATGTATTGCAGCATCTCCGAATTGTCGACCACTGCTTTCGGCGTTTTGCACGTCTATGGGGAATGGATATACTCAGTGAGATGAATTCTTTGTTCACTTACCTTTCGCACCCGTAATAGGTCGTACGTGCGCGTCGAGAAGTGCCAGTATAAGCTCTGGGGGAGTGTACCAGTGCCATGGCCACCGGAAAATCTAGGACGTATTATAGCGAGAGGCCGGGGACTGTGCATTGGAACCAAGAGGAGACGAGTTACCAGTCAGATCTGTGGCGCATTACTTCGAAGGCACTGTGAAAGCTGCGGCACTGGGTGCAGCATATGCATTCGTCACTGTCGACTTGAAGGTGACGAAAAAATCATCAAATAAATCAAATTGAAGCGTTAAATAACTAAGTTTTTCACGCGTACGTAAACGCAGAGTCGGTCATACTCATCATGCGCTAACTTGTTCCCGTGCACATTGTACCCCCTCCGATGCCTCCTTGTTATGCTTCTTCTGACCACTTGAATATGTGATCGTGGAGAGTATTCGTATTCTTTAAATTTGTGTGTTCATATGCTACTACACGGTATACTACCTCTATCAGTGTCAGCCCACTGTACAGTGTCAGTGACGCTGTGTATGGCAGGAAAAGCTGTGAAGTTCAGGGATGGGTGACGATGGGATGGGTATGGACTGCTACGAGTAACGAGTTAGTAGGAACAGGATGATTTGCGGAAGGCGAGTGGAAGGAGGGGGAACGGTATATCCCGCCAGAAGAGCGAGCACAACTCTACACATTGGCGTGTCGATCTCGCGTCCCTCAGCAAGAGACAGGAGGACACGAAGTCACGTAAGGCCATCCCCGCTCTCATCTAATACTCTAGTCGATCGACTCGAGTGGCAACCTATCATGCAAAGATATCGCCGGACTCGTTCACACGTCTGATATACCTGAATTAACCAAGGACCCACCAATGGAGAATTCACACTTGCTCAACCTTGACGACAAGAAAGCATAGGTGGATGGCGACCTCGACGTTACTTGGCATGGTCCTGAAATTGGTTTTGTTACTATTCGTGGTGTCGCCAGTGTCATCTCGATACTTCCGAAGTTCCCAAAGTGAGAGGGATCAGAAACTTGCAATTGCACAATGTGATCCTCGTAGTGCTCAGCGGTGCCGGTGATCGCGGGGTGAAGTCAATTCTCATCAGGCACCCGTGTACGTTTTAGAGTTTAATTTGTTTGGCCTTATTTGGCAACGGCTTCGTGCTTGATGCTGTAAACCGACATCTTGAGTGCTACTGCCGCTCGTCCATCGCAGCCATACACGAAGATGGGTGATGTATCCAAAAGCACATCAAAGAAGACATCGCGCATCCTGGCTGCGCTGGATTATTCTTCAATGCTTGCTTCTTCCTCAAGTTCTCAAACCACTATGCAAACATCCCAAACTCTCGGCAAGCGCAAATCGGATACCCTTCCTGTATCGCCAGTGAGGAAAGCACAAACCATCCCAGATATGGGTCCCGTAATTCATGGACCACAGTCCCCTTTTAACAAGCCTGTATACGCGAGTAAGATAACTGCAGATTTCCGTTACTATTCTCTCATGATTCGACTGTAGCTTCTGCCAACATTGCTAGCACTTCATCACAAGGCGCTTCGTCTGGAGCTGGCGGATCTACAACAAGAACCAAGGATGAAATTAAAAGCAAGCTCGTGACATCAGGCTTTTCTTTGAGATACGACGCCGAAACCCCTGTTAGTCGCATCGACCAAGGAGGCCCTGACCAAGAACAGAGGTTGCTTATCTGAGTGGAACAAGACTCGTCGCTGACACCCGAATAAGATTGGCAGAATTTGTTTATAATTCTATTGAAAACCTCGGGGACAGGCGCTCCGTTAAGGATGCTATCCATAACCTCGGTCTTCAAAGGTAAGTAATACATGTAGTATGGCAGTCGTCATAGTTGTACTGAGGTGGTATAGCGACAAGGATCTCCTCCCTGGTCTGGAAGTACGCCTTTTACCTCACCAGCTCATTGGCGTCAACTGGTACGAGTGATAAGTGGGTTTCTTTTCATACATTAATTTCGGAGCGCAGGATGGTGGACCAAGAAAAAAGCTCCCCCTACCGGGGTGGCATCTTGGCGTGAGTAATGTTAATTTTCAACGTATGCACCTTAAAGATCGAGTTCACTCAGAGATGAAATGGGTCTTGGTCAGTCTTTTCAACTTCGACGAGTGCATTTGTATAACGAGATACTTTGAATCAGGCAAGACCGTTCAAATGATCGCTACAATGGCAGCCAATATGCCTAAGGACACTGATGCTGTGAAGACCACCCTCGTTGTTGTTCCCTCTGCCCTCCTTCAACAGGTTGGCCAGTCTTCTTTGTTCGACTTTGGCCATATTGACACCATTACCAGTGGAAAGAGGAAATTGAGACCAAGTCGAACGACTTGTTTACTGTTCACATCCATCACGGTCGGGACAAGCTTTCGACCCTGATGGACGTCAGATCTAAAGATGTGCGTCATGCAAATCGTCACACTCGGCACAGTAACCGAGATTCATCGTTAGGTCATCATTACTACATATCAAACTCTGAGCATGGAGCTTGCCATTCCAAAACACATTGAGGACGGCGAGGAGCTAGCATACCTCGAGCAGTACGGGTAGGTAACACATCATTTACAATATGTCGACCCATTCAGCTATTTTGCAGGGGGGTGCTTGGTCGCATGAGATGGTATCGCGTGATTTTAGATGAGGCCCAGTTCATTCGAAACAGGCGGGTTCAACATCACTCTGTTTATTGAGTGCTTTAATACTCCCAACAGAGGAACCCTTGCTAGCCGTAGTGTTGCCCTTCTCCGTTCGACTTACAGGTGGATGCTTACAGGCACGCCCGTCACGAATACTCTGTATGCCTAAATTTCTTCGTGGTATTTATCGATCACCCACCTATTCACAGCGCTGACATATATGGGCTTATTCGCTTTGGGCGTTTTCGCCCTTGGAATGACTGGGAGTCATTCAAACAATATGTTGTACGTTCCTCCGCGTTTTTGGACGTTTTGCATTTCATCTTCGTTTAGGCAAAAGTGCAGCAAGAAGATGCACCGCTTGCGGGTGAGTAAACCGCCCAGTCCGATGTAGTTCTTGGGTAAATCAACCATACAGCAATGCGAGCACAGGAGATCCTGAAGCCCCTGTTGCTTCGCCGTACAAAGGAAGCTAGATTGGTAAACCGCCCATAGAATTTTTTAATTCCTGTATTCTCGCTCACGATTTATATAGGAAGGAAAGCTCATCCTTCAGCTGCCCCCGAAAAATATCGAGCTCGTGACTCTTGAATTTTCAGCAGACGAGCGGCAGGTACGTTGGTTAGGTACCCCAGCGTTTCGCAACCTCATATTTCGTAGCTCTACGATGATTTCGAGAAGAAAAGCCACGTTCAAATCAACCGGTTCATCAAAAGAGGGACATTGTTGAAGAAGTATGCACTCAATCAATTCCGAGTCTTGTTTGCTAAATCCAGGTTTCCATCTCAGTGCAACCGCTATCTTGGTATTTATTTGCATTTGCATATTAGTGGTCATTTTTGAATACAGTTTACAGGCGATGATTCTCCGACTTCGACAGCTGTGCTGCCACCCGAACCTAATCCTGGCATGTCCCTTGTTCTTCGATCACGTGGATGAATTAACCCAACGCATCATAGTGTCATACAGAAGAACTTGAGGATCCTTCCATGCTCATGTCCGACGACAAGGGAAGAGAGCTCTCGCGGGCGATCCGAGCCATGGGGCCGGCTTGGGTGAATGATGTGAGTGTAGTTCATTTGTCCGCGGCTAGCATTAAATTATCTGCATACAGGTCAAGAAGAGGTTGGTTTTTTTTATCCGGTGACAAGCAAAATATCTACTACGACAACTTTCCACGCCTAGGTTCATGACACGCGCGCTTGAGAGCAATTTTCTCTCCTTCTCAGATGAGGAGGGCGCAGATGCTACGTGCCCTATCTGCAAAGATCGTATGTGTTCGTTTCTCAGTAGTGATTGATACTCTCACGTACGAAAGTGTACGGTAATAACACTGGTCGTGTCCTTGCCTGCGGCCATGAGATCTGTTTTGGTGCGTGAACCTTCTCTGTCCGTCGTTACTGTATTTTGAGTAACCCTTGTATCCTTAGATTGTATGCTCATACTCTCGGGCTCGCCCATTGGCCACAACGGAGAGTTGTAAGCTGCCGATTCCTGCTCCTATCTGCTGCACCTAACAATCACCCAGTGGTCATGGAAATGAGAAAGAAAATCTTCGTGCCGAACGCGAATATGAAGCAGCAGCTACAAAAGGTCACCGACCTTGTGCGTCTCTTCCTGCTTCTCGTTACGCTGTTCTCTCACACATTCGTACAGGCCCCACGTGCAAGACGATGAATGACCTGAACCAAACCAAGGTGTTCAAGTCTATTGCATTCGAGCCAGAAGAAGAAGAAGTCGAGGAGGCGCACCGCGCTCTTAAGCGCGCCCGCCGACTTGCGCCTAAGAAACCTGTGCACCAGAGCAGAGATTCAAGTGCAGAGTCATCCGGCTCAGAATCGGAAATCGAGGTGTCAGCGCCCTCGCGCTTCAGAGGGGGGACGCCGGAACTCGACAGCTCCGACGATGATATGCCTGATTTCTCACAGTTATTCGCGAATAAGGGAAAACTCAAGAAGAAAGGGAAGAAGGCTGCGGGGAACAAAAGGTTGCGCCGGCAGTCTGACGATGTGCGTATAGCTTTGTTTTCTTTGGCGCCGAATTTGACTGAGTGGTACATCCCACAGGACGAAGTACTTGACTTGACTATGGGCGATGCGTCGGACCACCTTGATGATTCTGACGTTGAGTTTGGAAGGGGATACGCTGTGCGGTCCTCGAATCACACGAAACACAAGGATGATGGAAAAGGAAAGGTACCAATGAAGGACACTGACGAAAAACCCGTCTCCCCAGGCATAGAGAAGGCAAAGTTGGAAGATACTGGCGCTCCTTCGCGTGCACTTATCGCTATGTGGCGAAAAGGTGATTACGACCTCGAACCGAGTACGAAGATGCTCTCCCTCATCGATTTTCTCCAAACATGGGACGCGAGCGGGGACAAGACGATCTGCTATTCGCAGTGTTCGTACCTTGATTGAAGACCTTGCAAGTTGCTGCTGACAAAGCATGTTGCACAGGGACCTCGATGCTCGACCTTGTAGAAACGCTGTTCTCGCGATACGGGATCCGCAGCCTGCGGTACGATGGTTCTATGGACCGAACGTCGCGGGATAAAGTTATCGTGATGTTTAAGCGGCATGATGGACCTAAGGTCATCCTCATCAGCACGAAGTGTGGTAGTGTGGGCTTGAATTTGGTCGTGGCAAATCGCATTATCAAGTAAGTCTTAGAGTTTAAATCATCCCCCTTATGATGGCTGACGATAATGAATAGCTTAGATCTATCCTGGAACTATGCCTCCGAGTCGCAGGCATATGACCGCGTACACCGTCTGGGGCAGGAGAAAGATGTTTTTGTAAAGCGGCTTGTTGTCAAAAACACGATCGAGGAGCGGTAAGTTAAGCTGTTTCTGTTATTAGAACACTAACTCAGGTTCTTCTATTCACCCGCCGACTCCCTGCTTCCATCACAAAAACCTTGCAGAATGCTCCGTCTTCAGGAGGTCAAATCTGACCTTGCGGACGCAGCGCTCGGCGAGGGCACGGGAATGAAGCTACAGAAGATGAGTGTCAAGGAGATCAAGACTGTATGTCTTCGCATCATCTCCCGCTGCGATTGCTGATTGATAATGCTCGTAGTTGTTTGGGATGAAGTCTTAGTCCGCAAGCGCGGTTATATCACGTTTCTATTTCTCTCTGGTGAAAGTGCTCTGCGCACCTGGGCGTCCACTGCCAGCGCTGCGACTGCTTTATTATTCATGTTCTCCTTGCTCTCTCCTTCGTTCTCGGAAACAGGTCGTGTACGCATGCATAACACCTAGACAACTCTCTTTACTGATACTTTATCGCGGCTAAATGGTAGCATATTACAATCAATAAACTCGTTGGTCCGTTCATCTATCCCATCTATATAGATCCAGCTACCCGAGCTGTATCGTGAACAAGACATGTCCATGACCACTTTCATCAACTGATATTTTCACACCAGGAACGCGAAGACGCCTGCTACAGCTCCCATGATCAGTCCAGCGTCAGCATATGGACCCGCCATTGCTGCCCCTGTTGCCCCTGTGGACGTCGCGGTCATACTCGTCGACGTCGTTACGCCAAATCCGAGTGATGGACCAGGTATTGATGGAGCAGCCATTGAAGGAGCAGCCATTGATGGAGCAGCCATTGATGGAGCAGACATTGACATAGCCGGGGTACTTAAAGTCGGCGAGGGGAGCTGAGGCATGGTGACGCTATGTGGATCACGGTTAATCTAGCAGCTTATTAGGGTGAGTGAAGGTGGTACGTACCTCGGGGGCGTGATGGCATTGCTTGTAGACTGGGCGTGCGCACCAGCAACGAACGCCAGAATGAGGGCAGTGGCAATTTTCATGATTGTTAGTGAGTATGAAAAAGTGAAGTCTAGGAGTACAATGTGTTCAAGTTCGTCGAGGCTGATAATCAAGAACTCAGGATATGCTGCTGATTCGGAGGGCCTTGGGCGTGTTTTAAGTAGAGGTGTGAGGACGGCCCACTATTAGTCGGTACCGAAGTCCAGTCGCAACCGGTCACAGAGCGATTGGCCATACTATACTTAAAGCCAACGTAGTCGATGTTGAGCCGAGCAGTAGTTATGTACCGAGCGACAACTGTATGGAAGTTACGAGAGTGCAAAAAAAATCATTCCAAGAGGCGGAGCGATATCTCCGTGATAAGTACTATCACTGAAAATACGAATTACAATGAGCTGATCTCTATCATGTTCCACACTCACCATCGATATCAGGTCAGGTCTCATCTCGCTGACCGCAAGCATTGAATATTGAGTGCTGATGCATCGATGAGATGGGGGCTGAATCCTGATGTCAGTGCGCTGAATCCACGATGTACACCATCGCGGTCATAGGATGGCGGTGTGACTATCTTTTTATCTCATCACTTCGCTTCCTCTGACTTCCTGGCCTCATTTTCATACTGCAGAAGCGGGATGTATATGTTTACACGCGCCGGTACAGATTGTTCTATACCTGAAATTTAGGGAGACGCCACGATGCTGGGAATCGTGACTCGGTCAAGGAGAATCCGAGGAACATATCGCAAGCTACCGATATCGATGGTGTCACGATGCAATGAAATGGTATTTCAAATCATTTACATTCAACTGTCTATATACCCAAGTTGATCCCACGGATATCCCTGTGATCCATAGCAATCCTCAAGATATGTTAGATACGCGTCCGAACCCGCAGTTACCCCGCAGCGCACATGGATATCGTGAGACCTCTCAACTTTTACCCCTGCGTGACCTCCCGAACACATGCATCACCACTAAAAATGGTTTTTAGAACAAGAATGCAAGTAAGCCCGCAACTGCTCCCGCCACCAACCCCATCCCCACGTCTGCTCGTCCTGTAGCAGCACTAGAGGTTGTCGCAGCTGGTGCGCTCGAGGTCGTACTAGTCGATGAAGACGAGCTGAATAGAGGGGTCGTCGTCGTCAAGGTAGGATTAGGTGCGGTGGTGGTGGTGGGATTAATTACGATGCTGGTAGTTGTGATTGGGCTCTGTACAGCTGACGAGGAGGAGAGCGAGGAAATCGCGGAGGAAGAAGCGGTGGTGTCGAACGAGACGGTGCTCAAAGGCAGGCCGCTTGATCTATAAGTGGGAATGAGTATTTTGGTTTTGCCAAGGTTGCCAAGGGCAAATTCGTAGAGCACGAATCAAGGAAAAAAACACATACGCTGGGACACCACTGGGCAGGATCATGGTGCTATGCGATGTTATTGCTTGTGCACCGGCAATGAAGGAAAGCGCAAGGGCGGACGTGAGTTTCATGGCTAGGACGGAAGTTCAACAAGACTTCGGTTCGTTAGAGTTCGTGGAGGTTTGAACTGAGGCGCTTGTTGTGAACTTGTTGTAGACGCTTAATTAATTTGGGGCAGCCGACGAGACTTTATATACGGTGGAAACGTAACTGACCACTGCTGGCACTACTACGCGTACGTATGTAGTGCTGCGCACTATATAAATAAAGTGTCACTTTGCGGCGGACAAACGTGATGGAACGGGACAGGACCACCTGGTCCTGTCTATCAACAGACAATCGGCATCCAAATTCGCTTCCGCCTGAGGTCTATCACAAGTATATATACACCGATCAGGAGAAACAGTTGGAAAAAGTCCAACCATGGGACAATGTTCACCAGTTCTAGATAATCTGACGAAGTGCAATAGGTCCATCCACTTCGGACACGGATGGCCGACTGGATGGGCTAGACGCACGACATCTTCGAAGACGTTCAGGACTAAAGTCCCTTCGAGTTCTCTTTCTCTGCCTTTGTCCTACCTTGGGTCCGAGCCTCAACGTCTGCCAACCTACCCTGCACGTACCGCCGTTTATACTGCGCTGGTGTTTCCCCCGCTGTACCGTCTTTCCGCATGCCTCTGCGCGCGGCTCTGGGAGGTAGGAAAAAATGAGCGCGAGATTCTCCATCACAAGAGTGGAACAATGGCGGCAAAAAAACTTACCGCGCCTCAGTCTCAACTCTCAAAAACTCATCCTTCCCGTACTTCCCGTACTCCGCACCCGCTTGTTCGTAGGTCAGGCCCGTCCCGGCCCGGAGCATCTCAAGTGAGAGACTCCAGCCTGGGAGAAACGGTGGCGGAAGTGTGACTACCGATATCTGTTTGACGTGGGATTGAATTATGGTCAGTTGGTGGAATGGTGAAGTAGTGTTGAGACATACGATACGAGAGTATTGGTCATGCCGAACGAGTTGACAGTAGACTGTCTTGCGGTCGATCGCATTTTTTTAATTATGCGAGAGCTTCTACAGCGTATGGCTGGGCTGGGCGACCAAAGTGTGATCCCTCCACGTAATGATCCAATGATTCATCATTTCGGTCAGGGTGGTCTCATCCCGAACTCTCTTGAGCCCTGTTTTGTACGACCAACGCACCTCGGGTGCATCAACGCTTGCAATACGAACGTGGATCGTTTGGTCTTTTGAGTTCTTATTAAGCGATGAAAGTGAGCGGATAGCACATGAATACGGGGTATGAACGCACCTTTGCTCAAGGTTGTTACTCTTCTGAACTTCAACGGCCATCTCCATCCCCTACACTTGCTACCATTACCGCTTAGCCAACCTATCCCTAAAACCCACATAACCTACAAACCCGACTCGCCTCGTCACGACACCCCTCACCCACCTCCTGCGTTCGAGTACATCAGGTGTAACCCACTCCGCTGTCCTCAAACCCCTGAAATACCGCCTGTACACGAATGTCGCGCCAAGCGTCGAAACAGAGCCCAGAAAGAAGCCGGATAAAATAAGACATGCAGCGGGACGTGAGCCGACCTCGTATGCTTTGGCTCTGAAACGGGTTTAGGTTGGCTGTGTGGTCTGGAAGGGTGCTTTTCGTTCTGGCTTGTGCAATTGGCTGCATGTGCTTGGAGTGTGTTTTTCGTGGCAGACCAGCGCGAACTCGTTCGGATGGTAGCGGCGATGATTGTGCTCCCGATGGCTGCTCCTTACTGCGTCATGGAATATGCATTGATCAATGCGGTCAACAGTGCTAGTCCGCTGTAAATGAGAACGTAAGTAGACTGGTAGCGGTCATCTTGAGTAAGTACATCACACGTTCCGATACCAACTCGCATGGCATTCCTCGCTTGAATCGGCGTTCACTTGATGCTGGTGGAGCACTTGGCCTCATGCTCCACTATCTCAACTCCACCATGCACGAGACTAGCCTCCAACAGATTTTTGCATTGATTCCTGCCACTGTTTCTCGCTATCTCACCTCTGGACTGCCCATGATGTCCTCCAATGCGTGCTTTTATACGTCTCGAAAACCTCAACTGTCGGATGCATAAATGATTCTAGATGTTCGTAGTTAGTAGAACGGCCCTGTGGTGGTCGCAGGAATACGTTAGTATACACATGGAATCAGGTGTTTAATGAAAAAAAAATCGCGGTAGCTTGGGGAACGAATGGTTTTTGCAACTCTATACTGTTGAATCACTGAGTTGTAATCAGTACCAGTAATATGTCGCCGAGGCGGAAGAACACCAACTTTAGGTGTACTGAAGCAGCGAGAAATAGGATCGAAGCATTGGGTTGCTGTTGCAGTCAATGACCTCCGAAGAATAAGGATCGTAAGTGGTGAATCCCTTGCAAAATATAACCCGCGGAGTAGACTCGGAGATAGCGCGTACCCGTATACCGTGCTAACGGGTACGGTGTGGCCACGGGTACCAGATCTCTACACCGTACCCGTACCCGTCGTACCCGTACCCGCCGTACCCGCGGTGTGTCCCATACCCGTGCTATACCCTATGCTCACCTCGTACCCTGGCCGGTCGCAGTGGTACGTGTCGGCGTCGTTTGCTGATAGCAATCTTAAAATTTCAGCTGAAAACTTCCTCAGTGAGCTCAGTGATTGGACTGCGTATAATTGAAAATGTTTGGTCCAGGTAGCGACTATCGCCATGCTGAACATAACGTCAGGCGGGAAGCTCAAGTCATGGATTAGTCAGCAGATAGCTTGGGCGTAGTGGCCCAAAACGGATTTAATCCGTCGTTTATAATCCGGAATAATTTGTAAGGGCCCCCCCCCTTCTAGATTTAGAGTTTGTAAGGGGGTCAAAAAATATTGTTTTGCAAATTCGACGCAAATGAACAGCGGCATCGCGGCACGACTGCCTTAAATGGTCTTGTTTATTCTAAGGTAGACTTCAAACACTTTCTGTAAACGTCACGTGATAAACTGTGATACAGCGTGACAAACGAGTGCGAGCTCATAGGAAACCTATCTGAAGCATTTAGAGGAAAACGGAAACGGAGGCATGGTAGAGGACTGCTTTCTCTACAATGCCTTCGTCGTAGAATTGTCATAAATATCATAGTAAACAAGTAGATGTCTATTTCCTATGTGTACTATACAGAAAGATGCCGAAAGTGCACCGCAAACGATATCCAAAGTCCGTCTGCGTGCCGTGAGGTGCCATGCAGTTAGCGCCAACCTCCCAAACACCCAGTGTCACGAATTCCCAACACAAATCATTTTTCTTTCCTCAGTTTTCCTTCGGCTATGTCCCATACCCGAACCGGTCACGTGACACCATTACCTTTCACATTATCACATCTTCACCATGTCACAGCTTCACCTCTTCACATTTCACCAATCACATCTCCGATCGAATCTCCTACGCCCAGGGCTAGAACTATATGTCTTCCTATCACTTAATTTCCGTCTCTGACATCATTGCTTATATATCACGACGTCATACTACGTCATACGCAGTATCGTACGATTCTTTCTCATTGGCTGATTAGTTACAGACTCAGACAAACTCCGATTCAATGTTATGTATATAGGTAGGGTAGTTAACGTAGTTTCTCTTTAGACTTAACCTCTTCGTTCCTACCTTGTGTAGACAGAGACGTTCACTCTCAATCTCATCCTTGCTCTTAAACTTGACGAGTCCTAGTGGTTGTGTGAAACCTTTACCAATCGGTGAACGTTGATCATAACATTAGGTTAAGTCTTCTTACCACTCCGACTTGAACTTTGTCTTGGACACCTTGTCCTCGACAAACTTCACCTGTGCTATTCTGCTGAGAACATTCTCGCGGATTACGTTTTTTCCAAATCATCTTTCCCAGACGCGCACTATACCAATTTCTTTTACGATTAGTCTTTGTAGAAGTAGACCAGGCCCTTGCCCTATGCGAGCCGCCAGTCTATAAGGAACAGCGACACTTAGGTCCTGTCTCCGCACGCCTGCAGTTAGGTCCAAAACCCTACCGACTGCACGCTACCTACTTTTCTTTCGTACTATAAAGAACGGCACTCGCGGGTCTTACAACCCTAGTTACATTACCTTAGGAGGTTGTGGGTATTAAGAAGACCCAAACTTCACCGTGTCGCTCCCGAACTCCTTTCGAGTTCTACTTAGGTTGACGAACCGCTACACGCGCTGTATTCGCACCTATAGTCATCATAGCTCCCCCTTGGAGATCTCGTCTCGTCAGAGACCGCGCCTTACAAATCTACGACAACGATACCTGTCGGGAAAACAACTGCCCTTTCCTTCATGTCCGAGCAAGATTGGAGAACAATCCAATCCCCCGCCCCGCACCATGCACCAATTCAAGGATGGCAGACACTAGGAGCAGGGCCGTTGGGATCTGCAGAAAGCTCCACACCGACCCTGTCGAGGCCAGGCTCTGTGGTAGCGGAAGGCATCTTAGGCCCTCAAGGGACTACCATCACCCACGAGAACATTTCGAACGCCATATTCACCGTAACCACCGCAGAACGAAATCTAAACCAAGTCCGGTACAACGAGTTGAAAGACCATCTCACACTCTTAGCCGAGAACCTGAACAGGGTAGAGACAGAGAAGAACGAATTAGCCCAGAGGCTAGTGGCAGCGGAACAAACGATCATGGCTTTGCAAGCCTTTCGTACGACAACGCCAACAACACCGGCAGTTTACCTCTGGAGTTTCGAGCTCTGATCTCAAAATGGCCAAACCTACAGAGTTCACAGGAGACAAGAACTCTATTGACGTTGACACTTTCCTCTCTCAACTCGACCTCTACCTCACCTCCTATCCCACTGCCTCTGAGCTCCAGAAGAGTTCCTGTCTTATTTCTTTCTGCAAGGGCTCTGCAGCGAAATGGGGAGAAAGCGTATCCAAAACTGCCTTGAGTGGACGACTCGGATCCTACAACCAGTTGAAAAACGACATGCAAGCTATGTGGGGTATTGTCAACAAAGAAGAGAAGATTGCTCGAGAAATAGATCATCTCCAGCAAGGAAACCGCAGTATCAGCGGAATTCGTCTCCCTCTTCAGACAGAAAATCACCCACTGCCGCTTTTCAGACTACGAACTCATGCGCAAGTTTCGTCTTGCATTATCCCAACGGATCAGGGATCAGTTGGCCCACGTAAATCCTAGGGATAAGAGCACCCTAGAAGGATTAATCTCACATGCTCTTATTATCGGAACGAACTTTGAAGAACTGGATGACGAGAAAAAGAAGACCTGGCAACCACCACGTCGCCCATGGGTTGAAAGAAGCCCTCTCAAACCAGTTTCTCAAGGAGGAGATGCAATGGACGTAGATGCATCAAAGACACGAGGTGGACCCCAACCTCAAGGCAAATCGGGAGACACTTTCAAGTGTTATCGTTGTGGAAAACCCGGGCACATGGCTCGTAATTGCACTGGACAGCCAATGGATACCAAAGGCAAGAGACCTGCTATCAAGGCGGTCAAGGAAGAAGAAGAGAAACCAGCGGCGAAACCCATCACGCTGGAAGATATCCAACGAATCATGAACGAAAGAATTTTCTTGACCTCGTCAGATGAAGCATTGAAGAAACAGGGTTTTTAGGAGGGTCGAAGTTGACTGCGAACTTAGACCAGAACAATCGTTTTTCTATCCTTAGTGATTCGGCAATCATGTTTATGGAAGTATCAGAAGTTTGTTCTGGGAATAAATGAGATCATTTTTACTTGCCAATCACGTTAAAAGGGAAAAACAAAAAAGCAGAATTGGAAGCTCTAGTAGACTGCGGAGCTACGAACTTATTTCTAAGCCAAAGGTTCGTAGACAAGAATGGAGTCAAAACTAAGCAGTTACTGCGAGCACTGCCCGTCCGCAATATTGATGGAACTAAAAACTCCGCCGGACCAATCAAAAGCTATGCAGATTTGACTCTAAAAATAGGAGATCACGAGGAAGAAGTAGCTTTTCTGATCACAGATCTAGGAACCGATGATGTCATCATTGGAGTAGATTGGCTACAATATCATAATCCGAACATAGACTGGAATGCGGGGAAAATGACGTTGAACCGCTGCCCAGTCAAATGCGAGGATGCCAGGGTCAAGAAGAAAAAGACCAAGGCAAAAAAGCAGAAGGATACACTACCTGCTTTATTACCCATGGAAGAAGATGACGATGAAGTCACCATGGAACCTTCAATTCCTGCAGCCAAGGTACAGCCTTCAGATTCGAGTGCTCCTAAGAAGGTAGAGATAGAGGAGATCGAAGATGAAGATTCACCACGAAATGTGTGGATCAAGTACAAAAGCTCAGTCGCTTCGGAGTTAGCTCAAAAGGAGGAAAAGAAGAAGGAAAAGAAGTCCGTAGAAGAGATGGTGCCAGAATGGCTCCACGACTATCTCAAGGTCTTCTCCGAAGAAGAATCTACTAGATTCCCTGAACCTAAAAAGTGGGATCATAAGGTAGACTTCAAGGATCCCAATGATCTTCCTCCAAACTCGAAAGCATATCCCCTTTCGCCCGCAGAACATGACACATGTGAAAAGTGGCTCAAACAAGAATACGAATTAGGACGACTGCGAGATTCCGAATCTCCAGTAGCAGCTCCTTTCTTCTTTGTTGCCAAAAAAGACGGAAAACTCAGACCCGTCATGGACTATCGGAGGTTGAATGGAAAAACCGTCCAAAATGCATACCCTCTTCCCCGATCACAAGATCTCATTGATTCTCTTTCCGGTGCAAACCTTTTTTCGAAAATGGATGTTCGATGGGGATACAATAATATTAGAATGCGAAAAGGAGATGAATGGAAAGCAGCCTTCAAAACTCCTTTCGGACATCATGAACCAGTGGTTATGTACTTTGGAATGACAAACTCTCCTGCTACCTTCCAAACCATGATGGACCAGATTTTCCAAGATCTCAAAGAAGGAAAAGTCGTTGTAGTTTATATCGATGACATTCTGGTTTTCACCAATGGAACCATAGAAGAACACAGGAAGGTGGTACGTGAAGTGCTGAAAAGACTTCAGGACAATGATCTTTATTTGAAACCCAAGAAATGTTCTTTTGAAAAGAAGGAAGTAGAGTTCCTCGGGTTAATCATTAAAGATGGACATGTTTCGATGGATCCAGTCAAGGTTAAGGGAGTACAAGATTGGCCCACTCCTACCTGTGTTAAAGATATCCAACGATTCATGGGATTCGCAAACTTTTATCGTCGTTTCATTCTTGGATTCTCGAACATTGCCAAACCCATGAATGACCTTATCAGGAAGGATGTACCATGGAAATGGACGGAAAAACAAGAAAAGGTTTTCCAAACCCTTAAAGACAAATTCACGTCCGCACCGATATTAGCAATGCCAGATGCCACAAAAAAGAAAAAAATCGAAACAGACGCATCTGATTATGCTATGGGTGGTGTATTGTCTCAAAAGGAAGACGATGGACTATGGCATCCTGTTGCCTTCTTCAGTAAATCTATGCAAGACGCAGAACGAAACTATGATATTCATGACAAGGAACTTTTGGCTATTATTCGCGCGCTAGAAGAATGGAGGCATTATGTGCAAGGTGCACCAGAACCAGTAGAGATATGGACGGATCACAAAAACCTTGAATACTTCATGACAAGTCAAAAGTTGACTCGTAGACAAGCAAGATGGTCTTTGTTCCTTGCAGAATATGAATTCACACTGCACCACAAGCCGGGGAGGATCAACGACACTGCCGACGCTCTGTCCAGGAGGCCAGACCACAGAGGGGGGGTAGAAAACGACAATTCGGATCGCGTGCTTCTGAAACCCGAGTTTTTTCAAATCAAAGCTGCAAAAAGGGGTCAAATTCTGATACAAGGAGAGCAAGAATTGCTCAAACAAATCAGAAACTGCACAAATCTAGATCCGGAAGTCCGAAATGCTATTGAAACCCTTAAGAAGGCCCCAGTACAGCTACGAAAAGGACTAGAAGAGTGGAATACAGAGGATGGACTTATTCTTTTCAGAGGATTGGTTTATGTACCCAATAACAAAGACATTCGCCGCTCGATACTGGAAATCTTTCACGATACACCAGCAGCAGGCCATATGGGACGTGCTAAGACTCTCGAACTCGTTTCTCGTAACTATTGGTGGCCGCAGATGCAGAAATGGGTCAATGACTACGTAGACGGATGCAACAGATGCAAACAAACGAAGGTGTTACCATCTAAACCCCATGGTCCCTTAAAGCCTAATGAAATTCCCGAAGGTCCATGGCAAACAATTAGCTGTGACCTGATTACCGATCTCCCAAAATCAGAAGGCAAAGACAGTATCCTCGTAGTAGTCGATCGCTTCACCAAACAAGCTCATCTCGCACCAACCACCAAAGACGTTACTTCAAAAGGAATTGCAGACTTGTTTCTCAAATACGTATGGAAATTGCACGGAACGCCGAAGAAGGTGATCTCTGATCGTGGAACGCAATTCGTATCCAAATTCATGCAAGAGGTCTCAAAAAGACTGGGAATCAAATGGTCCATGTCAACCGCATATCATCCACAAACAGACGGTCAGACAGAACGAGTAAACCAAGAAGTTGAACAATACCTTCGAATGTTTACATCTTATCGTCAGAACGATTGGGTATCATGGCTTCCCATTGCAGAATTTGCGCACAACAACTCTGTTACGGTAACTGGACATTCTCCCTTCAAAAACCTCTACGGTTATAATCCCGAAATCATCATCTCCCCTAACTCCTCCAACACCATCCCATTAGCCGATCAGAGAATAACAGAAATGAAAGAGGCCCAAGAGGAAGCGAAGGCAACGCTAGAAATCGCCAACGATCGGATGAAACGTTTCTATGATTGAGGAGTAAAAGACGCACCAGTTTTCGAAGTAGGACAAAAGGTTTGGCTAGACGCTAAAAACATCAGACAACGACGACCGAGTCAGAAGTTGTCAGATCGCCGCCTTGGTCCATTCGAAATACTCGAACGAGTAGGTGAATTGAACTACAAATTGAAGTTACTGGAATCCTATCAAATTCACCCGGTTTTCCACGTAGAACTACTCACCGCTCATAAAACCTCATCATTAACAACTCGCATTGCACCAGAATGTCCACCCCCTGAAATCGTGGAAGGAGAGCAAGAATATGAATTAGAAGCAGTAATAGCCAGCAGAGTACGGCGAAACCGATTGCAATTCTTATCAAAATGGAAAGGATATCCATTAGAAGAGGCGACATGGGAAAACGAAGAAAACCTAAAAAATTCTCCAAGATTAGTCAGCGAGTTTTACGCGGCAAATCCCGATGCACCCAAATCGCGTCGAATTGCAAGCGCAATCATTCCAGTCTTACAAACTCCTGGTTTCTTGGAATGGAGACAAAAAAATATCCGACCCTCCTATGTTCGCGAGGACACTCACCTTAAAGAGGGGGTAATGTCACGAATTCCCAACACAAATCATTTTTCTTTCCTCAGTTTTCCTTCGGCTATGTCCCATACCCGAACCGGTCACGTGACACCATTACCTTTCACATTATCACATCTTCACCATGTCACAGCTTCACCTCTTCACATTTCACCAATCACATCTCCGATCGAATCTCCTACGCCCAGGGCTAGAACTATATGTCTTCCTATCACTTAATTTCCGTCTCTGACATCATTGCTTATATATCACGACGTCATACTACGTCATACGCAGTATCGTACGATTCTTTCTCATTGGCTGATTAGTTACAGACTCAGACAAACTCCGATTCAATGTTATGTATATAGGTAGGGTAGTTAACGTAGTTTCTCTTTAGACTTAACCTCTTCGTTCCTACCTTGTGTAGACAGAGACGTTCACTCTCAATCTCATCCTTGCTCTTAAACTTGACGAGTCCTAGTGGTTGTGTGAAACCTTTACCAATCGGTGAACGTTGATCATAACACCCAGATGCCTAAACGCTCTCGACAGGTGCAAACAGCCCTCATGAACCTTGGGCGCTGGGCAAAGAAAACAAAGATTTCAGCTGAGAAGGAGAATATTAGTGTGAGCAGTATTTCACTCACTCGTCGTGACAGTGTACAATGCTCATTGCCTTCTTTCATATTCCTACAGTTGCTACAGTATCACCTGGCTCTGTAGCTTTAGTTCATGATTATCTTACCAATCATCATGCCCATTCTCCACTCTCGAACTTGGGTGCAGCTGCCATAAACCATGCCGAATGTGCTACAGCGGAGGAAGTCACTTGTCCAAGTCAATTGTCCACAGACATTGAATTGTCTGTGTTGCATGCTGACTTGAAGGAATCAGCAGACTTTGGGGTACCGGAGTCAGAAGAAACCTTGGATTCTGTCACGAATTCCTAATACGAACCATTTTTCATTTCTCGGTTTTCCTTCGGCTACTTCCAGTACCTGAGCCGGTCACGTGACTCCTCGTCATAGATCACCTGTTGCTTCTCCGATTGGCTCCCCTACTCCACAGGCTAGAACAATCTCACTTCCTAAAGAAGAACCGGTCGGATCTTGGGTTTCTATTTAGTAACCATCTTACTCAGTCGCTTATATATCATGATGTCATACTTACTCATCCGCAGTATCGTACGACTCTTTTCTCATTGGTTGATTTCTTTCAGACTCCTACTCAATGTTATGTATAAAAGTAGGGTAGTTAGCAGTAAGTACTCCTTAGACTTAACCTCTTCGTTTCCTACTGTTGTAGTGACTTAGACATTCACGCTCAATCTATCCTGTTGCTCATCATCATCTCTGACCGAGTCCTAGTGGTTGTGTACTCGCCTTCATCATTATTGGTGAACGTTGGTCATAACAGATTCAGACTCGGAGACTCTTCCAAGTCATTTTGACTGGACATCAGACAGTGGGGAAGTGGATGATGAACCTGGTGGGATAGATGGTTACGAGACCTTGGACGGCACACTCAAAGACGGTGCAGCACTTTCTAACTCGGAAATTACCTGTCAGCACTCCGACTCTGCACCCCCCAATCTCCCCTCCTCAGCTTCTCGGGAATATGATGTTCCTTGGCATTCAATTGATGCCCGAACACCACCTGGTGTTGACGAAGCACGTCTTGCATTAAATGACCTGAAAAAGTTGCTTCACCCGACTCGCAATAGTGGGCATGGATATAAACCATCTGGACTCACCTCTCTTCTTGAGAAACGGTTGACATGGATGGAGTATTTCCTGCGCGCATATGTAAGCGGCACGCCATGGTCGAGTGCAGCGCTTCAGATGGCAAAATTTGTAGGGAAGGGGACTCACATGTCTCAGACAGTGCAGGCAGTGGTCAAAAACCTATATTCTGGACCGCGGGAATTTACTGTTGTCAAAGTGCAGTGGAGACTGGACGAAATCTCAGATCAATGATGAAGATTTGAAGGAGGAACTGCTCACACACCTTCAGTCGCTTGGCAAATATGTCACTGCCATTGCGGTCATCAATTATCTTGCACGGCCAGATGTACAACAGCGATATCAGTTGTCAAAGACTATTTCATTGGTGACGGCTCAGCGCTGGATGGAGAACTGTGGCTTTCGATGGACCATGGCAAAAAATGGCCAATATATTGATGGCCATGAGCGCGAGGATGTCGTGAATTATCGGCAGAACAAATTTCTGCCAGCGTGGTATTCAGTTGACCCGAACACTCGAAAGTGGTCATCAGTAGATGTCAGCAAGCTCGAGGAGGGGCAGGCGACAACAGGAAGACGCACCGTGGTCTGTTTTCATGATGAATCCACATTCTATGCACATGACCGTCAGTCAGAAAAGATGGGTGCACAAAGATGAAAAAAGCACACTGCTGCTGAAGGGGGAAGGACTATCTCTCATGGTGGCTGATTTTGTTTCTGCGGATTATGGCTGGCTACGATCGCATGATGGGAAGGAATCAGCGCGCATCCTTTTCCGCGCAGGTAAAGCACGGGATGGCTATTTCGCGAATGATGAAATCATTTGGCATGCCGAGAAAGCCATGTCAATACTGGAAAGAGATTACACTGGTGAAGACCATGTCTTTGTTTTCGATAATGCCACCACGCACCTTAAATGTGCCGACGATGCACTATCTGCTTGTCAGATGCCCAAGTCTTGCAAGGACTGGGGAGTAAATACTGCAGTCCGTGATGCACAAGGACGACCAATCCGTGGCACTGATGGGAAGGTTGTCATGCAGAAGATCCACGTCGCTGATGGATTCCATAATGGAGTACCACAGGCATTTTATTGGCCAGATGGGCATCAAAATGCTGGCATGTTCAAAGGGATGGCAACCATTTTGATGGAGCGCGGTTTTGATGTCAGCAAATTAAAGGCCCAGTGTAGAAATTTCGAGTGCACAGCTGGGGAAACCAGCTGTTGTTGTCGACGTATCCTCTACTGTCAGCCGGATTTTGCAAACATCAAGTCTTGGTTGGAGACTACCTGTGAGGCCAGGCAGTTTTGGGTAATCTTTCTTCCAAAATTCCACTGTGAATTGAATTTCATTGAACAATGTTGGGGCTATGCAAAGTGGCTCTATCGAACCTATCCATTGTCATCAAAGGATAGTGATTTAGAACACAATGTGATCAAAGCACTTGATGCTGTCCCTCTCATCAGTATGCGCAAGTGAGTTAACTGCAATCAATGAGAATCCCCCCTGATTCCTTTTCTCAGATTTGCAATCCGATCTAGTCGTTTCATTGATGCTTATCACAAAGGCCTAAACGGGAGACAAGCAGCTTGGGCAGCAAAGAAGTACCGAGGACACCGTGTTCTTCCCTCCTTGATCCTTGATGAACTTGATGCAGCAAAGGTAATATAATTAAAGGCCTTATAGGTATTGACATATAATGCATATACTATACACAAATTACTTACTGTCATCATTCTAATCATACTAATACTTACTACTCCTGTTCCATGATATCGATGCATTTTGGGGGCCAAGTTGATACTCCGACTGGTAGTTTACGGTCAAATGTGGCCAGGTCACACCCCAGTCACAGCACGTGATGTTTACAGAAAGTGCTTGAAGTCTACCTTATCTTATTTTATTCCGCAATATTTCAGCCTACGGAAAGTCACCCATTATCACTGCCTTTTGGCGTAACGGTTAAGGGACGACAGTCTTAGGCTGACTACTTACAGAAACACGTCAAGTGAATGACTAAGCGACATTTACAGTCTCATGCACGCAATCATGATGATGCTGAGCACAACTTTCAGAAATGTTGCAGTGTCGTGAGAGGTGGCATATTCGCCGACCGGGTTTGCTTGACCGTGGACATTGAGACTACGCGGTCGAGAATTTGGTACTTAGCTGGGGATGCATCGCTGCTAGTGAGCCCAAAGGCGCACACACTTACCTTAAGTGCGCATACCGTTGCCTTTCTCAGAGTTTTTGCGACTGAATAAGGTCTCGTAAGTTCGTCCCTCTTATTTGTGTAGCTGAACAAATACTCGAGGCGCGCAAATACTAGCTGTATCCCAAGTTCCAACGTTACTTATCCCATTTACATTGTGCCACAGCCATGCAGCCAGGAGTCTACCAACTCATAAACCGCCAGAGCGGTACAGCACTGGAGTTGCTCAAAAATGATTACACGCGTGTTGCTGGTGAGTCACTGCATTTCAGACGACTTCTGACTTTCGATCTTCACACCACTCGCATACAGGATATCCACCTTGCGATGATGCTGCTCAAAAGGTAATCGCGCAGTTCTCTTCCACATACCAAGTAACATACTCAGCGTGAAATCAGTGGGAAATAGCACCTCTCGGAGCAGGATACACCATTCGAAATATGCACACAGGTACATACTTTTCTATGAAAGAACTTCGTTGTGGCGCTCCCGTCTTTGTGGGACATTTCCCCACTGCATGGCAACTTGTCACCGTGAAAGTGAGTGACGAAAACACTGAAATGATCGAGTACGTCTCCCACTCATCTCAGACTGACCTTGACTCCCTGACTGTTGCGAGTTAGAATACACTGGCCGAATACGGGATTCATGTTTGATCTGCGCAATGGAACTTCAACTCCTGGATCAGAGGTATGGTTCATGCTCTCGATCGGCGTTGACTTTTTAGTTCATGGCTTCCTCCAGGTGGGCCTTACGGAGATGAAATTAGATCCGCAAAAGCAACGTTGTAGATTGTGGAAGCCCGTCTTCCTTCAACACATCAATCACTCCGTTTGTGTGGAGCGTGCTCAAGAAGACGATGAAACATCAGACACTACTACTATCAATGCAGCTGATGTGCCAGAAGGAGGCGAGCTTGTCCTGGTTACGACCACTACTACGAGAACAGTGGTTACAAAAGTGCCCAGGCGGTCGGTCTGTATGATCTAGGGGAGAACATGACATGATAGTTGTAGGAAACACTTTCCTACGTCACGAGCTTTCATCCGATTCAAATGTACGTAGCTTTGTATGCAACGGAAGCCAAAATGCGAGCCTCTTTACTGCAATAGGCTGATTAGTACAGTCCTTCCTGAATGTTACCCTGGGATGAACGAATACCAACAAGCACTCGATGTCAATGTCTCGCGGTAACTACAAGTTTCTTGAATGCATTGCGGCTGTCCATAAAAAAGCCGCACAAGTCAACACAATCTCTATCGGCATTTCTGTGCGCTTGTCTGCACATATTTTACTCGTCCTTATCCACCCTGTTCTCCTTGCGCTGAGCGCTAAGCATTGTGTCGAGCACCGCCTTCATCTGGGAATACTTATATCAATGACGGTATTGTGCGTATCGATCGCACAGGCCTTTTATGCGGTGAGCTGTTTAGTTCGTTCAAATTAGATTCCGTTGACCTTAACAGATAAAACTGTCGATGTATTACTATCATGCGATACTCGTTTACCTGGCACAACACCTCACATGATCACTTTACAGGATCTTGATTCAGCGTCTATCCTTCATGAAGATGTTTGACGAATGAAGTGACTTTGGTTCCACATTAGTGTCTCTAGTAGCAATCAAACACGATTAGATCAGTGTGGTAGATTGCGTCTATCACTACTAGCCCCTTGGTCCACCATCAGCAAGTCGCATTGAAATTTGAAGAGCTGTTGGGGCAGAAGTAAGTCGATTTGTTGATTTCAATGGTCCCCGTGGTCTGCGTCCAGTTCAACAGCTTACGCACAAATGTGATGCTGCAAGAGAAATCATTGTTAGGGTAGGCTAGATGAACGGCATCTTCGATGACGTTCATGACCAAAGTCCCTTCAAAATGTCTCTCAGCCCGCCCCCCTTCGAGTTCTCTTTCTCCGCCTTTGTCCTACCTTGGGTCTGAGCCTCAACGTCTGACCCGCCCTGCGCGTACCGCCGCTTATACTGCGCTGGTGTTTCCCTCGCTGTACCATCTTCCCACATCCCTCTGCGCGCGGCTCTAGGAGATGGGACAGAATGAGCGCGAGGTTCCCATCACAAGAGTGGAACGATGGCAGCAAAAAAACTTACCGCGCCTCAGCTTCAACTCTCAAAAACTTATCCTTCCCGTACTTCCCATACTCCGCGCCCGCTTGTTCGTAGGTCAGGCCCGTCCCGGCCCGGAGCATCTCAAGTGAGAGGCTCCGGCCTCTGGTAACCCAGCCTGGGAGGAACGGTGGCGGAAGATTGACTACCGATACCTGTTTGACGTGGGATTGAATGATGGTCAGCTGGTGGAATGATGAAGTGGTGTTGAGACATACGATACGAGAGTATTGGTCACGCCGAACGAGTTGGCAGTAGACTGTCTTGCCCTCGATCGTATTTTTCAACCATGCGAGAGCTTCTACAGCGTATGGCTGGGCTGGGCGACCAAAATGTGATCCCTGCACGCAATGACCCAACAATTCGTTATTTCAATCAGGGTGGTCTCTTCCCGAACTCTCTTGAGCCCTACTTGTACAACCAACGCACCTCGGGTGCATCAACACCTGCAATACGAACGTGGATCGTCTGGTCTTTGAGTTCTTATTGGGCGATGAAAGTGAGCGGATAGCACATGAATACGGGGTACAAACGTACCTTTGCTCAAGGTTGGTACTCTTCTGAACTTCAACGGCCATCTCCACCCAAAGCTGGGTGTGTGATACAACCTGAAGTTATCTGCGTCCCCTACACTTGCCACGCATTACGGATTAGCCAACCATAAAGCCTGCATAACTTCCAAACCCAACCCACCTCGTCACGACACCCCTCACCCACCTCTTCCGCTGAAGTATATCAGGTGTAACCCACTCAGCTGTCCTCAAACGCCTAAAATATCGCCTGTACACGAATGTCGCGCCAAGCGTCGAAACAGAGCCCAGAAAGAAGCCGGATAGAATAAGATATGCCGCGGGACGTGTGCCGAGCTCGCATGCTTCGGCTCTGATACGAGTTTCTATATTGGATGTGATACGGTTGACTGTGTAGTCTTGAAGGGCGCCATTTGCGCTTGCGGGTTTGGCTTGTACGTTGGTTGCGTGTCTCTGGAGAGTGTCTTCCGTGGTAGACCAGAGCGAACTTAGAGCGCGCTGTTCGGATGGTGGCGACGATGATTGTTCTTCCGATGGCTGTTGCTTACTGCGCCATGGAAAATGCATTGGCCAACGCGGTCAACAGTATAGAGTCTACTAGTCCGCTGTAAAAGGGGAAGGTGGGAACGTAACTGGTAGCGGTTATTTCGAGCTAGTACTAAGCGTGTTGTACAACGGGCGACTTGGACCTCGACCACATACAAAGCCTCATATGTTCCAGGACCGTTGAGACCAGGATCGAAGGATGTCGCCAGCCAGTGTGGTGGGCGTAGAAATTCCTAGTACACCGCGGACAAACCTGAAAGAGGGCGGCTGCGATGAAGCTAAAACGGGGTGGATTTGTAACACATCTTGAGGGTGGCGCACCAGCGACGAAAGCGAGACTTTGAATTGTCAAAAGGTGGCGGGTGGCCTTTCGTTGTAAAATTTTAGACGAGTTTATAGCACCGCGAAAAAGACTAACTTGATCTTAAATTTATGAAGGGTGGATGGGGGCTCATTCGAGCAATCGACACTGAGCGTTTGTTGCTAGTGCTGCAACTACCCTCGATAAATTCATTCCGATTGGCGGGTTAAACAATTTACAGACTGTCGATGATCAAGGCAGACGTTTTAACAATGGCGTTGCAAAATCGAACATCACCCAAACAGACCTGCATCAACCCTTCATCAAGCTCATCTTTTTCACGGTGCTGTAAACTTATGCTTATGTCGACCCGACTTGTCTAAGTAGAAACGCTGAGTAGGTGAATGACTAAGCAACGCGAACATACCTTCCCGACGAACCCTTCACTTCTCGATCTATGTCGCATGCAGTACGACTTGTTTTTTAAGCGTGTCGGATCTAGATTTAAGTCTGCGACAAACACTCAACAAGGTCTTCCCTTTCTTGATGGTTGCGAGCATGATGACCCTCGAACCTTGGACCATGCGGTGTGATGTGGTCTGCATGCATGATGTGAAGTTGCATGCTACGCATCTTTAAGTGCAATCCACACCATGATTCTATGAACGCTTAAAAGACGTCTTTCTCCGTTCTCTTCATCCTCCATTGTGCCACAGCCATGCAACCAGGAGTCTACCAACTCATAAACCGCCAGAGCGGTACAGCACTGGCCATGCTCAAAGATGATTACACGTGCGTCGCTGGTGAGCGCATCTCAAACGACTTTCGTCTGACTTTGGATCTTCACACCACTCGCATACAGGATATCCGCCTTGTGATGATTCTATTCAAAAGGTAATTGTGACTTTATTTTCCACATACCGAGTAACATTATCAGTAAAATCAGTGGGAAATAGCACCTCTCGGAGCTGGATACACCATCCGAAATATGCACACTGATACATACCTTTCTGCGAAAGGACTTGACGGTGGTGGTCCCGTCTTTGCGGGACATTTCCCTGCCGCATGGCAAGTTGTCACCGTGAAGGTGAATGACGAAAACTCTGAAATGATCGAGTGCGTTCCTGTCTCCTGTATCTCAGACGGGCCTCGACTCCCTGACCGTTGCGAGTTAGAATATACTGGCCGCATACGGGATACATGTTTGATCTGCACTGTGGAAATTCAGCTCCTGGAACAAAGGTGTGGTCCATACTGTCGATTGGTGTCGACTTTGAGTTCATGTCCTGCTCCAGGTGCACCTTTGTCGTCATCAAGTGAATCCGCAAACACATCGTTGTAGATTGTGGAAGCCTGTCTTCCTTCAACGCATCAATCACTCCATCTTACCAGAGCATATTCAGGAAGACGACGAAACATCAAGCACTGCCACTGTCAATGCAGCTGATGTGCCAGAAGGAGGCGAGCTTGTCCTGGTTACGACCACTACTACGAAAACAGTGGTTACAAAGGTACCAAAGCGGTCAGTCTGGTAGGGGAGAACATGCCATAATAGTTTAAGTTATATCGGAAACACCTTCCTACGTCACAAGCTTTTCATCCGATTCAAATGTACGTAGCTTTGTATTATGCGATACTTGTTTACCTGATGCAACACCGGATCCTGATTCAGCGTCAAAAATTGACTATCCGTCATGACAATGTTAACGCATGGAGTGACCTTAGTTCTACATTACAGTGTCTCTGGCAGCAATCAAACACGACTGGATCATTGTGGTGGATTGCGTCTGTCACTAGTAGCTCCTTCATCCACCATCAGCAACCACTGCATGCAGTATTGAAATTCGAGGAGCCGTTGGGGCAGAAGTAAGTCGATTCGTTGGTCTCAATTTCCCCCGTAGTCTGCGTTCAGTTCAACAGGTTACACACAAAAGTGATACTGCAAGAGAAAACATTGCACGTACATTGTAATAACAGTCGCAGAAGTCTCCTTCGGGGTCAGGGCCTCTGTAACTATATCACACCATGTAAGTCTCTTTTAAATTACGCCTTATGAACACACTCACAAACAATGGTACCCGCTATGCACTGTGCACTGCTCCTTGAGGGCGTAAACCACATCGTTGTACGTGACGGATGATGCGCATTCCATGCACTGTGCGGTAGCGTACGCGATGAGCGTGCAGAGCACCGTGACGGATGTGGGGATGCGCATGGTGGATTTGCTTAGCTGGAGTAACCAACCCAGGCTAATATACCCCTGCGCCGTCACCTGCCGTCACCGTAACCAAATAATATTTCCGGAGCGCTTCTTTGCTTGGCTAACTAGGAACGGTGAGTAAACATTCCTGCGTAACGTTGTAATAACGTCGCAGTTGATGATCACTTCGAACGTTGGAGCCTTGGAGGTGCTACATAGGTATGTCACCATGAATGAGCCTCGAGAACTTCGATCTTTCGTAAGCAGGTATAACAGCAAACTGTCGGTGAAGAAGTTGTTGATGCGGACCAAATATGGATATCAATTTGATGCGGCCCATCGCCAGGACGGGGTTTCGCTCGCTGCGTGATATTTCTTCCGATGATGCATCGTACTCGGCCGACGAAAGTTCGTGGGCATCAACGCACGAATTTTGCGAGCCAAGTACGATGCACGTCACTACGTCTGAACCATAAGTGTTTCAAACCTTTGCGACACATCTGAAAGTGAGCCTTGACTTGACCGTCGCCTGTTCATTTGCACCATGGGCCTCGCTGAATCATACCTGAAATCATTCTCAGATCGTCGCGCCCCTATTGCTCCACCAACACGAGGATACGGGCAGGACCGATCGATTCCAGATTGACCAAACGCGACCCATGTTCATGATGGCATCATCACAGCACGATCACCCTTGCCCTTAGATTCCTGATCCATGTAGTGTCCTCGAGGTATGGTTCTATTCGCATTACGAATTTGGGGGTGCATGTATGCGCGATCAAGGTCGGTCCTACGTTGACGAGGTCAAGTGTAGCAGACGCGGAGACGAGATGCTGCTCGATAACACGCACCACGGTATATTTGAGTACCTTCTCGCAAATGGTGAAGTTGGCAATCTAAAAAAAGACAGGAAACCAGAAACCCGATGAGTCGGACCGAATCGATCAATCAAGGCAAAAAAAAGGTGGAATGCTCGTGAGAGCCTAATAGCCTTAGCACAAGCAGAATTTGTCTCAGTGGCGATACAGTGGCAATTGCAGGCGGAGTTGGTGGTCGCGGAGGAAGCGCTTGCGCTACTCGCGGAAGCACTGTTTTTCGAGGAGTCGAGGACGGTGCAGAGCTAGCCAGATGAGGTAGTCGACGAAGGGGATTAAGTATCACAAAGGGCAGGTGGGGTAGTGTTGGTAGACTGACAAGTCGATACTTTATCTTCGCCCAATAAACAACACGCAGAATGCACGTATTGTGGATCTTTAGTGACGGCGAACACCACCACATGCACGGAGTGATATGCGTGAATGATAGGCACCTGCAGTCTCGTGCCCTATCCTGCTGTCGCGATCACGATAGAAATTGCACAAAATCAAATTGAAAGTATTGCGGAGGAGAATCTGAATCATAATGTAACGCAGAATCGCACTACAGCCTGCTACGGCTTCTGGTGATCAGTCAGGGTTGTGCCACTTAGGTCTGGGCAGATACCTTCTTCCTGGATCGGCGCACTGATACTCGCAACACCTCTTTCTTGTCTGCCCCATGATCATATTCCCAGGATGGGACAGCGGCTATGATCCAGTGCGCAAGAAGGTGGATGCGTCCCGAGGATTCCCGTCTTGTTTTCCTGTCTGATATCATTGTGCGGCCCCCAACGTCACGCTTGATCAATGAACTCCACAAGTGCTCCATGCTAGATGTTTGCCATGTGATAAGTACCCGATTACAGTTATTCTGAATTGTCCGAACATCCATGGAATCCGTGCAGAGTGTAATGAACTCAATCACCATTGCGTCGTGCGAAATATTACCTAGCAGATGTCGTCATCTCCCGAATTTCCTCCGCCCCCACACTCGGATTCTCGTACCGTCGCGTAGGAGAAGGATTCGACTATGGTCTAGGGGAGACTAGTACCGCTACGACCCCACCAGCATGGAGAGCCCTTACGCTAGGGATGATGCATTGTCCACAATCAGATTGGGGTAGGTGATAGAACAACATACGGCAGTGCGCAGCTTCAGTTCCACAGAACGCAATTTGAGGATTAGAAGGCTTAGGTCGGCCTACCAACCATTTCACTGGAAATAGACATAAAGAATCAGCAGGACAGAATAAATGGGCCAAAAGAACGCGCGGTGCAGGCGGTTGGAGTCATGCGTGAAGAACGTCTCCCATGAAAGTGTATACATAGCCCACGAGACGCTGAAGGTTACCGTAAATCAGCATCAAAGTGAAGGATGAAGCTTAACTGGTGACCAGACGCCAAGCGGTATTGTCTTGTTTTGCAGTAAATCTCTGATAAATGTTCACAAAACGGTGGGAAAATAAGCTATTCGTCCTGAATTTGGGGTAAAACTTCCGTTTCGGTGTGAACGTGATAGACAACGAACCGCGAGCTAATTTAGCATCATGACCGTCAGTTATAATCAGCTGCAGCAATGCAAGTCAGTAGCGAAATCATTTGGATATCCCTCCCCCGTCTGGATCCGTCAGGATGGCTCGAAGGTCTCTTTCGTTCGTACTGCTACTTGTGTCCTATGCGGCCGCGTCGAATTCCTCGGCCGCGATCTCGACACCTTCTGCATCCAATAGCAGTACCCCTGTCATGACTAGCACAAACTCAATGACCAGCGCGAACATGTCAACTAGTGTCGTTACGACATCAACGACGTCCTCGATGACTTCCTACCTTGCCACTGAGACCGGTCCTTTAACTTTGCCCATCTCACAATATTCTTTCACTCCATTTCCAACTCCAACACTTGCGCCAGAGCCACCGATTTTCCCTGCAACAGATCCTCTATATCCCCCTCCTGTTAGCGCAGACTCAATGGTTGTGCCTGACTTTGCTCCGGCTTGGGCAGCTGCTTACGCAAAGGCAAAGGCAATGGTATGTAGAGCGGCCATGCTTGTCAATACAATGCCCTGATTAGTGCACAGATATCCAACTTCACCATCCAGCAAAAAGTAAACGTCACTACAGGTGTTGGCTGGGCTAACGGTCTCTGTGTCGGGAACATTCCTCCTGTAGGAGACTTCCCTGGCTTGTGTCTCCAAGTCAGTGAATCATAAAACACTAATTTCGATCGAATCTTAAATATGCTGGCATTTTTACCACTCCAGGATTCACCGCTCGGTATCCGGGATACTGACTTGGTCACTTCATTCCCCGCTGGTATAACCGCCGCCTCCACGTACGTCTTACATGTGCAATCTTACCTCAAATGATTTATTGTAATGTAGATGGAATCGTGCTTTGATGCGCGCCCGAGGTCTTGCAATAGGTCAAGAGAACCGAATGAAAGGTGTTAATATTGCCCTGGGACCTATGATGAATATTGGCCGGATCGCTCAAGGTGGTCGCAACTGGGAGGGATTTGGCGCTGATCCTTTCCTATCTGGTGAAGCTGCCTACGAAACAATCCTAGGTCTGCAGGCTGGTGGTGTCCAGGCCACAGCCAAGCACTACATCAACAAGTACGATTGAAACGTGTCCTTTTACTCGATTAACTAACATTGTGACCTAGCGAACAAGAATGGAAGCGCACACAGGAGTCTTCCAATGTCGATGATCGTACTGAGCACGAAATTTACGCTCAACCTTTCATGCGTTCTGTAATGGCGGGCGTCTCATCAGTCATGTGCAGTTACAGTGAGTGTCCATCGAAATTGAACTGCCAGTGCCTCATGCTGTCAAACGTCTAGACTTGATCAATGACACTTATGCTTGCAACAACAATAAAACCCTCAATGACATGATGAAGCGCGAGTTTGGCTTCCAAGGCTGTAAGTCCATCTCGATACTTTGGGTCAATAGCCCCTGAGCTGTACGACCCCGTCTAGTCATTCAATCTGACTGGTCTGCAACGATGAACACCCTTTCCGCTGTTGCCGGCCTTGATGTAAATGCAAATACGTTTCGATTGTATATCAGAACACTAATATGATATCTTTAGATGACGATGCCTGGAGACATAACCTTCGATTCAGGAACTTCTTACTTTGGCCAGAATCTCACGGACTTCGTCATGAACGGCACCATCACTGAGCAGCGCCTAGATGATATGGCGACGCGGATTATTGCTGCATGGTACTACATGCACCAGGATGAGAATTACCCGAATGCCACAGTCTCTTCGTTCGACTTTTACAACCCCATTAATCGGGAGGTCAACGCGCAAAGTGATCATTATATTATTGTGCGCGAAATTGGTGCTGCTGGCACAGTGCTCCTAAAGAATGAAGGCGCCCTCCCTTTGTGCAAGCCGAAGAGTATTGTCTTAGTTGGCAGTGATGCTGCTCCGCCAGTTTCGGGTCCCAACGAGTACAGCGACCAGGGTGGTGATCCATCTGGCATCCTTGCCATGGGCTGGGGTTCTGGGTAAGTAGTACGCTTTACGCATCATGATCTCTCTCAAGCGCTTTGCCTTCAAGTACCAACAACTTCACGTATCTTATCTCCGTGAGTATCTTGTCCCTTTACGGGGTGATTTTTTTTTAACGATGGGCTCCGATATTCAGCCCTACGAAGCCATTCAAGCGCGCGCTAGAGTTGATCAGACTAGCGTTTTCTGGAACTTTGATGACTGGAACCTCGCCAAGGCAGGCAACTCTGTCATTGGCATGGAAGCCGCCATTGTTTTCATCAACTCCGATTCGGGTGAAGTGGGTCGCCAAAGATTAATGCGGTTTTTACGCTTTAATTGAACATGATATTTCCCAGGGTTACATCACTGTCGATGGAAATGCGGGTGACAGGCAGAATCTCACTGCATGGCATGAGGGTGACCAGCTTATTCTTGCTGTCGCTGCCCAAAATAACAATACTATCGTGGTCACCAACTCTGTTGGTCCTTTGATCCTCGAACCTTGGGTCGAGCATCCGAACGTCACTGCTGTGCGTCCTACATTCGATAGTTCCTATACACCTACTGAAAACTAGATATACAGATTGTTTGGGCCAACCTTGGCGGCAACGAAGCTGGTAACGCCATCACAGACATTCTATACGGAGCTTGGAACCCATCTGGAAAACTACCGTACACAATTGCGAAGAGCCCCGCGGACTATCCTGCTCAGCTCGTAACGGGCGGTACTGCGGCGGATATCCTATCCATCAATTACACTGAGGGTCTCTTGATTGACTACCGGTGGTTCGATGCGGTAAGTGTTGCTATTCCTTGGGCAGTAGCAGCCAGTAATGATCGCCCACAGCAAAACATTACACCTCGTTACGAGTTTGGCTTCGGTTTGAGTTATACGACTTTCGAGTACTCTGACCTTGCTATCATGAAGATTAACCCCGCCGATTACGTGCAGATGGACCTGATTCAGAACTGGGAGAACGGGGGTGCGTCGCCAATCGCTGAAGGGTCATCAACCGCTCTCTGGTATGTGCTTGAACACGATAATTCCATGGGATTAAACTAATCCTCGGCGAAAAGGCTGCATATACCAGCATACCGGGTTACCTTCAATGTGAAAAACACCGGTTCGCTATACGGTGGCGAGGCAAGTCCTTCCTCCCATGCTCCTACCCAAATCATTGACACCATCCATCCAGATCCCCCAGCTATACATACATCACCCTCTATCAGCTGCAGAACCACCTTCAATCCTCAAGGGATTTACGAATGTCGAGGTCTCTCCGGGACAGACTACCTCCGTATCGATCACGCTATCACGCTACGACGTTTCCATTTGGGATGTTGTTCGCCAGGGGTGGGCAAAACCAGAAGGAACTATCACTTTCTCTGTTGGGGCGAGTAGCAGGGACTTTAGGCTGAATGGCACCATTCCTGCATGAATCGCATAGATTCTTTGGACCTTGCATTGTGTACAATTTGAAGTCATTAGACACAGTAGAGCAATGTACACGTAGACCCAACTGCAAATCCTTAGTCTTATGCTTGGTTGAGTTATCCGAAATTCGGCCGGAGAGCTTATCGGTTGTTTCGGCTTATGGCTTTCAAGCTTCTTCCCAAACACCCTATAGTATTCTCGTCATCTGCCTTCATGTCCATCAAACGTCCAACATGTCTGCCTCACACGGTGACCGTGGAACGGGCGAAGATGATATTGATGAGCATTCATCTGAGTCTTGCGAACTTCTGATTCTCTACGCTACGGAAACTGGCACAGCTCAAGAGACCGCCGATCGCATCGCCAGGGAATGTCGACGAGTCCGTTTTCACTGTCGTGTGCAGAGCATGGATGCGTATCCACCGGTAGGTAATTTCCCAATCACTGTAACGTGGTGTTCAGGCCCTGTGCAGGAAGCATTGATTTCGGAGCACCTGGTCATCTTCGTGGTTTCGACGACCGGCTGGGGAGCTGAACCCAGAGCCATGACTTCGTTGTGGAACATGTTGCTGAGGTCTGATCTCCCAAATGACCTATTCGAGGACATGTATTTCTGCGTTTTTGGCCTTGGAGACACGGCTTATGAGAAATTTTGTTGGCCGGCGAAGAAGCTATCGAGAAGGATGCAGAGTTTGGGAGGGTATGAGATTTGTTCTCGGGGGGAAGGAGACGAACAGCATCGCCTGGGGTGGGTGTCATCTTGTTATCTGCGCTTCATGTGGTTGATTAAACTTCAGGGTAGATGGTGCCTTGGATCCTTGGGTCGAACATCTACTGGGAGTACTCCTGCAGCTCTACCCGCTACTGTCGCACGAGCAAGATAACATTCCGGCTGGTCGACCACCACCTCGGGTATCCATGAGTGATTTAGAGTCTGATGCCTCCCTGAATCCAGATCCTCTGGATGAGGACAAGAAGTTCCATACAGCTTCGGTGAAATGCAACAGACGGATCACTGCGGAAGAATGGTTTCAGGACGTTCGTCATTTCGAATTTTCCTTCGAAGATGATATCAAGTACGGGTCTCTGCCCGCTGAATCCGCAGCTACTTACACAGAAATACAGATATAATCCTGGAGATGTTGCTGTGATTCATCCGTCTGCAGCTGCATCAGAGGTCGACTCTTTCCTTGTTACCATGGGCTGGGCAAATATTGCCGACGATCTTTTTGCAGTAGGACATACAATGCTAGGTACGATTGAACGGTATCTTAGCGCGCCCCGTCTAATCTCCGGCAGATCAAACGTTGCCCGATCATCTACCGAGCATAGTCTCTCTTCGAATCCTCTTCACGCGCTATCTCGATTTTAATGCTGTGCCCCGCCGTTCTTTTTTCCAATTGCTGCGATTTTTCGCTACCGACGAGCTTGAACGCGAAAAACTAGATGAATTTGTATCGATAGAAGGAGCGGTGCGTCGACTTACCTTATGTTTGTTTCCTTTGTTGACGGCTTGCAGGATGAAATGTATGATTATTGTCAACGCGTAAAACGCACGATATGGGAGGTGTTAACCGAGTTTCGGTCAGCAAGGATACCGAGAGAGTATATCTTTGACCTGTTCCCCCCACTGAGGCCAAGGGAGTTCTCCATTGCTAGTTCCATCGAGGTGAGCTCAAGTCACCGCGTTCACTGCAACCTCTGAGCTTCTTCAGCTCCATCCCCACGAAATCCATCTCTGTGTTGCTATAGTGCGCTATCGCACAAAGTTGAAAATTCCTAGGAAAGGCGTCTGTACTAGTTATTTATCAGGTCTTAGGCCAGGTCCGCATGGTGTGATAGCTCAGTCCCTGAACATGCACTTATATCTTATCCAGGAGATACCCTTCGCATCGGTCTCAGAAAGGGCTTCATATCCCTTCCGACGGATCCAAACACGCCAGTCGTGTGCGTTGGTCCAGGAACAGGCATTGCACCTATGCGTGCCGTCATTGAACAACGTATACACGGGGGACACAACAGTATGTATTGTCGTCCTTGTACATCATCTGATCTTTGATGACCCCAGATACTACCTTATACTTTGGTTGCCGTTCTGCACACAAGGATCAACACTATCACTCGGAATGGGAATCTTATGCGGAAGAACAAACAATCCACTACCGCGTTGCGTGTTCTCGTGACGGACCAGAAGGTGTTAAACGGACGTATGTCCAAGATCTGATGCAGAAGGACGCACAGGATATTTGGACAATGTTGGGGCAGCAACGAGGCATCCTTATCATCTCAGGGTAGGTCTAGACCATATGTGGCGCGTGATGAATTTTAATTTCCGATGATAGTTCTTCAAACAAAATGCCTACTGCAGTTCGTGAAGCCGTGCGAGGTGCAGTGGAGAGGTTCGGAGGAATGTCGAATGCTGAGGCTGTGGAGTATGTGGCTGCGATGGAGAGGGATGGTAGGTTGATTGAGGAGTGTTGGAGCTGAAAATATTCGAAACTAGTGAGCGCCAAATCGTGAAGAAGTTGATGTATTTGATAATGGGATCACACGTATTGGATAAAACTTTCAGGCCTGGAGGCCGACTTACATGCACGGTCTTTCAGATCTGAGTCATTCATTTGAAGTAAATGTACAGCTTGATCGAATGATATCGGCACACTTTGTGTGGATCCCACTGCGAAGACAAGCGCTTAGCTTATGTATTAGAGTGGCCGAATATCACCGTCAGTGGCTCAGCACTCTTCAGTTTCATCCCAACATGCCTCCGAGTCAACATTCAAGAGTAGAACGTGATTTAACTGACCAATCTAGTCTGGAATATACCATCAACCATGTTTTTTGCCCACTCAAGTTACCACAAAGGAGCGACCATTCCCTTGAGAACGATCTTGCCTTATCTCAGGCGATAGTGGATGCCGCTCTCGTCTTCAGCGACCAGCTACCGTCCGATAAGCGGCTGCTCTGGATGAGCAGCTTGAAGATGCTCCAGAACCTGAAAGATTCAATCAGATTTAGCGCGTTGTCCGAAAAGGAAGTCGAATCTCATATTAGTGCTATGAACAACAAAGGTGTGCTGTTTTCATCCCTTTTGTTTCGTGCTGACAGTGAGTATCAACTTGCAGATGTCCTTGTATACATGATTCGCGCACAAAACGCCGCGGTGGTCATGAGAAAACTCGAATCCGAGACCATATTCGAATCTTTCGAGGTCTCTCCCGACCCCACCGCAGTGATGAGCGCAAAGGGAAAGCTGATTTGTTTGTATCCTGGACCTGCTATCACAGTCCCGGATACGAACATCGACAGTGCTACCTTTCCCGCCGAGCTGGCGAATTTTCTTGTTCGCATGGATCAAGATGTCCTTGATGCGGCAGCGACGAGGAGGAAAGCCGGATCCACTGTGCTCGAAGAGAGGGACACAACTCATCCTCGATATATCACAGAACTACTGACCGGTATATTGCGTGGCCTTGGGAGCATTGCTGATGTTCCTCACATCCGCAAGCGCATCGGAGATGATGTGCTGTGGGACAGCGCGAAATTGCCGTGGAGGCGCTCTCCACTTTGGCTTGTAATCCGCGTTGCCTTACAAACAACTCTGGAGCGCAGTGCTCTTGGGCGAACGACGTATAAATCATTCATGCTATTCTCCATGGCGAGGCTGACTACCCTTGCCCTCGACCATGACTTTTCAAACGACATCCTACACTTCATGTCCGCAAAAATTGCACGCCGCCTTTTCAAGCTTGGTTCCTCTGCTTCTCTGGAGTTATCGCAGATGGTCAATGTGGTCACCAGTAATGTAAGGAGTATTTTAGAGGGAAGATGGGGATCCGTTCAAGACGCGCAACGGGCCTCGCCTCGTTGGGCTCCCGAGACCCTCCGAGTTTTGCGAGACACTCATCTTTCCTTGAACACCAGCCGAGAGTACATTCACCAAGCTTTGCAGAATCAGCATTCGTCTCCTCAACTCGCAGCCTCGCTCAATCCCAGTCACCCCCCGCGCGGGACAATAGACAATTTCCTGGGTGTTGATGCCGGCTTCCTGATAGCCACTCATGCTACAGAACCGTCTCTTGCCCTCACAGATTTCGAGACGGTCGTTAGATCAGGGATCGACGACTGGGTAGCGCGTGTTTCATTTCAGAGCATCGATTTCGCATGCGTCTCGATTGAGGCGTGCGCCTCCGCGTACTCCTCGAGAGCGCTAATCGCTTACAAGGGAAACCCGGAGAATTTGTCAATCATGCTTCTCACTCTTTTCGAGCTTTGGGTAGCCATGGACAAGATTGTTGTTGGACAAATCCCACTCTTGGCAGAATATTGCCCTGAAATTCCATTGGCCCTTTGGGAGCATCTGCTAATCCACCAATCTTCAGCCCTTGCCCGTTTAAAGCAGTTACGTGCCTACCTGAAAGCTCGTCATTGCCAGGCTTCCAGCCATCTGTCGGCGTTCTCGTCTACCAAAGACGACAAGACGTTTGCAGTGCGATATTTTTACCAGTCATCCCAGCTGCAGCGTCTGAAGCTGGCCATCGAGGCGGATGCTCATGAAGAGCGGAAGAAGAAGTTAACTGAGCTTCAGACGCTCAATAAAAGATACGCCGATCTAGAGAAGCGCACAACAAGCTTATCACACGAATACGGAGTCAATTCCCGCGGATGGGAGTACCACAAGACAAATGTTTGTCAAAAGTGTCGCCTGGAGAAGGAGATGCGATCCATGATGATTACAGTTCACGAGTGGCCGCTACCAGCGCGTGAAAAGGAGGCGATCGTGGTCGTGTTTGAGTTAACGTGCCCCATCGCGTTCGACATGTGGAGATCTGTGACATTCCATGTCCTCGTTGACGTCTGCACTCCAGGAACGATTTTGCCTACCCATCACTTCACGACACTGCAAAGATATGATGCCTTGCAGCGATACCGTACGTGCCATGCAAAGCAAAGGCTAACTTTGGCGTCGGAGGCCAAAACCTTCACCAGGTGCCATTACAGTAACACTCGCATTCCCACAGTAGAAGGCAGGGTCTGTGTGCACAACGGACTCATATTCCGGCCTTTTGATACAACTACAGGTTCATGGGCAGGCGACGTACTGCTGCGCTGCCATTCTAGTACCAAGTTGTGCACTTTTCTTCTTCCCAAGGGACCATATGATGGTTTGCAGCGGTACCTTGCAGGAACGTCCCACACATCGAACGAGGTTATAGCCAATCAGGCTGATTGTCACAAGGACATCACCATCCACGAATTCATCGCCTTCGGAGCCTTGCGGAGTGGACCGCTGCTGCAATGGATGAACGTGCTACGTGAACTCCGTGATAGGACACTCAATTTTCGCCGTGAAGAAGTCCATCTACTGTTAGCACAAGCTGTTTCACAGGTTGGCCCACCTTCGTCCGACGACGACCTTATTTGGCACGAGGAGCTGAACAGCGTACCCTTCATTGGTGCACTACTGGGAGAGCTAGAGTATTTGATGGCAAGTGTCGAAGGAAATTGGTTGGAAGGTGTCACGATCAGCACTATCGTCATGCTTGCATGCCGCGTCTTGTCCTCGACTCAGGAAGAGAGCATCAAAAGTCGCGGATATTCGCTCCTTCGAAGGATACGAACTGCGACCTTTACGTTACTGAGGCAGCTTTCAGAGAAAATGCAATCCAGCAATGATGAGACTGTCAGTCGGGAGCTACAAGGACGTGTTCGTGATATGGCAGCCACCTGTCGGAGTACATTTGACTTTGACGTTGACGTTAACGCTTCGCTGCTCCTGACGTCGAACGACGACATCAAGATATATTCATATTGTGCGGTCATGATTTATGACAACACCCCAAGCCAACTAGGTGATCTTCCACAACATTCCAAGCTACTGCTAGAGCGAGACAAGAGATGCTGTTACGCACTGGAACCCGCTGTTCGTCAATACGCAGAACTTCACAGGGAGGGTCTTGATTGCGCGATTGCGGAGATTTGGGGCAACTACAGACCAGGAACTCCTTGGAGGGCACTGCCAGCTCCGAATTCTCGTTGGCTTGTGACGCATACTGCGTATTCGTGCTCTCAATCATCGCAGAATGTCCACTTCAATTTGGTTAGCGGATGCTTGCTTGTCGATGGGAAGCAGCTGGGCAGGCTTCCGTCAATGATAGTGCAACACCCTACCTATCAATCGATTTTCGGTGATGTCAGCTTTTGGAAATTGTGAATCCGTTGGTACACGCTGACATTAATAACAGCAAGTTTTGGATATCGTTCCAGCTGATATTCCTGGAATGGAGTATGCCACACGCGGGAATGTCTGCGACCATCAGGTTAGTCGCCCTCATCGTCATCATCCTGAACCCAGCAGCTGATATAACGCACTTGCTTGTTATTGAAGGTGTTGTTCGCCCTCCGCGACTCGAACAATCTCATCATCCGTGCGAAGCATATCAAACAAGACTCGCCTATCCTTCAACTCATTCCGAGCCCAAAGTTTATGGGTGACCTACCGACAACTTTGATAGTCGGCCATACCCACTGGCTCAACTTGAGCACGAGCGAAATAGAGATTCGGCCAGCAGAAAATGTATGGAACTCCTCGCCCGAAAATTGGGTCCTACGATTTGCCGTTTCGGGCCCTTCGACGTTGCAGAATGCTGGAGGTGTCACTCTTGTTGACATACGTAGCCAAACATGGGAAATGATCTCCAAGAGGATGCGTCCTCTGGAGGACGCCCGCTACATCATGGTCACGCATAACAAAGCCTCGGGCAGCACTTACTCACTGAAGGCTGATTTACCTCGATATGGTCTCGAATTCTTCATCGACGAAGATGGGGAACTGCAGTCCCGCAACATGCGCAACATGGTCGTTGATGCCATTCAGTCTACTGGAACGATGTTGGGCTTGGTCAATCAACTCGTCTTGCGTCCGAAATCGCAAATTGCGGATGAGCATCCACACACTGTCATCGTCCCAGACGGTCGTATCTCATACTCTAGTAACGGCCATCACGTCCGTGTTACCATCACTCCCGAAGGCACCCGAGTGACACACCACCTGTACAAGGTTGATACAGATTTACGCTGTCTCACTGGGAATGTGGGTCTTACGAGCAAGCTCTATCAGGCGCTCCTCCATGCTGTTACCAGCGGCTGTCTCCCTGATCCCCTGACGGGTCGAACGGGGACAGAAGAGGCATTGCATCTCTTGCATTCTGCAGCTTGCCGGTCTTTTATGAAGCTTCGCTCTCGTGATACAGATCTTTTGCGCGAGATTAATTCGCTGTCAACCAAGCGCATCTGGTATCCCACTCATCTTCGGAAGATGCAGACAGTGTCATGGTCGTGCCTTGATCCACTCGCACAGCACTATGGTTTCCATCCAGTCGCGAAATCTATCATGGACTACGGCATGCAGTTGTCAGCTTTTTCAGATGGGTCTTCAAATATTCATCCTAGCTTTGATCTTCCACCATTCACCAGCCACCTTCTCGAGCGCGCGTCCATTCGTGCATCGGCGGTCTATCCTGACCAATCCCCTCTTACACTTCCGCTCGGCAACACAGATGTCATCTATGCTTCGCGCGATGTACCAGATAAACATGCGGAAGAGAGAGCATTTCACGCTGCCTTCATGGTACACCAGTGGCCAAGCAGGCTGCCGGTGCAACGAAATCTCCTCAGTTTGTTGACCCAGTGGAAACATGTTCAGGGCATGGGGGAATCGCTCAGCTTGCGATACTCCAAAGACTGGCTTCAGCCGACTTATCCTGACATCTTCCTTTCTGCGTACGACCGCTTTCGTAGTGCTACGAAGAAAGACATGTTTCAGCTGGTTTTCACCCTGGCTTCATTATCATATGGCTTGTTGGACGATCATTTGCTCGTCCCAACATTGCTAGCCTTCGCCACAATTGCCGAAATTCGCAGCCTGGGTGAACCACTAAAGTTCGCCTCCTATGATCTCTCGGATGGTTTCAGGCCTTCCGATGCGATACTGGACAATATCGTGAGTTCGTGTACCAAAGACTATGAGATCAGCCAGGAGCGACAGCTAGCTGCAATGCCCGGGGAAAATGAAAAGGCTTTGGGGAAGACGTCGTTATTCAGCTTTCGAAGACAAGTGTCGCTCCGAAGGGCAAATCATTCTCAGGGAACTTCGAGACGCTTGGCCGTGCGAAGACCCTCCGGATCTTAATACGCTGCGAGTGATCTGCTACAATCTCAATGAATTGTCGGGGAAGCTTTATCCATTATTCCGCAGCTGTTGGCGGAACCGTCATTTGAAGCAACACCTGGATGACCTGCAGGGGACTCTCGAACGGTTCCACGCTCCCCATCCTCCGTCGAAACTGCCCTCGCAGTACATTCTTGATTCCCACCTTGATCACTCAGATTTTCAAGTCGCATCACCAACCTCATCTGTTGATGCCCAGTGCCTCTTTGATAGGAATCCGCCTGTTATACGCATGTTCCGGTCTTCCAAACTTCCAACCAGTGCCGATCGGAGAGATTTAGTGTCTCCAGACCCTGGAGTCACAATGAGGTTGCAACAGCTGATCAACAACTTTCGCGACGAAGGAAGTAACAAATTCCGCCGTAACTACGCTAATGATCTGGAGCAGAGCAAGTCAATTTTCTGTGAGGAGAAGCTTGTTGCCCCGCCAGATCCTACGACGTATACTACCGAGGTACTGCTTGAGCACCATTCTCTGCATAGCCAGCAATTCCGACATTCGCTCGCAAGCATCGTAGACGCCCTTTCCCCTACTTCTGCTGCCGAGAACGCGTTGTATAATGCTGGGTTGTGGCCCCGAATCACACCAAACTTCCTCTTCATTCACATGGCATCTATATCAGGAAATTGTTTGGGGAATGCATGGCGTACGGCTCTCGTCCACTTGTCACAGATACTTCTCCAACTGCAGCGCTCGCGAAGGTTGTTTGTCTTTGCTGCTAATAAAAACTGGGTGGAGTTCTTCAAGGAATTGGAGAATGAAGAATGCGAGGGATTTGATCCTGAGCTGTACCCCGATTGGCTTTTAATCCAGGTACGCTGTAAAACGAAATCACTCGTTAATAGTTATCGATAATGAGTGTCCTCAGATTGAAAGTCAGTTCTTGGCACGACCTGTCCAGGTGAAGGTTGCGCTGGAGATGATATCGCCATGCACGGGAAGAAATACTTCTCTCCAGCTGAACATGGGCGAAGGGAAATCCTATGTGATTGTTCCCTTCGCAGCCGCCGCACTTTCTGACGGCCACAAGGTGGTTCGAGTAATCGTGCTGAAGTCGTTGTCTGCTCAGATGTTCCAGCTCCTGGTTGAACGACTAAGCGGCCTTGCGCAGAGGCGCATTTTCTATATCCCATTCTCTCGCGCTCTCTCCATCGACTCATCGAAGGTGCAAATGTATCGTGACCTGATGCAGGAATGCATAGGACACTAAGGGCATTCTGGTTGTGCAACCGGATCATATCTTGTCATTCGAGTTGATGGCTGTTGGCCGTCAGCTGTTTCCTTGGTCTGTAGCCGCTAAAGAGATGCTACAAGCTCAGCTGTGGCTCGCAAGTCACACACGGGACATCCTGGACGAAAGCGACGAAATTCTGCACGTTCGCTACCAATTGGTGTACACTGTCGGTCTCCAAAGGTCGCTTCAGGGTCACCCTGAAAGGTGGACGACCACACAACAAGTGCTGAGTCTTGTCGCAACGCACGCAGCTCGACTCGTGAGCCAATTTCCCTCCTACTCAGAAGTATCTACACGCGAGCACGGAGCATTCCCCTTCATTCGCGTCCTCCATCCGACAGCAGGTGAAGAATTGGTCCAATGGATCGCACAAGATGTTACCAGTGGCGCGCTTGAAAATCTCAGCTTCGACCAAGCATCTCTCCGCATGAAACAAGCTGTCCGCCAGTTCATCACAATCGAAGAGATATCCAATGACTGTATCAGCTTAGTGGAGGATCGCTATCGAGGCACCACCGTCTGGCCCGGCCTTCTAGTTTTGCGTGGATTGCTGGCATGTGGTATCTTGGTGTATGCCCTCAAAGAACGTCGCTGGCGCGTGGACTATGGTCTTGCACCCAAGCGAACGATGTTGGCCGTTCCGTTCCGTGCCAAAGACATGCCCTCGCTGCGGGCAGAGTTTGGCCATCCAGATGTTGCTGTCACCCTCACGTGCATATCGTACTATTATGCTGGTCTTACCCACGAGCAGTTGCTGGTATGCTTCGAGCTTCTGCTGAAGGAGGATAATCCCGTTCTTGAGTATGAATCATGGGTGCTTGGACTTCAGTCCGTCCCAGAAAGTCTGCGGCACCTTAACGGAATCAATACGGAATCCGCAGAGCAGTTCCGCGACCTTCAACAACTGTTCGCATTCAACAAGGCAGTCATAGATTTCTACCTGTCTCGCGTAGTTTTTCCCAAGGAAGCCAGGGGGTTCCCCAAGAAACTCACCTGCTCTGGATGGGATCTCGCTCAAGAGAAGCGACATCTAACAACCGGCTTCTCTGGTACAAACGACAATCGCTATCTGCTACCGAGCTCGATGGTGCAGCACGACCTTGATTACCAACGCAGCACGAATGCCCGAGTCCTAGCGTTTCTTCTGCGCCCGGAAAATGATTGCTACAGATGCATACCGCCCGGCCACAATGTGCACGACTTCATCAATGCCCTAATCGCACAAACCCCCGAGATCCGTGTCCTGCTGGACGTGGGTGCGCAGATGCTGGAATTGAAGAATCAAGAGTTGGCCGAAGCATGGCTTCGAGCCAAGCGCGACGCCCAAGCTGCGGTCTTCGTGAATGACGACGACGAACTCGTTGTTGTCAGTCGGGACGGGACAGTCGAACCCCTTGTGTCATCCCCCTTTGCACAGCAGCTTGATCAGTGCGTGATATATCTAGACGACGCCCATACCAGAGGAACAGATGTCAAGCTGCCTTCCGGTTTCCGAGCTGCTGTCACGCTTGGCCCCAAAGTCACGAAGGACCGCCTGACGCAAGGTTCGTAATTCAGAATTCATGCATATCAGTTTTGGTAACAACCGATGACACAGGATGCATGCGAATGCGGAAGCTGGGCAATGGGCACTCAGTGATGTTCTTCGCTCCGACTGAAGTCGACCGGAACATTCGTTCGGCAACTCAGAAAGCTGATAGCGACGATGTCGACGTGGCAGATATCCTTCACTGGGCGATGGTGGAAACCTGTCTTGATATTCAGATGCGCGCATCCCACTGGGTTCAACAAGGCTCGGATTTCAATGCACGGCATTCCGCATGGGCTCAATTCCTACGTACCTCTACTTCCACGTCCACCCTGAAGAATGCCTGGTTGCAGCCAGAGGAACGTTCGCTAGAAGCTATGTATGCACCCCACAGTTCCCCACAACCATTCAAGTTCTTCGATCCAGACATTCAAAGGAAGTGCGAGGAACTCGGAGTCGTATCGGCATCGGCACGAAGCATGGATGAGGAACAAGAAAGGGAGGTGGTTCACGAGGTAGAAAGAGAGAGAGAGCATCGGGTAGAAAGACCACCCAGTGTCAAACCTGCAGCCCATGTTCTACATCCAGACGTCCGTCGATTCATCGAGACCGGCCGAATTCCCCTCGGGTCTCCTGCGTTTATTCGAGCGCTGTCCAGCCTTGTCAACACCACTGCTGTATTTCAGGAGCGTGATCAATGGGCACAGAATGTTCTAGTCACCCGTGACTTTGCTCGTACGGTGGGGAATCTCTCTGCTCAAAAGGCGGATGATTATCTGCGGCCCGTCAATTGGGTTATATTCAGTGGCGTTGGACGCTCCCCATTACTTGTGGTCGCGAGCCCGAACGAAGTGAACACACTACTACCTGATATCCGCAGAAGCAATGTAGTTTACCTGTGCATCTACACTTCTCGCACCACAAAAACGATGCAGGCATGCGATGACCTTCGCCTCTACTGTATTCCTTCGACGCCACAGTTAACAAGATCAGAACAGCTGATTTGCCAGCTCAACCTTTTTGCGGGTCAACTCTATTTCTCCAATTATGAGATGTATCTCCGCACTTGCAACTTCTTAGGGCTCAACGCACCGGATTTGGGGGACGAGGACTTAATCGCCGACAGCGACGGGTTCATCAAGGAGGAGAATCGTCCTGCTGCGAGAGCGTCGTGTTCATTCAAGCGATCCCAGCTTCTTCCACTGAAGGAGTTGTTCGGGATGAGAAGGAAAGGCATGGGATATCTGCCAACTCACCTCGGAAAGATGCTCAATGGCCGTATTTTGACTGAGGAGGATTTCCTCGCATGAGTGCGAGGTTTCTTTAGGTAAGTTTTAGCACCTCTCTGTCAGGGACCTACCTGACTCTGGTTCTGGTCAACAGCGACTGTATTCTGTACCAACACTGACCTTGATGTAATATTGATATCTACGACGTTCTCTGTAAATCTATTTGTCGTCGAATCTGGAACCCCTTGGGACTTGTTACTTGAACGTTGAAGGAACGCGAAGTACTCCCATCTCAATCGAAACACTCGAGATTTAATCTCGCGATCGGTTGAAACACAGATATCCAGGTATGCTTAAGGTAGGCTTGTTCATACAGTTCTTCGATCAGTGATTACTTGTACAATACAGTCAGTGCCAGCGACTTTCATCAGCTGCAAATGAATGGTCAAGAAGTGTATCTAGGCAGCAAACACCAGACGCACCTTTTCATGCCATCCCGAGAGCATGCTTGCGCTCTGGCATCCCTATACCGTTGGAAAGGCATTTCATTAGGTTCCAGCATGCAACTTGAGTAACTGTGTGCTTAGGCCGCCAACCTGCTCCAACGGATTATCGATGATCCTTGATTCATTACATGCACTCAGCACTGCGCGCGGCGCACTGTGCACATGCCCTGTGTCGCAGTTCCGTTTATGCATCGTGTCGTCCGCACTACTTACGATATGGAGTCTGGACGTTATCGTCGAAACTCCGTATAGCCTTCTCATGTCCACAAAATTTGTGCTTCAAATTTGATCCTGTGGCTTGCGCCGTGGTTGAAGCTTCGTTGAGGGTCGACTTTGCAGAAGGTATAGAAGCCATAGCTCGTCACAGTAAGGCGCCTGGTAAATCAATATGGCTCTTATGCCCGCGGCTCATGATCAATTATGGGGGACAACAGCTCAGTGGTTCTCACCAGGCTAATCTCTCACCTGGTAGCAAGATGGCTAGGCGCGAGCGTTTTATGTGTCGGATGGATAAATTCCACGAGGGTGCTAATTCTTGATTGACAGGTTCATGCGACGATAGTGCTCAGCCGGACTTATACACCATACTCCTTACGCACTCTCAACTAAGCCCGGATCAAGATGCACCCTCCGTACCCACCTCTTCCGTTTTGTCACTCCCGACGCTTTCCATATCTCAAGTGGCATACGGCGCGGATCGGCCCAATGGTCATGTGCGTGCACCCAGCGGTCTGTTCAGTCGTGGGGTCAGCTACAAGAAGCAAATAATAAGATAGAATCATGAAACCTACTGTCTTCCACCCCATAGACAGGATCACCACTCCCGGAACAGGAACCTGAACCAGTAGAAACCCAGCTTCCAAATGCGTCCGACCTCCAACCCTCCGTCTCCACAAACGCCCAGTCCTGTGTGAGCAAGAACGTGAGGTCGCTGCTGGAGGCGCAGGGAGTTCGAAACATATGCAGCGTAGATGAGCAGGAGGATGACAAGAATCAGATTAAGAACGAGGGCACGTGATACATAAGGATAAAAACGTAAGAAATTTCCGTAACATCCTGCACCGCAGCACTAGAAAATTCAACAGACACCTGTGGGGACGGGAGAGACGTCCACGCTCGCACTCTCGTTGTCAAGCATGTTGATATAGAATGACTTGGAACGCATGCAAGGAGGTGGGGTACGAAGGGCGTACCGCCTCGCAGGCAAAAAGGTGATGACACAAACAAGAAAAGAAATATGACCGATATCCCATCACCCAACGGTGGCAAGCGATACATGGAGAAACACATAAACACAAGTGCAATAAAGAAAAAACGTACCTCACTTTGCCGTCCACGCCAGAGTCTCCATCCATTCCTCACCCTCGTCCACGGCACACGATAAGCAGGCCTCGAGTGTGTTAAGAAGATGGGGTGAAGAGAGACTGAAGGTGGTGCTGGTTGTAGGTGAACAGATGAGGGCCATAAAAAGAACGTGCTGATTTTTGTAAATGGACGGACAATGTTGCTTGAGGTGATTGAAGATGGATAACGTCTGGCGGAAACTCTAGCTAGTCAAACGTTGGCATCATCTACCTATCCACCCATTTCAATCTCTTCAGTAGATTAGACTCTAGAAAACTAACATCAGGAATCAATTGAACGCAGGAATATATATAAGCTTGTCGTACCCAGTGCAAGCAAGTATTGGACGCATCAAGAATGTCTTCCTATACGATAGTGTCCGTGAACGTCGAGAAGGATGTGCACGAGTAAATATTATGGAGGACACCCCGTTTAATCTCCGGCAGATCAAACGTTGCCCGACCATCTACCGAGCTTCTTCGCACGCTACCTTCAAGGGTTTCAATGCTGTGCTCCACCATTTTTTTCCAGCTGCTGCGCTATTTTGCTACAGACGAACTCGAACGCGAAAAATTGTATCGATAGAAGGAGCGGTATGTCGATTTACCTTATGTTTGTTTGTTTTATCGAGGATCTGCAGGATCAAATGTATGATCACTGTCAACGCGTAAAACGCACGATCTGGGAGGTGTTAACCGGGTTTAGGAAGGATATCGAGAGAGTATATCTTTGACCTCTTCCCTCCACTGAGGACAAGAGAGTTCTCCATTGCTAGTTCCATTGAGGTGAGCTTAAGTCACACGCAGCCCGATTCACATCTGAGCGCCGTCAGCTCCATCCCCACGAAATTCACCTCTGTTGCTATAGTGCGCTATCACACATAAGTTAAAATTCCTCTGAAAGGTGTCTGTACTAGTTATCTATTAGGTCTTGGACTGGTAGGTCCGTATAACGTGATAGCTCAGTCCCTGTGCATGCCCTCACATCTTCTTAGGAGATACTCTTCGCATCGGTCTCAGAAAGGGCTTCATTTCCCTTCCGACGGATCCAAATACGCCAGTTATGTGTGTTGGTCCAGATACAGGCATTGCACCTATGCGTGCCGTCATTGAACAACGCATACACGCGGGGATACAACAGTACGTATGACCGTCCTTGTACATACCAATCAGCTGGTCTTCGATGACCCCAGATACTACCTTATACTTTGGTTTCCGTTCTACACATAAGGATCAGCATTATCACTCGGAATGGGAATCCGCGGAAATACAAAATATCTCGCTACCACGTTGCGTGTTCTCGTGACGGACCAGAAGGTATCAAACGGACGTATGTGCAAGATTTGATGCAGAAGGGCGCACAGGATATTTGAACAATGTTGGGGCAGCAACGAGGCACCCCTATCATCTCATGAGGGTGGGTCTAGACCATATGTGGCGTGTGGTGAATTCAAAATTCCGATCATAGTTCTTCGAACAAAATGCCTACTGCAGTCCGTGAAGCCGTGCGAGGTGCAGTACAGAAGTTCCGAGGGTTATCGAATGCCGAGGCTGTGGAATATGTTGCTGCGATGGAGAGGGGTGGTGCATAGGTTTCAGGAGTGTTGGAGCTGAGAATATTCGAAGCTGGTGAGCGCTAAATCGTGAAGTTGTTGTTGCACTTTGGTAAGCATGCTCCACAAGTGATTTATTTGCCGTTGATTGCATCAAACTTTCAGGTTCAGCGCTCAAGACTCGACCAGCGGTCGTTCATTTGAGGTCCGGCTCATTCTTTCATAGAATGCCCATATACAGCCTCAACGATCATCTGAATGATCTGATGTGAAAGTTCTGCGACTACTTACTAAGTGACAACAAATTTTATTGTGATTCGGACTGCTGGCGACCATCCTTTGTGGGTCCGCTAAGTGTTCTGCGCCTCGGCATCACCCAAACCCCGCATCCCTCGTTCCTCGGGTACGCAAATGCTATCATGGTCCTGACGAGCGCTTAGGAGTTCCTTATCAGAGTCGCCGCCAGCAGCCATTGCACTCTTCTCTCATCTCAATACAGCAACATGCCCAAAGATTCAAAGCATTTTTCAACAGACCAGTCCGGTCTGCAATATATCATCAATCATGTATTTTCACCCCTCAAATTGCCGCAAGGCAGTGATCATTCCCTCAAGAACGACCTAGCCTTATCTCAAGCGGTAGTGGAAGCTGCTTTTGCCTTCAGCGACAAGCTGCCGGCCGACGAGCAGCTGCTTTGGATGAGCAGCTTGAAGATGCTCCAGAACCTCGACGATTCAATCCGATTTAGCGCGATGTCTGCGAAGGAAGTCGAATCTCAGATCAGTACAATGGACAACCAAGGTCTTGGTTTTCACCCCGTTTGTATCTTTTCCGTGCTGAACATCACCTTGCAGATGTCCTTGTATATATGATTCGCGCACAAAACGCTGCGGTGGTCATGAGGAAACTCGAATCTGAGATGATATTTGAATCATTCGAGGTCTCTCCTGACGCCACCGCGGTGATGGGCGCAAAGGGAAAGCTCATCTGTTCGTATCCTGGACCTGCTATCACGGTCCCAAACACGATTGTTGACGATGCTGCTTTCCGCGCCGAGCTGGCGAATTTTCTCGCTCACATGGATCAAGATGTCCTCGATGCAGCAGCGACGAGGACAAAAGCCGGGTCCACTGTTCTCGAAGAGAGGGACTCAACAGATCCTCGACATATCACAAAACTCCTGACCAGTATACTGCGTGGCCTGGGGAGCATTGCTAATGTTCCTCGCATTCGCAAGCGCGTCGGAGATGATGTGCTGTGGGACAGCGCGAAATTGCCATGGAGGAGGTCTCCACTTTGGCTTGTCATTCGCGTTGCCTTACAGACGACTGTGGAGTGGAGTGATCTCGGACGAACAACGTATAAATCGTTCATCCTGTTCTTCATGGCGAGGCTGACGACCTTTGGCCTCAACCATGACATGTCGAATGACATCCTGCACTTCTTGTCAGCAAAGATTGCACGCCGTCTTTTCAAGCTTGGATCCTCTGCTCCTCCGGGGTTATCACAGATGGTCAATATGGTCACCAGTGACGTTAGGAGTCTTCTAGAAGAAAGATGGAGATCTGTTGGAGACGCGCAGCGGGTCTCACCTTGTTGGGCTCCCGAGACCCTCCGAGTCTTGCGAGATACCCATCTTTCGTTGAACACGAGCCGAGGGTACATACGTCAAGCTTTACAGAAACAGAATTCGTCTCCCAAAACCGCCTCATTCAATCCCAGTCACCATAAGCGCGGAACAATCGATCATTTCCTTGATGCTGATGCTAGCTTCCTCGTAGCTGCTCATGCTGCAGAACCTTCTCTTGCCCTCGCAGATTTCGAGACTGTGGTTAGATCAGGGATCGACGAATGGGTAACGCGTGTTTCTCCCAGGAGCATCAATTCCGCATGCGTCTCGATCGAGGCGTGCGCCTCCGCGTACTCCTCGAGAGCGCTGAAGGCTTACAAGGGAAACCCGGAGAATTTATCGAGCATGCTTATCACGCTTCTCGAGCTCTGGGTAGCCATGGATAAGATCGTTGTTCGACAGATCCCACTCCTAGCGATATATTCCCCCGAAATCCCATTGAGCCTTTGGGAGAGTCTACTGGCCCGCAAATCCGCAGACCTTGATCGCTTACAGCAGTTACATGCCCACGTGAGCACTCGTCATTACCGGTCATCCACCGGCCTGTCGGTGTTCTCATCTACCGCCGACGATAAGTCATTCGCAGTGCGGTATTTTTACGAGTCTTCAAGGCTACAGCGTTTAAAGCTGACCATCGAGGCGGATGCCCGGAAAGATCGGGAGAAGAAGCTGACTGAGCTTGAGACCCTCAATAAGAGGTACGCTGGCCTAGATGAGCGCACAACAAGCTTATCGCATGAATACGCTGTCAACTCCCGCGGCCAGGAGTGCCATGACGAACAGCACTGTACCAAGTGTTGCCTGGAAAGGGAGATGCAATCGATGACTATCGCAGTTCACGAGTGGCCGCTACCACCCCACGAACGAGAGGCAATCACGGTTGTGTTTGAGCTGGCATGCCCCATCGTCTTCGACATGTGGAGATGTATGACACTCCACGTCCTCATTGATGTCTGCACTCCGGGGAAAATTTCGCCCGCTTCTCCCTTCATGACACTTCCGAAATATGGTGCCTTGAAGTGTTACCGCAGGTGCCATCCAAGGCAGAGGGTGACTTTGGCGTCAGATGCCAAACCCTTCAGTAGCACCCACTACAACAGCCCTCGCATTCCTACGGTGGACGCCAGTGTCTGTGTAAACAACGGACTCAAGTTTCACCCCTTTGATACAGTCAAAAGTGCCTGGACCGCCAAGTTAGTACTGGTGCAGTCCAGTTCTAGCAAGCTGTGCACTTTCATTCTTCCGAAGGGTCCATATCGTGGTTTGCAGGGATATCTTGCGGAAACATCCCATGGGTCGAACGAGGTCATAGCCAACCAGGCTGATTGCCACAAAGACATGACCATTCACGAATTCATCGCATTCGGAACCTTGAGGAGTGGACCGCGATTGCAATGGATGAACGTGCTACGCGAACTTCGTGCAAGGACACTCACTTTTCGACGCGAGGAAGTCCATTTGTTGATCGCCCAAGCTATTTCACAGGTTGGCCCATGTTCGTCCGACGACGGCCTTCTTTGGCACGAGGAGCTGAACAGCATGCCTTTCCTTAGTACACTACTCGGAGAGCTGGAGTCTTTGATGGCAAGCGTTGAAGAAAACTGGTTGGAAGGTGTCACGATAAGCACTATCATCATCCTTGTGTGCCGTGTCTTGTCCTCGACTCAGACAGAGAGTATAAGAAGTCGAGGATATTCGCTGCTTCGAAGGATCCGAACTGCGACTTTTACCTTGTTGACACAGCTATCGACGAAAATGCAAGTCAGCAACGATGTGACGGTTAGTCAGGAGTTACAAGGACGCGTCCGTGACATGGCAGTCACTTGTCGAAGCACGTTTGATGTTGGCAGAGATCCATCGCTACTCTTGACGTCGAACGACATCAAGGTATATGCGTATTGTGGCATCATAATCTATGACAACACTCCAAGCCAACTGGGCAATCTCCCACAACATTCCAAGCTACTACTAGAGCGTGACAAGAGATGCTGTTACACACTAGAACCCGCTGTTCGTCAATACGCAGAGCTTCACAGGGAGGGTCTTGATTGTGCGATTGCGGAGATCTGGGGCAGCTACAGACCAGGAACTCCTTGGAGAGCACTACCGGCTCCAAATTCTCGTTGGCTTGTGACGCAGACTGCCACATCGGGTGCTCAATCGCCGCAAGCTGTACACTTCGATCTGGTCAGTGGGTGCTTGCTCATTGATGGGAAACAGCTGGGTAGGCTCCCGTCAACGATAGTGGAACACGCCACCTACCAATCAATATTCGGCGATGTCAGTTTTTTACAAGTTGCGGCTCTGTTCATACGCGCTGACGTTCAATTACAGCGAGTCTTTGATATTGTTCCGGCTGATATTCCTGGAATGGATTACGCGACACGGGGGAATCTCTGTGATCATCAGGTTAGTCACTCGTCGTCATCGCTCAGCAGCTAAATAATGCCTTACTGAAGGTGTCTTTCGCTCTACGCAACTCAAATGATCTCATAATCCGTGCAAAGCACATTGAGCGAGGTTCGCCTATCCTTCAACTCATTCCGAGCCAAAAATTTGTCGGTGATCTACCAACGACCTTGATAGTAGGCCATACTCACTGGCTCAACCTGCGCACGAGCGAAATCGAGATTCGGCCAGCAGAAAACGCATGGAAGTCTTGTTCTGATAACTGGCTCCTGCAATTTGCTGTTTCGGGCCCATCGACACTTCAGAAGGCTGGCAGTACCACTCTTGTTGACATACGCAGTCAAACGTGGGACATGATTTCCAAGAGGATGTGTCCTCTAGAAGATACCCGTTACATCATAGTCACATATAATGAAGCATCTGGCGGTACTTCCTCGCTAAAGGTCGATTTGCCTCGATATGGTCTTGAATTCTTCGTCGATGGGGATGGGGAACTGCAGTCCCGAAATATGCGCAACATGGTCGTAGATACCATTCAGTCGACTGGAACTATGTTGGGATTGATCAACCAGCTTGTCTTGCGTCCGAAGTTGCAAATTGCAGATGAGCATCCGCGCACCGTCATCATCCCAGATGGTAGTATTTCATACTCCCCCGACGGCCATCACATCCGAGTTATCATCGCTCCTGAAGGCACCCGAGTGACATACCATGTGTACAGAGTTGATACAGATCTACGCTGTCTCACTGGGAATGTGGGTCTGACGAGCAAGCTCCATCAGGCGCTCCTTCACGCTGTTACCAGCGGCTGTCTTCCTGATCCGCTGACAGGTCGAACGGGGACAGAGGAGGCATTGCATCTGCTGCATTCTGCGACTTGCCTCTCTTTCATGAAGCTTCGCTCTCGTGATACGGATCTTTTGCGTGAGATCAGTTTGCTGTCCACCAGGCGCGTCTGGTATCCCATTGATCTCCAAAAGATGCAGACAGTTTCGTGGTCGTGCCTTGCGCCACTTGCACAGCACCATGATTTTCATCTAGTCGCAAAATCTATCATGGACTACGGCAAGCGACTGTCAAGTTTCTCAGAAGCGTCTCCACACTCCCATCCTAGCTTTGACCTTCCGCCATCCACTGATCACCTTCTTGAGCGCGCATCTATCCGCGCCTCAGCAGTCTATCCCGACCAGTTCTCTCCGTCACCTCCGTTTGGTAACACAGATGTTATCTACGTCCCACGCAACGTCCCTGATAAACATGCAGAAGAGAGGGCATTCAACACAGCCTTCATGACACACCGGTGGCCAAGCAGACTCCCAGTGCAACGAAATTTACTCACCCTTTTGACTCAGTGGAATAATGTCCAGGGCGTCGGCGAACCCCTTAGTTTGCAATACTCCAAAGACTGGCTTCACCCAATTTTTCCTGACATTTTCATTTCTGCATACAACCTCTGTCGTAGTGCTACGAAGGAACAGGCATTTCGGCTGGTGTTCACCCTGGCTTCAGTATCATATGGCTCTCCGGACATCCACGCACTCGTCCCGACCCTCCTAGCCTTTGCCACAGTTCCCGAAATTTGCAGCTTAGATGGCCCACCGAACTTTACCTCCTACGATCTCTCTGAAGGCTACATGCCTTCTGATGCGATATTGGGTAATCTCATCAATTCGTGTATGATCGATTATGAAAGTAGTCGGGAGAGATCCCTAGCTGCACAGCCTCGAGAAGGTCCAAAAGCCTTAGGAAAGCGTCGTTATTCAGCTTTCGAAGAAACCTGTCGCTCTGAGAAGCAAGTCATCCTCAGCAAAGTTTGCGCCGCTCGGCCGTGCAAAGATCCACCGACGCTCGATACGCTGCGAGCAAGCTGCTTCAATCTCAACGAACTGTCGAAGAAACTTCGCCCTGTATTCCATAGCTGTTGGGCAAACCGTTGTTTGAAGGAACACTTGGATGTCCTGCAAGGGACTCTCAACCGGTCTTACGCTCCCAATCCTCCATCAAAGCTACCGCTGCGATATGACCCTGATTCCAACGTTGATGATATTGCATCACCAACCTCGTCTGTTGATGCCCAATACCTTTTTGATAGGAATCCGCCTGTTATACGCACGTTCAGGTCTTCCCAAGTTCCGCCCAGTACCGATCGGAGAGATTTAGTGTTTCCAAACCACAGAGCCTCATCGAGGTTGCAAAAGCTGATCAGCGACTTTCGCGACCAAGGGAGCAATAAGTTCTACCACAACTACGCTGATGATCTGGAGCGGAGCAGGTCGTTTTTCTGTGAGGAGAAGCTTGTTGCTCCGCCGGATCCTACGGCGTACACTACGGATGTACTGCTTGAGCACCATTCTCTGCACACCCGACAATTCCAAGACTTGCTTGCAACTATCGTGGACGCCCTCTCCCCTGCTTCTGCTGCCGAGCACGCATTGTATAATGCTGGGTTGTGGCCCCGAATTACACCGAACTTCCTCTTCACCCGCATGGCATCTGTATCAAGAAATTGTTTGGGCAAGGCATGGCGTACAGTTCTCGTCCGCCTGTCGCGGGTACTCCTCCAATTGCAGCGCTCGCGAAGGCTGTTTGTCTTTGCCGCTAAGAAGAACTGGGTTGAGTTCTCCAAGGAGTTGGAGAATGAAGAGTGCGAGGGATTTGATCCTGAGCTATACCCTGATTGGCTTTTGATACAGGTATGCTATAACACGAAATCGCTTGTTAGTGGCTATTGATAACGAGTGTTCTCAGATTGAAAGTCAGTTCTTGGCACGGCCTGTCCAGGTGAAGGTTGCGCTGGAGATGATGTCGCCAAGCACAGGAGGAAATACTTCTCTCCAGCTGAACATGGGCGAAGGGAAATCCTACGTCATTGTTCCTCTCGCAGCCGCCGCACTTTCTGATGCTCACAAAGTGGTTCGGGTAATCGTGCTGAAGTCGTTGTCTGCTCAGATGTTCCAGCTCCTGGTTGAACGTCTAAGCGGCCTTGCACAGAGGCGCATTTTCTATATCCCATTCTCTCGTGCTCTCTCCATCGACTCATCTAAGGTGCAAATGTATCGTGACCTGATGCAGGAATGCATGGACACCAGAGGCATTTTGGTCGTGCAACCGGACCATATTCTGTCATTCCAGTTGATGACCGTTGATCGCCAGCTGTCTTCTCGGACTGAAGCTCCTAGAGAGATGCTGCAGGCTCAGCTGTGGCTCGACAGTCATACACGGGACATCCTGGACGAAAGCGATGAAATTCTGCATGTCCGCTACCAGCTGGTGTACACTGTCGGTCTCCAAAGGTCACTCCAAGGTCATCCCGAAAGGTGGACGACTACACAACAAGTGCTGAGTCTTGTCGCGAAGCATGCCGCTCAGTTCATCAGCGAATTTCCCTCTCACTCAGAAGTGTCTACTCGCGAACACGGAGCGTTCCCCTTCATTCGTGTTCTGCATCCGACAGCAGGTGACGAATTGGTCCAATGGATTGCACAAGATGTTATTAGTGGCGCGCTCGAAAACCTCAGCTTCGATCAAGCATCTTTCCATGTCAAACAAGCTGTCTGCCAGTTCATCGCAACTGAGGAGTTATCTAATGAATGTATTAGCTTAGTGGAGGACCGCTATCGAGGCACCACCGTCTGGCCCGGCCTTCTAGTTTTGCGTGGATTGCTGGCATGTGGTATCTTGGTGTATGCCCTCAAAGAACGGCGCTGGCGCGTGGACTATGGCCTTGCGCCAAAGCGGACGATGTTAGCCGTTCCGTTCCGTGCCAAAGACATGCCCTCGCTGCGGGCAGAGTTTGGCCATCCAGATGTTGCTGTCACCCTCACGTGCATATCGTACTATTATGCTGGTCTCACCCACGAGCAGCTGATGGTATGCTTCGAGCTTCTGCTGAAGGAGGATAATCCCGTCCTTGAAGTATGAATCCTGGGTGCTTGGACTTCAGTCCGTCCCAGAAAGTCTGCGGCACCTTAACGGAATCAATACGGAATCCGCAGAGCAGTTCCGTGACCTTCAGCAACTGTTCACATTCAACAAGGCAGTCATAGATTTCTACCTGGCTCGCGTAGTTTTTCCCAAGGAAGCCAGGGGGTTCCCCAAGAAGCTCACCTGCTCTGGATGGGATCTCGCTCAAGAGAAGCGACATCTAACAACCGGCTTCTCTGGTACAAACGACAATCGCTATCTGCTACCGAGCTCGATGGTGCAGCACGACCTTGATTACCAACGCAGCACGAATGCCCGAGTCCTAGCGTTTCTTCTGCGCCCGGAAAATGATTGCTACAGATGCATACCGCCCGGCCACAATGTGCACGACTTCATCAATGCCCTAATCGCACAAACCCCCGAGGTCCGTGTCCTGCTGGACGTGGGTGCGCAGATGCTGGAATTGAAGAATCAGGAGTTGGCCGAAGCATGGCTTCGAGCCAAGCGCGACGCCCAAGCTGCGGTCTTCGTGAATGACGACGACGAACTCGTTGTTGTCAGTCGGGACGGGACAGTCGAACCCCTTGTGTCGTCCCCATTTGCACAGCAGCTTGATCAATGCGTGATATATCTAGACGACACCCATACCAGAGGAACAGATGTCAAGCTGCCTTCCGGTTTCCGAGCAGCTGTCACGCTCGGCCCCAAAGTCACGAAGGACCGCCTGACGCAAGGTTCGTAATTCAGAATTCATGCATATCAGTTTTGGTAACAACCGATGACACAGGATGCATGCGAATGCGGAAGCTGGGCAATGGGCACTCAGTGATGTTCTTCGCTCCGACTGAAGTCGACCGGAACATTCGTTCGGCAACTCAGAAAGCTGATAGCGACGATGTCGACGTGGCAGATATCCTTCACTGGGCGATGGTGGAAACCTGTCTTGATATTCAGATGCGTGCATCCCACTGGGTTCAACAAGGCTCGGATTTCAATGCACGGCATTCCGCATGGGCTCAATTCCTACGTACCTCTACTTCCACGTCCACCCTGAAGACTGCCTGGCTGCAGCCAGAGGAACGTTCGCTAGAAGCTATGTATGCACCCCACAGTTCCCCACAACCATTCAAGTTCTTCGATCCAGACATTCAAAGGAAGTGCGAGGAACTCGGAGTCGTATCGGCATCGGCACGAAGCATGGATGAGGAACAAGAAAGGGGGGTGGTTCACGAGGTAGAAAGAGAGAGAGAACCTCAAGTGGAAAGACCACACAAGGCAAAACCTGCAGCTCAAAAACTGCATGTGGACGTCCGTCAATTTGTCGAGACCGGCCGAATTCCCGCAGGGTCATCTGCGTTCATTCCAGTGCTATCCAGCCTTGTCGACACTGCTGCCGAATTTCACGAGTGCGATCAGTAGGCGCACAATGTTTTAGTCACCCGTGACTTCGCTCGTACGGTGGGGCCTCTCTCTTCCATCCAGAAAGCGGATGATTATCTGCGGCCCGTCAATTGGATTGTAGTTGGATGCTTTTCAGTGCTGGTTGTCATGAGCCCCAACGAAGTGAACACACTGCTGCCTGATATCCGCAGAAGCAATGTAGTTCACCTGTGCATCTACACTCCTCGGACCGCACAAACGATGCGGCCATGCGATGACCTGCGACTCTACTGTGTTCCTTCAATGCCGCAGTTGACACCGCCAGAACCGCTGATTTGCCAGCTCAACCTTTTTGCGGGCCAACTCTATTTCTCCAATTACGATATGTACATCCGCACCTGCAGTTTCTTAGGGCTCAATGCACCGGATTTATGGGACGAGGACGTGATAGCCGACAGCGACGGGTTCATCAGGCAGGAGAATCGCCCTGCTACGAGAGCACGGTGCTCATTCAAGGGATCCCAGCTTCTTCCACTGAAGGAGTTGTTTGGGATGAGAAGGAAAGGCATGGGATATCTACCGACTCACCTCGGAAAGATGTTCAATGGCCGCATTCTGACTGATGAGGATTTTCTCGACTGAGTGCGAGGTTTATTTAGCGTAAGTTTTACATCTCTCTGCCACAGACCTGACTGACTGCAGTTCTCGTTAACAGCGACTGTATATGATATCAACGCTGGTCTTGATATAACACTAGCCTTCTGCGACGAATGTATTTGTAGTCGAATCTGAAATGCCCTCGTTATTTCAAAAGATACTCCCAAGGCAATCGAAACACTTGGCTATAATCTGCCAAGCAGTTGAAAGACAAATTCATACAGTGTACGACCCGTACAGAAACCCGCATACATTGGTAGACGTATGCTCGTTAATACATAATCTTGGATCAGTTGTAAGGATTGCATATCCTCTACGCACCGGTGATCACGCTTCAAAACGAAGACGACGTGCCTCCGTTACTCTTCGCATCCGAGTCACGCGGATACAGTCTTCCATTTTCATTTCCTTTTACGACCTTACCTTGTGCTCCGACTCGAAGCAGAATCCTAGACGCTGATTCCCCGCTCCAAGCACGACCGAAAGGCTTTATAGAAAGTCTCCGTCCTATATGATTTCCTACCCGTCTCGATTACCTTTGCGCTCGTCGCTTATTTCCATCATCTTGCTCCAATTCCCCTTCGTACTCACTATCAGCCTTACACAGTCATTACTCGTGCAACACAATCGGTTCCAGCGACTTCTGTCAGCTGCAAATTTATGGTCAGAAATTTTATATAGGTTGGAAGCGTCCTCCAACAATTCACCCCCTTTCCCTACGCGCCGGAAGTCGGACGCAGGGAATAAGACTATCTCACTACCATCGTCTCGGGTGTCTCGTAAACGCTCCGATAGTAATGTCACAGCTGGTGTTCCCGAGTGTCATAAGGCAGACCTTCTCCAACTTAGCGATAGCAGCGTGCTCAACTTGTCGAACCTAGAGTCAGCTACTTCACGACGGACCAATGATTTTCCAGAATTACATACCTTCTTCCGCTGGTGTTCATGATCCTTGATGTCAAAGTTCTGGCAGGAGGTGAAAGTGAGGGCGTATGCCTCCTGTGAGGGTGGGGCTGCACCAGTCACGTCCCTGGACATATCAACTCAGGGAAAGCAGAATTACGAAAAGAATACTTGTTGGCGCACCGAACATAGATTCATCTCCAAAGTTGCCGACGGTCGACTGCAATGATATATTTTAGTAACTGCGGGTGCAAGATTTGATACAGGACGTACACGATGTTTGGTAAATCCTTATCACCTCAGGGTGGGTCTAGACTAAATGTGGCGCGTCATGAATCTTGAGTTCCGGTGATAGTTCTTCGAACAAAATGCCTACTGCGGTTCGTGAAGCCGTGCGAGGTGCGGAGGAGAGGTGCGGAGGAAGATCGAATGTTGAGGCTGTTGAGGATGTTTCTGCGATGGAGAGACTGTTGAATATAATCTTGATCAGTGTCGGAGCTGAGAAGATTTGAATATATTGAGCGCCAAATCGTGCAGAAGTTTGACAAGCAGACTTTACTTTCCGCTCAGGCTGCTAGTAGCCTACTACAGTACACGCAACACTTTTTCGACTCCTCCGCACCACATTGTTTTAAACTTCAGAACCCCGGCCGTCGGATATTTCCCAAAGGCTCACTAGCTTAAAAAGACACGTAGTCTAGCTTTTTGAATTAAGCGCCCGTGTTTCAAAATGTGGACCAGTCCACAAATACAAATCTCACCGCCGTGTAAGACTCCTGAACGAAATAATTGCATTGATGGAGTCATAGATACCTCACAGAGCCTGTATACATCCTTCAAAACATTGTTTACACTCACCCGAAGACCCTACAGGCTCTCTGCCAGCGCTAAAACACAGTTTTTGGAGGCATGTTTCAATTTTTGATGACGAAAATTTCAAACTTCAGAATTGTGTCTACTTGTTCAACGGGTCATATTCTATATATGAAACTGAATCTATTGCTTGTCTATTGCAGTGCTTTATATTGAAAGCAATGGAATGTTGAAGTTACAGTAGCCAATTCACGTTGAACATGCCGAAAAAGGTATGCGCGTACTGTAGTATGACCCTAGCAACCATCCTAATTTGTGCCCCAGGCGTTTAGGAGCTCCTTATTATGTTACAGTGACCAGTTTTCACTCTCTCTTCCCATCCCAATAGCATGCCTCGAGTAAAACATCATTCAACAGACCAATCTGGTCTGAAATATATCATCAATCATATATTTTGTCCCCTCAAGTTGCCGCAAGGGAGTGACCATTCCCTTGAGAACGACTTGGCCTTATCTCGGGCGGTACTGGGCGCTGCTATCGCCTTCAGCGACCAGCTCCCGTCCGACAAGCAGCTGCTTTGGAACAGCAGCTTGAAAATGCTTCGGAATTTCAAGGATTCAATCAAATTTAGCGTGATGTCTGCAAAGGAAGTCGAATCTCAGATCAGTGCTATGGACAACATAGGTTTGTCATGTTCGTCTGATTTTCATTTTTTTCCGTGCTCAGTATCAATTTGCAGATGTCCTAGTATATATGATTCGCGCACAAAACGCTGCGGTGGTCATGAGAAAACTCGAATCTGAGACTATATTCGAATCATTCGAGATCTCTCCTGACTCCACCGCAGTGATGGGTGCAAAGGGAAAGCTGGTTTGTTCGTATCCTGGACCTGCTGTCACAGTTCCGGATACGAACATCAATGATGCTACTTTTCCCGCTGAACTGGCAAATTTTCTCGTTTGCATGGATCAAGATGTCCTTGATGCGGCAGCGACGAGGAGGAAAGCCGGGTCCACTGTGCTCGAAGAGAGGGATACAACTCATCCTCGATATATCACCGAACTCCTCACCGGTATACTGCGTGGCATCGGGAGCATTGCCGATGTCCCTCGCATCCGCAAGCGCATTGGAGATGATGTGCTGTGGGACAGCGCGAAATTGCCGTGGAGGCGCTCTCCACTTTGGCTTGTCATTCGCGTTGCCTTACAGACGACCCTGGAGCGCAATGCTCTCGGGCGAACAACGTATAAATCGTTCATCCTGTTCTTCATGGCGAGGCTGGCGACCTTTGCCCTCGACCATGACTTGTCGAATGACATCTTTCACTTCATGTCGGCAAAGATCGCACGCCGTCTCTTCAAGCTTGGATCCTCGGCTTCTCCGAAGTTATCACAGATGGTCAGTGTGGTCACCAGTGATGCCAGGAGTATGCTAGAGGGAAGATGGGGATCTGTTCAAGACGCGCAAGAGGCCTCGCCTCGTTGGGCTCCTGAGACCCTCCGAGCGTTGCAAGATACCCATCTTTCCTTAAATACAAGCCGAGAGTACATTCGCCAAGCTTTGCAGAGTCGGCATTCGTCCTTACCACCAACCTCATTCAACCACAGCCACCGCCCACGCGGGACAATCAATGATTTCCTTGACGATAATCCTAGCTTCCTGGTAGCTGCTCATACTGCAGAACCATCTCTCGCTCTCGCAGACTTCGAGACTGCCGTTAGATCAGGGATCGACGACTGGGTAGCGCATGTTTCATCTCAGCGTATCGAGTCTGCTTGCGTTTCGATTGAGGCTTGTGCCTCTGTGTACTCCTCGAGGGCGCTGACCGCTTACAAGGGAAACCCAGAGAATTTGTCGATCATGCTCATCACTCTTTTCGAGCTCTGGGTAGCCATGGATAAGATCGCGGTTGGACACATCCCACTCCTGGCAGAATATTCCCCCGGAATCCCATTGACTCTTTGGGACTGTCTGTTAATTCGCAAATCTTCAGCACTTGATCGTCTAAAGGAGTTGCACGCCTACATTAAAGCTCGCCATTGCCAGGCTGCTGGCTGTCCATCGGTGTTCTCGTCTACCAACGACGACAAGTCGTTTGCAGTGCGGTATTTTTACCAGTCGTCCACGCTACAGAAGTTGAAGGTAGCCATTGAGGCGGATGCTCGGGAAGACCGGGAGGAGAAGTTGACTGAGCTTCAGACCCTGAACAAGAGGTACACTGAGCTACAGACGCACGAAGCAAGCTTATCGCATACGTCTCGTGTCAACTCCCGCGGCAAGGAAGTGCATAAGAAAAAGAGTTGTGGAAAATGTCGCTTGGAAAAGGAGATGCAGTCCATGACTATTACAGTTCACGAGTGGCCACTACCAGCTGATGAAAAGGAGGCGATCGCCGTTGTGTTTGAGCTAGGATGCCCCATCGTGTTTGACATGTGGAGATCTACGACATTCCATGTCCTCATTGACGTCTGCACCCCTGACGAAGAAATCAAACCCAGCCATGCCTTCATGACACTGCCGAACTATGATGCGTTGCGGAAGTACCGTCAGTGCCATCCAAGGCAAAGGTTGACTTTGGCATCGGATGACAAACCCTTCATCAAGTGCCACTACAGCAAGACTCCCATTCCCACGGATGACGAGAGTACTGTCTGTGTGAACAACGGACTCGCATTTAGACCTTTTGATACAACTACAGGTGCATGGGCCGCCGACGTACTGCTGCGCTGTGATTCTAGCAGGACGTGCACTTTCGTTCTTCCCAAAGGACCATATGATATTTTGCAGCGGAACCTTGCGGAAACGTCCCATACTTCGAACGAGGTCATAGCCAATCAGGCAGATTGTCACAAGGACATGACCATCCACGAATTCATCGCATTCGGAACCTTGCGGAGTGGACCGCTGCTGCAATGGATGAACGTACTACGCGAAATCCGTGCGAGGACGCTCAATTTTCGCCGTGAAGAAGTCCATCTACTGTTAGCACAAACTGTTTCACAGGTGGCCCACGTTCATCCGACGACAATCTTATTTGGCACGAGGAGCTGAACGGCGTGTTCCTCATTGGCGCACTATTTGGAGAGCTGGAGAGTTTTCTGACAAGCGTCGAAGGAAATTGGTTGGAAGGTGTCGCGATAAACAGTATCATCATGCTTGTGTGCCGCGTCTTGTCCTTGACTCGGGAAGAGAGTCTTAAAAGTCGCGGATATTCGCTCCTTCGAAGGATACGAACTTCAACCTTTACATTGCTGACCCCAGCTTTCAAGGAAAATGCAAACCACCAACGACGACACAATCAGTCGGGAGTTACAGGGACGTGTTCGCGATATGGCAGTCACGTGTCGAAGTACTTTTGATGTTGACGGAGATGTTTCGCTGCTTCTGACGTCGGACGACGACATCAGAGTGTTTGCATACTGTGGGGTCATGATTCATGACAACACTCCAAGCCAATTAGGCAATCTTCCACGACATTCCTCGCTACTGCTAGAACGAGACAAGAGATGCTCTCATGCATTAGAACCCGCTGTTCGTCAATATGCAGAGCTTCACAGGGAGGGTCTTGATTGCGCGATGGCGGACATTTGAGGGAAGCTACAGACGAGGATCTCCTTGGAGGGCACTGCCGGCTCCGAATTCTCGCTGGCTTGTGACGCAGACTGCGCCTTCGTGTTCTCAATCGCCACAAGCTGTGCACTTTAACTTGGTAAGTGGGTGCTTGCTCGTTGACGGGAAGCAGCTGGGTAGGCTCCCGTCGATGATAGTGCAACATCCCCTATATCGATCGATTTTCGGTGATGTCAGCTCTTAAAAGTTGCAACTCTGTTGGTGTACGCTGACTTGTTAATTCCAGCAAGTTATGGATGTCGTTCCAGCTGATATTCCTGGAATGGAGTACGCGACACGCGGGCATGTCTGTGATCACCAGGTTAGTCACTCTCGTCGCCATCACTTGGCAAGCAAAATAATGGATTTACTTGTCACTGAAGGTATCCTTTGCTCTACGCGACCGGAACAATCTCATCATCTGCGCGAAGCATACCGGCGAAGGTTCACATATCCTTCAGCTCATCCCGAGCGAAAAATTTGTGGATGACCTACCGACACCCTTGATAGTAGGCCATACTCATTGGCTCAACCTGGGCACGAGCGAAATAGAGATTCGACCAGCAGAACATACATGGAAGTCTTCGCCTGAAAATTGGGTGCTGCGGTTTGCTGTTGCGGGCTCGCCGACGCTGAAGAATGTCGGCGGTGCCACTCTAGTCGACATACGTAGCCGAACGTGGGACATGATCTCCAAGAAGATATGTCCTCTAGAGGACACCTGCCACATCATTATCACATATAACGAACCATCTGGCAGCCCTCCCTCGTTGAAGGCTGATTTACCTCGATATGGTCTCGAATTCTTCATTGACGAAGACGGGGAATTGCAATCCCGTAATATGCGCAACATGGTCGTTGATGCTATTCAGTCTACTGGGACGATGTTAGGATTGGTCAATCAACTCGTCTTGCGTCCGAAATCGCAAATTGCGGATGAGCATCCGCGCGCCGTCATCATCCCAGACGGTCATATTTCATACTCCACTAATGGCCATCACGTCCAGGTTACCATCGCTCCTGAAGGCACCCGATTGACATACCACTCGTACAAGGTCGACCCAGATTTACGTTGTCTCACCGGGAACGGGGGTCTGACGAGCAAGCTCTATCAAGCACTCCTCCATGCTGTAACCAGCGGCTGTATCCCTGATCCCCTGACGGGTCGAACAGGGACAGAGGAGGCATTGCATCTCTTACATTCTGCAGCTTGCCGGTCTTTCATGAAGCTTCACTCTCGTGATACAGATCTTTTGCGCGAGATCAGTTCACTGTCAACCAGGCGTGGCTGGTATCCCGCTCATCTTCGCAAGATGCAGACAGTTTCGTGGTCGTGCCTCCCGTCCCTCGCACAACACCATAATTTTCATCTAGCCGCAAAATCTATCATGGACTACGGCGTGCAGCTTTCAACCTTCTTAGAAGGGTCTTCAAGCATTCCTAGCTTTGATCTTCCACTATTCACCAGTCACCTTCTCGAGCGCGCGTCCATTCGTGCCTCTGTGTTCTATCCTGACCAGTTCTCTCTTCCACCGCTGCTTGGTGCCACAGATGGCATGTATGCTTCGCGCGATGTACCCGATAAACATGCGGAAGAGAGGGCATTTCACACCGCCTTCATGGTACACCAGTGGCCAAACAGGCTCCCAGTGCAACGAAATCTCCTCAGTTTGTTCACTCAGTGGGAATATATCCAAGGAATTGGCGAATCATTCAGCTTGCAATACTCCAAAGATTGGCTTCAACCGAAATTTCCAGACATCTTCCTTTCTGCCTACGACCGTTGTCGTACTGTTACGAAGAAAGACACATTTCAACTGGTGTTCACCCTGGCTTCAGTATCATACTGCTCGTTGGACAGTCATGCACTCATCCCGACACTTCTATCATTCGCCACAGTTCCCGAGATTCGCAGCCTCGATGACCCGCCGAGGTTCGCCTCCTATGATCTCTCGGATGGTTTCATGCCTTCCAATGCGATATTGGACAATATCATCAGTTCGTGTACCAAAGATTACGAAATCAGCCAGGAGAGACAACTAGTTGCGAGGCCCGATGAAGATGAGAGGGCTCTGGGGGAGCGTCGTTATTCGGCTTTCAAAGACAGCTGTAGCTCCGAAAAGCAACTCATTCTCAGCAAACTTCGGGATGCTTGGCCGTGCGAAGATCCTCCGGCACTTAATACGCTGGAAGCAAACTGCTGCGATCTCAGTGAACTGTCGGGAAAACTTGGCCCAGTATTTTGCAGCTGTTGGCGAAACAATTGTTTGAAGCTCCACCTGGATGTCCTGCAAGAGACCCTCAAACAGTTCCACGCTCCTAATCCTCCTTCGAAACTATTCGCGCAATACAATCTTCATCCCCATCTTGATGATTTGAATGTTGCTTCACCAGCCTCATCGGTTGATACCCAGTACCTTTTCGATAGAGATGCACCTGTTATGCGCACGTGCGGGTCTTCCCAAGTTCTGCCCGATTACAATCGGAAAGATTTGGTATCTTTGGACTCTGGGGTCACGGTGAGATTGCAACAGCTCATCAACAACTTTCGCGCACGGGGGAGCAACAAATTCTACCACAACTACGCTGATGATTTAGACAGGAGCAGGTCGAGTTTCTGTGAAGAAAAGCTTGTTGCCCCACCAGATTATACGCCGTACACGATGGAAATACTGCTTGAGTACCATTCTCTCCGCAGCCAGCAATTCCAAGATGCACTCGCAACTATCGTTCGCGCCCTCTCCCCTGCTTCTGCTGCCGATAATGTATTATACGATGCTGGGTTGTGGCCCCGAGTCACACCAAACTTCCTCTTCACTCGCATGGCATCTGTATCAGGAAATTGTTTGGGGAAGGGTTGGCGTACAGCTCTCGTCCACCTGTCGCACAGACTATTACAACTGCAACGCTCACGAAGGCTGTTGATCTTTGCCACTGACAATAACCGGGTGGAGTTCTTCAAGGAATTGGAGAACGAGGGATGCGAGGGATTTGATCCAGAACTGTACCCTGACTGGCTTTTAACACAGGTACGCTTCATGAAGAAGCCGTTCATTTGTGGTTATTGATAATGAACATTCTCAGATCGAAAGTCAGTTCTTGGCACGGCCTGTCCAGGTGAAGGTTGCGCTGGAGATGATATCTCCATGCAAGGGGAGAAATACTGCTCTCCAGCTCAACATGGGCGAAGGGAAATCCTACGTCATTGTTCCCCTCGCAGCCGCTGCACTTTCTGATGGCCATAGACTGGTTCGAGTAATCGTGCTGAAGTCGTTGTCAGCTCAGATGTTCCAGCTCATGGTTGAACGACTGAGCGGCCTTGCACAAAGGCGCATTTTCTATATTCCATTCTCCAGAGCGCTCTCTATCGACGCATCCAAGGTGCAAATGTATCGTGACCTAATGCAAGAATGCATGGACAACAAGGGCATTTTGGTTGTGCAACCGGACCATATTCTGTCATTCCAGTTGATGGCTGTTGACCGTCAACTGTCCCCTCAGGCTGGTGAAGCTGCTGAAGATATGCTGCAGACCCAGTTGTGGCTCAACAACCACACACGCGACATCCTGGACGAAAGCGATGAAGTTTTACATGTCCGCTACCAGCTGGTGTACACTGTCAGTCTCCAGAGTTCGCTTCAAGGCCATCCAGAAAGGTGGACCACTACACAACAAGTGTTGAGTCTTGTGGCAAAGCACGCCGCTCGGCTCGTAACCGAATTTCCCTCTGACTCAGAAGTGTCTCTTCGCGGTCACGGAGTGTTCCCCTTCATTCGACTTCTGCACCCCACAGCGGGTGAAGAATTGGTCCAATGGATCTCAGAGGATGTTATTGGCGGGGCACTTGAAAACATCAGCTTCGATGAAGTATCTCTCTACATCAAACAAGCTGTCCGCCAGTTCATCGCAACGGAGAATATATCCAACACATGTATCAGGTTAGTGGAGGATCGCTATAGACACACCACCATCTGGCCCGGCCTTCTAGTCTTGCGTGGACTGCTGGCTTGTGGTATCCTGGTGTACGCTCTCAAAGAACGTCGCTGGCGAGTGGACTATGGCCTCGCCCCGAAGCGAACGATGTTAGCCGTTCTATTCCGTGCTAAAGACATGCCCTCGCTGCGAGCAGAGTTTGGTCATCCAGATGTTGCTGTCACCCTCACGTGCATATCGTACTACTACGCAGGTCTCACGCTCCAGCAGCTGATGTTATGCTTCGAGCTTCTGCTGAAGGAGGATAATCCCGCCCTCGAGTATGAATCCTGGGTGTTTGAACTTCAGTCCGTCCCAGATAGTCTACGGCACCTTAGCGGTATCAACACAGAATCCGCAGAGCAGCTCCCTGACCTTCTGCAACTGTTCGCATGCAACAAGGCAGTCGTAGATTTCTACCTGTCTCGAATAGTTTTCCCCCGGGAAGCCAAGGCATTCCCAACGAAGCTCACCTGCTCTGGATGGGATCTCGCTCAAGCGAAGAGACATCACACAACCGGCTTTTCTGGTACAAACGACAATCGCTATTTGCTACCGGGCTCGATGGTGCAGCACGACCTTGATTACCAACGCAGCACAAATGCCCGAGTCTTAGCGTCTCTTCTGTGTCCGGAAAACGATTGCTACAGATGCTTACCGCCCGGTCAAAACGTGTATGACTTCATCGATGCCCTAGTCGCAGAGACTCCCGAGGTCCGCGTGCTCCTGGACGTGGGTGCGCAGATGCTGGAATTGAAGAATCAGGAGTTGGCCGAAGCATGGCTTAGAGCCAAGCGTGACGCCCAAGCGGCAGTCTTCGTGAATGATGACGATGAACTTGTTGTTGTCAGTCGGGATGGGACAGTCGAGCCCCTTGTGTCGTCCCCCTTTGCCCAGCAGCTTGACCAGTGCGTGGTATATCTAGACGACGCCCATACTAGGGGAACCGATGTCAAGCTGCCTTTCGGTTTCCGAGCTGCTGTCACCATTGGCCCCAAAGTCACGAAAGACCGCCTGACGCAAGGTTCGTGATTCCAGATATCATGCATATCAGTTTTGATAATAACTAATGACATATGTAGGATGTATGCGAATGCGGAAGCTGGGTAATGGACACTCAGTAATGTTCTTCGCTCCGACTGAAGTTGACCGGAGCATTCGTTCGGCAGCTCACAAAGCTGATACAAACAGTGTCGATGTGGCAGATATCTTGCACTGGGCAATGCTCGAAACCTGTACTGATATCCAGATGCGCGCCTTCCACTGGATTCAACAGGGATCGGATTTCAACAGGCGACATTCCGCATGGATTCAATTCTCGCGCGCCCCTGCTACTTCGATTTCCACTCTCAAGACAGCCTGGTTGCGGCCAGAGGAGCGTTCATTAGAGGACATGTACGCGCCAAGCAGTTCTTCACAGGTATCCCAGGTTTGGGATCTAGACATGCAAGGGAAGTGTGAGGAACTCGGAGTTCTATCAGCTCCCGACAGGAGCATGGATGAGGAACAAGAACGGGAAGTAGTCCACGAGGTAGAGAGAGAACATCAAGTAGAACGACCGCACAGGGCAACACCTGCAGCCCAAAACCTGCATAAGGACGTTCGTCGATTTGTCGAGACCGGCCGAATCCCCGCAGGGTCTTCTGCGTTCATTCAAGTGCTGTCCAGCCTTGTTTACACTGCTGCTGAATTTCACGAGCGCGATCGGTGGGCACACAATGTTTTAGTCACCCATGACTTCGCTCGTACGGTGGAGACACTCTCTGCCATCCAGAAAGCGGATGATTATGTGCGACCCGTCAATTGGATTGTATCCAGCGGCGTTGGATGCTCTTCAGTGCTGGTTGTCATGAGCCCGAACGAAGTGAACACACTGCTGCCTGATATCCGCAGGAGCAATGCAATTCACCTGTGCATCTACACTCCTCGTACCACAAAAACGATGCAGCCATGCGACGACCTTCGACTTTACTGTGTTCCTTCGACGCCACCGTTTACACCATCAGAACCACTGATTTGCCAGCTCAACCTTTTTGCGGGTCAACTCTATTTCTCCAATTATGAGATGTATCTCCGCACTTGCAACTTCTTAGGACTCAACGCACCGGATTTGGGGGACGAGGACTTGATAGCTGATAGCGACGGGTTCATCAGTGAGGAGAATCGCCCCGCTGCGAGAGCATCGTGCTCGTTCAAGCGATCGCAGCTTCCTGCACTGAAGGAGTTGTTTGGGATGAGAAGGAAAGGCACGGGATACCTACCAACTCACCTCGGAAAGATGCTCAACGGCCGCATTCTGTCTGAGAAGGATTTTCTCAACTGAGTGCGAGGTTTATTTAGCGTAAGTTGTACCGCCTCTGTCAGCCTTGGGCTCTCAGGGCTGACTGCAGTTCTAATCAACAGCGACTGTATCGACAGCGACCTTGATGTAATATTGATATTGTGACATTCTAACGTCAAATTTTCCGTAAATGTATTTGTAGTCAAATCTATGGAGTCTGTCATCCCCATACCCTTGTAAAAGTCCTTCATCAAAGTGTCCCGAACATCCTGGGAGTGCTTTCACGATATTGTTGATCTCTGACGATTTCATGCCACTGTTGAGTATCGAGACCACGATCTGTAACGTCACGTTCTTGCGACAATTCAGCGTACGGGGGCAGTGCCATGCAACAACAGACGCACCTTAGGGTCCTTGACGTTGGACCAGGGGTCCCAAGAGCAAGAGCTACGCACCAAGGGCCAGTCGGCCCTTTCCGCAGCTTAGTCAACAAGTAGCTTCAGTCTCAGTCTGTTCGTAGCATAGCACATCATCACAAACGCTCATCGTATCATAACAAAAGCTAAAGCCACTAGCCGCTGCTTCAACGTTTGGCCCATAGTGTGCGCTGTCCAGCGCGATGCCCAGGGCCCCTGGTATGCCTCCCCTATGCGGATTTCGGAGTAGTGTTTAGATTGAATTATGTTGCAAAGTCGCGGAATGTGACTGTACTTGGTGAGATGGAAAGTAGAAGTCGTGGAGATGCCCCGCGCGACTTATAGAAAAAAATTCTTCGATGACTTTCACAGGCACTAATCTCAACTCTTCCTCATCTTCAGGCATTGTACTGGCAATACTTTCTGCATCAACTCGGAAGCCATATCCAAACGTCACAGATGATGGATGACTTGCGTCCACGGCACGACCTCTTGAGAAGGTTCCCGATATCGTCCTCGCTGTCCTCACTCGCGGTAGCACAACGTAAGTTGTGTTCAGATGCTGCGCCGAGTCTTGATAAGATACTGATGACCGTGACATGGTTTCTGTATGTGCAATGGAGAACATTGAACAATCCCTTCTGACCGTCTGGTAGAACACCGAGCCACCAGTCATCCAGGACTTCATTGGTAACAGTCCGTCGGTGATAAAGAATCGAAAAGAAGAAAATATACAGGCTTGGCTGCTGTGCACGGGACCTCGACTACTTGTGGCACTTGCAACTGGATGTCGGATACATCTCGCATTAGTAACATGCCAGAGATGAAGTCTTGAGCCCAGCGTAGAGGATGGGATCGAGATTGAGCGTTGCGCTCAGTCTTCCCGTGCGGATCGAAGTGACGGCGCCAGAACAAGGGTAAGCGACCAAGGAGCTGTCGACGTGGTAATGCAGCACGATGGTCATCTCACCCGTGGAATGTGACAGCACGCGATGCAGAGAACTGATGTTTTCTGTCAAAACCGGCTCTTCAACTATAGACGAAAATTACACACATCTCGTGCATCGTCATAAAACCCTCGTGTTTTTTGACGAGCGTCTTCGATTCGCGGAGCTCGTCTTTGTGTAGCATCAGCCTAGGGTGTAGGTACTCAAGATCATGCTAAAGGTCAAGAAAAATACAACATACATATGTATGAATGGCTTGTCGACAGCATTCTGTCGTGAACGAAGATCAGTCCGCGAGGTTTGTAAGAAGACCCAATGCAACATACCCGCTGGAAGGATGGGTGGACTCGTTGTCACTGTGATGAGTATATATATTGAAGAGGAAATGCATTGGAACATTTTCGGACAGACGGTTGTCGGAGACAGTTTGTCCAACGATAGCAGAGACATCCGAGGCTCGACGGTCATATATATACATCGGATATCTCTGCTAAATGATGCTGCCAGCAGTTGCGAGCGACTTTCCGTCCATTCGCGTATTGCACCGCTATGTTTTCATGGCTGAGGGGTGGTCCGATGAGTTAATTATCCTCTAGATTCCATAGTTGCGCTATCTTGTCGTTCGATACGCTTGCAAGGATGCGCTGATTCATAGATAGTGAGATGGCGGCCTAATAGTAATAGAAGTTTCATGCTCGTTCACTGGCAGAATCATCAGCAAAACTCCTCAAATGTCACAACATGTGACACTACCTTATTAGTAATCGTCAAAGCGTCCGAGTAATACAACACATATATGCATACGTCATACGCAAACTACACATTATAAACGCCGTAACATAGTGGGTTAGCTCTTACATCATAGTTATAAGGTGGTAGAGATGTTATATTACTGTCATAATGTTACAAGAACAATGTATTGTACCTGTAAGCCGGCAATGATATGATATCATGCAAACAAAATCCTGGAACGAATGATCCGTTTCAGTCAAGAATGACAACGGATCACGATCGATCAACGAATCAATGAAATGATTCAAATTATCTATACTACTTCAATTTACAAAGTGCCATACCCTTCCGCTGCTAGAAAATCATCGTCTAGCTCCTCTCCCTCATCTGCTTCGACTCTGTCAGGATCCTCTTTGTTGTCATTGTTGTCATCATCTTCCTCCTCATCATCTCCATCCTCATCCTCTTTGTCTTTGTCTTCCTCCTCCTCCTCATCATCTCCGTCCTCATCCTCTTCTTCCTCTTCGTTCATCATCTGCGCACCATCGCTCTGCAAAAATGCATCCCACTCGCAGGAAACCTTGTGGCCAACACCTCCACCTCGATATCGCATAAACATGTCCCTATCTATGAACCTAAAATTATACACATGTTTTAATTAGCCAGTAGATCGGTACTATATAACTCACATGTTTACATAGAAATACAACCAATCTTGATCGTGATCGGCATCATGTCGAACAAATGAAACGGGAAGGTGTTCTTTAGTCTTCCCTAATTGAAACGCCGGAATAAGATGAACACCTCGAATGATGACATCAGGGTTGAGGAAGCCGAAGGCATTGGGATCTTCGCCTGCAAGAAAACCGATGTGAGGCAAACATTTGGCAGACCAACCGGATTGGAATTTTGCATCCCGTCCAAACCATTGCACGAATAAAAATTCCATCTGGCGGGGCTTCTCCATGGCACCGTCATTGCGGTCCCAAATGTCGACATGGAAGATCCGGATGATTCGTGCATACCAATAAGGATGTCGATCATTGTCATTTTCATGCGACAGGACCATAATGTCGGCATGGGTATGCGGGTTTAGGGAATCTTGTTCTTGGCGTAAGTCGTAAGTCGTGTAGTTGATCCAGAGGACACTGTGCTCGTAGATCTTGTTATTTGCAATCAAAATCTGTGTGCGTTCTTCATCAGTAAATTCGAGTTCGTCTCCAGTATACTCGATCCCGCGAAGACGTGCAAGAAGATGATCTTTAAGTTTCGGAATAAAATCCTGTCCCTCTGTTAAATGAAATCACTAAGAATTTTTAAAAAAGAACGCACCACTACTGCTAGATCATCCTCTGGCAGTTCACTGAGCCATTCTGTGAGATCGATCGAAGATTTAGCGTATTTGGAAATGTGGAAATGATCGGCTGGAGATGTGCGTTTGCATTGGTGGCGCTGTGATCTGGTATCACCTTCTCTTGATGCCAATGTAGCTCGTGTCTTCACAATTTTGCCCATTAGTCGTTCCTGGGTCTCTATTCATGTCATACTCGACACCGTGTTCTTCTTGCCTTTCGGCGTTTTTGGATACCAGCGTTTGACGCGTCGATGTTGAAGTTCGCCCTAGTAGATATTAGAATAGTATGATCAGTTTGTATCTACATGTGCGATCAAATTAAAACTTACTGGTTGTGTACTGAAGTTATCAGTAGTTCCAAACTGTCGGATCATGTTGGGGTAATCTCCGAGTGCATGGTACTTGTAGGTCTTGAGATTAAGTTTCTTGAACTTCGGTCCAGATGAAACAATCCTGGCCTTCGGGGTCTGTGAGTGCCGAAGCTAATGAAGCTTCTCGTTTGCCACGTGTTGCATACTCGTGAGGTAACTCTGTCGTATGGTAGCGCTTACATGTTGTACGAGCAAATTTGCGTACTGTCTGCCCTAGAATAGCTGTAGCAATGTCGAAGAAATCAAGGGTGTCCTCGGTATGCATGCGCAACTTGGCGAACCCATGCCAAGTTGCAAGATCGAAAAGAAGGTTGAGAACCATCTTATTGTCATCATCCGGCAGTAGTCCCTCGAAGACGGGAAGCGCACACTATATTAATGAAAATTTGATCATTAAAAACTATATTGAGCAAGTGTGAACCAACACTTACCTGCAGAAGGTCCTCAAAATCCCTCGCAGCCAAATGTTTCATTGCCGACGCATTGGAATTAAACTTCCTTATTGTTTGCCTACCAAATGTTGGCGTAGCACAATATCTAATAAGATCTATTAGCAGATCTAATATAAATTTGAAAATACATACCTTTCATTAAGCTTTTGCACAGCATCTCCACCGGCCGCATGCAAAATGCGCATCAAATGAGTGAACTCGGCCTTCCAGACACCGAGTTCAAACTCATGCAGTTCGTCGACCATGAACATACGAAACCGGTTGAATCCATGAGGCGATAATTTCACCGAAAATGAATTCTATCCAACAATAATTAATTAGCAAGGAGTGAAACAATGTCAGAAACTTAGTCGAGTTGGCACCAGAGACTTGTCATTGAGAATGTTCTTGACCCGCGTCCCATCAACAGGTGCGCCCAACCGAAAAATGAGTGCTCGTGCATCATCAATTTCTCAGTGGTGTATCCAGTCATCCTTCCGCATACGCCTGATCCGTCGTTTCATATCCACCCTTGATCCCATCAAAGGAACCTTGTCCTTCTTTGTGAGACAGCGTGGGCAAAGGCACTGCCCCAGATTTTTGATCCCTGTGAGAATAACTCTGAGAAGCATTAGTACTGCATCCGAGAATGAATTAATGTACCTACTTCTCGGGATAGTCGGCTGAGTATGTAAAAAAACAAGGGAACACTCTACAAGTGACACCATCGCTACATTTAATTACCATACCATACTTGTAAGCTTCTTGTCGAGAAGTAGAGCCCAAATGGCCTGCATCAGCTCACGCTTACAGTGCGTGTAGACCTGGCTTGTGCAAGGCTCGCCAAAGATAGCCCTATACTGATCTTGTAGATCTTCGGGCAACTGAAGATTGGTTTGAAGTTAGTTATATTTATAGATATAAATAAAGAACTTACTGAAGGAATGTACGCGACATGGTGACATGCGGAGGCAGTTGGTTTGCCTCGAGTATATTTTGACTGGTTGCTGAAATACAGGTAGAAAGGCCAGAGTGATGCGACAGAACGTTCGAGGTCATCTCCAGCTTCACGAGGCAGATTGTTAATCTCCTGGTAGGTCTCGATCATTTTGGCGCTGGAGTAGGCTTCTGAGAAGATCTCGATGTCGCGACCATCCGGAGATTTCCAGAACTTGCGATAGGGCATCATGTTGTAAGTTCTTGCAACGTCATCCTGGAAAACAGACTCAATGATGTCAGTGATTGAGCGATGATGGACTCCGGGGATTTCGAGCTCTGGAGCTTCAGTCTCAGCGTTCCACTTCTTACCCTCTTTAGGCAGCCTAATCTTGATGGCAGATTGGCGCCAGCCATATTCCTCGCAGAACGGATTAGAGTTCTTCTCCAGGTAGGCGTCAATATTTTTTGATTCCTGGGTATGGGAAAATGAAGCAGCATCACTATTATTAAACAGCGGATCACCAATGAACCCGGTGAGCCGCTGCAACTCTGCGACAGATTGTTGACCAGTTCTAGAGTATTGGTAGGCCATAAGAAGGCCAGAGGTGGGATTAGACAAGGCTGCATAGAGCTCATCCTGGCCAATCTCCTTGGACAAAAATCCTTCGGTGATGCGACTCAAGTCCAGAACCCGATCACCTCCAGCGAGTGTTGGAGCATCGGTAACACTCTCAAGAGAAATTTCGTGGGGGGGTATGCTGGGCCGGGTAGGGTAAATTCGATAGAGACCTGCTTCGTTAGGCTCTGTCTCGAAGGGGATGAAAGGAGGGAAGTCATTGTGATCTGACCGCAGTGGGGAAGGCATTCGAGGACTAGGTTGATCTGTGTGTTGATCCGCGATGACATCATTGTGATGTCCGCATTGCTGACGGGTGGAGGGCAGCATATGCGCAAGGTGAGTCGCTGACCCTGGCAAGAAGTCCGCAAAGCGGGCGGGCATTTGGATTCTCTGTCCAGAGTGCTGGGAGACAATAGGTGGGGGTGAGGGAGACGGTGCGCGATACATTTCAATCTAGATGTGTAGTTAGCACAATTCTGCTTTAGAAATCAAATTAATACATACATCATTGTCAATGAAGTTGTCGTCCTGATTGACAGACATGAAATCTTGAATCTTGGATTGATCTGGAATGACAACATCTTCAGGAATGTGCACGGGGGATTTATCACAACACGCCCGCTTGTCTTTTCGCTTCTTCTTCTCGGACTTGCATTTGCAGGTGAAAAGCTAATCAGTAAACGAAAGATTGAGTGCGCATTGGCTCACATGCGCTGACAACTGTTTGCGTGAGCCGAATGCTGCACTGCAAGCTATGCAGCGGAGGTCATCAACCATGGGGACAGAATGCGGAGAACACAGTCTTTAAATGGTCCATAGTATATTGCAATGGTGTACATTAATATACATGAATTTAACAACTGCAAGCAAGATTCAAGCTTTAGTCTTAATAGAAGTGTAGAATAGGCGTACCATTAAGTTAAAAGAAAGCTACTGAGAATCACTGCAACTCATGCAACTCAATCCTTCAGCCACGAGGTACTCCAAGAAGTGGATCCTGGAAGGAATGTAAGTTGCATAGACATAGATCGCACTCACACGGCATAGATATGGATCTATGATCGAAAATAAGTACATACGATCGAATGTAATGTGATGTGATCATATGTTGATATCAGATTCAATCTCCGCCGTAATCTTGTGGTCATGTCAAGAATGACAAACTCTAAATCAATCATCACTCAATTAATTCTGACCAGGCGCAAAGTTTGGTAACCCTCACCCAGATCCCAAAAATCCCACTGCGCCATGGGATTACTATGTCAAGAAAAGGGAGGAGGACTAGGAGGATATGTGAGTAGACAGTGGCCTCCAGGTAATTTTTCCTTCTTGTCCTGTACTACTATACCATGCGCTGTACTTGGTATTTTATTTGCTCAATTGTATATTACATGACATTTGTACACCTAGTTTAGGGTTGAGAATGCAAGTTTGGTGCGCTTATGTGTGTGTGAGCCAATCATGAGCCAGGACTAAAAATGGAATTAATCGAGAAAATTGATATCCGGTATCAATTCAGTATAACAAACAAACATTAATAACACATCATTGATCTAATCTGAATCTTTCTCTCTCCAACACCATGGCTCACCGCAAATGCTCTGTTTCAATTACGTCTTCTGGATCTAATACTACATCTCCAAGTTCCAAAGAATCTGATGTAAGTACCCGCCCCAGCACACCACTGCCCCAGGTATCCAGCAAACGTGGAAAAAACGCGGCAGATGCGTCCACTAAATTGTCAGATAAGGACGGACATAAGTCCAAAAAAGACAGGTAAGTGACACTGTAATATCAGTTGTTCCAATCAGAACTCACATGCATATAGGGGACATAGTAACCTGGTAACAATTGAAAAGAAGACCGAAACAACAAAAAGGTGAGTTTTCCGTGCAGCTGAACTTCATTTGTTGACAAGATTCTAGAAGATCACGAAATAAGGTCCTTACGCCGCGGGAGCAGTGCATACATGTTGCACATTGGATCCCACACGGCCTCAATATGTTCTGCGATCTCAAGCAGGCAATCCAGGTAAGTCTACTTTTGGAACAAGAAGCTGCCGAGGCCGAGGACAGAGATGAAACGGAAGAAGAACACATCAAGGCTGCCCGCAGGAAGATTCTGGACACCTGGTAAGTCCAATTGAGTGCATATATGTGCACTCTAACCGCATATATGCACACTCTGCCCGCGTATATGCGCACTCTGACCTCATTCTTACATACTCACACAATTTTCAATGATACTCTCACTCGTGCATGGTACATGCGCACATTCAAATACATCAACGAACATGTGCCTTACCTCAGGACTCTAATCGGTAGGAGGAAAAAACGCGATGAGCTTGCGCAACTCATTGGCGAGGTACGCATGTTTTTTTTACATCAATTGCAACTAACTATATATTTACAGATGCAAAATATGATTAATCACACGCGCTCTGAGGATGCAAGTCACCTCAAGTCTCGCATGGGCTCATACGCCGCTCCAAACCCAGACAAAGAGCTTATCCGTCCGCCCATCACTGACGACAGCAAGAGCCGCGCTCAAATGGGTTTTAATCACATCCAGCTGGGCAAATTGCTTTGTCCAGTTAAGTATCTGGTCGACTACATCGAGGATCCGCATGGGTATGTTTACTTTTCTCAGGTTATCTGTACTAACAGTAATATCTACAGGATGAAGAACAAGTTCGATAGCGCATCATTAAAGGTGACCGCTGCCTTATGGCCCGCCTTTCTCTATCCAGGCAACACTGTGGGCGAAGATTTTGACCCGAAAGACATTATTGAAGGGCTTTTTCGCAGATATCTTTTGGAGCGGGTAGGTTTTGTTTTTATTATATTGGGCTACTCTAATACATACAGGTTACTAAACATATCTTCACCTCTCCGTCATCTGCGCTCAAGGCTGGTGTCTCTAGCGGAACTCGCGCTTGCAATGCAAAGCTCCACGGGATGAAAGAAGTGGGGGCCGAGCATATCGCATATGCTGCGGTTCAGGTAAGTTTTTTTCTCACAGATTTAACTTACTCAGTCTGTATTTTACAGGCTCGCTTTGCCACTTAGCTCACTTGAGAAATGGAAAGACCACGACGGTCTTTTCTATTACACTGACTTTTATACTAGGATTGTAAATCTTATTCGGGGGAGGAAGGACGAGGAGTGGGTTAACTCCCTTCTAGGACATTATAACGAGTAAGTGGTTTTTTCGCTACTATGTATTCATTTAATTTGTTCATTGATCTAGGAAACTGTTTGGCAATGAAAACGGTGCCATGCCTTGTCATTTGCTGAACACAGAGTGTTCCGAGGATGACGATATGATCGCCATGGAACGGCAACTTGCTGCACGGGCTTCCAGATCCTCAGAGATGGCTTCTGCACAGTCTTCGGCACTCGATAGGCAACAAGAGTCGCGTCACAAGTCCTTACCTCCCCCTGATAGATTGCCCACTCCAGATCCTCCAATAGCTCAAGCACTGGCTAATCCTCGCAAGGACAAGCAACCCTCACTGCCTCCCTCGTCTCCTCAAGAGTCGGCGTGCTTCCCTACCCCCGATCCTTCTGTCGACTCGCGCAAGGCGGAAGAAGTCTTACCTGCACGCTCCCCTACTCCCAATCCTCCTGATAACTCACGCAAGCACAAGCAAGCCTCCCTATCAGCCATTTTCGATGATGAGAGCCCTCTCACTGAAGAAGATGAAGAGATCACTCAACCTACTAAGCGCAAACGAAAGAATGCTGCTGTTCCACCCAAGACGGCTCCGAAACGCAAGGCAAGGAAATAGTTATTCAAGGTGAGTCACAACTGTCTCATAGTCTGTTCAATACTTATAACCTTCGCTCGCTTGTATTAGGATTCACTCTACCATATCATTTTTACCGTCTCCATTCGCATTCGCATCACCCAGCTCATCTGCCCATGTACTACTCTGACGAACTCTACAGTACTCTCATGGACCCGCATGTCTCGATTTTTTGTTGCAGTCTTCAATGACATCACTCATATGCTTTTTTCACGATATCATGTCCAGGTGATCGGTTCGCAGTTACCACTATGACATTAGATTATATTCTACCATACCACATGTATTAGTATAGCTCAATGATAGGTAGTTATTATGGGATATCATTGTGATCTGATGTTATAACTAAATATAAGATGATGCAATCATACAGCACTCTGGAACATGGCGGCGAGTATATCACGCGGTCTGGAACGTGGCTGTGACCATATCACAAAAATCGATTCAGTATATTCATATGTATTCTAGGCTCTATTATAGATACTAGTCACAGTCGTTACAGTGTGTTACAGTGGCTACACGTGTATATATGTCTATATATACGTTGGGGAGTTTTGCTGATGATACACATTGTTCTCTGTCCAAGTGGCGGTGTTAAACTTCCTGATATCATGTGACCCGGCAATAAGGGTATTTCCATCCGATGTTAACACGCATCCTCCCCGGGTTTTTTGAGCAGTTCACCTGTGTTAGCATCCCAGATTTTCAGTGCGTTCATATCATTGCACCATCTGGTGAGTAGCAAACAGCTCACATGCCATAGTTGTCCCCTGTCTCGGTTAGTCTGGCGATTATCTCTCCGTTCTCCACCTCCCATGTGTTATCGTTGGATCCACTCGCGACTCGCGATCCATCTAGACTCCAGCAGATAGACCACACTTCCTTTGTGTGCTTCGTCCATTTGTTGATGACCTTGCCCGTGTCAATGTCCCACAATCTCACTGCACCATCCAAACTCCCACTTGCTACTTTCTTGCCATCCGGTGACAATGCTATGACCAACACTCCTTCAAGTCCTTTATCCTGTCAAGCATCCCCGACCTGTGTTCCGCTCTCCATGTCCCACACTCGAAGTGAGCCATCCCATGAACATGTGATGATCTGCTGTTCACCGGGCAGGTGTAGGACACCATAGATGGTTTTGGAGTGTCCTTGCATCTTTTTGCAATGCTTCGTCACTGATTTTTTTTTGCTTCGCAGGGGCTGGTGAAGACATTATTTTTCGGGGACTTCTAATGAGAGTGGGATAATCTCAGCTTTGACCTTCAAACGAACCCATCAATTATTCACAGTGTACAAAGAACAAACACGTCGGAATGGAAGCCGTGATGGTCATTCAACACAGGGCCAAGCTGGAGGAAGGTTGTTGCTTGAGTCCTCTTAAGGTGCGCCTTTCATGCTGTATCCTCATGTTTGCCTCACAGCTCGGACACAGAATATGTAAATCAAGCACCCATATCTCGTTCCTGACAAATTTCTTCATCTCTCAGCATCGTGTCTGGTAGTCTTGCCATCAAACAGGTCTGCATCCCTGTTTTTCTTCACCAATTCAACATGTTTTTCTGGTCTCAGGCTATCCCATTGGGCTGCATTTTCAGAGTAGGCACGTTGTACTTTCATTTCCAACCGCGGTTTTCGTCTGTTTTTAACCACAAGGCGTCTGCAATCGCATTGGAACCGCTTGTTGAGACTTCCTTTGCAAGATGCACAGCGTCTTTCAGAATGTATGATTGTAGGCTGTCTGTCGCGTAGACGCTTGCCAAGACAGATATATATGAACTCGCTGCATTCTCAACCTGAGCCACCCAGCATGGGGCGTGTTTTTATGATCAAACTCAGGCTTGTACGATTTTGCCAACATGCAGTGGTGTACCCAACAAGTCTGTGGAGCGCTGTGACGGATGTGTGGACGTGCATGGTGGATTTACTTGGCTGGAATAAACAACCAAGACTGGTTTACAAATGGCGGTAAGTGGATTTATATTTGAGATTGAGATTAGGATGGCTCACATGAGCTGCTCGAACCATGATCTAGCTCCTCAGTTGTCACGAATCCCTAACACGAATCATTTTTCATTTCTCGGTTTTCCTTCGGCTATGTCCCATACCCGAACCGGTCACGTGATACCTCCACCTTTCACGTTATCACATCATCACCATGTCACAACTTCACCCCTTCACCTTTCACCAATCACATCTCCGATCGGATCCCCTACGCCCAGGGCTAGAACCATATGTCTTCCTATCACTTAATCTCCGTTTCTGACATCATTGCTTATATATCATGACGTCATACTACGTCATGCGCAGTATCGTACGACTCTTTTCTCATTGGCTGATTATTTACAGACTCAGATATCTCTGACTCAATGTTATGTATATAGGTAGGGTAGTTAGCGTAGTTTCTCCTTAGACTTAACCTCTTCGTTCCTACCCAGTGTAGACTCAGACGTTCACTCTCAATAACATCTATTCTCTTATCCTTGACGAGTCCTAGTGGTTGTGTTAGGCCTTTACCATTTGGTGAACGCTGATCATAACATCAGTGCACGAACTTCATCTCAACATTTTCAATCAGCCAAGTCGCACATCGTAATCACCTAGGGCAGGTTCCTGCGTGATGTTTCTTCCATCATAGATCATATTTGGCCATTGTGACGGGATTTGTTGGCGGGCAAAAAGCCGTCAAGCAAGTACTCAGATGCATGTCAACTGTGTCTGTCCCGTCAGTACTTCAAGCCCATTTCAACAGGACGTACGTCATTTCGAATGCTCCTTTGAAGACGATATAAAGTATGGATCTTTGTCTTTTGAATATGCAGCTACTGATACAGAAACACATATTTAATTCTGGACATGTTGCTGTGATTTGTCCATCTGCAGCTGCATCATGGATAGGTTGACTCTTTTCTTCTCACTATGAGCTGGGCTCACAGTAGAACATACAATGCTAGGTACGACAGAACAGTATTTCAGTATACCCTGTCTAATCTCTAGCAGATCAAACGCTACCTGACCATCTCCCTGCTATCGACGAGCTCAAACATGAGAAACTAGATGAATTTGTATCGATAGAAGGAGCGGTGTGTTGATTTACCTCATGACTATTTCTTTTTCTGATAACGTGTGCAAGATGAAATGTATGATTAATGTCACCGCGTGAAACGCATGATCTGAAACATATTGTCCGAATTTTGGTCAGCAAGGATACCGACAGATAATGTCTTTGACCTTTTACTAAGGCCAGGGAGTTCTCCGTGAATGCTGGCTCTGTCGAGGTGGGCTTGAGCATTCACTGTGGCTGAATTCACCTCCGAGCTTCTTCAGCTCTATCCCCGCGAAATTCATCTCTGTGTTGCTCTCGTGTGTTATTGTACCAAGGTAAAAATTTCTCGAGGCGTCTGCTAGTTATTTATCAGGTCTTAAACCAATCCACATGGCATTAGCTCAGTGCCTAAACTTATGTCGTTTCTAGGAGATACCCTTTGCATCGGTCTCAGAAAGGGCTTCATATCCCTTCCTGCGGATCCAAATACACCAATCATGTGCGTTGTTCCTGCGTGCTGTCATTGGACAACGTATACATGAGGGACGCAACCCCAGATACTACCTTATACTTTGGTGTGTCCAAATCAAACGGACATATGTGCAAGATCTGGTGGCAGAAGGATGCACAGGATATTTGAACAATGTTAGGGCAGCAACGAGGCATCCTTATCATATATCAGGGTAGGTCTAGACCGAATGTGGCGCGTGGTGAATTCTGATGATAGACGAAATGTCTACTGTGATTCATGAAGCCGTGTGAGGTGCGGTGGAGAGGTCCAAGGAAGAATGCCCAGGCTAATATGGTGCTCCGATGGAAGGGATTGAGTGTCAGAGCTGAGAATATTTGAAACTAGTGAGTGCCAGATCGTGAAGAAGTTGATGCATTTGATAATCAGCCTCCGCAAGTAGTTCGCTTTCTGCCTTCCATCAAACCTTCAGGCCTGCAGGCCGATCTATATGCACGATCTTTGTTTGAGATTTGAGTTGTTCTTCTCCAAGTAAGTGCCTATATACAGCATTGAATGATATTGACACCAAAACAAGTGAAAGATCCGGTTGGTGCCAGTCCTCGGTGTGGCACCGAACCTGTACATAAAGGTTCCGGCTTTTTGCCGATACAACCCTGAGGACAAGCGCTTAGAGGTTCCTTATTAGTGGCTAAAGTTCACCGTCAGTGGCCATTGCACTTTTCTTTCATCCCACCAATATATGCTTCACATTTAAGAATGAAACATGATTTCACAGACCAATCTAGTCTGGAATATATCATCAATCATGTTTTTTGCCCCCTCAAGTTGCCGCAAGGGAGTGACCATTCCCTTGAGAATGACCTGGCCTTAACTCATGTGATACTGGATGCTGCTTTCGCGTTCAGCGACCAACTCCCATTCAATCAGCTGGTGCTTTGGACGAGGAGCTTGAAAATGCTTCGGAACCTCAGAGATTCAATCAGACTCAGTGTGATGTCTGCAAAGGAGGTTGAATCTCAGATCAATGCTATGCACCACAAAGGTTCGTTATCTTACTAATTTGCATGTTGTTCCGTTCTGAGTGTCAACTTGCAGATGTCCTAGTATATATGATTCGCGCACAAAATGCTGCGGTGGTCATGAGAAAATTCGAATCCGAGACTATATTCGAATCATTTGAGATCTCTCCCAACCCCACTGCAGTGATGGGCGCAAAGGGAAAGCTGATTTGTTCGTATCCTGGACCTGCTATCACAGTCCCGGATACGAACATCGACAATGCTACCTTTCCCGCAGAGCTCGCGAATTTTCTTGTCCGCATGGATCGAGATGTCCTTGATGCAGCAGCAATGACGAAAAAAGCCGGGTCCACTGTTGCCAAAGAGAGGGATACCACTCATCCTCGATACATCACTGAACTCCTGACTGGTATATTGCGTGGCCTCGGGAGCATTGCTGATGTTCCTCGCATCCGCAAGCGCATCGGAGATGATGTATTGTGGGACAGCGTGGAATTGCCGTGGAGGTGCTCTCCACTTTGGCTTGTAATTCGCGTTGCCTTACAGACGACTCTGGAGTGCTGTGCTCTTGGAAAAACGACGTACAAATCGTTCATGCTATTTTCCATGGCGAGGCTCACAACCCTTGCCCTCGACCATGACTTGCCAAATGATACCCTACACTTCATGTCAGCAAAGATTGCACGTCGTCTTTTCAAGCTTGGATCCTCTGCTTCTCCGGAGCTCTCGCAAATGGTCAGTACGGCCACCAGTGACGTGAGGAGTATCCTAGAGGGAAGATGGGGATTTGTTCAAGACACTCAATGGGTCTCACCTCATTGGGCTCCCGAGACCCTCCGAGTGCTGCAAGATACCCATCTTTCCTTAAACACCAGCCGAGAGTACATACGCCAAGCTTTCCAGAATCAGCATTCGTCCTTCCAACCAACCTCATTCAACCACAGCCACCACATGCGCGGGACAATCAATGATTTCCTTGACGCTGGTGCTGACTTCCTTGTAGCTGCCCATGCTGCAGAACCATCCCTTTCTCTCATAGACTTTGAGATGGTTGTTAGATCAGGGATTGACGATTGGGTAGCACGTATTTCATTTCAGAGCATCGACTCCACATGTGTCTTGATTGAGGTGTGCACATCTGCATACTCCTCAAGAGTGCTGAAGGCTTATGAGGGAAACCCGGAGAATTTTTCGATCATGCTTCTAACTCTTTTTGAGCTCTGGGTAGCCATGGACAAGATCGTTGTTCGACAAATCCCATTGCTGTCAGAATATTCCCCCGAAATCCCAGTGACCCTTTTGGAACATCTTCTCATATGCCAATCTTCAGCCCTTGATCGTTTAAGGCACTTACACACCTATCTGCAAGTTCATCATTGCCAGGGTTCCAGTCGTCGGTTGGCGCCCTCGTCTACCGAAGATAACAAGTCATTCGCAGTGTGCTATTTTTACCAGTCATCCAAGCTGAAGAGTTTGAAGCTAGAAATTGAGTGGGACGCTCAGGAAGAGCGTGAGCAGAAGTTGACTGAGCTCTGGACCTTCAATGAGAGGTACACTGACTTAGAGAAGCACGCAGAAAGTTTATCACATGAATACGCTGTCAACTCCTGCGGCTGGGATTACCACAAGAAGAAGAGTTGCGACAAGTGTTGCATGGAGAAGGAGATGCGAATCCATGAAGATTACAGTTCATGAGTGGCCATTACCAGAGCATGAACGGGAGGCAATTGTGGTTGTCTTTGAGCTAGCATGCCCCACCACGTTTGACATGTGGAGATCTATGACATTCCATATCCTCATTGATGTCTGCACTCCAGAAGAGATTTTGCCAACTGATCCCTTCATGACACTACCGAAATATGGCGCCTTGCAGAAGTACCGTCAGTGCCATCCAAGGCAAAGGTTGACTTTGGCGTCGGATGCCAAACCCTTCACCATGTGCCATTACAGTAGCACTTGCATTCCCAAGGAGGACGACAAGGTCTGTGTGAACAATGGACTCAAGTTTCGGCCATTCGATACAACCACAGATGCATGGGCTGGCCGACATACTACTGCTGCGCTTCGATTCTAGCAAGTTGTGCACATTCCTTCTGCCCAAGGGACCGTATAATGGTTTGCAGCAGTACCTTGCAGGAATGTCCCACATGTCGAACGAGGTCATAGCCAATCAGGCAGATTGTCACAAGGACATGACCATCCACGAATTCATCGCATTCAGAGCTTTGCAGAGCGGACCGCTACTACAATGGATGAATATTCTATGTGAACTCCGTGCGAGGGTGCTCAATTTTCGACGTGAAGAAGTCCATCTACTGCTAGTGCAGGCTATCTCACAGGTTGGCCCACTTTCATTGGACGACAACCTTGTTTGGCACGAGGAGCTGAGCAGCGCGCCCTTCATTAATGCGCTACTTGGAGAGCTGGAGTGTTTGATGGCAAGTGTCGAAGGAAATTGGTTGGAGGGCATCACGATCAGCACTATCATCATGCTTGTGTGTCGCATCTTGTCGACTGAGGAAGAAAGCATCAAACGTCACGGATATTTGCTTCTTCGAAACATACGAACTACGACCATCACGCTGCTAACGCAGCTTTCAGGGAAAATGCAAGCCAACAATGACAAAACGGTCAGTCAGGATTTACAAGGACGTGTTCACGATATGGCAATCACATGTCGGAGTACCTTTGATGTTGACGTTGATGGAGATGCTTCACTGCTCCTGACGTCGAACGACGACATGAAGGTATTTGCATATTGTGCGGTCATGATATATGACAACACTCCAAGTCAACTGGGTGATCTCCTACAACATTCCAAGCTCCTCCTAGAGCGAGACAAGAGATGCTGTCATGCATTAGAAGCCGCTGTTCGCCAATATGCAGAGCTTCATAGGGAGGGTCTTGATTGCGCGATTGCAGAAATATGGGGCAGCTACAGACCGGGGACTCCCTGGAGGGCACTGCCAGTTCCAAATTCTCATTGGCTTGTGACACAGACTGCACCCTCGTGCTCTCAATCATCACAAGACGTGCACTTCAATTTGGTTAGTGGGTGCTTCATTGTAGATGGGAAGCAACTGGGCAGGCTCCTGTCCGTGATAGTGCAACATCCTACCTACCAATCAATTTTCGGTGATGTCAGCCTTTTGAAGTTGCGACTCCATTGGTACGCTGACATGCTGACTTACTGATTACAGCAAATTTTGGACATTGTTCCAGCTGATATTCCTGGAATGGAGTATGCGACACGCGGAAATGTCTGCGACCATCAGGTTAGTCACCCTCGTTATTGTCGCTCGGCAGCTGAAATAATGCTCACTTGTCACCGAAGGTGTCTTTCGCTCTCTGCGACCCGAACAACCTCATCATCCACACAAAGCACATTGAACAAGACTCGCCCATCCTTCAGCTCATTCTGAGTCAACAATTTTTGGATGACCTACCGGCAATCTTGACACTGTCCCACACTCATTGGCTCAACCTGAGCATGAACAAAATAGAGATCCAACCAGTAGACAATGCGTGGAAGTTCTCGCCCGAAAATTGGATCCTACAATTTCCTGTTTCAGGCCCCTCGACGCTGCAGAATGCCGGTGGCGCCACTCTTGTTGACATATGTAGTCAAACATGGGACATGGTCTCCAAGAGGATGGGTTCTCTGGAGGATCCCTGCTACATGATGGTCACATGTAGTGCCAGTGAAGCATCTGGTGGTCCTTTCTTCTCGCTGAAGGTTGATTTACCTCGATATGGTCTTGAGTTCTTCATCGACCAGGATGGGGAAATGCAGTCTCGAAACATGAGCAACATGGTCGTCGACACCAGCCAGTCGACTGGAACGATGTTGGGATTGATTAACCAGCTAGTCCTACATCCGAAGTCGCAAACTGCAGATGAGCATCCGTGTACTGTCATCATCCCAGATGGTCGTATATCATATTCTGTTAATGGCCATCACGTTCGGGTTACCATCGCTCCTGAAGGCACCCGATTGACATACCACTCATACAAGGTTGACCCAGATTTACGTTGTCTCGCTGGGAACAGGGGTCTGACGAGCAAGCTCTATCAGGCACTCCTCCATGCTGTAACCAGCGGCTGTATCCCTGATCCCCTGACGGGTCGAACGGGGACAGAGGAGGCATTGCATCTCTTACATTCTGCAGCTTGCCAGTCCTTCATGAAGCTTCACTCTCGTGATACAGATCTTTTGCGCGAGATCAGTTTGTTGTCAACCAGGCGCATCTGGTATCCTGTTCACCTTCAGAAGATGCAGACAGTTTCTTGGTCATGCCTTGCATCCCTTGCGCAGCACCACGGTTTTCATCCAGCTGTGAAATCTATCATGGACTACGGCATGCAGCTTTCAACTTTCTCAGAATGGTCTTCAAACATTAATCCTAGCTTGGATCCGCCATTTCCCAACCACCTTCTCGAGTGCGCGTCCACTCGTGCCTCGGCAGTCTACCCTGACCAATTCTCTCTTCCACTTGCCCTTGGAAACACAGATGTCATTTATACTTTGCGCGCTGTACCCGATAAACATGCGGAAGAGAGGGCATTTCACACTGCCTTCATGGTACGCCAGTGGCCAAGCAGGCTTCTGGTGCAACATAATCTTCTTGATTTGTTGACCCAGTGGAAACATGTCCAAGGAATGGGGGAATTGCTCAGCTTGCGATACTCCAAAGACTGGCTCCAACCAAATTTTCCCAAAGTCTTCCTTTCTGCATATGACCGCTTGCGTAGTGCCACAAAGAAAGACATGTTTCAGCTGGTTTTCACCCTGGCTTCAGTATCATATGGCGTGTTGGATGACGATGCGCTCATGCCAACGCTCCTAGCCTTCACCACGGTTCCCGAAATTCGCAGCCTGGGCGAACCACTGAAATTCACTTCCTATGATCTCTTGGATGGTTTCAGGCCTTCCTATGCGAAACTGGACAGTATTATCAGTTTTTGTGCCAGAGATTATGAGATCAGCCAGGAGAGACAACTACCTGCAATACCTGGGGAAGATGAAAATACTTTGGGAAGGCGCCGTTATGCAGCTTTCGAAGACAAGTGTCACTCTGAAAAGCAAGTCATTCTCAGCAATGTTCGGGATGCTTGGCCGTGCGAAGATCCTCCGGAACGTCATACGCTGCAAGCAAACTGCTACAATGTCATGAAACTGTTGAAGACACTCCGCCCATTATTCCAAAGCTGTTGGCGAAACCACCTTTTGAAGCAATACCTGGATGTCCTGCAGGGGAGCCTTATGCGATTCTATGCTCCCAATCCTCCGTCAAAAATACCATCACAATGCAATCTTCATTCCCATATTGTTCACTTGGATGTTGCTTCACAGGCCTCATCAGTTGATTCCCAGTACCTTTTCGATAGACATCCGCCTGTCCTACACATGTGTGGGTCTTCCGAAGTTCTGCCTGATTTCAGTTGGAGACATTTTGTGTCTCCAGACTCCGGAGTTACAGCGAGGTTGCAGCTGCTGATCAACGACTTTCGCGACCGAGGGAGTAACAAATTCCGCCGTGACTACGCGAATCATCTGGACCAGAGCAGGTCGATTTTCTGCGAAGAAACGAGCATTTTCCCACCAGATTCTATGCCATACACGACAGATGTACTGCTTGAATACCATTCTCTCCATAGCCAGCAATTCGAAGGTTCATTCACAACGATCGTACATACCCTCTCCCCTACTTCTGCAGCTGAGAACGCGTTATACAATGCTGGGTTGTGGCCCCGAATTACTCCAAACTTCCTCTTCACTTGCATGGCATCTGTGTCACCAAACTGTTTGGGGAACGCTTGGTGTACGACTCTCATCCGCCTGTCGCAGATCCTTCTCCAACTGCAGCACTCCTGAAGGTTGTTGGTCTTTGCCGCTAAGAAAAACTGGGTGGAGTTCTTCAAGGAATTGGAGAATGAAGAATGCGAGGGATTTGATCCCGAGCAGTACACCGATTGGCTTTTGATACAGGTACGTTGGTTGTAAAAGCAAATTACTCGTTAACAGCTATTGGTGATGGCCCATGGGTGTGTTTAGATTGAAAGTCAGTTCTCAGCCCAGCCTATCCAGGTGAAGGTTGCGCTGGAGATGATGTCACCATGCACGGGAAGAAATACTTCTCTCCAGCTCAACATGGGTGAAGGGAAATCCTACGTCATTGTTCCCCTTGCAGCCGCTGCACTTTCCGATGGCCATAAATTGGTTCGAGTCATTGTGCTGAAGTCGTTGTCGGCTCAGATGTTCCAGCTCCTGGTCGAACGACTGAGCGGCCTTGCACAGAGGCACATTTTCTATATTCCATTCTCCAGAGTGCTCTCTATCGACGCATCCAAGGTGCAAATGTATTGTGACCTGATGCAGGAATGCATGGACACCAGGGGGATTTTGGTCGTGCAACCGGACCATATTCTGTCGTTCCAGCTGATGGCTGTTGACCGTCAGCTGTCCCTTCGGACCGAAGCTGCTAAAGAGATGCTGCAGGCTCAGCTGTGGCTCGACAATCATACGCGCGACATCCTGGATGAAAGCGATGAAATTCTGCACGTCCACTACCAGCTGGTGTACACTGTCGGTCTTCAATGGTCGCTTCAAGGCCATCCTGAAAGGTGGACGACTACACAACAAGTTCTGACTCTTGTCGTGAAGCACGCTGCTCGACTCCTAAGCGAAATTCCCTCTCACTTGAAAGTGTCCATTCATAGGCACGGAGTGTTCCCCTTCATTCGAGTTCTGCACCACACAGCAGGTGAAGAATTGGTTCAATGGATCGCACAGGATGTCATTGACGGGGCACTTGACAACATCAGCTTCAATCAAGCATCTCTGCAAGTGAAACAAGCTGTCCGCCAGTTCATCGCAGTTGAGGAGACCTCCGATGACTGTATCCGCTTGGTGGAAGATCACTGTAGAGACACCACCGTCTGGCCTGGCCTTCTAGTCCTGCGTGGACTGCTGGCTTGTAGTATCTTGGTGTACACTCTCAAAGAACGTCGCTGGCGAGTGGACTATGGTCTCGCCCAAGAACGTACAATGTTAGCCATTCCATTCCGTGCTAAAGACATGCCCTCGCTGCGGGCAGAGTTTGGTCATCCAGACATTGCTGTCACCCTCACCTGCCTGTCATACTACTATGCGGGCCTCACGCTCCAGCAGCTGATGTTATGCTTCAAGCTTTTGCAGACGCAGGATAATCCCGCCCTCGAGTATGAATCCTGGGTGCATGGACTTCAGTCCGTCCCAGATAGTCTACTGCACCTTAGCAGTATCAACACAGAATCCGCGGAGCAGCTCCCCGACCTTCAGTGATTGTTCACATTCAACAAGGCAGTCATAGATTTCTACTTGTCTCGAATAGTTTTTCCCAAGGAAGCCAAGGGATTCCCCAGTAAGCTCGCCTGCTCTGGGTGGGATCTCGTTCAAGAGAAGAGACACCTAACAACCGGCTTTTCTGGTACAAACGACAATCGCTATCTGCTACTGAGCTCGATGGTGCAGCACGAACTTGATTACCAATGGAGCACGAACACCCGAGTCCTTGCATTTCTTCTTTGCCCAGAAAACAATTGCTACAGACGCATCCCGCCCGGTCAAAAGGTGAAATGTTTCATCTATGCCCTAGTCACAGAGACTCCTGAGGTCCGCGTGCTCCTGGACGTGGGTGCGCAGATGCTGGAATTGAAGAATCAGGAGTTGGCCGAAGCATGGCTTAGAGCCAAGCGTGACGCCAAAGTGGCAGTCTTCGTGAATGACAACGATGAACTCGTCATCATTAGTCGGGATGGGACAGTCAAGCCCCTGGTGTCGTCCTCCTTCGCCCAGCAGCTTGATCAGTGCATGGTGTATCTTGACGACGCCCATACTAGAGGCACAGATGTCAAGCTGCCTTCCGGTTCCCGAGCTGCTGTCATGCTTGGCCCCAAAGTCACGAAGGACCGCCTGACGCAAGGTTCGTGATTCTAGATATCATGGGTATCAGTTTTGATGTTAAGTGATGACACACTGGCAGGATGTATGCGAATGCGGAAGCTGGGCAATGGGCACTCAGTAATGTTCTTCGCTCCAACTGAAGTTGACCGAGGCATCCGTTCGGCCACTCAGAAAGCTGATGCAGACGGCGTCAATGTGGTGGATATCCTGCACTGGGCAATGCTCGAAACCTGTCTCGATATTGAGATACGTAGATCCCACTGGGTTCAACAAAGATCGGAGTTCAATGCTCGGAATTCCGCATGGGCTCAATTCTCACGTACCCCTACTTCGATCTCCACCCTGAAGACCGCTTGGTTGCAGCCAGAAGAGTGTTCGTTAGAGGATATGTACGCACCATGCAGAAAGTGCAAGGAGCCCGGAGTTTTATCTGGGGTTCTATCAACCCGTGCGGGAAGCATGGACGAGGAACAAGAAAGGGAGGTAGTCCACAAGGTGCAGACAGAACATCATCCGGAAAGACCATCCAGGGTAGAATCTGCAGCCCAGAGCCTACATGTGGATGTTCATGTGTTCCTTAAGACCAGCCGAATTCCTGTGGGATCTTCTGCATTTATTCCAGTGCTATCCAGCCTTGTCGACACCACTGCTGAATTTCACGAGCACAAACGGTGGGAACACAACATTTTAGTCACCTGCGACTTCGCTCGGACGGTGGGGACTCTCTCTGCCATACAGGAAGCGGATCATTATTTGCGGCCTGTCAATTGGATTGTGTCCAGTAACATTGAATGCCCAGTGCTGGTAGTCATGAGCCCGAACAAAGTGAATGCACTGTTACCTGATATCTGCAGGAGCAATGCAATTCACCTGTGCATCTACACTCCTCGTACCACAAAAACGATGCAGCCATGCGACGACCTTCGACTTTACTGTGTTCCTTCGACACCACCGTTGACATCATCAGAACCGCTGATTTTCCAGCTCAACCTTTTTGCGGGCCAACTCTATTTCTTCAATTACGACATGTATCTCCGCACTTGCAACTTCTTAGGACTCAAGGCACCAGATTTGGGGGACGTGGACTTGATAGCAGATAGCGACGGGTTCATCAGTGAGGAGAATCGCCCCGCTGCGAGAGCATCGTGCTCGTTCAAGCGATCGCAGCTTTCTGCACTGAAGGAGTTGTTTGGGATGAGAAGGAAAGGCATGGGGTATCTACTGACTCACCTCGGAAAGATGCTCAACGGCCGCATTTTGACTGGGGAGGATTTTCTGGACTGAATTCCAGGTCTCTTTAGCATTAGTTTTACCGCCTCTATGTCAGCCCTGGGCTGTGACTGACTGCAGTCCTAGTCAACAGCGACTGTATCAACACCAACCTTGATGTAATATTGATATCGTGATGTTTTCTGTAAATGTATTTGTAGTCGAATCTTGGTCGAATCTATAGTTTTGTTGCTTGAACAGACATCAAGTACTTCCATGTCGATCGCAATACTGATTTGATCCACCCAGGGTTCATTCTGTCGCGCAGTTGAAAGACAGATATCCCTGATCCATTATCGGAGGTATGCTTCATACAGTTCTTCGATCAGTCATTACTCGTACTACAATAGGAACCCGTGCCAGTGACTTCAGTCAGCTGCAAATGTATGATCAGGAAGTTTATATAGACAGTAAGCTCTAGACGCACTCTGTCATGCCACCCCAAGAGCACACTTCTGCTCATATCACCCCAGTCTGCCATCCCCACACCCATGAAGGTACTTCATCAAAGTGTCCTGAATATCCTGCGCTTTCACGACATTGTTGATCTCTGACAATTTTAAATCGCGGTGTAGGGAGTATCCCTACGCTAGGCTCATATCCACCACTTTTCCAATGCATCAGGCATCCATCCGACGTCCATCCGACACCTATCCATTCCATCCGATACCCATCTGCTTTTCGGACGACATGCGGATACCTTCGGATCTCCACCTATAGCTCGCGCATCTGCTGCATCCGTCCTGTCCACGTCCATTCTACCTCATTGGTACGTACTCACACACATTTTCTTGTTACTGACTGAACACAGACATATCCTCTCACACTCCAGTATTTTTCGGATAGCTTATGGCACGGTCTAGACTTGCTACCTATATCTCTATGTTCCTTGAAAATACTGTACCCTATAAGCATGGAGGTTTTCGAAAAATACTTACTTCATGTAACTTCCTCCCACTTTTCCTGCACCTTACCAGAAGGTCACTTTGACTTATACCCACTATCCATCCAACCTTTAATGAACTTCCTTAGACTTTGATTCGCATCCTGTCTGATCTGCAAGTGCCATCCGCTCCATCCGACGAATCCGTACGTTTCGCATCCTATCCGTTTCATCCGCTTTTGCGGATCTTTCATCCTATAGGGTCGCTTTAGACAGAGACTAGTATTCCCCAGCAGCAATCCCCTTAAGGGTCGAACACACTTGTTCCCAAGCGAGGCAGCAGGCAGCAAAGACCCAACTGTGTAGTAGATTGACTTCTCTCCACTGCACTTGTTGTACCCACAGCGGTCTGCAACATCACATTCTTGCGAAAATGTTAGCATACGGGGGCAGTGACATGCGACAGCAGACACACCTTAGGGTCTTCGACATTTAGCCCATAGTGTGCGCTGTCCAGCACAATGCCCAAGGCCCCTGGTATGTCTCCCCCGTGCGGTCTCGGAGTAGCGTTCAGGTTGAATTATGTTGGGAAGTCACGAGATATGGCTGTACTTGGTGAGAAATCTTGTTCAATCACTTTCGCAGACACTAATCTTCATGTTCAGGCACTGTAGTGACAATACTCTCTGCATCGAAGCCATATCCAAACCTTGTAGATGACAGGATAGCTTGTGTCCATGGCACGACCTCCGAGAAGGTTCCCGATATCGCCTTCGCCATCCTCACTTGCGGCAGCACGATGTAGGTCATCTTTAGACCGTGATATGACCATATGGGGAACAATTCCTTCCGACCGTCAGTGCCGAGCCACCAGTCATCCAGGACTTCATGGATAACAGTCCGTCAGTGATAAAGAATCGAAAAGAAGAAGAAAAATGTACAGGCTTGGCTGCTGTGCATGGGACCTTGACTACTCGTGGCACTTGCAACCGGATGTCAGATACATCTCGCACGTGTAACATGCAAAAGACGAAGTCTTGAGCCCAGCGTAGAGGACAGGATCGAAATTGAGCATTATGCTCAGTCGCCCTGTGCAGATCGAAATGGCGCCAGAATGATGGTCATGTCGCTGATGGGACACTGTGTGATGTAGAAAACTGATGTTTCTATCAAGCTGGACTCTTCAATGATAGATGAAAATTACACACATCTCGTGCTGCAGTCTTGCATCATCAAAGAAACCCTCAGGGTATTGAATGACCGTCTTCGATTTGCAGAGCTCATCATCGTGTAGCATCAGCCTAGGATGTAGGTGCTCAAGGTCATGCTAAAGGTCAAGAAAAATACAACATACATATCTATGAATAGCTTGTTGACAGCATGCTGTCGTGAACGAAGATCAGTCCGCGAGGTTGGTAAAAAGATCCAACTTGAATGCAACATACCCACTGGAAGGATGGTTGGACTTAAGGTAGATGCAATGCAATTTCAACGAACATCACATGATGTGACAGATGTGTGACACTGTGAGGATAAGTCAAACCGAACATATTGCCGAATGGCACACCGGCAAGTTAGAGCGTAAAAAGCATGAAGTACTTAAATATTGTGTATGTAGAGTGATTACAGAGGAATAACATATGCAAGTGAAATAGAGTGAGATGTTTGATCTGTATTTTTTGTGAGAATGGGCTCAACTGATTCCATATTGGCTTCAGGGGCTGAATCACCACACTCGACATCTTGAAACTCCAACCCGAAAAGTTGTGCTATGCTAGGCCAGACCTCAGTTGAATCTGAGGTACTGGGATTGACATACCACCTCTCAAGTTCACTCAGTACATGGTGGGCTGTGATTTTTCCATGGTATGACAGGGACTGACAGCCCACTTCTACAGGTACTGTCTCGAGAGGTACCTGCTCAAAACTGAGTCAAACTTTCGTGTTTCTTGTGGTTTGACTCACTTTTTCCTTCTCCAAGCTTTCCACCTGAGTCCTGGTTTTCTTTGACTGAAGATTTGAAGCCCATACACTGTGGAGACATTTCTGTGGTGCCATGATGCCTTCCATTGCTGAGCAGCTCTGCCCGCTTCACTCTTACTGTGGCGGAGTTTTTTCTTTGGCTTGGTTTTGTGTGCAGAATGGTATTTAACTATTAGCTCTCTCATTTCTGCATGTAATTCTATTCTGAAAACGCGATAATTATCATTCACATTTTTTCTACTGGATCGCAGTACAGATTTGCAGGAAGCTAAGTTACTGAATTGTTATCGACTTTACTGCTATTGTCACTTTTCTGTCACGATTGTCACGTGATGTTCGTTGAAATCGCATTTCGTCTACCTTATCTTCAGTGTGACTCATGAGATTGAAGAATAAATGCATTCAAGCTCACATTCTCTGACAGAATGTTGTCGAAGCCAGTTTGTCTAATGATAGCAGTCGGACATCCCATGTATATATGTGGCCGTTGAGGCCTCTAGCAATCGTGAGCGACTTTCCATCTGCAGAAAAGGTCGCAGATTGAGATTGTACCACTGTGTTTCACGGTAGACGGGTGATCGGATAAGTTGATTGTTTTCTAGGTTTCATGGCATAGTCTCGCTAGTATCTGAGTTGTTCAATACCGTGATGCGAGTCCAAGTTCGCAGGTGGTCAAATACCCTAAATAGTGGTTTATTGACTGGTCGAACGACTCGAACCAGCTACTTGAGGCTGTTCGACTTACCCAACATCAAAATTAAGCTCCGAGGTTGAGGTATGAGTCATACGACTAGGTACAAACAGCCCACAGATAAAGTCATGTAAAACACTGTAATCGACGTAAAGTACCCTGGGTAGACTGACGAGTTCTCTGATGTGATAGCATTGCGTTGCGCAGTCAATAAACGCCCATTTCACACCGGATTGCTATTGGTGAGTGCCTCCGAGCTAAGCTGTGGTACGAGCACCGCACCATATTGACTGCTGGACTATAGCAATGTGCCCATACCGAAAAATAGAGGGGTTCGACCGGAGCCCAGACTGGCATGAGAGCGACTGCAAGGATGCTAAAAAACCTATTTGCCAGTGGTGGGCCGAGTCTTATGCAACGTTGACATCACCAGTCCCAACCAAAACTCAAGATCCACCTCAGGCTGCGGTAAGGACACCCTCCTTTGAGTTGATATAGCCCATACTAACTGTACCCTCGCCGCTCCGGCACACTTCTTGTAGATGGGCTGCTGACAGTGATGAAGATGAAGATGATGTCATCTTCTCCTCTCCAGACTCGACCGAGGCATACCTGGACACCCCATGTATCACAAAGGCCGAGCTCAAGGCTGTGGGCGCAGTTCTTTAATACTGAGAGAATGCTTGTGCTACTTGACCTCGACTAACTCAGATGACCCTCAATTTTTTGTCCGCACCAGGTATATTAGCCTGCAAATGCTGGCATTAGCACTCTAACCATGCTGCAGAGCTTCCTCAGCCGATGCCGTGTTAAGACTAGATACAATGTTAGCCCTCAGTCGTGATGGAACAGACTGTATTAAGTACCTAGATACAATGTTAGCCTAAGTGTTGTGGGTACAACAAGTGCAGCGGAGAGAAATCGATCTACTACACAGTTGGGTCTTTGCTGCCTGCTGCCTCGCTTGGGAACAAGTGCGTTCGACCCTAAAGGGGATTGCTACTGGGGAGTACTAGTCTCTGTCTAAACGACCCTAATCAACCCTCCCGCAGGTAGGATGAGGATCCGCTAAAATGCGGAACAAGCGGAACTTGCATGGAACAAGTGGAACCCGAGCGGAACTCAAGCGGAATGGAAAGGAATGAAATAGAACTCAAACGGATAAAGCGCGAAACGTACTGATTCGTCGGAACTCGCAGGCGAAGTCAAAGGAAGTATATCACAAGGTTAGATTGATAGTGGGCATAAGTCAAAGCGATCCTCTAGTAAGGTGAAGGAAAAGTGGGAAGGTAAAAGATGGGATTCAATAAAATACCCCCAAGCCCTGAGTACCACTACTTAAAGGGAAGATTATTTTTAAGGAACACTGAGGTACAGGTAGTAAGTCTCTCAGGAAGCGGAAGTGAAGGCAGGCAGTGCACATGGGCGCAATACTCCGGAATAGGGGTCCGTGCCATAAGGGCATGTGTCAGTTTGATCCAGATAACGTTAGGAACAGCGGGAAGAGGAATACAGCATACCAATGGACCTGGAAGGATGGGGACAGGACATGCGAAGGTTGTCCGACGATGCGCGGGAATATTGGATAGTGCGGGCGGGTTCTGAAGGATGCGCGGGAAATGCGGAATGTGCGGAATATGAGGAACTGATATGAGACAATGCGGAAAGGACGGGGTTTTACACCTACAGTGGGGGAATTCCCCACAGCATTCGTCAGTATCTAGCGGCGGTTCGAATAATCATAAAGGCTTACCCTCAGTCATGATGGAACAGACTGAGGGAAGGTGAGAACGTGAAAAGGGTATATGTACTATGGTTCGAATTCCAAACTTCAACTCCGCTTATCGCGTCGGCACGCTTAGCATCAACACTCCTCCTCGACGTGATAAGCAATACTCCTCCTCAATTCCTCACTGTAAACCCAGGCAGATGCGTAAACGTTCAAAGTCTTTCCTTGGTAGGGCCTTAGTGAAGATATCGGCGGCATTGTTCAGGGACCTGACGTATAGAAGTTTGAGTTGCCCGCGGGTGATGCGTTCGCGAATCGAGTGAACTGCGATGTCAATGTGTTTAACTTTCGAATGATAAGATGCATCTTCAGATAGGGTAATGCCGCCAGTATTGTCGCAGAGGAGAGGTGTCGCGGAAGGTTGCATGAAGTCAAGTTCAAGAAGTAGTGTGCATAACCAGGTGAGTTCCTTGGCTGCATCGGACGCGGCGACGTACTCTGCCTTGCAGGTCGAGAGGGATACCATCTTTTGCTGTCTAGCACTCCAGGTGACCATACCGCTGCCCATAGTGAAGCAGTAACCGCTGATGGAACATCTGGTGTCGGGGCAGTTAGCGAAGTCGCTATCAGTGAAACCGAGTAGACGCACGGGATGATCGCCACCAAGGACGAGCTTGAGGGTGCGAGTGCCTTTGAGATATCGAGCGACACATTTAGCGGCTTCCCAATGAACAGGACCGTAGCAATCGAGGTGTCGACACAACTGTTGTACGGTGTGAGCGATATCGGGGTGGGTGCCAATAGCAAGGTACATGAGGGAGCCGACGAGCGATCGGTAGGGAGTACGAGCCATAAGGTCGCGTTGGGTGTCTGTGGCAGGGGAGTGAGTACAGCGTGAGAGGTGAAGGCCTGTTTCCATTGGAGTGGAGACTGGGACAGCGTCGGTTAAGCCGAAATTGCGTGACAATGCGATCGATAAGGGCAGTTTGGGAAAGACTGATGGTTCGGTTGGCACGGTCACGATCGAGAGCGATACCCAAACAGAAATGTGCCTCCCTGAGATCGGAGACCATCCATTTAGTGCGAAGCTGGGATTTGAAGTCCTGTGAAGTCCATGATAACGGCCTTTGTACTGCCCACAGTGAGGAAATCATCAACGTGAACGGCGACGAGGAGAATGCCCGCATCAGTCTTGCGATAATAGATGCAGTGTTCGCACTTGAGGCGAGTGAATCCCCAGGAAAGCATAGCTTCGTTCATAGTGCGATTCCAGACAAGTCCGCCCTGTTTCATACCATAGAGGCCCTTTTGCAGTTCCCAGACCCAGTCCTCTTTTCCTGATTCAAGGAAGCCCTCCGGCTGGTGCATGTAGCACACTTCGTCGGATTCAAGCAGGCCATGAAGGAACACCATCTTAATGTCAAGCTGA